TGACCAATCTTGATGCCCTTAGGATATGTGGTAGTACCCTATGAGAGAACAAAACGTCTCACGGGGTTTGATGCCATGGCCACATTTGCGCCCGCCACACCCCTTTGAAGGCGCGCCCCATGCTAAACTAGCTGCACTAAAACCTTCACCAAAAATCCAATTTTGCTCGGATTTTCATAATTCTTACATATTCTTGATCCCAGATAGTTGCTTGATCATATTAAATAGCAAAACTACTTTTCGAAATTTTTTGAAATTTTCAAAAGTTTCCTGGGCAGTGGTCTGGCTTGAAAAATTGAAGATTTCAAAAAAGTTGAGATTAGTGTCGGATATGATAAAGCAACTATCTGGGATCAAGAATATGTAAGAATTATGAAAATCCGAGCAAAATTGGATTTTTTGTGAAGGTTTTAGTGAAGCTAGTTTAGCATGGGGCGCGCCTTCAAAGGGGTGTGGCGGGCGCAAATGTGGCCATGGCATCAAACCCCGTGAGACTTTTTGTTCTCTCATAGGGTACTACCACATATCCTAAGGGCATCAAGATTGGTCATTATCACAGTGACGACCTCTCCTCCTGAGTTTGCACATTAAGCAACGAGTGTTAAAAATATTGCGTAAAAAAGTTAATATGAACACAAATAATTGCTCACCTCATGATACTTATAACGGGAGAATCATAATAAGATAAATTATGTATAAGGGTACCTTCGCTAATGGACAGATCGTCAAAAATTTCAATGCACGCATGATCTCATAATAAATATATTGTACAAAAATGTGGCCCTTATACGACTCGGTAATAATTCTTTGACCGAGCTTGTATCGGAGTTCCCATTTTTAATTTGTCTCTCACTCTTACTCTCTTAGGAATTCTCAACCTCTCACTCCACCTCTCCACACATTTTCACCATCAAAACTGTGAAATCGAGCCTTGCGCATAATTCTCCATCTCTGAACTGTTAGTGATATGTGAATACAATAGCAGCGTAAACCTAAATTGTGTAATCAGCAAAGACAGGTCCACAATATGTCAGTATTATCATAAAACCCCAGTTGGCTGTCAGGTCCTTATTGAAAATATATGTTAACGGACAAATATTTACATGATATAATCTTCAAATAATTAACTAGAACCCCAGTCTCTTTAGTTGAAAAATTCCCAAGTTCCCTTCCACTTCTATCGTTAGAAGTTGTAAACTACATACATGCAAAATTACAGATTAATGGAACAATTTAAAAAAACGGGAAGGGTCACCCTATTCGACAAGATGATGTGTATTTCAATTTAACTTGATATTCTTCAACTAGTATGCATTATCAACCTCGGGGCTAAATTTCAGTTCGATATCCTTTTTAAAAATCGGCTTCAAAATATCCAACTTCTATAATTGTATTTCTGTAATAAGTCTGTCCAACTTTGACCGAATACCTGACCTACATTTAAAACCTAAGACTTGAATAGCAGTATCAACTGATTGAGAATACATATAATTCACAAATCTTAGAAAGTATGCACCAATGCAGTTTATTATCAAAATCGTGACACTGGACGATAATAGAAATAGAGTGAAATCTAGTTAGGCTACTAAATCTTAATTTTAAATACAATGGCTACATTCGGCGAACGTTTCTTATTTTTAGTTAATCTTTTCGGGCTATTTAAGGTCGTCATGCAAAGTGCTACATATTTCGTTTTGATTGCCATATGACGTCTCAATAAGCAATGATAATCCAGTACGCACAATTGTAACTCTACATATCAACCTGTCATATTAAGATGCAAGTAATATCATACCTCTCCTTGTTTAATATCTAATGTCTTTGAATATTCTGTACAAGATTTGGACAGAGTATTCATGCAAAAATGCCAATGCAAACGCCATTTAATAAAAACCGATACTGCAAATACAATTTAATAGTAATGTAAGTCAATAGTCCTATAATTTAATGACTTCCTATTTGCGGCTGCTGATGTGCCGATGGGGAGGTGGACCGTTACTTAATATATGACTCGGTTTGAAGTGTATTTTAGATGTTAAACAAAGAATATTGTCAGTAACTTCGTTTAAATTAAATAATAAAAATGGTTTTTATTAACAAATTTAATTATAAGTTTATCTCTTTAGCATAAACCTTTTATAAACAGCGACGCGTTTTTTTTTAAAGCGCAACTACATGCTTAGAGTATGTATGTATGTGATGTGAAGCAATTATTATTATATTATTTTTCTGGTTATTGAACACGATCGAGCTGCAATGTCTACAAATAGTCATGTGTGTAGCTGTCTATGAGAATATTTGTCATTGTTCAGTCCTACCGATATATTCACGCTAACGACATTGCAAAAAATCAACTCTACTCAATACAACTGTTGTTCTTATAATAGAATATGAAAAGTATAATTTATTTACATCAAAGTATGATTTATTTTGTCTAGAATGAAATTTTCATCATAATCAAGATGCCCATTTAACGAAAAGCATGGAAAAACTCGACACATAAAAAATGCACATATATAAATTAAACTGTTTCGCGTCCTTCCAGTCGTTGGGCGAGGTCTTGAATAAGTTCACGGTAAATTAAGGGATCCATATTCTTCCCTAATTGGTAAAGTACAAACCAGTCTCCAATCTGGCATTTCTGGGCAATGACATCAATCTGACGAGGTTCTGAGAGTCGAGACTTTGCGCGGAGCAAATACATTCGTACCTGTGGTCCAAACACGGTCAGCAGCCGATATATGAGAGACACTCCAGAAATTGCAGCAACAATGATAAACCAGAACCAGAGGAAGACGTAGATCTTCTCGTTCACAAAATCGGATAATCGGATAATCTCTGGATAATCGCATAAAGAAAGATCAAGCAGGAAGTGAAGGGACACTTGCATGCATGCTTGAAAAAGGGTTAACTATTCTGCCTTTGTGACGAGGAGGTGACTGCGTAACTTTCAAGGGAAAGCGTGAGTGACCCCTTCAAATAGAGGACTAAAATGCGTAGTATGATTTACATCTGATCGGCTATCCCTTCAAAAACGTCACAAGAAGGGTCAGCCAGCCCTTGCAGATGTGTAAATCGGCAAATGTGTAAAATGTTTACAATTTTAGAGACCTTGAATTTTGTAATTTGAATTTACGTTCAAAGGTAGTACGCACAACCCATCATAGGGTATGATATTCCCTCCGGGACCATATTTGTTGAATGTGCATTTGGTGACTTTGGGGAACACCTGGCAAGAACAACCACACTTGTTAAATTGGATTTCTACATAAGCTAATGAGCATTACAAGAAGGAAAAATACTGAATTTACACACCTTGGCCATGGGGTCTTCTCTGTTGAGGGGGTCCTTCTCAGTGAAAGCAAGGACTTGGCTGCCATACGTGGTGAACTCGTACCCCAGGAACATGTCCATAAAAAAAATTTGGCCAACGACATTTATGAAGTTTAACACTTCACAAAAGAAGAACCGGAAGGCGTAGAAATTATGGTTTTTGATGTTTGAGATGAAGTAGTCCAAAATCAACTTCTTTCGTCCGCACTTGTTGTCTTCGTCAACAATGGGACAATTGAGATCCATTACTAACATCTTCATCCTACCCCCTTCCCACGTCTTCCATAAATAACGAGGGACATAGAAGAGCATCGCTTGGAAGAACAGGACAAAGCACACCCCTAATGAAATAATAAAACATACAAATAATGCCATCATACTTTAATGGAAATCAATGAATACATAGCTAAGTTTTGTACTTACACTGGTAGTATTTGTGGTAACGAACCTAGAATTAATCAAGATTATTACATATACACATGTCATGTACATAATTCATGAAATAAATCTTATGTTTGGATTCTTATGTACTTCATCAGTTTTACTCGTAAGTCCAGCTACTCCAGGATGAGGAACGGCTACTCCTGTAAATGCAAAAAAATAAATTATACACAAGAGTACTATTGATTACAAATCTCCAATATTGTTAGTGTTCACTCGAAACAATAAACTCGTGCAATTTCTTAAAAAAAACTTTTGACTACAAGTTCGCCCCGGGTTGGGTCGGATATTTCTCGGAGTAAGAAAACTCGGGTTTCAGGCATACAGTGGGATTGCATGCAGTGGGGAATTTGCAAATTCTGAGAAACAGTTGCTCTTGGACGGTTACTCTAACCACACGGACACTCATCTCCGCAGAGGTGAAGGAATTTGTTATCAAAACCCCGTAAGAATTGAACCCTTGTATTAAATGCATCTCTGCTTTCTCTTACTATTTTCTGGCGAAGACTTAAGAAAGGACTGGTGAAAAACGTACCGATTTTTTCGCCGAGTTTGCTGGGAATTGTGTAGGTGGAGTGGATCCAACAGTAGGTGTCCATAATGTCGCCTCCCGTACTAATGTTTGTTCCTCAACATTTGTACAAGAAAATGTAAATAGCTTTTGAGAATTTTGCAATGCATGTAAAAATGTATAGACAAAACCTCCTTCATTTTGGCCATCTGCATATGATGTAAGAATGTGACTATCTGCTGAAATGTATCACAAATTGCAAAAACTAGACATCCAAGCAAATGAGATTTGGAGTGCCTGTCTAGTTTATGATGGACGTCATTTAATTATGTCATGAGGATAATATATTTTGTCCAGTAAATTCTGCACCCTTTTTGCGGAGAGATATGATATGAGTCAAGAGCTTCATGACTGGATGAAAGGAAGTTAATGATCATGTATATACGTGACGTAGACGATGCAGGTAATGATGGAAAAATGCACTTCCTGGCTCAACAAGTGGAAATCAACACGTGACTAACTGGTTATTACCAAGCATTCTGCTGATTCACATTATTTGTACTTGTGTATGTATTCCGTTGCGAAGAAGTGGAAATTACCGAAAGGCAAGTGATGTCTACGTCCAAGAATTTAGGTTGAATGAATGAGTGTGTATGGATATGCCGAATTTTGGCGTGATGCAATACGCAAACAGATTTGAGTAAGTCGAACAAAGTTGGGTGTATGTAGAAAGTAACTTTTTGATTTTATTGTATTCAACACCTTTCACATGATGTTTAACAAAATACTTTATAATGTACAACTATTGCAACAACGATGTAATTTATATAATGTGTAGCTGAAACTCAATATAATCGAATCTTTTACTTCAACAAGGAAAATCACTCTATTTAAATCCAGACTTCTATTCAGGCAGCAATTTTCGTAATATCTTTAACAGGTTACTCATAAATAATGGTTTCATTTGCATACCACACACCAAGCCCAAGCCACCGACTGCTACACTACTTGAAAACCACTTAAATACACAAAACTTCACGATTAACCTTATTTCTAGGCATGCGCTAGAAATGAAATAATAACTCAACAAACAACGACGACATATTTAATAAGTAACAAGGTTTAGCTAATTATAATAATTATTATTATTGTATGAAACACAGCAATATGATTTGGAGTATCTCCTTGACTAAAACTACCATCTATCGTATCGTTAAATGTCAAATGCCATCATAATATAAATGCACAATAAACCTACAAGTTTCAGATTTCCCCAGTCCAAGTTGTCACATTTTTTTGCATTTTACTAAATTATTATTAATTGGTCCCTTCTACGAATGCCGTTTACATAAAAAGCGACGCTTTTATAAAAATACGACTACATGCTTGGAATATATGCGTGATGTGGAGTAATTAATATTTATTATTATTATTCGAGTTATTGAACACGATCGAGCTGCAATGTCCAAAAGTAGTTAAGTGTGTAGTAGCTACATAGCTGTCGATGATAATATTTGTCATTGTCCAGTCCAATATTTACGTTAAAGGCACTGTAAATAGTCAATTCTACTGCACACTGTGGTTCTTATCAAAACGTTCTCAGACTCAGTTTGTAATCGAGAAGACTGCGGAGAGGAGACGAATTTCATCATGAGAGAGACTCATGAAAAGACAAAACTTTTGTGTGTACATAAATAGAAAATGCGGAACATGATATCAATGGGGCTTGGCTATTTTGTTGTGGAAAACCACAGGTCGGGAAGGGGAAAAGTTTAAAATTATAAAATTTGTTTAGTCTGGAATGAAATTTTAACCATGGTCAAGATGTCCATGAGAGAATAGATAATAAGTTTTTTGGCAGGGATGAAAAAGCACGCGGCACATGAGAAATGAATGCATGATGGTGATGATGATTGCTTTAAACGTTTGCTCACTACGCACTTTATCTTTTTAGACCGTGTCACGCCCTTGTAGACGTTGGGCGAGGTCTTGAATAAGTTCACGGTAAATTAAGGGATCCATATTCTTCCCTAATTGGTAAAGTACAAACCAGTCTCCAATCTGGCATTTCTGGGCAATGACATCAATCTGACGAGGTTCTGAGAGTCGAGACTTTGCGCGGAGCAAATACATTCGTACCTGTGGTCCAAACACGGTCAGCAGCCGATATATGAGAGACACTCCAGAAATTGCAGCAACAATGATAAACCAGAACCAGAGGAAGACGTAGATCTTCTCGTTCACGATCTATTCGGCAAATGTGTAAAATGTTTACAATTTTAGAGACCTTGAATTTTGTAATTTGAATTTACGTTCAAAGGTAGTACGCACAACCCATCATAGGGTATGATATTCCCTCCGGGACCATATTTGTTGAATGTGCATTTGGTGACTTTGGGGAACACCTGGCAAGAACAACCACACTTGTTAAATTGGATTTCTACATAAGCTAATGAGCATTACAAGAAGGAAAAATACTGAATTTACACACCTTGGCCATGGGGTCTTCTCTGTTGAGGGGGTCCTTCTCAGTGAAAGCAAGGACTTGGCTGCCATACGTGGTGAACTCGTACCCCAGGAACATGTCCATAAAAAAAATTTGGCCAACGACATTTATGAAGTTTAACACTTCACAAAAGAAGAACCGGAAGGCGTAGAAATTATGGTTTTTGATGTTTGAGATGAAGTAGTCCAAAATCAACTTCTTTCGTCCGCACTTGTTGTCTTCGTCAACAATGGGACAATTGAGATCCATTACTAACATCTTCATCCTACCCCCTTCCCACGTCTTCCATAAATAACGAGGGACATAGAAGAGCATCGCTTGGAAGAACAGGACAAAGCACACCCCTAATGAAATAATAAAACATACAAATAATGCCATCATACTTTAATGGAAATCAATGAATACATAGCTAAGTTTTGTACTTACACTGGTAGTATTTGTGGTAACGAACCTAGAATTAATCAAGATTATTACATATACACATGTCATGTACATAATTCATGAAATAAATCTTATGTTTGGATTCTTATGTACTTCATCAGTTTTACTCGTAAGTCCAGCTACTCCAGGATGAGGAACGGCTACTCCTGTAAATGCAAAAAAATAAATTATACACAAGAGTACTATTGATTACAAATCTCCAATATTGTTAGTGTTCACTCGAAACAATAAACTCGTGCAATTTCTTAAAAAAAACTTTTGACTACAAGTTCGCCCCGGGTTGGGTCGGATATTTCTCGGAGTAAGAAAACTCGGGTTTCAGGCATACAGTGGGATTGCATGCAGTGGGGAATTTGCAAATTCTGAGAAACAGTTGCTCTTGGACGGTTACTCTAACCACACGGACACTCATCTCCGCAGAGGTGAAGGAATTTGTTATCAAAACCCCGTAAGAATTGAACCCTTGTATTAAATGCATCTCTGCTTTCTCTTACTATTTTCTGGCGAAGACTTAAGAAAGGACTGGTGAAAAACGTACCGATTTTTTCGCCGAGTTTGCTGGGAATTGTGTAGGTGGAGTGGATCCAACAGTAGGTGTCCATAATGTCGCCTCCCACCGAGGAATCTACGATGCAGTCGATGGGGTCACCAATGTACTGTCGAGAGGTGACGAGGAGGGAGAAAGCTACCAGGACGACCACCGTCAGTTTATAGTGAAGTCTAAACACATTGTTGTCGATGCAGACCGAGTCAAGTTTCATAAGAGACTTGACTGATCCAAACACATCAAACATGGTGGCGGAGGTTTAAGGGCCACTTGCTGAAAGTATGCAAATTGGAAATAAGTTTGTATTCTAAAAAAAGTCTGTAATTTAGCATTTAGTGTAATTGGATAGTGTGAGTGTGACAAAATATTGAACTCCTAATATTTACATGAATAGCTTAAGGAAGTCTTATCAAATATTTGGTTTCCGTTAACAGAACCGACGACCTCGAAAAATGCAATTGTTTTCACCAACAACTTGCATATCCGGTCAATTGTGAATGTATAATTTAGGAAATGTTTTGTAATAATTCAACGTTTTTCTAGTCGATGGTAAGGAATACATATATTTAAAACCAACTTACACACAAAAAATAAAGAGAATCCTTGGGATTCCTGATGCACTTTTGATCAAATCACTTTAAAATTTTGGAATTTTTCTATAGCCTATTAGTTCCAATTGAGAACCCTGATTCACTACAGACTATCGACTAATACTGGATGGACTATCGCATTCAGGAATGCACTTTTTTAACTATTGACGTATGGAGAAATTTGCGAATGTGTAAATCGTCTCTCAATTAAGGTGCATATAATGAGACTGTCTGTGCCTGGCCAGTTGTAACTCTGTGCTTTTGAGATTGGAATTGGTGAACATTATTACATACATTTCAGTCATCCCTCGATTCCTTTAGTGTTGGAGGATCCTGCTGAAAAAGTTGCTTGTCCCTCTCGACACAATTTCTAATCCACGACGTGTATTAAAAACTTCCCCTAGAGCTTGGAAATACTTCACAGTGCTGCCAAATCGCTCAGCGTCACTTTGGACCTCGTGATTTCACCCCTGCAACCAATTCTTACATCTTCTTACGTGCTTATGCACACACATTCTACACTTGTTTCAGCCTGGTCGTCCACTGGCTAACCCTTATTATATGCATTTTTCATGGTTTAATATTATGGGCTGACCACACGTGTTGGTAACTGGGTATGAGGATGACCAAGATAACTGGTTAACTCCGTATAATAGCATGTCCATGTTTGGGTGAAAATGAGTTTGAAATATTTAAAACGATGTGCATTATGGTTTCCTTCCCTGGATCAGTTCTCCAGGCTAGCATGGAAATTGTATTCATGAGCTAATTACAAGGAACAGCTTTTTGGGTGGGATTAATTTCACCAATTTATATTGTCTGATGAGACCTTATGTACAACTTGAGCATCTTTAATACGTTAGTAAAATAATATATTATGTATTTCATGGTTAACCATATGCACATTCTTTAGATCAAGCTCACAAGAAGAAAGCATCTCATTGATTGTGGATGCTTCAAAAGCTAGCGTGTCAAGCTATGCATCCCCCCAACTAGCACATAAGTCAAATTCCTAAAATATCATTTCAGTTGCCTTAAAATGTCACCATCATTTCCTCGGCAGTGTCCGAGTTCACGGGCTATTTGTATATGTATGTACGTGACCTCTGTCATGTTACAGCTTGCATCATGACCGTGATCGAACTCTGAAGTGAATGACTTTATCCTACAATTTTGACATAGAGACACTTATTTAAGTGTACGTATGTAGCCCTCCACACGGAAAATCATAATGTTATGAGTACAAATGTATGGAATACATGCACACTTATGTATATCAAATTCTTGTGCTCGGTAAAACCCAAGACTGCACGCAGCGCAAGAAATGATTAAGGTGGTCGTTCCTATTAAGGAAGAGACAACAATCTCGATCTTGACATTTAAATGTTGACACAGTCTTCCTGGGAAAAATATTCTCGGTCAGTCGAACAAAATATCTGTAGAACTTTTGGGCAGGATTATATGTTCGTGATCCAGTCACAGGAGGGGTAAAGGAATGCAGCAAACAACGAGGGTGAAATCTTTCAAGGGATCAAGAATGAGTCATGTGAGTATCCATCCAGTCATGAAACTTAGCAATCATCATCACCATCATCGTATCGTTTCAAGTATCGTCCATTTCAGTTTGAAGTTAACCATAAGTTGTTACTTGGAGCTACATATGCGATATTTTTGAAACACCCAATAAAGCCCCAACTAGAAAAACTCCAAGCAAAGCATTCCTCAAAATATCCTTTCTGTTCTTATTCATTCGTAGCATAAATAGCAAGATAAAACTACAAGTCTCACATTGACATGTCTGGAATCAGGCCATACATAGAAAATATTTTGGACCTTTGTCCATTCAACAAGTGATAAAATTTGGAGGATGAGATGAAAAAGGGTTGGAGTTTGGGTTGTTTTCCACGTTGAAGCTCAATTAATAAAGGGTACAAGGAATACTTATAAATAAGACATTTATTCATTGGTGACTCAGAAAATAATGTCCAACCAACAAACAAAGTCAAGTTTAATTTTGAAAAAAGGGCTCATACGTATCGTGTCCAAAACTGTTTTCCAAAAACTTGTTTCTTTTATTGTGTAAGATTCAGATTACTTGTGACGCATTTTAACTTCATATTCTAGGAAGACCAGTCCGTGAACTGATCAGATAGCTTCTCAGAAGGATTGACCATTCAGTCTTTCTCACAATGCATGATTTCATGTTGTCGCACATAAAGAGCAAAATCAGCTGAATGGAAGAGTTAATTATTAATTTATTGACGCATGCAGTTCTCCAATATTATCCGATTTCAATAATATTTTGAACATTCAACGTTTTATTGCTTCTTGTACATGTGCATGAAATTAAATAGATGAATACTCCTCAGTCTAATCCTAAGAGCAGACATACGTCATTATTGCATATATTTGCACATATTTAGGAAAGATAAGACCAACGACAGTACAAATCATTGCATGTCGTTGGCGAACGGTAGATACAATTCTTCTCTTCTTCGCTAGCTCTTCTGAAGTCCACATACATTAAATTCCTCGGTAAATAAATTATGGTCTTAATTCAAACCAAAGAACATGCAAGCTTTTTTCCAAATCGCCAGCCATATATGGTTGAAACCTCATTTACTTTATGATAAGGTTTCCGCAGTACATTTCAAGAAAATAAATCGAGTTATAATTTGTTTTCAAGGTCTTCGCAATCTTGTTATTTTTGACAAGTCATCACGCGAGATGGGATATGCAAATTTCATGCAAAATATCACCGATATTAATTCACTTCATATTAGGTTAGCACATTATGGACTGAATGATTCAATTTCGTGTAGCCTTGTAAAATACGACGGGTCATCGTTTTGTACGACATCTTGGGTAATAATTTAAGTGATTCTCGAGAGGGTTAAAATCAACTTGATGATAATACCGATGACATATTTACTGCAATCAAATAAGTTCAATCCGAGGAATATGAAGGCAAAATGACAGCCATGAGTCCCAAGTGATCTGATGACAAATAGCAGATCCCAATCTCAAAAACATAATCCAGACCGGGCCAGGAGTACAAATGATTCCATCATATTTAGCAGCATCGTCGCTCTCATTCTGTGTGTTCAGACAAATGTATGGCACACCACGCAGAAAAATTGTTGGGCAAACAGGCAAATTGGCTGATGCTGGTGCATGCTGGAATTGTGGCGAGATCTAGGTCACCAGTGTGCGATGTGATACATAGACTGATGCATTATGGAGCAGATTAAAACTCTGACTTTTTTAAAGCCGCCCCGATAATACGCACTCTCCAAAGCGTTCATTTTATCAAATTTTATGACACAGGACAAAATATTTGCTGACCGTGAATTGAGCAAATCGTACCAGAATGTATCGTTTGAATAGAGAAAATAAATAGATTTATGGGTTTCCGTCCATCCTTTTCATCAAATATCGTCGCCATACTCCAACAATTCCCACCCTATGTAATTCCCATAAATAAGATAATTATTTAAACATCAATGAATGTTAGTTTTGTCCGCATACAAATATCTGTAGAATTAAGTTAACACACAACACAACTACACAAGCGCTGGTGAAATAAATTATATGTGCTAAACGATGAAGTCAGAGTTCAGACGATTGCCTGGTCTGCAAATGTTTGAGCAATTGGTGGGGCAATAAGTCAGCATCCAACAGTTTCTAATTAAATATTGGCATTGCAAATTGTAAGAAACGACCTTCAGCCAATTGAATTAGAGTGATGATATTCATTTGTGCACAAGCTAGATATTTGTACGTCTTCTTGGTTATTATCCGCAAAATAAATGCTTGCCATCCTATATTTGAGACTTAAAAGGAAGCTAATTAATCTAAAGTGTTTTGTTTATGAGTTAGCAAATACTATTGGCAAGGCTAATAATAATATTCGTCAAATCACAGATAAAACGGTTCATCATCCGCTTCAAATTCTCTCACACGATTTACTATCAGCATTTATAGAGCTACATGGAGTCAAATGAATTTCATTGAAATGAATTTCTTCCGCCAATTGGTGAACAGTTCCCGTATTTTACAGCTATTTAGTAAAACAAGGCTTAATGTGTCTCTTTTAAATTGCACATGATGGACTTGAGTTATATTTAAATACACATAACTATCACATCACATCAGTAATGCAGAATCAACACTTATTTGACTAACCTATATTTTTCTCTTTGAGATTACGATAAAAACTTTCTGCTTAATTTTTGGAGTATAATAATGCTTTATGATTATCCATAAACCAAACAATGTGTCCAATGCATATGTACAAATGACAAATATCTAGATTTTGTTCGTTTTCACCTCCATGAATTAGCAGCAAGTCAGTTGGCATTTGATGCAACATAATGCAAGGATGCAACCCAATTTATCACTGATAAGAAGTGATAATAAGTTATACCACAACGACAATGTTCGTACAGAGCGTGCCATCTGGACCCATTGTGATAAGTTGAATGGGCGATGTTGAAGTTTTTTGGTTGAAGAGAGAGACTCCTTGCATGGCTGGAAAGAACGTTTTCTCTTTGTGCTCGCAATCCGACCCTAAAAATTCTGTATGAGAGAAGTTTGAAGTTTTGTACAGTTTCTGCACTTGGCATTAATTTATTGTAGAAAAGTATAGAAATCTTGATGTAATTTATTTTCTTTAATTTGCATTATTAGATATTATTGTTATCTATTGTGGGCACGTATCAGAAAGCTAACATATTATTGTTCAAAAATTAGGTTAAAATTCCAACATATTTTTAGCTTCATTAGTTTTATATCTGATATCAAATATATGTACACTAATGGAGGTTGAAACAACATAAAACACAAAAGAACTCAGGAATCATCAAAATGCTTACAACAGCTGATTTAAGCAGTTAGCAAGTTGTGGATTGTTTGTCCGGATTGTGCGGTGCTCACAAAAGGGAGATCGATTGTAAAAACATAATTTAAAACGGAGAATAAACTGTTTTCATCACTTTCCGGTACATTAAAGGACACATGACAAAAACCCATGTAGATTGGACACAATGAGCACGTCGTTGTGTATTATTTCTTCTCGGTCCCCTAGTTTTCTCCCTGCAGCAACAACAATAAATGACGACTGGAGAAGTGTATGTATGATGCAATGTATGTGTGTTGAGCAGCGTTAAATGCGAGAGGGTTTGATATAAATACGATTATTGCCCTGTCTCTAAATATAATTCTGTGGCGTGGATATACACAACCATTGCAATCTGGAGAAAAATTGAATAAAAAGAGGCAATAAGGAACACTTTGCTTTATGAATATGAAGGGCTATGAGCATAAACAAGAGGAATCAGTAATGTGATAAATGATCCAAAGGACAATCAATCAATCAAACATTGTCCTCTTCGTCACTCCCTCTTTCTCCCTCTCTTGTTTTGCACGGTATATAATATGATCAGAGAACATTTCGCCCAGTTATCCCAGATGTGGAATCTTCCGCAGGAATCTAAATAGTCAGACTTCAACCCACCGAATCTTGGATGCTGATGGACCATGTGAGAATATTGGCGTAAAAAAAAGTGTGTATCAGATTGCCACATGGCTTTGGGGTGTGGGTGGTGGTGGTGCAGATTGGAAGAAAGCAAGGGAGCGAGTGAGTGTTTATTAGACGAGAAAGGCGAGAAGAGCAATAACAACCACAAAGAGGACATTAAACAGATTGGGCCGTACAGATATATAGGCTCGGCTTCCGCTAGAGAAAAGAAATCTTTGTGTCGACCACAGGAAAAACAGGTGTTTGGGCTCACACACAAAGGGATGCCAACAGACAGTTTTTGGGGGATTTAATCTTTCCTCCCGTCTCATGGAGAACCAACAAACAACCCGGCGTGACTATTCCAGCCTGGAAAAGGGAGCTCAGGCAGGCATGATAATAGTGAGCACCACAAAGCAAAATCCAGTCGGGAGAAACGATTGGTCGAGTTTATCATTACACAATAACATACACATGAGGATGCGACCAGCCCTGTTCACATATTGTGGGGTTGTGCAGTCAGCAGACATTTCTTGGTAATGGGATACCGGATTCCGCAGATCTCGGCTTTAATACTCTTCTCAGAGAACGCAATTCTTAGGTCTATTTTATTGGGGAAAGCGATATCATTTCCTCTGCGGTCGTCAGCCAAGTCCATCCATTCCGTGTACAAATTGTCTGACCACTGCTTGAACTTTTTACGAGGACCGTCTAATGCTTCGTGATTTTGGGACATTCAATTATTCACTTTTAGTGGGTACAGTCCCGCGCAAATTCTAAAGTTTATTTTATTTTTTATGTATAGTAAAACCACTTTCTCTTCTTCTTTCCAAGCATCCCATAAGTTTTGTTAACCACAGAGTGCGTATTTATTTAACTGCAAATCTATGTCTCCGTTGTTATGATTATAGCGAGTTATGCTGATGAAGTCCATTACACATTTTCATCAGCAGGATCATCATCCCATCATCATCATCGTCATCATCATTAAGTATTATCATCCCTGTCCGCACACTAGAACAGAGCTCTTCTGTTTTCCCTCTGAACAAGGGAAGCTCATCCATTCTTTATGTGCAGGGTCATTACAATAGATTTCCCGTGTTCGTAGTTTAGATATGGCGAATAGCGTCTGCTCTTGTCTCCTGAGTGAACATGCTGTACAACATAATCCAGATCCACACTTACTTGGTCTGAGTCTGGTTAGTCGTTGCTGAAGAGAAAGCAGACATTGTCTCCCCACAAAGCAAATCTTTGTAATTAACATGTCATCATTACTCTCAGAATGGATTTCATCCTCGCTAATGTAATACTCGGAACACTTTGAACTCCACAAATCCTTCATCTCACTCCAGTAATCCGCAGCCAGCCCTACGTGTTAGGCATATAGCACCATTGTGTGCACTGCATGTATTTAGTACCACGGAAGCTAATACATACGCAAGTACGTGAGTTGTGTCTGAATATTAAACAATGCAAACTATGTACAGACAGACTTTGATACTTGATATCAATCCGTTCTAATGGAATATCGCATAGCATTTGCTTACCATGATAAAATTTCACATTTTTATTTTTAATACAATTTCCGACATTGTGGCATGCTGTAATTATTCATACGTAAATACATAACAACTTTTATTTAAATAAATATAAAGGTTGCAAAAATATTCAAGCTTTATGTCTAAAAAATAATTTCTACAAATTTCTAAGATTCAAGGCCAACTATTTCACAAAGAGAAAGAAACTTGGAGTTTAAAAAACCAGAGCGAGCGAGAATTGAAAGAGTGAATAGTAAGATTGTCAGAATCAGGTTGAGAAGGAGACGAGCTGGCAGAGGAGGAGAGCGAGCGAAGGCCCCTGAGACTAAAATTGGGCTTAGTGGTTAGGAATCATTTAGGCGAATAAGAGAGAGTATCCAACCGAATCGGTAAGAAGTCAAAAGGATCCTATTGAATTATTCATGAGACCGTGTTGTTATTTAACGAGTGATTGGACTCGGGTTGAATTGGATGCCTTAAACTGAACTCCACATAACATGCATGAATTTCTTCACCAATCTTCTCATCCATCCTGGACTTCTTTAACAGGGACTGACTGCTGCTGATGTCTGGCTGAGCCTTCCAGGAGCACATTTCAATTTGATTCAACCCGATTGGTGCCAGGATGGCATGGCTGAAGACGAGCAAGCAAAGGAATCTGCAGGAAGGAAAGCCCGATAGGGAAAGTCGTCTGAACTGATGCAAAATAAAGTGGAATGAGGAGAGGAAGGGAGAGGACGAGAGAAAGCAAAGCAAGGGAAATGTGGTCGTGGTATGGTGTGTAACGTCGTAACATAACAGAACATGACATCGGAGGCGGATGGGATAAGGAATTTGCTGGGAACCCGGATTTGCATCCCTTTGATCTGAATCGTTGTGCGGTTTCAGCTTTTTGATCGTCTTTTTGGTCTCCAATTGAAAAATTTAACTGGATGAGGTTCCAGCTCATTCCCATCCAATTTATTCTGCCTCAACTCAGCGGCAGCCCTGCAGTCAGTGGAAGCAAGAGACCGACAGACGTGGTGATGCCACGGATATGTAGAAGAGAAACTCGGCTGAAATGAACAACTCACTTGGACTTGGCACGTCGGGGAGATATCCTTAAAAAAAGATTGGTCTCACCACATCGTCCTTGTTGCAAGTATTGCTGAATGTAAAATAAAAAGTTTTCTCGGGCGTGAAAGGCAGAGTCATTTTGATTGGACTTGTGCTGGAATTCAAAGATTTATGACAAGTTGTGGGAACATTACTTGTCAAACATGTGTTCTTGCAATGTTCTGGCAATGCAATGGCATCATCCTTAACCATGCAGTGCATTAGCATTGTCAGGATTTTCTAGCTTTATTATTATTTTCCAGCGTTAGTTAGAACGCATAGTAAGCATTATTATGCATTCTAAACCATATTTGGTGTTATGAAATGTGCATATATTCAATTTTTCATGGCAATAATGAAAATCAGAATGGAATCGTTTGACGTGTGAAACCTGTTAATAAACCGGTGACAAGATGGGTATAAGCACCACGAGGAGGAGGAAGAAGAAAAACAAGCAAATCTGTGGACAAAGTCCAATGCCAACATTCCAGCAGCCACGGTGAGGATGAGCCTTTCGTATAAATGTACACTCCACTTGGTTAAAGAGACGAAGAGTTGGAGTCGCTTGAGAGAGAGAGAGAGGAAATTTATTAATTCGGTTTAGGAGAGGAGCAAGTGAGAGGAAGGAAGGACGATGGAGAAGAAGGTGCTTGGATTGAGGGAGGGCAGGGCTTGGGATGCCTTCGGAGTGCGGAGAAATCAGGGGGAGGTGGAGTCGAGAGTCCGGGATTGGGATTTCCTTATCCAACACAACATCCACTCAGGATTGGAAATGCGCAAACCGGCTGAAATCCCGGAAAAGCGAGCTCCTCGGATTTTAGACTTTCCTAAACCACGCACACCCACTAACTCTCACCCAATCTAACTTTCCCCCGTATAAACCTCGACCAGGATCATCACTCGCACTTCTTTATAATCCTTCACATCAATTGTCCTCCTCATCATACTCTCTCCACAGTTCCTCCGCCGATTACACCACCACCACCACTTCAGCACTCTTCTCATCTCATCATCCGTCTCCAAATCAGTCAAGCTTTCTCTTCACTACTTTCTCTTCCGCTCAACTCGAAAATTGAGATTTGTTAAGATTTTCAAAATCGTGAACGCCAGTTGACTAGATTTTTACCGTTCTCAGTTTTATCGTTCTCAGTGAAACAAGTTATCAATCATTATTATTGGTACACAAGTAGGTGCACATTTCTATGTAGAAGGAAATAGTCGGTGAAAGAATCTCTGATGGAGGAAACGGAACACCACCACTTTGACATTTTGACTCTTCTTCAAAAATGTGGTGATAGAAGTGCATTCAGGGTAAGTATGCATGTATGCAAATATAATTAAACATCAGTTAAATGGTGGAATTACTAAGCCGTAGAGGTTTAATTTGATTAATAATGCATAAATAGCAGTAAAAAATTATTGTTGTCCAACCTCAAAAGGTGTAACAAAAATGAATATTTCTGCATGCATAAGCGCACACGTATTTACGTGCACAAAAATTCAACATACATATGTACATATGTATATATTTAGGATTATGTTATTACCGGTTTCTTATTTTGTGAATCCCATAATAAAATAATTTTTCAAACGGTGTGGTTTCCCATCAAAAGTGAGAAAGACATGTCTGCTACTCGGCTAACCTACCTACTTTTACCACAGGTTGTTGCACCAACTACCGGATCTTATGGTATCTTCAAGTCGCCTGCAGGTGAGTTATGCAAGTTACTAAATAAACATTATGTAGGATATTAATATTATTCTGTATTTGCCGTGAAAATTCGTACACATTTTTCCACTACTTTCTCTAACTTTACTACTCATGATTTATACAAAATGATGTTGGCAACATTTTGCACACTATGCGCACGTGTTATTCGGCCACGTTCAGTTTTGATTCCTGTATTCAGGGCTAAATGGCAATCACCCTCTCAAGTCGTGGAACGAACTTCTGCCACTTCTGCCTCCACCCTTCGGGCCCCTTTCTTCCCCCACGTCGGTCGCCTCCTCTCCTCCGTCATCTTCTTCTTCCTCTGCACTCCTCTCATCCCCAAAGTCATTCTGCTCACCTTCGTCCTTCTCATCCGGCACCACAATCTCGTCATCATCGTCCTCCAGCAACAGCAAGGATGATCTACTCAGACCATATCGATCCATCCCATTCTCTGAAAAATCACCTCTAAGTAAACCACCTTCCGAAATAAAATTTGGAATCGACAGACTTTTGAAACCCAAGGTCTTGTCGGTGAAAGATATTCTGAAGCAAACGGACTCAGACCCATGCAGAGATGTCAATTCTTCCTCCTTGTCTCTGTCCACCACGAAATCCAGTGCAAATACACTCTCAACCTCTCTGTCGTCATTAGTCGGCGGCGGTGGTGGTGGAAATGCTCCAATTCATTACGTGCCCGGTCGCCCTCACAATTCGTCATCAACTTCCGCATTGACAACTGCCCATCTCCACTCATCGTTTCCGTTCCCCGGCTTGTTTTTCCATCCATCCCAACACTCCTCTGCCCTCCTGCTCCCGTTCCATAACAGTCTCTTTTTTCACAAACCTCTGAGTGACCACAGTGGTCACGGCCAGTTTGGACCTGGGCCATTTTCGTCACATGTTGGAAGTATCCTGGGGAAAAATCATGGGCTTCCGTCATCCACATCTGTTAACCCTCCAGGCTCCAAAGGTTCTACGATCCACCACAATCACAATCATCACAATCACCACAGCCCCGGGCTAGGATCGGAGGATCGGATTTTTAGGTCTTATATATATTTATATCGTTTATTATATGTATAGAAAAAATAACGTAACTGTTAATATTCTTAGTTGCGTCAAGTGTGACAAAATTTTTTCCACTCCGCACGGACTGGAGGTGCATTCCAGGTAATTAGCAACAAAGGCAAATATGCATCTGGCATTCATCGTAGGTTTACCTATACTTATACTTAGATTGTGAGTACTATGTACATACATGCATAACATTATCAAAGTGCCATTATACACATACGTATGTACATAGCTGTAAACAGGTGAATTATATGGGATACAATTATTCTATAGGAGATCACACAATGGGAAGCGACCGTTTGCCTGCCATTTATGCAACAAGACATTTGGCCACGAAATCTCACTCACTCAACACAGGTATTACTGCATGTAAGGTGGTTTTTCTCTCTTTCCGATCACGAGTCCTGTCAATATGGAAATCGTCTTATGGCGTCGTATTCCATAACTTTCAGGGCTGTGCACAATGTGGAGAAGGTTTTTTCCTGTAACCAGTGCGGAAAGACTTTCAAAAGATCATCAACGCTCTCCACGCACCTCCTGATTCACTCGGACACTCGTCCTTATCCCTGTCCATACTGTGGTAAGAGGTTCCACCAAAAGTCGGACATGAAGAAGCATACGTACATTCACACAGGTAAGAACAAGACGAGTATAAAATCTGCATAGTTTCCTTTTAGGAGGGGAGGTTTTGTACTATCAACTCCCGGATGTCGATGCCCTTTGGATATGTTGTAGTGTCCCAAGAATGAACAAGAACCCTGAAGTGGTTTAATGTCATGGCCACATTTGCGCCCGCCACACCCACTCAAAGGTGCCCAAAAATCGCTTTCACTCTAGCTTTCACCCATTCAAAATCACGCCAAAAATCCAATTTTACTCCGATTTTTAAATTTCTTTCACCATTATGCTCCCAGATAGTTGTTCTCTTATATCCTACATCAAACTCAATTTTTTGATGATTATCTTGCAGAAATAATTTGCTTTGTTGATTTCTACAACAATGCCCATTCAGAATTTTAAATTTTAAAAATACTAAGAGCTTCAAAAAGTTGAGTTTGATGTTGGACAACATCAAACTCAACTTTTTGAAGTTCTTAAGAGGGGAGGTTGTGTACTATCAACTCCCAGATCTCGATGCCCTTTGGATATGTTGTAGTGTCCCACGAATGAACAAGAACCCTGAAGTGGTTTGATGCCATGGCCACATTTGCGCCCGCCACACCCACTCAAAGGGGCCCAAAAATTGCTTTCACTATGGCTTTCACCCATTCAAATCCACGCCAAAAATCCAATTTAACTCCGAATCGGAATTTTCTTTCACCATTATACTCCCAGATAGTTGTTTTCTTATATCCAACCTCAAACTCAACTTTTTCGATGATTAATTCGCATGGATAATTCGAGTTGTTAATTACTACAACAATGCTCATTCGGAATTTCAAATTTTAAAAATGCTAAAAAATTCCAATAGTTAAGTTTGATGTTGAATATAAGAAAACAACTATCTGGGAGTATAATGTTGAAAGAAATTTCAAAATCGGAGTAAAATTGGATTTTTGGCGTGGATTTGAATGGGTGAAAGCCAGAGTGAAAGCAATTTTTGGGCACCTTTGAGTGGGTGTGGCGGGCGCAAATGTGGCCATGGCATTAAACCACTTCTGGGTTCTTGTTCATTCTTGGGACACTACAACATATCCAAATGGCATCTACATCCGGGAGTTGATAGTACACAACCTTAGTGCACAATGACTTGCTTTTATTATTATCATGAGTCAATCACGGCTACCACGAGGTTTATGAAATTAGGAAAATAGTAATTGCGATAATAATTTCATGGTGGGATTGAGTTGGACAAAGAGAGTGGTTATAAATGAATAAGTTATTTAGTTTTCCCTGTGGATGCCTTGTACAAAGGGATCAAAGGGAGAAAGCAAAGCAAAGTTGGAGGGGTGAGGGCATGAAAAGGTCCACACACACACACACGCAACAGCAACAGTCAATACTCAATAGATTCATAAACTAAATGTATTGCATTGTATGACTGTGCAGTGATTGGGTTGAGTTCCAAAATGTTGGTCTTTCAAGTGATAAATCCCGAATAATAGAGAGAGAGAAATAAATGCATACGAAAAGGGCAGTTATTATGAAGCAGTGGTTCTAATTTTCGGGCTTAAACTGAGGGGACACCACCACACACCATCGGAGAACTAGTCTCGGTTGACTGAAACGTGGATGATGCTGATGGCCCAGATGTTGGCTGTGAATGATGAAGAGATGATGGTCGGCGGTGGTGGTGGTGATGGAGCGAGGAAAGGAAGGAAGGATGTGATTGGGGAAAGGACGACACAAGGAGCAAGCCTCAACAATTAAGAGAATTAGAAAGTCCCGTGGGGGTTATCCGCCCTCTCGATTAACAGATCATGTTTCCATCCATCCTGATCATCTGATCTCTGATAGATACAAAAATGAACGTATTCAGATACTGCCACTTTCGTCCCATTTATTTATTTCCCCATTTTTCCTCGCTCCGTGCTCCAAAAACTTAATTTAATAAAGACAATGTTTCATCCATCCCAGTTCATTCCTCATTCAGAAGATGCCTGCTATTCCCTGGTTTGACAGCAGAGAGAGAGAAAAAAAGAAGCAACGCCAACGCCAGCTCACGTGTTAACCCAGATAAAATAATCCAGCCAGAAATGAACCTCCCATGAAATCATGATCATCATTATATGTGATGGTCATTGCTGTTTCACATCACGCAATTTCTCGTCATAATAAAATCAAAAGATTTCGTTATTGTCACAATGGGGCGACGTGAGACTTTTCTTAAACATAAGTATCAATTCTACGATGCCATCATCATGTACGTATTATAGGCATCACTTATAACACTATATACGCATGACCAGTAGCAGTGTAACCTTTGGCACTCTTATCGGATCTCTAAAGCAGATTGTTCATTAGTTTTCCATGTTCATTTCCAAGGAGCAAGAGAATCCATCCTTTCTCATCAGCCTGATTGACTGGCTCCCCAGAAGCTCAACTTTCACTCTCGACACTGTCTTTCTTTCAATCTTGTTAAGAGCCACCACACTTTGTTGTGCTGTGGTAATTTGCACAGTTCTAATTCCTCCTCAAAGCAGGCAGCAAGAGAGAGAGAGAGAGATCAGAAGGAGAAGGATTGATGAGGTGAAGCACAAGACCTGACAAAATTAATAAAATCTTTGAAAGCCATACAACAAAAACCACACCTTTCTCCGAAAGAAAGTTTTCCCTGCTTGTGAAACTGTAATAGAATCCCGATCTTCTCAAACTTTTGATTCTATTGCAGATTTTTGAGAGCAAATGTTTTGATTGGCAAAATCATTCAGGAGCAAATAAGACCTGAAGGAAAATCTCATTAAGCCATGTAGCTCACTTTAACACTTTCACTTTGTTTTTCTTTTCTTTTCTCACTCCGTCTCCACTCATCCATCCTCCTGCCTCATCCTCCTTTTGGCCATTACCTCCGTGGACTACTAAATGACTTAACTCACTTTGCTTAACTTTTACTCAACCATTTCCACACAATCTACCCTTTCCAGGGTAGATTGTCAATAGAAGGGAATTGAGATGTGTTGCTCCAGAGAAGCGTGTTTTCCTCCATAAAACGCACAGGGAGTGGAATAACACTTGACAGAGTTCAGGAAATTAGATAAACTCACCGAAATCCGTTTTCGTTGCCCATTTCTGCCAAATACCAATCAACTAACCAACTGTACCACCAACTGTCGCTAACAAAATATTTCCACAGCTTCCATCTAAAACATAATCGGTTGTGACTGTGACAAATATATACCAATGAAGATACTTGTTCATATATATAACCCTTTACACGGTCAGATTCAAGCCCTTTACTTACACAGTCTGGCAGTCTAATAATAATTTGCTGTTAATATTTGCAGGAGAAAAGCCTTTCAAGTGCATTTCCTGTGGAAAAGCGTTTTCACAATCCTCGAATTTAATCACCCATTCAAGAAAACACACTGGATTTAAGCCGTTCGCGTGTGACCTATGCGGTCGCGCTTTTCAACGAAAAGTTGACCTCCGAAGGCACAGGTATTTGAGATTCATATTCAGCAGACACACACTACCATTCGTCCTTTCAACCGAATTGACTTGTGCATTTGTGCTTAAGACAGTCAACTAACATGTTGGTGGGTCACTGATTCCTTTAGAGAGACGCAACACAACGGAGTTTCAGCCAATTTTCTGAGCAATCTTCACACCAACCCTCAACCAATTCCGTAACACCTCACTTCTCTCTGGTTCATTCAATCAACAAACTAAACTAACCATAAATATAGTGTCACTTCATAATTCAAATTAATTATCTCAATGTCATTCCGCACTACACAGTCGCAAATCTTTTATGCCTGCACTTGAAACGTATAACAACGTTTATTTATCCATAAGCCAAAGACTAATTACCTTGAAATAAAATCATAAAATGAGTGTAACAAAACTGATTCTGTGTATAATCTTATATTCAATTTATTTGGCATTACATCATTAATAAAATTTGCGTTTTATCCTTCACTGAATTTCGCTTTGAAATCGAGATCGTCAAAATCACATATTTAGTTTGTCACTCCTTTGAGCCGCAAGCCAACCACGGTTGAAGGAAATTAAATAAGTCAGAAAAAAGTTTCTTTTTTGGGAGAGCAGGGGATGAGTTTTCCAATCTAGTAAATGTCTTGATCTGGTTTACATCTAAAGCGATGGATCTCATTAAATATTAACGAAGCTAAATGTGGTTTCGCTAAAGTCATCGTAAATATATCATCCGTCTAATCTTTCTCGTAACTGCGTATTAAAGCAGATGAGAGACACTATTACTAAACATTTACGACTCCCATATCATGGAACGAGCGAGGAGAAAAATTTTATGTATATGTAAAATCGTGGGGAAGGTTTGGTGGGGACAGAGAAAGAAAGAACCAACCTGGATCGGTCTGGTATCTAGACCGATAGTGAATTCGTATGAACAATGTCTGTAATTAGTTTCTTTTATTAATATTTTTACAGATATTTAAATGCAATTTAAAAATATTAGAATTATTTGATACTATTAAGTATCTGAGTTAGGGCTTGCCATATGCACATATATACATATGTACCTTTGGTCGTGTCATAGTATATATTTGTGTAATCTTATTCTCCATGAGATCAGTATAAATAATGCAATTTGGACATTATTTCTATAGTTGATGTCTTTTAAAGTGTTTAAATTGTGTCATGGATTAGCTTCTCGTAGTAGAATTTGAACGTCTACTCACGAAGGGCACGAGGGATTGAAGGAATCGTGGAATTGAATCTTGAGCATTTACATCACATTAAAGGGGAAAGAGAGAAAGGCAAGATCCGCCTCAATTGCATGCTTCCCCGTCCATCCGAACTGACTGGTTGAGGAGGAGGCGAGTCGAGAAAAAGAAAGCTATTCCCCTTATTTTGCAGTTCTCTCACGTATTTCCATATAAAATAATAACTTTCTGCTTAAAACTTGCTTGTTTCTCAACTTGAACATAATTCGATATCCGCAGTGGGACTTGTATAACTTTCTTTTATTTTGAGACAAGCTCAACCGCCTCTGCAGCCATAAAATCCTGGAAAGAGTCTCTCTCTCCGAATAACGTAGATTGCAGCAGAGGTTTCATTTATGTGTCCTCAAACTCTCTCCGCTCTCTTTCGAGTGGTGAGGGTGGTGGCAGCCGTGTATTTCCAGGTATGCTTTTCTCGGCTGTCACACCATCCTCCCTTTCCGTTCAACTTTCCTACAAACTTTCTTTCTTCTTGACAAATGAAGAAGGGCTACCCTGTTACAAAAGTTAAGCCCTCTCTCCATGACCCAGCTCATTTATCCGAGTGAATATGCAATGAGCTGCCTCACCCAGCGACCCAAACCTCGCAACCAGTCCACCAGGTATCCAACTGGATATTTATCCAACTCGAGAGGAAGGAAAAGAAGAAGGATGGTGGATTTACATGAATCTATTTGTTGTTGTTGTAGCCCCGACAAGGCAGGCAGGCTGTGCATAACAAAGGGCGAAATATCTAGCAGGAAGACAGAGTTGCCTTCCATGTCCATCCATCCATCCCTCTCACTCATTTTGTTAGTTTTATCCGTGTAATAATGAGGATTATGAAAAGTCGCTTCTAATTTACTTAATGAAATAACAGAGCGTAATGGTAGTAAAAATGGTACAAGTGGAGCAGCTCTTCATAAAATATTAATAGTCTCATTAAGGATGTTGAAAATTAGTCGAATCCATTAAGTAAGTCCGGGTAAATATTATTACGAAAGGGTCTGCCTGCCTCGTCGCCATAATTTAGTACTGCTTTTGTTACTACCTCACTTTTGTAGTTTTGCCATAATAATATCATGGTCACAAAATGCACTAAATAAACCAGAATGGACAGACAGGCGGAGAAGTTGGGAGAAGAAGACTCCCATTTTTTCATTAGACCCGTCTGCCATCATGCCACCTAAAATATAATCACCAAAAATTAAAAATTGCATTATTAATCAAGGCATAACCATCTCTCTCTCTATCTCTCGCCGGAGGAGCAGGCATGCGAAACAACTTTACTCGCGCAGTATTACGATCATGCTGGAAAGGGTTGAATGCCAAAATTCCATACAAGGCGAGAGAGTCACTACTAATTCACCGTAATGCCATTACACATCCAGAGATACCATTCTTGCCATGGAATAAATGCTCATATTCTTATTATCTACGTTCGTACGTAGCAAGCAGTACAGCCTACAAGAGCAAGTATGCACAATGGGAAAGCAGTGTGGGGAAATTCCCAATTACATTAGCATCCACTCCATTCATTTATCAATTCTTCCCACTCCTTTCCTTGCATAATTCCACATTTTTTAATCATTAACTCCCAATCCCAGCATCATTTATTATCTCGAGAGTATAAAAAACAAAAGTTTGCTTTCTTGTTTCTAATCTCCTCAGAATGAACCTTTGCAGAGTAGGTGTTGGTAATATTTTGGTATTTGAGGGCTGGTTGGGCAAGTGAATAAATAATAGTGGACATCAGCAGCAATGCAGTCAAAATTCTACCGCGATTCAACAGTTGAGCGTGTGGATGATTAAGCTCGTAAGTAGTAACCCTTTTGTCACTCGGTTGTGGAGGAGAGTGGGAAGAAAGGGTGAAAGTCAATAAGAGAAATCTATTACAAAATGTTCCTCCTCCGTAATAATGGGAGCCAACCCTTGTTAGTCACTGAAACTGAGAACTAATGACAGTTGTTGAATTGGTGGACGACGACGACGAGGGGTTCAGTCCATAAACATGCGTTTATGGATTGAGGACGATAGCTACAAAGTATATCTCGTCACCCTCTTTTTGTATGCAGCTATCTACTCCTAAACACTGCTTGGCATATGCTGGGACACGGGGAGCAAGTTCAACCTGATGAATTTGATTTGGAAGAACTTGGTTTATGATGATAAGTACTCGGACATTAATAGAATAAAATCGACCTCCGGAAACGAGTTAATTTCGTGTTGTTGACACATACATGAATGCATACGTGTAGGGATTGGAGTTAGAGGAGACATTGTGTGTAAAGTGTGCATGATTGGATTGGAAATGAAGAAATGAAGGTGGGTGAGCAAACAGGCGAGGACGGCGACGACGGTGGTGGAGAAAACCAAATAGAAGCACTCGTCGTAAAACAGGGAGTAATCATGGTAAGAGGCGAAACCTGAGAGAGAAATCATAAAGGCTCACGTGCAGCAGGAAATGATGATGGTGATTTCGCGTAGTACTAATTATTGAATTTTTAATGTTGGACGAAACATGTTTGCTTGAATAGATTACTACATATTCGTTGTGGGGAGACAAACTGCTCAACTTTTAGTGTTCATTCATTCTGACCATGCACATTGGCAAGATCGTCCAATATCATTGTACATGCATACAGCAACAGCAGCAGTAGGAGCAAACAGCCAGCCAGCCAGCCATAAAAACAAAGAAATCGGATGCTTTCCCCAAGTCTCGCAGAGGAAGAATTGCACTGATAGAAAAAGGATGGGTCGTATAAATTCCTTGCGAAGTAAATGATTGTTGTTGAGTTGAAGCTGTCCGTCCTCTGTGTTTAATATCTCGGAGAAATAAAGGAATACAAGAGTTGAAATGCTAGGATTGTGTCGGAGAAAGAGAGAGAAAGAGGTCGAGAGAGGAGACCATGATGGTTGGTATTAAATAAAACTACTCTTCTGCACTATGGATGTACGCAGTCTGAGAAGAGTTGGTATTAATACAGTTTTGGAGGAACCAGAGGAGAGTCGAAACCTCGGCAAGACGTGTTTAAGATTTTCTTAATAATGCCACTGCCACTGCTGGGGTTATTTATGGGCTAGTCGGCATGCAATTATGCGAAAGAATGCATGGAAAAATATCTGGATATGAAATCCGCACCACAGTCAACAGTGGAAGGAAGGGAGCGAGGGGGACTGGCCCTAAAATTTGGATCATTAAACCCTGGAATCACGCAGACAGTAGAGAATCTGATTAAAATAATTGCCATCATTGCCATTCTCCTTCTCTCTGCGAGCCCATGACCATTCCTCCCAGACTTTCGAAACGATTGATGATCTTTAATCAAAATCAATTTTTACCAGTTTACACTTTACACACACTAATCTAAACTTAACCATCATCGTCATTCTCCTCTGTTTATAGACACTCTTAACAAGGATTGAAGCCATCTCTCTCTCAAGTGGTTCAAACTGGGCAGGGCTCACCCATCCATTTAGTATCATTAACAAAGTTTAATCAGATTATGTGCACGTCAAAGACTTTCACCTAGCAAATCTTAAATGAATAAATTTCTTTCGTGAAGATTTATATGTGAGGTACACATAAATAAATCTAGTTACAAACGGTTCTAAATCTTTATAAAGAATAAAATAGTGGATTTCACACAATTTTTGCAAAAAACAGCCATCATTGCATCACGTAGGATTATTCCTAAATTGACACGTGTGTACTCCCGTCTCGGTCCCGATTGACTGCAGGGAGCAGTCAAACTAAAGTCAACATGAGACAAATTAAGTCAAAAAGTACATTATTGTAATAGGAGTGGAGAAGATTGAAGGTAGCAAGTCAAAAGTTGAGCTTGTCTGTTTGCTCAGGCAGCCCATTGCCACTGCATGCATGGCATTCTCGTCATGTACGTAACACGCCCACTTATCAAATACAACCGGTGTTGAGAGCATTGCGGATAGCACTTCTTGAAAGTGAAAGGTGGGAAGGGCAGCTCAGAGAGTGCATGCACATGTAAATATATATCCGCACTAGACTTATATATCTCGTGTATACGTGTACACGAGAGAACGAAGATCAAGAGGGAATGCGCGAGGAAAATGTTATATCCGATTTGTAAAAATCAAAATGATTGCTTGTAATCAATTCCAAGATGGATTGGTCTGGTTGAGCTGAAGTTTCCTGGTTGGTTGTGGTATATGTAGCGGTGTAGAAGAGCATGAAAGCAAACATCCTGGATCCATCCGGTAATCTTGGGGATGGACGAGCAAAAACCCATCAGTCTCTCTCTTAATATCCTCTGAGAGTTGAGAGTTCCTTCCACCCTTCAAATGTGAAATTCAAGATGACCAGCACTGGATAACCATCAACAGCATCAGCATCACGTTGTTATTATGTGTATGCTTGTATATAGGACTATCCAACGCAGTCCTGCTAAAGCCTATCCGATTCCTATATGAAGTACTATGTCTGATGCTTTAATATGCTTTTCACTCCATAATCATATAGTTCTCAACTCAAAACCTAGCACATACATTTTGGAGCAGGGAAAGTGTACGACAGAAAATCCTCTCATCCTCTCATCTTCACTTTCCTTCATTTCACTTTCACTTTACTTTGCTCCGTTGCCCAAAGAAGGAGAAAAAACCAATCCTTCTTAGCACTCGATAATACGAACAAATCAAGCCAAATGCCCAATCCTACCAGGGAAGACGTAGTGCAGTGCTAGCGTAGCTCGAGGTTTCGTAATTTCCTATATATAGCCTTCCTCCTACTCGACTGCTCCTCAGAAAAGAGAGCAAGAGTCATAGTCGTGGAAACACGTTTGAGCTTTGAAGATCAACATCTGGCAAGATTCCTTCTTTTCTTGACATAAGAAAAGGACCAAGAAAATCTAAATTGAAAGGAAGAGACAACGAGAAGAAGAGGAGAAGGAACGGATTCGTGGAACCAGATCCCAACCGACGGACCGGAGAAAGGCAGTATTTTCCTCCTCCCTTGACTTGTACATATTTTCTCTCCTTCTTGTGGTTTTGGATTGTTTCCACTTTCTCTTCCAATCCTCAAGACAAATCGTTAAATGGTCAAAAGAAAACGAATTGCTGGCAGACAGATGGGAAGGAAGGGACGCACAAGGCTGCTATTTGACTGCTTCATGCATGCGATCAGCCCTCGAGAGGTTCTTGGAGAGCAAAAATATCAACAACAACAAGTAGAACGATGCATGTCAATCCCTTTAAGCATTTATTTCTTCCCATGAACTGAATGGAGCTGCTGCTGGACTGACTGAGCTGAAATCCGACCAAATTCCAATCCAACCCCCCAACTGGACCCAATTCTCAAATACCACGTCATGGTCTTTGCTTCCCTACTGAACTGCATGCCCATCATCGTCGTCAGCAGAGTCACGCTAATCCCCAACGAGCCGTTTTTCTGATCACAGGCCCACATCATCATCATTAATTATTCAGATGTAGCCCAATCTCATCATCTATTAGGTTTGCTTCTGGCGAGGCAGGATCCGATAGGTTCGATCCGCTTTGAAAACCCGTTACAATAATAATAGATTCGCTCCACAAACTGATTCTCTATTCGTCGACTTACCAGCAACTCAACTATGCAATCCGTTTAACCTGGTGGAGCATCTTCTCTGTTGGACGTTGACTCTGGTCTGTTGCTGCTGCTGCTGCTGCTACTCACCATCCTCCACCAAATCAATTACACACGCGACGACTTTCTCTACTGAGCTTAAGCGGCTGCTGACCAGATCAATTTCATGTGCTACCTTCTTAATAATTCAAAACCAATGATTGTTATTCCTCTGCTATCAACGATTTCTATTTCGTGTAGCATGCACTATATTTTAAAGAACAATGTAAAATTGGTCTATTCTTGAACGCACTGGGATATGCATGTGCATAAAAAGCTTAACTGTTTTTATGGCAGAGACGTACAAAATCTGTCTGTAGTAAATTATGTCATGCTTTCAAACAATAGATTCCCCCACAAAAAAATGTGTAAAGTAATTGTAAAACTGTCCCGAAAATGTGTACCTATGTCATATGTGAAAAGCGGGTATGAATTGGGTTTCCTTCTTTCAGTCGAATGACGAAGGGATTCCATCTATTTATACATGACAAAATGGTCAGTTTGTGAAATGCCAAAGTGAGAATTCCCTTGGGGATTCTGACGACTAACGGGATTGCTTCATATTGTCAGACTGCTTATGTACGTACTCACGTACATATATACGCGTATGTTGTAAATATTTTTTATCATCTCCAGATTTGTAATAGCAAAGTTGTATTAATTTGTCATCATGAAAATACATATAAATGTCGAGATGTAGATGGGAAAAAATTGTGGACAAAAATGGTGAAACTAAAGTACGTTCACACAAAAATTGATGTACGCTAAACAATAAAAGTATATCTCCCTTGCAAGGATCTCGATTAAACGATTGGTCCAAATTAAATGGAGTGAAAAGTGCCAGTTGAGAGAATTAAATTTGGTGAAACAGGAATCCATCGAGTCGTACGTAGTCAGTCAGTGGGAGTCGTGTGTGAAAGCACAATTTCTGAGAGTCAAGTCGTCCTGCTTTGACTGCCTGCATATTTTACATCCCAAGAAAAGAGAAAGACAAATTGAATTTGAGTATGTGGAAACACAGGGGAAAAGATGCTAAGGACGTGAAAAGGCCAAATTCAATTTACACTGCATAAGCTTTCACTTGAAAGCTGTACTCACTCACTGCCACTTTGGGAAGCAGAGAAAGAAAGTGAATACGAGCCGCACTGCCACCACCACCAGCACATCAGTTTGCTTTGCTAGATACACAGTTGGTCCTTTTCCTCTGATCCACCTACCAAGTCCATTTTGCAGTCGTGGTGGTTGGTTGTATTCATATCTCCAGTTGTTGCAATCCAACTGACAAATGCCTTCAGCTTATTTTTAACCATCTGAAGATCTTCCTCAATGAAACCATATTCAACGAGTTAGCTAGAGCTGCGCGACTCTGTGCATATACGGCACAGGCGGCAGGATAGTGGAGGAATCCCAGGAGAGATGGGGAGTTTAAGACTAATTCTCACTTTCAGAGTGAAAATTTGCTATTTTATTGCTGAATGTGGTAATGTGACTCGAGTATGTATGCAGGAGTATTCATTCAGTCTGAACTTTTCCCATCCATCCATCCGTTCGTAAACCAAAGATGGAAATGTGGAAAGAAAGCAAGGGACGAGGTGAGGTGAGAGAGATTGGAGATCAAGATGTAACAATTTGGTGGTGGATAAAGGGAGAAAGAGATAAAGAGAAGGAAATGACTAGCAGGGAGTAATATAATGTCGAATGGGTCCCTCCACATGAGAACCATGAATAAGAATTGCTCTTCTGCCTCCAACAACTTTCTGCGGAAGAGGAGACCAAGTTTAGGTGGTGGTGTAGAAAATTGGGCGTATCGATGGGGCAGTTAGGAAGGAAGGGGTTACAGACGTACGAACATGGATGTGTAAGAAGAAGGCACTGATCGGAATAGATATTAGTTGGAAAGAGAGCAGGGATCGCATAAAAAAGAGTTTGAAGAAGAGAAATGCGGACTACGTGATTATTTAAAGTAGATCACATGAGAGATGAGATAGTGGTCGGGTCGGGATGATTTGATCCCTTTATTTTGGGGTCGGGATGGATAATCATTAGGATTCATTGGGAAATTCAATTGAAGAGAGAGAGTGAGATAGAAGATAGAGCTGGGGAATAGGGAGAAAGGGAAACGACTCCCAACAGATTAGGCAATACCGATAATCCGAGATCCTGCTCAAAAAAGTGAATGTCCCTTCGTTTGCAACACATTCACCCGACAGAGTCAGAGCCACACGAAAGCAGATGAGGATTATCCTTCCTATTACAGGCACTATTCCACCACCAACAACTCATACAGTGGGATTCAATCCGTGGGGATATTTTTCATGCATATGAACGATTCCTCGACTTGACTCTTTGCTCCCGTGTCGGAACGTAAAATAAATATGCTAAAGCCTTCCAGCCCTTCCTTTCCAGCAAATTCAATTTTCTTCAAACATCATGCACCAAAGTGCACAAAGAGAAATATTTCATGTGTAAAACACCCTCACGCCAGGACATGGAAAAATGACCTTACAACCCTGTCTCAAATCCAATCACAAAAACTATATCCATAACTTTCACCATCAGAGACAGGCCGAGTCACACCAACCACCAGGTCGCTCGTTTATCGCATAACTTCTTTTCCTTGGGTAAATTAGAAAACAAGTAAAACAATCGAGGACAAAAGAATAAAAGTTATACAAATCAGATGTATTAAATTTTATATGGTCCGTCCTTGGATTAAATTAACACTGATTCAGCTAACACTAATGCATACAAAAACCATGTATAGAGACAATAATTAATTTCTAATCTGTCACATGTAAAAAGAATAATTACCTACATAAGTACTACTTATATAATTTAGCATTATTATCTATATTTTGATTGCTTCGGAATGTCTACTTATGTCAGCTTTGTAGTCTTCTATTGTTGTTGTGGAGCGTGGACCTGCTTCGTCTTCTTCTTGGAATTAACTATGACCGTAGGCATTAGCTTTGATGTCGACGCCTTGGGACTTCGTCTCTAAAATATAGTAAAAACACGGTTCAGCACAAATGAATTGTTATAAAATCAAATATTTAGTCATTTGTTGTATACCAGCGACAAAAACTGAAACGCTAATTTGCGATCAGGGCGACGAATAACTCCCCAGCAAATTAGGGTCGAAGACATCATACCAGCTGCGAGTTTCGCCAAATTCGTGTTGCAGGGCATGGTCGTTCGGTCAGTCATATCTTCGGCAATACCGTTGGGTATTTTAATCGAAGCCGGAAAGTCCTTTGGATTACTCATCTGGTCATCGAGCTATAGAAATAAATTTGCCATTACTTATCCCTACTTCTATGTAACTGTTTAATATTAATTCTAGACAAACTTACCATGCTTAGATTCAACTCCGGAATTACTTTACCCGCGACTATACTTTCAATCTCCGGGACAATTATGTCAAAGTTAGAGTGATTAATGGTTCCAATAAGTTCCAATAAATCGCTAATGTTGATATCGTCAGAACTCATCTTGGGTCATAAAATAAACAATTGTCAACATTGAAATCAAACAACCCTTATCAGTTACCCACCTAAGACCTATTAATTTACACGAACTCTTTCTTACCTTTTGAATTTAAAGATAGGGAGATATGGAATAGAACAAGCCCTAAACAAGTTGTAGTTGGATTATTGTGAAGGGGGATATTCCTATATTATTTTCCAAAGTTATGTCACAAAATCAGTAAAATTAATTTGGTTAATAAAACGGGACAGAACGGAAGAGTCTGTCTGTTTATTTAAGTAATTCTGGAAATTAAAACAATTTTTCAATATTTTTTGTCAGCGAAAGTAAAATCAACAACGTGAACGTTTAGTAAAATCAGTGTAAACTACAAAATTAAAGGGCCAACGAGGACTGACGACTGACTGACTGAACCACTACTGGTGATGATTGAGTCAAGATGAGACGTGACTCGCTGCTTGCTAGTCTCATTTTCATAATTCTACATGCTATGCAAATGAGCTGACGCTTGTTTCGTATCATGAAATGACTTGTGTGGATTTTTTTAACCTTCAAAATAGACTAGAAAATATGTTGTGATTAGCAGGTAGTTAGTTGTAATTATATAGATAAATACAATAAGATACCAATAATATATTTTTTGATGTGGGTACGACAATTTACGAAAATTTACAAGCATTTACAAATTTTAGTAGAGAGCTCCTTCTTCCATCTTTCTGGGAAAAAGGTCATCATTTGGAAGGGAGAAATGACCAAACCACCCTTCGTGAATTGCTGTATGGATCGATAAAATAAATTCGGGTGCTGCATTTCACATGGAGGAAGGGTAGGCTTCCAACCTACCCGATTGTATTTTGTACCCACTTTTCCCCATCGTCACACGTTACAAATAAATATATACCTTTCAATTTTCTAAAAATTTAACTCCTCACTAATTAATTTGATACCTATCGAATTATGGACACTAGCATTTACAGCAAACCTGACATGGAGTTGTTGGAGTGGGAACTTGGCTTGACTAACAACGATTTACGAGCTCATGCTTGGTAATTATTTAAAGGTTATTGTTATATTACTTAACGAAATGATAACCTATCAGAAAAATGTTGTAAATCATAGGTATCACGGAAATATGCCAAGGAATCTAGCGGAAATATTGTTGGAAGAGGATGGTGAATTTTTGGTGCGAGATTCTAGCACTTTTGCCAGGTCCGGGGACTACGTCCTTAGCACAAAATGGAATGGAACCGTTCTGCATTTTCTTATCCACAAGGTGAGGTTTGATAAGCAAGTTGTATATTTTAATTCAAAATCTATGGTAAATCTCGTACAGGAAGTTCTTCAACCAAACACTATCTATGAACAACTTGGATATCGTTTCGAGAACGAGAGCTTTACTACCGTACAAGATTTAATCACATATTATGTTGGAAATCGTGAGCCAATTTCACACCGTTCTGGAGCTATCATCAGTCAACCAAGGACAAGAGTTGTTCCAATCTCAAGGAAAGATAGGATTAATCTACCTGAATCCCTGGATTATGCAGAGTATGCATCTATCGCTCAAGAAGCTGCTAGACAAGTTCTTCCTGTTGAAGCTCTGCTAATTGAAAAATCATTCGTTCCGGAAGGAATGTATAATAATGTGGCATTGAATTTGAAACCTCCACAAAATCTGCTTGAAGATCTTCAACATGTTCCAGACAAAATTAAAAATCTCGACGAATATCTGAAATGCGTCTCACTTCAGCCACCTTCGAGTAATGTCGCTCTCGGAAGTAGTAACTTTGATCTGACCACTTTCTCCAGCATATTGCTCCCTATGAATATGGAAGAGGTCACGATGAATCCCAATGTGATTGAGGTATTAAAATAGATTACATTTTTAACGTTTATTGTCAATCAATGAGTATATTTATGTTGCTTAATGTTTTATGGGTCACATAATGTTTTTTTGTTTAATAGCAAATCAACTCGAGAATTTTGGAAGTGTCGGACCGAGTGATGGCAATAACAATAACGTCCCTGGATATGAAAATTTTGAAACAGGAGCTACTTCAAGAAGATGATAACGAGGACGAATCACCTGCTTCTTCTGAGCTGGATCCCAGTACTACAACAGCAAACAAGAGAATATTGAAAAGAATTTCTGAACATGTTTTAAGTGAAACAGAATTCCGATGGAATCACGTCATTGAAAGATCCCTTACGTTTTCTCATTTCGTAGCGGTGACTGTGCTCGGTGCACAAGTGCGAGAAGATATGATCTCCAAGTGGGTCGGAATTGCTCAAGAACTGAAAATTTCAATGGGAAATTTCTTTTCATTATTTGCCATCATGAGAGGGCTCACTTGCACGAAACTCAGTTCGATGGATGGTCCAGTGGATTGGATGAAGTTGAGACGAAACTATACAAACTCTGCCTTTTTATTTGAGACTTCCTTGAGAAACACATATCACAAACTATTACAAGGTATAAATATCTTAATCCTCAATTAGCACTGTTTCTTTAAAGTCATATGTATTTTTCCAGGGACAGAGTCATATCCACCGAATACAATAATTCCAAACCTTTTGACAATTAGTTTGATTTTTGAGGGGAATACAGATCTGTTGCCGTCATTCAATTGCTGTTCAGAAGAAGACAAGCTCAAGATGACGGTTGCACATTTGAAACAATTTTACACATTTTCGTGTTTTGAAGACACCTATAATCGTAACTGGGAAAGAGTGCAGAATGAGAGCAATATTGCCCCAGATATAATTTTGACTGATATATGTCGTACTGAAACTCAACTTCTGATTTTGTGGGGCATTAAATACAATTCTAGTTCATTACTAGAACGATGCAAAGAGTTTGATAGTGCTTTTGTATAAAATATAAATCATGGTGACATTGTTTTCCATTAAATAAGCATATATCTGCATTATAAAATAAACAATGGGAACGGTGTAAAATGGTATAATTTTATTAACGGAACCAACATGTTGATACACAAGCAGCAATAAACATATAACATCAATACAATGAATAGTTATCTATTTTGTTGACCAGAAATAATCACTACTGTTGTACACAGTTAAAGTTATACGTGTATGTACATATGCACATATATGTGTAAAATAATAATACTACAAGTTTTGTAACAATTAATTATCCGGGTCGTCGGTCGTGTCGCCTTCTAGCAAAATTCGTTGATCTGCATTTTTCTTATGCCCTTTTGAAGTTTTCTTTTTCGTTCGTCTATTCGTAACGCCGTCTGCCTCGTCCATCATTTTTATGATTTGGGTCTGATCAGTTTGATCACAGGGAGCCACAGATATATCTCGAACAGCTCGAAATTTACCACAATTGTTCAGCTGCATACGCAATTTTAGGTCGTCAAAAATTAATTAAACATCAAAAAATTTAACCTAATGTGACATATTCAGAGACCGGACAACTTACATGTTCGTTTTCTAATCGAAAGAAATTCCACACAAATCTAAGATATATGAATACAAGAGTTTTGTTTATATAAATACATGAATTTCGTAACCATTATTTTTCAAATATTAATATCTACGGACTAACCTTCTGAACACTTCAAGAAATGCCAAAATTGAGACCATCGTATCGCCAAAATCAAAACCCATTTCTTAAAAAGAATTCTTCATTTTAAAAATTAAGTGACCATTTTGGGAAATCCTTTTCATAGTAAAATAAATTACCAGTTAATGAGAGGGATATTGCCCAACCAAACCGTAACAGTAGATCCTCTGTCATCGCAAAGTAGTAATAACCAGGGGATGAGTACACAATCTCCTCACGCAGACACCTTGCAAATAATAAATTCTATTAGTATTATTAGTAATTTCTTTTTACTCAAAATGTTAGGGACAGATTATTTTACCAATGCTCCGCATTTTTATCAAATAAACCCCAATCCATTTTTAAATCCCACACGTATGCTAGATTTTTAAATAATCATGTAATTATTTTTCGTCTCGTGACCGAACATGCACTGGTTGATATTTTGTTTTTGATAATGCACAACTAACCATACAAGGATGATATCACAGATGCCGCAATCCAGAGGAAGAAAAATATATTCAATTCCATTCTATTTTGTTCTACATATAAAAATGGTCAAAATCAAAATTTTAGATGGCGACATTAACAATTCAATATACAAAATACTCACGTGTTCGATAATGTACATTCAAAGTTGCGAATAGGACGACAAAAAACGTAGTTGAATACTTTCCAGCATTTGCCTGTGACATAATTTTTGTAGTGTAATTATTGTTTGACGAGTTTAAATATAATAAGTACTCACCAAATGAGGAAAGGCTTCCTTGCTATCCCTGTAACGTCGAAGACATTGTGCCTGTTGAGGAACACAAATAATGCAAGTGTACCGAAAAATATAATAATTTGTTGAAATAAAAGCCTGTTTGATTGTTCTTTGCATCAGACTCACAAAGCGAAACCAAGCCGGTAAAGCTGTGACAAAGGGACGGATATAAAAGGACTGGTCAATGCACTTGTCCGCTTCTAACAATTAAGAAAATCATGTTATATTTTTGTCTACATAAATGAATATTAATTTACCATTAGCATGTTCAAAATCCCCCTCTGATGTTGCATAAAAACAAATTAAATACTGAAAATCCAAAAAGATTTCAAATCATTTAAGTCATGAATGTTTGTGAAGTGCTTGTCTAAAATTGAGAATTACCTGAAAATCCAGGAGTACAGGAACCAAGCTGTTTAGCTGATCCGCTATATAGAATAGCAAAGAATTGTAATATGAACTCGATTACGAAAAAGTAAATCATTAATTGAAGGATCTAACCCAGCCAGAAATCTGCAAATCCAACGTGAAAAAACGGAGCAGCAACAATATGGCCCTAATAATATAGTTCATTGATTAACCAAACAGTTAGCTAACTGTTTGGTATTTAATCCAGATTATTTAGCGAAACGAAATTACTTACCAAAACGGACAGAACCCAAAAGCGAGCTGTGTAGAGCAAAAATTATAAAGTATCATAATATAGACAAAAAATTATAATCTTGGGAAAAAGTTTCTTACCCTCGTGTCGAAATGTCTTTGTGGGATTTATCATAAAGAATACAAGGATCAGAACGAGTACCAAAGGGTTTGCGTATTTTGGAATGCTCAATGCACTATAATAAATTGGTAACCATAAATTAGGTTGTGTCAATTAATAACTTCCAGATTGCTTAGAAGAACATACCTGGAAAACAGAAAACTTAGAACGCTCAACGCCCAAACAACTCCTGTATATAACATACACTATTAGCACCCACAGAAAATTAGAAAAATTGAAATACAAAGTAAATCTAACCTAGAATGGCAGCCATCTCCATAAGATGCTGGATCATAAGTGTTCAAAGTAAAGATAAATTAAAGGGAATTATTTGATATACTAATAGTAATACTAATAGTTCTAATGGTTCGAATATCCACTGCATCTGCTAGCTGATGTCGTACCTGTTCTGATAGATGGTTGCGCGGATCAAGCTCGAATATTAGGACATGATTTACTCCAGAAGACCCTATTTATATAAATACAAATCAGTAATTAAGTAAGTAGGATAATTATTATCAGCCAATTACTTACTCCACCCATATACGTTGACACCCATAAGAAAAATAAATGCAACCAAAAGCAGTGGTCCCCTGTAGAGTCTTACGATGATTCTCAAATCATCTTCAGATCTTCTATGGAATATGGCTGACAAAACAACTGCAACAAGAAGAACCATAAAACCTCCAGAAAAAAGTCCAACCTAACACACAATAAAATATAATTGACAGAAATTATTATAACGCTTAAGGTCCAGTGAAACAACTAACTTTGAAAGTAGTCCAAGGAGACTGCTGATCACCTGGACGAAGTAATTACAGTTATAATAATTAATTAATTATTTTAGTATATTATAATTAATAATTATTAATTAATTACCTAATGGTGGAACACGCAATCTCTTCATTGCTTTTTGTCTAGAACAATCAAAGAGATTAAACCCACTCGTTTTTAATATGCCACTGATTAATTCCAGTAATGAAATACCTATTTCCACTTTCGAGTTCAAGGGTAACAGTACTTTCAGTATCATTTATCAGTTTGTCAATGTCTTTGTTAGTGTGAAATCCAGCTACATTTAAAAAACATCGATATGTAAAACATTTAGGACAATGTCATTCATTACAGAGTCTGACCAATGCATTTCGTACGACCTAGTCAACAAGTTTACGCTTACCAGTGACGACCTTGTCGTCCCTCCATTTAGCCCCATTATCGTTGCTCATGAGCTTATCATGTTTCTTCAATATTTTTCTGAACCCCGTATAGTTTAAGTTTTGATAATTTTGAAGTAAAATTAAGCTCAAATAGAATTCACTGAAAGCCAACTTAAGATCTTGAAGTTTTCTGATAGGTTCTTTCTTAACTCCGAAAAACTGTACTGCCTTCTCTTTTCGTTTTCGAAGACCACCCATGAGCCCACCTCTATCCGCATCATTATCAGTCCGTAATGAGTCCAGTTCACTGCGAAGGTTTGCATATTTACGTGTAGCTTCCGATAGTTTTTCTATAATTACCATTAGAGGTGTCATAAAATTGTAAAAGCGTAGTATGCAATACTGTGTAATTTGTTACCATTATAAAATGTGTTGATTTTGAGGAGTTCCTTTTCACAAAAATGGAAAAACTGTTCGTCAAATTGTGCGTAGTATCGTCTTGCAACTTCAGGCTCCACCACTTCAGATAATGGTGCTTGCTCAACACAATTGTATAGAAGTGCTTTCATTTCCTATAAAGATCCAATTAGAAATTAGCACAAGTCTGGGAAATAATCTTAGGCAAAATTATACGCATTTGATTGAATTTGAAATTTACCTCATACATAATATACTGCTTTCTCCATTCAGGTGTTACTACTCGAAATAAAAAAAGTATAAATGGATATAAATTAAAGAAGTATGCACAAAATTATCGGTAATTACCGTGTGCAACTAAATGCTCGGCGAACTTCATGGCTTCGAACTTTTTGAGAGGTTTTAGAGATTAGTAAATTGATGCTTCAATCAGGAGTCCTGTGTTCTATAGTGTCACCAGCAATTTGTCTTCTTTCTGACCAATATTGAGAATCTCTATCTAACAGATTACATAACCTAAGATTAATAAATCGAAAAAGTTAGAATTTTGTATGCAATTATATTTACATATGTGTCTGTCCCGTTCATGTGATATAAACAGAACTCAGAAATGTCTTCTTACTCTTGAGAATAGATGAGATTGTTGAGGTGACTACACTATACTTAAATACTTTTTAACTGTAGCGAAAGAGGAGTGGCATACAATATTTAGTTCAGAGTTGGACGGAAGTGTGAATAAATAAATAAATTCAGAATTGTTAAAAACTGCAGAGATCGGAATAAACAATCTGCCACTCAACACATTCACTGCATCGGGCTCCCATGAGACGAGCTTCGTCGTCGAACATGCGTTTTCGAATAGAGTAAAAAATTAAGTTTGTAATTAAATTTAAGACAAAGGCATAAATATTATCGACCTCTTCTTGTAAAATAATGTTTATGTTTCAATGTTTTTAATATGTAGTGTAGTTGTAAGAACAGTAAAACTATGCATAAGAATAATACGAATTATTACGAATAAGTCAAGCAGGGTCTAGAAAGAATGAGAATTTAGCTGGAATTATACAAGTCAGTAATTCGACACACACTGCTAATGTAGCATTTGATATTCCCAGCGTGACTTTATGATTGATATAATAAATAATAATATTTATCAGTAAACCGAAAACAACCGAGCTTATTTTTTACACGTAACAATACTAAAAATTCTTCTCATGCTAACAAATACGACCATAAAACCATTTTGGGAAGGAGATAAGAAAGAGTTGATCGAATGATATGGATATGACGCCGCATGCGTTAATCCGTAATAATTAGCTCTTACTTACATTAACCACATCAGATTCACTATTCTGAATTTCAGACACTGAAATGCATGAAATCTATGATGTGGATCTGAGGACACAGTGATTTCATTTAAAACACAAGATTTAGGATAAAATGTGTTTGCAAATAGACTACTCATCATGGCTCTGCATTAATATGTACTAAAAGATTTTAAAAGAACATGATGGCATGTTCTTTTTCTGTATTCAAATGTCATACTGTTCTCATAAATACATTTATGATGCTTGATTACATTTAGCAAGTTCAATTTTCTTTCTGGCCAATCTTAAAATAGGCATGACCTGAGTTATTGGAAACGGCGAGAGAGAATGGATGAGAGAAGGCCGTTTTGGTCGGAGAAAGCAAAGAGAGGCGGAAGAAGTGTGGAGAAAGTTGCCAGCCGAGCTCCACTTGTCCCAAAGCCCAACTCGGAAATTCAAACTTTTCTCCTCCACTCGACCCAGTTGTCAATTGAATAATAATTTAAGTCACTTATATGAACATCCATTGATATCAAAAGCTTTTAGTCTCTAGTTAACAGCAGTAGCTGACATGTCCAAGAACGTGTAAATACATAACGTCGTAGTCAGGAGGGAATGGTTGTTGAGTATGAGATAGATGACATTCAAACGCACAATTAGTATTTCCGTCAATATTAGATATTCACACAACAGTGGACTTAATTAATTAATTAATTAAGACTTAATTAATTAGTTCTCGGATCAATCAACATTCAATTGATTATTATAATTAAGTATTTTCTGTGCTAGTCATCGAGAGACAACGATTTATATCAGGCCGTTTGTCTTTCTTTTAAAGTGTTCAACTGCTAATTAATTAGATTGGGCTGCCCACACCGATGCTAATTTATTTACTACAGACATTTGCGGAGTTCATCTTAAGGTAAGAAAGACCCATGGCATTTAAGTGCACTTAACGATTTAGTTAATTCATGTGATTATAAACCTCATGCATTTTAAAATTTGCATTTTAAGAAATTATGGGGCTGTAGGCTGTATGCAAAACATTTTCAATATGCAAGGCGTTTTAGCAGAAATTGGCATATTAAGATGAATTGAGGCCATTATTGCGCAATCAATTATACCGGAATATTGGTTGATGATTGCATTCGGTCCAATTACATATACGCCTTGGGCTAAATAGGCAGCTACCAATTTAAATTACTGTTTTGTATTTCATCTATGATAACGCTTGACGTAAACGTTCATAAATTTGAGTTGCCTTTCTATCTGCCAATCAATCGAATCGATTTATAGTGATCGATGAATCGTGACCCCAATAGCTTTGCGACTCCTCGTTATTCAATCCTCTTACTGTTTATTAAGTTTGACGGTCACTATCGTTGGACCGTCATTTGTAAAATAAAAATGTAGTTTGAGGAGTTACCAATTACTGTCTAACATGTGCAATTAGACTGTTTAAATAGTCATCACCTATTATCAATTATAATAATAATTAATTATAATATAGTAATATACATATATTTGTTCTCACTGTGGTTTCCACATAAAAATAGCATTTTCCTCTTTACCCTCATCATGTCATCATTTATAAATATTATGAGCACCGTTTTATTGACTATTAAATAAATACATGCATAGCGAGCTAAAATATTTCATAGAAGGCGTAATTTTCTTCACAAACATCACAAAGTACTCTGACGATGAAAATAATTCTTGTAAATGACAAACATGCACAAGGCAGTTTTTTTGTGGTTGTGTAAGCTCTTTATTTGTGTTTACACTTAATATTTTGTTATACGTATTATTATTATTATAATGACTTTCCGTGTCTGGTTACTGATTTTAAAGTACAACATGGTATAGTACTGCTGTAAATACCCAAAAGCATCACACGAATGATGCTGAAAATTTCAGCTTATCCTGTGATACATGTATAATTGTATACCATACGGCACCTTTATTCTAGTAAATTTCTTGGTTCTACAATTTGTGAACCCGTCATGCGCCAGTCTAATTATTTATTTATGCGGCGTTATTAGTCAGAATCGGGTTAAAATCTGAGACGTGTCGGGTTATCGTGTGCCTTATCAGAGGCTATGTAGCCATTGCCATCAGCCATTATATCATTCAAACTTATCCGACTAAACTTGGAACTTGGGCCTAAATATTGGTAAGGTAAAGATCGGTCAGCATCGATCTGGTTGGGTTATTGATGCGTAATGCTCGTAGAAGACTTCAATTCGGACCATTGGTCATATTTTCTTGCAAAACTAAATTGTTATTTTGAGTGGCCCAATAGGGTGATAAATATAAACTCCATTTGGTTTTGAAAATTGGTTACATTAATAAGACCTTCTAACGTTTGATCATTTAAATAAGAGACTTTTTTTACATGCAAAGCTTATTGCGGGCAGTCTCTTCTTTTAATGATCAAACCATAATAGTGCATATATTATGTTGAACCCTGGTTCGGGCTATGCAATATGCAAAGCTGTAGGGAGAAGTTTGGTTAAATATGACAAAAGGTGGTTATATAAAGTAATCGGCGTTATATTTCTTGTGGATTAGTTTTCATGTACCACATTATTGTCAGCCAAGTAGTGTACAGCAGACGAGACAATATTATTTGGGTCTGCCTAGTGCCTATGAGCATAATGGTCGAATGTGAAACGTGTTTGAGATTTGTTATAACCTCAGGACAAAAGAAACCGTTAACTACTAAAACAAAAGTGACAGAAAGAAAGAATTATAACGTCCCTTAGCCAAGTATTGTTGCAAATTGCTCTAGGATCATGACCACATTATTACCTCGAATTGCATGTCAGGTTCATGTTTGTCTTTATTGGATTGCATGCCAGGGTGGGGCTTAGAAGTATAAAATGAGTCATTTAAAATTTTAATAGATCCAGTTGTGCCTTACTGCACTGCAAAGTAAGTATAACCTTTAAAGTCAAACGTAGATATGTTGATTCAAGCATACTTTGTAGATAAAATCAAAACCAAGAGTTGAAAGCTAAGCTAGGCTAAGAGTATTTGACGGGGGAGTTGGTTTCAATTCATTCCTACTTGTTGAATAGCATCAGCCTCAACAATTTGAACCGTCTCTCTCTTCACATAGGGTTCAAATCTAAAAAAAATTATTATTTTGTGTTCTGCTTTTCTAATCTGCAGTCAGAGAAATATTGACATCAGCATTCGTATTATTTTTTCAGAAACAGTGGCAAATCCAGCGCAGTTCAATCTACCCAAAAATTGCGAAACAAAAATCCTACAGGGTTTATTTAAGTTAACCTGAAATTAAAGCAGCCAGAAGTCCGAAAAGTTAATCATTTCACGATGAGTGAGAATGGAGAAAATGGTTCTCCATCCATATCCACACTTCTGGAGAAGGAGTCAAACTTGGCGTCCAGTGCCACTTCTGCTCTTATCTCAGCGTCGGAGAATTTGTCCGTCAGCTCCTCAGAACGTGATTCTGGAGCCAGCACGCTGGCTCCGCTGGGAATTCCGCCTAAATTCGACAAGAGAAGAACATTCAGGTTAGTAAAAGCTGTCTGGAGTTATGCTTATTTTTTAATTATCCCGTCCGATGAAATTCCAATTCAATCAACCATTTGGAAGCACTTTTGTCTATACTTCATTGAGCTTTCCTCAATGATGCATATACAATTTTTTACAAGAACATATATATGTACGTATATATATATATATGTATATGTATGTATATTTCATGACTACAATGTACAGAAAGGTATTTCGTATAATGATTTGGTGAATGCGAAAACAAGAATCATCGTAATCATGATCTAGTAGTAATCCTTTCTATACTTTATTGTTCTTATATGCTTTGCCATTGTTCGGGATGCGGGTTTGGTGATGGGAAATATCTTTGGGTTTCTAATGTATAAAAAATCTTCATCTCGCAGTGGAGGGGACGATAATGCTTCAACCAGGTATTTCCAAGAAAAATTCTGTTATTGCCTTAGTGGTATTTGTATGTTGATGCTTACTAAATTCATAGGTATAAACTTATTTTTAATCATTGAGAGTTTCGTGCTACGTTTATTTCATAAAATGCAATTTTGAAAAATTTATTGGAAATTTTACTTCTCTGTGGTTTATAAAAGTCATTTTAGGCTTTACAAAAGCCCATTTAGAGTTAATGATGCACGGCGCTACACTGACTTCTGGTCATTGAGAGGAGCGCAATAAATTGATTGATCCTGAATTAATTAATCAAACTTTGGATGGTTGGGCATTCAACTTCAGGTTATTGTAAGGCAAATGGAAGGATTGAATTATTGAAGGTCTTTCCGGAACACATTAATCTTGTTTTTTGTTTACAAATCGTTATAATACGAATAGAATTGGTTGCAGAATTTTCCAAACTGCGTCATAACAAGCTGCCTATTTTTCACGAATCTTATGAGTTCTAAGAATTCGTCTACAAAGTGATAGGTGATACCAGGATACCACTCACTTTTATGACCATCATAATTGTTATCTAGTTTCTCACATAACTATTTTTCCTTAATTTACCTCTTATGAGTACTAATGTAAAATAACTATGCATGTGGTTTCAGCTTGGAGTATTATCAGCAAGGAAATTCCAAAATTTCGAAAATATTCAAGAGTAAAAGCAGGCTTTTTTGCGAATTACTCAATCTTCGAATTTTAGAGTATCAACTAATGTATATATAGTTGATACTCTATAGTTGATATATATATTGTGTATGCAAACATAATTCCTCTGGCGATACTTACAGGCGTTACTACTTTACTAGACCCAGTCAAATAAAAGTGGAGGACGTGAGTTTAATCCACAGTAGTCACCAATGTCATTATTTTATGGACTTTCAATGTAACTCGTATATCTTCCATAAAGTGCATGCAAAAAGGCTAAAGGCATCTACTTAATTACGTATTGCAAAGACTAGCTCGGACGTAAAAAATCGCTCGTGAGAATGATTGTACTTATAAACACAAACCTGTAGAACAATATAAAGATTAGATCGCTAAATGATTTGAAACAGAAATTAGTATGCATGAAAAATTGATGGACAAACTGTTCAGGTAAAAAACTGACCTTCGGAATGCATACATAATGAATTCCAATTGATTGGTTCTCTGTTTGATATCCTCATTAAACGCAGAAGCGGTTCCTAATATGTTCAGTCAGTTCAGTAGTTTGTTCTTTACAGGATAGACTTCTTGACTTGGTGCTTGCGGTGTGGTAACAAATAACACAATCACATACCCGTTTCTCCGTTTCTCCGACTCTGCTAATTTCATGCTTTATTACCAAGTTCCTTCTACAAAAGCTTGAATCGGAGAAATAAAGCAGTTTCATTCAACACAAAACGCTACTGGGTATCCATTACTACATACCAACCACCACGGTAATTTTTGTGCAAACTCATTTATAAGTATTCCGTTCCATTTTTTTATTTCGAGCAGTGTATACATAGTTAATTCATCTATCGGTACTCAAATCTGGAAAATGCTGGCTAGTTAACCCATAATAAATTCACACATACACGTAAATATACAAGTTGTGTCATGCGGAAATAGCAGGGTATCAAATTTAGCAGGAAATACATCAGTTTCAAACGATGGTAGTAGATAAAATCGGAAATACTTACACAGGTCGAGCGAGAGTACAATAATATTTACATTTACTGTGCAACAAGAGACCTGAATCTTTACGTGTTGTTAATATTTGAGCATATAACGTAGGTTTTAGAAGTCTCCACTCAAACAGTCTGGAATATTGACAATTTATACTACATACATACTTTCATCATCAGTATGGGAAAATCCCATATTAGTTCACGTGGCTTATGGCTTATACTCTTAAACTTTGTACTCATGACTCATTTTTCTACTGAATTGTACCCTACTTTATTTGAGATGGGTTTAATGTTGACTCCGAATTGAGCAATACATGGGATAAGCCTGTGTCTATAGCCACATTAGCAGTTCACGTTATTACGCTGTTGTTATGTTTAACATATTATGGAATGATATTTAGCTTTTCATCGTCATCTCACGAGTCTCTCTCTGCATCAGTATTACATTTCATATCACTTGTTGCAATTAGCGTTGCTACATCAGGTAAACAATTAAGCAGAGCAATCCATTCGTCATTTATCACCATGCATTGTATGACCAGCAAATTTTGTTGACCCCATTAGAATTACAATTACTATGTCCCATCATCATATTGTAATCAACCCAGTAGTCATTTAGTGTTTCTATATCGGAAAGCTATTGGTTGATGCTGCTCATCCTGTCCGTTGAATACCAAAACAAACTGAAATCACTCTGTTTGTTGAACAATGCATAACATAGTGCTGGTTGATTTCAAGAATGTGCTGCATACAACCATCATTCATTCACATCACCAAGCGTTGACAGAGGATAATGTGTCGCAACGGAGTTCATATTAATTGAATAGCCTTTTCCAGCTACGTAGCCTGATTACATGTGTGCAGGCATGAAAACTAAAACCAATTCGTAAACAGAGGCAAACTTTTTTTAAAACAAAGCACCAGGCAAAATGGGAATTCAATCTCGGCCATCATTGTACGGCTCCCACTTGAACCTATCATCAGGTCATGGTTCTCCGACGGCTTCTTCCACTGGACATTTTGCCAGACAAAAGTTGTTGCTGGCCAAGGCTAGAGATTCGGAAAACAGTTTAACTAGCGATGAAGAGGATTTTCTACTTTCTACAAAGGACGACGACTTGATTGAAAGAAGAAAGCGATCAGGAACTTGGCCGTAAGAATTCTCAACAAAAATATTGAGTAAAAGCTTCTTGTGTTTCAATAACACGAGAAAGGTCCTAGATTTACTGTCATGCTTTAAAATGATATCAATTGTTATGACATGACTATCCAAAGTTAATAATATCACTATTGCTATAAAGTTGTAAAACCTTTTCATTTATTGAAGATTTTTTCAACTTTCACTTTTTCTGCCCGATTTTGACCACTACAAATATGGTGTAATTTTTGTTGCAACATTTAGTTGAAAGATACATATGCCACAACTGAACTTGTAGTGGTTGTTAAAGGTGGTTCTTATTTAATTTTCCATATTGTTTGTCAAAGCATCAACGAAAGTAACGAAACTCTCAATGAAATTATGACTAGCTCAATATATTTGATTATTGGTTTTTGGGTTTACTTATTTATGTTCCACGAAGTTCTGTGTTAAATTCTTAGTAAGCTGTATTGCTATTACGGAAGTTTTGTTTTGATGGCATGCCATTGTATACTGCTTGTGGTCTTACCGTAAAATATATTTACATTGACTGACCACGGAACCCAAATACTGATAAATGGCTTACTAATCAATTTTGACTTTTACAGACGAACACGATCCCTGAATGCCCCCTCTCCAATTCAACAATTTGGACCATGTGGGAGAATTATGAAGAATTCCGCAATGGTAATGTAAGTAACATAACTTTTAACTATTTTCTGATGCTAGATTGATTGTATCAATCTCTTCTGTGGGGCTGCTCAGAATAACACGTCGGTTTAGCCATTTGGTGAAATATGTACTGAATTTAAGCAAATAGTATTCTTTTGAAAAGGATGTTGTGTAGTATTTATGAGGTTGGAGTACAGTATATAAGTACACTCTGTGTTTATTGTTTATTGACTCCTGTTAAATATTAAATGTTGCTTTTAGCAGGAATATGATATTCTTCACTACGACATAATACTCTCTCTGACGTCAGAAAAGACCCTGTCGGTTGACCCCAATTTTTTAGTTTGTTCAAGTAGTAATAATTGCACCAAGAATTCCATTATAGTTGCGTGTTGCATAATTCTTTCTACACTCAACAAAATTTTTTCCTTGTCAGTCTCTCAGAGTAATTTTAGTGGAGTTTCGTTGCGATGAGGTTTGCACTGCTTTGGTGAATATGAGCAGCAATCTTTTACGTACATATATCCCAGTTAAAATATACATCATCTTGCACTTTGACGCAAATGAGGTGTTGAAGCAAGAAATTCATTGCCACCCATCATTGTGTTCGTTTCTCATTTTTTAATTTATTTTGCAAGGCAAACATCACATTTTGAAGATAGCGTTGCCTTCCTTTTGTAGACAAAAATGGAAAAGATTTGACAAGTTATAAAAATGACAGCTTTAATTAGAAGAAACGGTTAATAACAATAATAGTAGTAGCGGGAGATTAGTATGTGAAACAAGTAACAATGTTTCATGTTGTCCATCAATTATAATAATTTTTGGTTAAAAGATAATTGTGGGGTTTGTAGGTTTCTATTTGGGAAGTGGAGATTTTTATTTGAAGACACGTACAGATATGTGCTCGTATAGGATGCACAGGATGTACACCTTTGCCTGACACGTTTGACATTCATACGATCGAAAGAATGAATACAAGTCAACTGGGGAGTGATTGAAAAGTAGTGGAATGTTGTCGTACTCATAAAACAATGTTGAAGAATGAATGGGCGAAGTGGAATGTCATGATAGTTGGTCCATCCACCTTTATTATTATTATTATTATTACGAGTTATACCAACAACAACTCAACGATGAGCCCATTTAAATCAGTATAATTTCTTTAAATGTGCCCAGTTCACACAGACCATTTGCCGTAGGGTACAATTCACATTTTTCAAAGGGTTCACGCTCAACTATTCAGAATGCAAGAAATTTCTACTACATTCCTTTGTTGAAATGCCCGTCTCACTCACAGCTATCGAATTCCGTCGTCTCCTCCCTCCACCCATCAGTCACTATACTGTCTCTGGCATTAAAGGTTTGATATGAAGCTCATACACAAATCCCCATAATCAATACATGTTCACCACAAACAAAGAAATGTTTACTTTCTCCCTATGATACATAAATTAGTAAAGTTACACGCTAAAATAGATAGGAATACCATTTTAAGAGGTTGGGGCTAGTTGAGATTTTTTATTAATCGTCGAAATACTTAATAGTATGTGTCGTTAAATAATTTATGACAGTGATTAATACCCAATTGTCTCACCGTTTAGTTTAGAAGCAACAAGTGATGATATCAACAATAGATTATGTAGCGTTTTAAGAGGAGGATATGATGTGAAGATGATTCCATAATAATAATGCACCATAATATTTCATGGGAACCTCCTCATCCATTTGATATTTGTGCATGGAAGGCCCTTGGTTAGACGTGGTATAAAATCTGACGTTGAGCTGACATCATTGGTCAGTATATGTTTATCTCGTAAGCAACTATGCTCCCAGAATGCGAGCAGTTATAAGCAATTCCATTGTCTTAACCTTCCATTTGTAGCATTTGAGCAGTGTTGAGGAAACTGGTAAATATATACATAGTTCAAAGGTTTAACCCATTAAATCTTCACTGAGATTTATCTATCTGTTCAAAGTACAATTGATTTGATCTCACCCACTGCACGTGTTTTCACATCATCATGAAAGTGTTAGCATACGAGCAGCCCCGGTGGTACGCAATTTCGATAATAGTTTCATGACTATGAGTTTCCATTCCGAGCGATATTTCGAAATATTATTAATAATAAGCGTTTATTTTATACAGGCAAGTTCAAGATCAAGATCCTGCATTTCAAAGGTACAATTTACTAATTCTTAACTTATAACTGACAATTAAGGCAAAGATGAAGCTGCAATAAGTAATGTAAATAATAACGTGTAATCAAAGGTTGACCTGGTACAAAACCCCGCTGACAGTTCTTGTTATAAAGAAGGTCCGAGATGTAGCAGGTAAGAGATATTTACATATAAGAGAAAACGAATTTGCTCATTGTCAGAATTTTCGTCGCACATATAATATACACATGCAATTCACTAATTAAAATTGCCACATTATAACATTATTATAACATTTATTTGTTTTGTAGTCGTCATCCCATTTGTCCATTTGATTGAGTGGCTTATAAATGTATGACAATACAACTGATTCTAATATCTAATAAGACTCTTATTATAGGAGAGGAAGGTTTCTAAAGATGTTATACTTTCTATTTTTCCAGAACAAACGCATGGTGGTGTATTGTGAAGAAGCCGTTAAGGATGACAAGAGTGTCACAGGAAATTCAAAATTTGATGAACTACAGGACAAGTTAATGTATTTCAGGGTAAGAAAACGGATTATTCATGACTGACCAGTCTGTCTTGTGAGGCATTAGAACGCAACAATTGAAAATAATCGTAATTGCAGGAAGGTCGCGATGACCTTACTGATAAAATTGACTTCATCATTTGCTTGGGAGGTGATGGGACTCTTCTCTATGCGTCATCATTGTTCCAGGTAAATTTTTTCCTAAAGCCATTCAGCAATGCAATATGTATATCGTACCTAACTGTTTAATGGAAAATTCAATTCCAGCAATCTGTTCCACCTGTGATGGCATTCCATTTGGGATCATTGGGTTTCTTAACACCGTTCCTCTTTGACAACTTTGAAGAGAAAGTAACCAACGTCTTGGAGGGGAACGCTGCCCTTACCTTGAGAAGTAGATTGAAATGTACTCTGAAACGACGACAGTCTACTGATGCCACTGCAGATACTGGACATATTACCAGTAACGGACAGGTTTCCCAGAACGGAATTGGAATTCATACCAGTCTAACGAATGGGTCTAACAATAGATCTAACAATTCACCCATGAACTTTCTCGTGCTTAACGAAGTGGTTGTTGATCGTGGACCAAGTCCATATTTGTCCAACGTAGATTTATTTATTGACGGCAAGCATGTGACAGTAGTTCAAGGAGATGGACTTATTGTTTCCACCCCCACTGGAAGCACTGCATATGGTAAGTATATATACTCTTCACTCACCCATGGTAAAAGTTATAGCGTATTTTGCCAAAGTTCTTGCTGTAAGGATTGCAATACATAGCTAGAAATTACAAAAAATTCAACGCATATATACTCTGCACTAAAATGAAATCACCTGTCACAAAAGAAATAAGCCGGCATCACAATGTCATGCATTTCCCACATGTAAATTATAAATTCCACACTATGGGTGTAACCTGCCCCCTGTTCGTATTAATTTTGTTTTTATTTTCACTACAGCTGTTGCTGCAGGTGCGTCTATGATCCACCCATCAGTTCCTGCCATTATGATCACACCGATATGTCCTCACTCTCTGTCTTTCCGACCGATTGTGGTACCCGCTGGAGTCGAACTAAAGGTACTATTGTGTTTAGATATTTCATTAAATCCTATAGATAATCTTGCATGCATCTAAGGAACACGCATAACTTTTATAACTTTTTCTTCTATTTTAACTCAGATAAAAATATCCCCTGACAGCCGTAATACTGCTTGGGTATCCTTCGATGGACGAAACAGGCAAGAGTTACATCATGGGGATGCGTAAGTCTAGTTATTAAAAGCGCTTTATTTTAATGGCCTAAAGGATATATTACGAATATTTTTATACAATTTTAGACTATCCGTTACCACCTCTGTATATCCCGTTCCTTCCATCTGTGCTCAAGGTAGAGTAGAGCGTGAAAAAATTATACATTACCAAATTCAAGTTTAGTTGAAAATAAAGTTTACTAATTAGACCAAATTTCCGACTGGTTTGACTCTTTGGCCGATTGTCTGCAATGGAATGTTCGCAAAAGACAAAAGACGTTTGATGAAGATAACTGCACAACAGATTCATCCGGTTATGATATTATGGATACCTGAATCTCTAGTATTGTAGCCTACCTGATTTATGTAATTCACAAGTATTTAGGTGGTATTTTGGTGGTTAAAGTATTTGTATCCCACATACACTTTTTCTCATATGAATATATGTGTTTAACCGAACTCGACACTGGTTGTCTTTATGATCTAGCTACATATATGTGTTTATCGATTGCTGCTTTATATATTTAGTAATAGTTCGGTATACTTGCATATTTAAAATATATAAAAAATAGTAATCGAAGTTTATTGTAACAAACGGGAACAAATCATGATATCTTCCGCAACTCCGTTGTATTCTGAACAATGTAACTTTGAATAACCTTTTACAGTCACTCAGTAAAAAATTTGAAATAAACGCTAAATTTATATCATTTCTAAAAAAAACAATTCTCACTGTTATGCATTTGTATTTACACAACCAGTCTGATCTGAAAAAAGAGATGATTCTATTTTTAGCTCACAGAACTTACACCTTTCAGCTTTGTTCCACATTTCTCTCTCATCTTTGACGTCATCGAGAGGAGAAAGTGCTACGTCATCGAAATAAAAACACAATTTTACTAGACTATACATATAGTTCCTTGTAAAAGCGTTCATGTTTATACTAAATCAATCTACTCCATCAATAAAATATGTCATCCTTTGAGTATTTGTGTGTAATTCGGATGAGTAGCTACTTTTAAAATATGCTTTAAACAATTCCTATACATTTAACAAATTTTGCTCTGTTCATAAAATTGCATAAAATTAAAAGCTTCGCTACGCTTGTCTTATACTGCGGTGAAAGCAGTAGGAAAGTCGGGTGAAAGCCTCGCACCAACATTGGAGAAAGTTGGCATGGAGACGACCCTGGTTTGGTTCATCATCTCACTCGTCCCATTTGGAGAACCAAGTTCCAAGTTTTGTTGGGAACTGGAGCTGAGCTTTCTTTTTTGGACTGGCGGAAGTTGGTTGGTGGACTTCTTCGTCGTCGTCCTCGCCTTTCTTATTCTTTCCTCTGGCATTCAAACCGCTCTAGCCAGCAGACCGAGGCGGACCGAGATTTGGGCGAGGTGGACCGATCCGCAGTCACTTCCAATCCCACATCTTACCATTCTACTCTCTCCCTCCGGCTCCAGCTCTCACTCACTTTCTCCAACAAAATCCCTGACTTCTCGTCCAACGCATCTCAGTCTTCCCCATTTCCTTCGTCTTTGACCACATTCGTCTTGTCAGCTCAACTCTCTTGTCTCGGCTTGATTTCCGTGTGACACATCGTCCTGGTGCTGACGACTAGCATGTCCCAACCCACCTCCCACATTACGCTAACACCTAAAATACCTGAAAAAGCAATACTCGACTTCCTTGATATTTAGCTCTTGTTACACAAATCTAAAAATTCTCACATTCCCAACAATCCAGCATCATATTCAGGATGTAAAAAAGTTCAACGAAGAGCGTTGAAAGTTGTTTAAAAGTTAGTCGACTACATATATCCATTGAGATACGGTGTTTGAGCTGGAGAGACCAACAACAAAAACCATGTTTCTCATACAAAAATATACTCAATACAAAGCTGCTCAAGCAGAACAGCAGAAGAGAAAGGTATGTAAAAAACTGAGCAGCATTGTAATAACACACATGTGGTTCCGGTTACTTGCTCTTGATAAAACTTAGGATTAGTGGGGAGGAAAGATACAATAATCTTGAAAATGATTTGCTGCAGGTGACGGAGAAAGAGTTGGCTCAACTGAACCATAAAATAGTAAGTATTTAAAACCAAAGTTACTTTCTCTCGCAAAAATCACTCATCTGCGGTTACATCTGATTGTTACGTCGGAAATGAGTTGCACATGGCACACCTGAGCAGGTGCATTGTTGTTTAACGTGAGAAATTTATTGGATTTTTACGTCAATTGAATTAACACACATTTCCTTTCGTGAAAGTAAGAAACAAGTTGGAAAATTATAGGTTCCGGTCACTGCATGGCATTAAATCGTATAATTATGTGAATTGAAAGCTACACTCATTACATCCTGAACTCGTTTGGGCTTGTTTACAACGATGTGATTGTTACACTGTTATTGTGTATATGCATAAATTATTCTTAGGTCAATGCTCAATTAAGATAATTTATCCTAATAATACGATAATACGTGCATACATATGTTCTTTGTATTAGAAAAATATTGAGACCACACAAGAAATCATTTAGTGATGATGCATATACATATGTACATACAATTTGTTCTCATTTTCATTTTATGTAATCCTAAGATGTCTTTATATCTTTTGACATGTATAAACTACATTTCAATTTAATAGGTAGTAAATTGTAACACCATTTTACCTACATAAAATAGATGAGATGAATCATGGAATATTGTTCTTTGACTTTTGAGAAAAGACATGAACAATACGTTGTGAACAATGCACAATGCTTTGTTAACCTTGGTTCGAAACTACAACCAGCGTCGTACAATATCTTATTTTTATAGTTATATGAGTACATATAATTTTTCGACAGAAAATTTTTATGTATAAGTAGCTATTCATCAATGCTATGCTATCCCAGTGGGTGCCTATTATTCCTTGACATTCAGAAATGCTGAGGGAGAACCAACACGTTTTTATGCCATTACCTTTCTCAGGAATTTATTTCCTTTATTATTGAGCATGAACACATACATATTCTCCGAAACTAAGCATAGGAACCATCCATCCACCAACCAAGGGCACTCACTGCGCGACCAAGGCCAATTTCCCCACATCCTGATTGCTACATTAACACACAACTTTCATTATTACCCACCAGCCCAACACTTTTAATGAACAGAAGGATCGATTATGCGATTCAAAATTACTCCAGCACGTCCAGCAACATTGTAAAATGAAAAATGATTGGCGGAAGAGTGCCGCATATGTTGATTGCGTATTTATTTCAACTCCAGCAGGTTTCTACTGTTTGAACTGAATTATTTGCACTTTGCAGCATAAGAAATCTCCAGACCATGTACCGTGTAAATTAGCTCCATTCCATGTGAGAAGCAGATTAGCAACTTGAGTCATAAGAACGAAACTCGAGAGTTATGTGACTTGACGATGGGTCAGTGAAAGCCGTCGTGGAGTGAACAAATTATTGGAGCAGAAGGGCAGGTGCGGTTGAGGTGATGCAAACTTACGAGGCCTGGCAAGAGGATGCATGGAGACGATGGCATTGCGTGACGAAACCAGTAGCGAAACACTTTACGGAAAGAATATCCGGAAAGCACACGTTTAGCAGGTTCATGTCGTAATTCTCTAATCTAGTTATTGCATCAAATCTGATCACCATTGCCAGAATGCCTTGTAAACACATTCCCTTGTTACCATTTATTGCCCTTCTTCGCCAGGTACGCATTCATGTGGTTGAGTGTATTGCTTTTCTATTTGAACCAGGTTGAGTAATAATAACCCTGGGAGGTAAAAGTGAAGGCACATATGCATATATCTGATTCGCCAAAAGATGCGTCTGTAATTTATTATCGGTTGTACGTACTGGTCCTATTTGAGTATGTTTTTTGATGATGCTATGCAAGCAATCAGCGAGATTACTTGAGAACAATAAGGGCCTCGTAAATAGCTTTTAAAAATAAGTTATGTCAATTCACTTGACGTATAATGCATATAGTATTTATTGGAAGGTGTACGTATGACTGCGTGTGTTACATATTTATAATTTTCGACCAAGAAACAAGATACGTATATTTATGCACAAAATGTATATCCATATGTTTACAATAAATATTTTGTATGATCTTAGGACAAGCTGCTTTCAAAACTGGACGAACATGAATCTGAAACTGCTGATACACAGGATGACGAGGTACGCTTTTTAGATTAAAATTGACGCTTGTGTTTGCACACTCTTGATTCTATTATTCTAAGCAAATGTCAATCTATTAACTAGTGACTATGAATGTATGTACATGTGTGTATATAATAAAATAGAGATACAAGAGCCACTCACTCACTGGCACGTTTTCTCTGCTCCTTACTGACAGTTTCCGCTTTCCTTTATTCTCTTGTTCACAGTGCGTCGTATGTGTAAACGCAAAGGCTACAATGCAAACATATCCATGTGGTAAGTGATTTGTAACAGTTTTTAGAGAAAAGGGTCAAAAAGTTATTGTTTCACATGTTACAATATGACAGGTCACAGGGTCGTGTGCAGGAAATGCTTTGTAAAAACGATTCAAATGGCGGTAGCTCAACGTCTCTTGCCTCTTCGTTGCGTAGTTTGCCGAGCAAAAATCCTTAGATTAAAACACGCCTGCACCGGACCTTTGCCCTCGTCTGCGTCACAATATACGATTGGAAGCCAGTGGTATCACGTTCCTTCGGCATCTCTCTATTCCGTTTCATCTACAATGTCCGCAGTTTCTGGTACTAATACCATTTATGCATGCCTTTCATTATTTCTAAAGCTCTATAAAAATTAATTTGAAAAAATGAACTATAGGAATTTCAGGAGTCTCTTCTGCCAGTTCTTGCAGCTCTGGCTCTTCATATAAAACCTGTGCTTCCAGTTTTTCTTCCGCGTCTCTCAAAAAGAGGTCTTACACCAAACAGGGCTACCAACCACTCAGGTAATAAGCGAATGTGTTTACAAAACATTTTGATAGTGATGTTTAATATAAATCATTTAATATAAAAACTAGATTAGAGAATTATGACATGGACCAACTAATGAATAATGGTTAGGAAATAAATAGAGTAAATAATCTGAGAAAAGTTCAAAATAATGCATGCTGAGACGAGAAATAATGATACGATGATATGCTAAATAATGAACCAAGTAGGAAAAAACATGGGTATTTCATTTATGCAAGGTATGAAAGAAGGTCACAAATAATACAAGAACTGGATAGATAAAAAAACTAGTAATACACACATAAGGAAGAATTAATACATAGGATAATACATAAGATAGTTTTGAGTATTTTTGTACGGGTTTCGTCCATTCACTGGTAAAAGTTCTTGGTATCAGAGACTCAGGAACATTATAAGTGGGGGATGGAATATATCTTTTCCATTCTGCAAAAAAAATTCATAATCAATTTATTTTGCCTCACTATTTTGCCTCATAGAAAAAATAACACTATTTTAATTCGTACCTGATTCCGGATCTTGAAACGCAGATCCCATAGCCAAACGTCGTTAAGTTCAGAAATGGGCAGGCAGAAAAATTCCGAATCCAAAATGATTATTTTTACATGTTGAAGCTAGTCCCTTGGAATTGAGCCATTTTTACAAAAAATTAGAAAAACTGATTTCTTATGGAAGAGACTTAGAGCCTCAGAGTTGAATAAATTATGAGAAAATTAAACAACACCTTTAAATGCACGTTGTTTTGTACTTTCTGACTAACAATAAGACGCCACGCCACAGTTACAAAAAGAAAAGCCCTGCATTACATACCAATCCGAGTGAGCAGTGTGCCAGAATCATGAAAAGCTGATAACTTGGTGATAATGAAATTAGGGTCAAAAGTAATAGGAAGCTGCGTTGTTTATTTATATGTTCTGATCTCCAGCAAAAACGTATTCATTTATGAAGTACGGCAGACTTATTTAGTAAATTCTCATTATGATTTATATTTCTGAAATTTATTTATCACTCTCATTAATTTGTTGTTGTCCCTCAGAACATCGTCCCCCTCTCCATCACGTAGTCCTACGCGAGGCTCTGGAATTTCTACCAAGTTTACACCTCCACCACCACCATCAGGTAAACCCAAAGAAGAACAAACAAAGTGCAAGTCCCCAGAAAACATGGATGGCTCCGAGCTCCCCGTAACCACCACAAATAACCAGAACGTCACGGGAAAGGGAAAACTTTCTCTAATTCAAGAATTCCAAAGGGAGTTTCGCAACGGAAAATCAAAAATTGCGAACGAGCGGAAAGGAAGTGCTGGATCCCAGAGAAGCGGAAGTGGCAGCACGAGAATAAAGTAAGAATTATTTCTCTTATTTTATAGCATGAGAAGGGAAATGGAATAGGAGTACCTTTGCTCTATACGTGTTGTAGTACCAGTGAAAGTTTTGACCGTGACAGCGAACTTGTACGGAGTTGTGAATCTTATTTCTTCCCTTGTGAGTTAAAAAACTTAATTTACGTATCTCTGCACTCTTAAGGTGCTGCTGAAGCATAGTTTATGTCGTTTACCAAGTAAATAAATCGGTTTCAACATTCAACCAGTTTCAATTATGGGCACGATGAATCACCAATCACATCCAATTTTGTTCCACAAAGTGGTGCATCAATAGAAAGAACGAAACAGTCTACAAAATCTTGAAACATGTTAGAACAACTCTCATTTGCTGATTACAACAAATTAAGAAACTTCAGGTATTCAAATTATATGGACCACGTGTAACGAACATCAAACATAAACACGAATAAAAACAAAAGAGGTGAAGAGTGGACACTAAAATACGACGATGTCATAACCATTAGGGGTTGCTTTATGCTGCTCATGTGAGACAGCAAATGATTGACAAACATGCATGGACAGGTATTTGCTGTGCAAGTACACGCGTAAATATTATGTGTGTGGAAAAGGGGAAGATAAAAGCATACGTCCAGCCGGCAAGTGCGAGTGAGTTTTCAATGCAGGGGTTGCATTAGAAGAACGAGCTAAAGATTGCTTTCTCCTCCTTCTTCCCGTCGTCGTTTCGTAATGGAGATGAAACTGGGATAGCGTGAACTGGGAATAAATATTTCAACCTCATTGCGCTTTGTTTTTAACTTCAAGTCTCTGGAGATCCATCTCCTTCAACTTTTAAGAAGAAGCTCACTCTAAAACTGGGCAACATTTAATTCTAATGTGAAAGTGCTGTAATCTCAATTCCGGGGTTTGGCTCTAGACATGGGATACATGCTTTAAATTAAAATTTTATCAAACACTCAAACCATCAAGGTTCGTATTAGTCGCTCACTGATATTCTCACATTTTTCATCATGTTTGCAATTTGGAAGGATGAGGCTAATAATAATCGCGTGTCTATTTGATAATAGCGTTTTTTAATACGTAACACATCCCGTATGTTTCTAGACGTGTGAAATATAACTAGTGTCAAATAATATTTCCATTTTAACCGACCACATTCCTATGTACATACGTGTTTTTCACTGATACGGAAGAACGAAGGTAACTCATCCGCTACCTTTTAGCACTACTTTTCTCATCCATACATATTTAGAGTAGACATCCACTTAAACCTTAAAAACAGGCTTTCCACGAAAACCTTTCTTTGTCCCGATTTGTGCTAGTAACATTTTGGCAAGTTTATCGATTTTTCTTATCCTTGTGAATTCTCTCCTCGCTCAGTTTCCCTTCAGAGGGATTCGTTGCTTTTATCATCCATCCAACTCCCACAACAACTCCAGCAAACCAACCAATCTCATATGCAACACAGTACCCTTTATCCTTTAGGAACGCCAGTATTATGGAAGACGACCGAAAATAGTGGCGCATGTCATGGGGCATAACACGGCTTTTTCAAGCCTTTATTGGACTGCACGTATGCTAAATAAAAAAAGAATAACGTGATGAACATCATCAACAATCTCTTTGTTTGCACAAAAATTACTGCTGAAAGACAAGATTCTTTTAAATATGACTTTGTGTATGAAAAATCACGTGAGCTGTGTCTATGTATTGGAAAAATTGAGCCAAACTGGAACTGTGAACTTAGTAACTGGAAAGAGAAACTTTTGAGAATTTGGGTGGATGAGGGAACAGAAGGTAATCAATTCCAACAGACCCAAATCCAACTTTCTCCTTTCTCTCTCACTCTCTCCCATAGCAGAATATTTCAATATCACACATAAAATGACGCGTACTTTGCACTAATGTCGAGGTTTTCTAACGTAGAGTTGGCCTGCAGATTCGTCTGGAAATGACTGCCTGAATCTGACTTTCTCTTGTCAACTGCGACAAACTTGCTTTAGGACAATATTGTAATTAAAAATTGGATTTAGATACCGCGATCATGTTTTAACTACATCAGCGAGATACACACTTTCAAGTACGTTCAAGGAGTGAAGCAGATGGTTTAAAACAACAATGACAACACATGCAGTACACGCTATATACAGGGTTACAAATTTCATTTATCATACGCTCTAAAATTAGGTTCATAGGGAGTCGTCGTTTCATTATGACTTTAAACAAGACGAGATACGTACATTTGGGGCAGGAGGAGTAAGGAAAAGACGCAATACATAGATTTACTAACGACAACACAGTCGGCGAGTATGTTATCAGCATCATTGCTAACATCGAATGCACTTTGCGTGTGTATTTTTCCTTCAAATAAATGGACAGGAGGTTCAAGATAGCCATTCTGTGTGTTCCTGGTGTGGGGTGAAAGAGTGAAAAGCTATCTCACTCCTGAGGTGTACGTCAGGCTTGGAAGCTTTCACTTGGATACATTTTACGATTCCTTCAGCCTCCTATCAAAGTAAAGCCAATCGGAGTTTCATCTCTGCCACGACAAAGAACTCGGCGAATTACTTTTATTTTATGCTTCATGCCAGGGTTCAAGGCAACTTTTCACTATCCTCCAATCTACCGTTCTCTCGATGCGCTGTATAGCCTGAGGTTGTATTTATTTATTCGAGTATAGTTTAATCAAGTGGCTTAGCATATAAATAATAAAGAAATTAGGCGGACAGTATTTACTTTTAAGATAATATGACCCTCTGGTAAAAGGCAATTAATATTTACTTGTGTAGTCTCGAAAGAACTCACACTTGTGTATCATTTTGACGTAATTTGTCGAAATGCATAAAAAATAAATGACAATGAAATAAGCGACTCTCAAAAAAGAATTTTCAGACCTGAGGAAATATTCCAAAACTTTTGCCATTCTTTAACATAAGCGTTTTGCTGTGTGTAATTTATTGAAGAGTATAAAACTTTGGTAATGAGATTAGATTAGTTTGTGGTTAGCTTTCACCCAAATATTTCAGGCTATTCTTCTAACTAATAGTTGACCATTATTTTAGATGTGCAAGACTTTTGGTGAATCAAGCCTACCCAACTCATGAATTCGGAGCAGCCAGTGATCATGGAAGAAGCACGTTGTCCATGTCGAAAAATTACAGCGGTGGTGGAGGAAATATCGGATTCCGTAGGGCAACACCGCCCCCCACTTCTCAGTCGTGTCACTCCTTTCGTCGTCTCTCCAGACATGACGCCGTCGCTCCGACCACCGCCGTCTCATCTTCTTCCTCCTTCAAGAAAGGCAGCCTTCGAACCATTCGGGATGAAGACATCCAAGCCAAATCTGATCGACCCTTGGCGTTGTCAAAGGTGGACGAAGTAAAAATGGTCAACATGAAACATTAAATGGATGAACTCTCATTAAAATAATGACTCCCAGTTCTGATTTCCCACAGTCAACAGTCATACCAACGATCGCAATTATTTGCCAAATTCAGCAGTAACGAAACAAATCTACTACTCCTACTGCAATATATTATATTATACATTCAATTCAATACACGGTTCAGTATTATTAGCCTTGATTATACATAAATACATGCACAATTTCTCCAAGGTGCAGTATGATCTATAGATAGTCAGCAATAGAGTGCTTATATAGGTTGAAAATGAAAGGATTCAATAATTCTGTAATAATTCCTTAGGGAGGGGACAAACACATGGAAATAGTTACCTTGAACAATGTCGACGTCAAGTTTGGTTAATAATAACTCGTCAAATATTAATTTGCTAATAATGGTAAATACATGTAAAATGTATTAATAGAGTATGTTAAAAGACTCAATGCCACACTGACCGTATTTCACGTATCGTGGTACATAGCAGGATGAGATGACTGATTGCTTCCCACCCTTTCAAGACGTATGTACCAGAGTTATATTGAAATGAGATGGTGAATAATTTAGAACGAAATTGTTTATCATTTTCGATCATTCCTTATCAGTCTTCTTCGCTCAAGGTTTGTTTGCAAAATATTCAGTCAGTCCACCTTCCTTCCCGACATTAACAAATGAAATGCGTGCAAGTCACAGCAATCCACGGGCAACAATGAGGCAGCACAATGCTGAGCTCCTCCAAAGATTTGAAAACGTTGTGTCCTTTAAGTATGGAAAGGTCAATTCTAGAAGCTCAGTCAGGTTGCAACTTTCTCCTTAGTGAACACTGCAACTCAACTCGTACCATTTTTCTGGTACGAGTATAGACGGCACAGCATACTGCCGTATCAAGAAGACGACAAAATGTTCCTGCACATATACCGTCTCAATATGTCGATCGACTTTCTTTCTTTTCAACTACGAACAAAACTTTCTTTTCATTAATCTTTTTCTTGACATGCTTTTGTATTCAATCGAGTGATTTGTTCCACGTCAGAAAAGGAATAAACTACCTGTGTGTAGTGTGGATCATAAAAATGTTATCTAGGTTTTATTTACGCAAACCTAGTACCCAAAATAAAATGTATAATGCAATACATAGCTTTCATACTTAGATTATAAATTATACATAGATTAGGTGAATGGGTTCCAGATAGAAAACAAATTCCTATACCTACTCCCCGTTTAAAGTAGTCAATAATGCATTGCATACGTTAAAGTCCAAACAATTTTACAAGCGACGTGTATATCTAGTGTTGTTTAGAGAATTGGTATAGTTTATTTACATATTTGTTCATGATAGTGGTCATGTTAAGAAAGATGGGGAGACTATTTCTTTGGTATGTAAAACACTTTGTTTGTGATGAGCCTTGTGCCAAGGTCATGATTTATAGAGAGATCTCGTACAACAGTGATTGTAATTGGTAAATTTTGAGATTTGTAAGTACCGAATGACATGCCACAATTTGTGCGAAATAAATTAGAAAACTAGTTTATACTAAAATAGTACCAGATATGTATGTATTACGTAATGTAGGAATTGGCGATGTTGCCGACCAGTCAGTATGAGGGACATATTTTGCTAAAAATATGAATGTCACCATCCGAACTCGAAGCCGGAACCTCTTGAGTCTCAATCGCTGTACGGTTGGACTACGAGGACATTGCTGTTGCCTTCTACTAACTGGTCTCCTACTCCTATTATTTCTCCCACAGTAAGCAAATATCTGTGAACCAAAACATGTAATTTTAATAGAGAAACAATTAATAAATGCGAAAGCTGTTACTGCAAGTGTATGATGCTCATAGATTTCAATGTAATTTTATAAAGTCAAAACATCAACTAAAATGCAATTTTCATCTGAAGGGCCCAAGGGGGTGACACATACCGATTTTTGAAAATCATATGAACATAAGCTGAAATTTGGTACAAGAAGTTGCTAATTACTTGGAAGCAACTAAGGGACGTCGATCTAAAAAATTATCAACCCCAAATACCCGATGGGGTGACCCACAGTAGTTTTTTTTTAAATCTGGAAATGGCTTAAATTTGTCATTAAGGACGACTTGCGAATATAAATGAAATTTTTAGAAATTTGCCAGTAGGAGGGTGACTCTCACACTGCTTATTGAAATTGGTCTAAAAAATTGAAATTTTTCATGCTAGATAAATCTGAAAGTTGATGACAATTAAGAATATTATCCCAGGACAAGTTGGTAATAATCCTTCCGTCATCGGACACAAGCATAAAATATTACTGACTCAGCAAAATAATAGATTGTAAAGGGTCATATATATTTTATCTTCAAATTATAGCTGAAGTAGAAAAGCACCAATGGGAATATTATTAGCATATTGTAGAGAACACAAGAACAGTGTCGGATTTTAAATACGCCACAATTACATCATGTAATTAAAAATTGAATAAAACGGCGGACATGTTATATATCTTTTATTTAAGTTCTATACAATGTTCATTTACAGAATAACTGATAAATTTCTACGACATATGGTGGGCTAAATCCAAATAAATTGACGTTTTCTATTAATTTTTATACGTTTTTATGCAACAACTATTGCGTCACATGCATGGTAAATCCAATTTATATGGCGATAAATTCATTGTGTAATAATTTAGGAAAAGACCAGGTTATATAATTTAAAATCAAGATATTTAACTATTTCGTAGATGACGACTAATGCTAATATTTGGACTCTCGTTGCTTCTTTACTGCTTGTATGCACTTGGCCATAGTTGGAGATGCTGAAAAATAATATTTGCAAGATTTTATTTAGATTTGCACAATTAAAATCAGTATACCAAGTCTCAGTAATATTAATACAATTTCAATATTTTTAAAATATACTTACCTCGAGAAATTGCATCTGTCCAAAACAAATACAAATCAGGTAAATATAAGGTGACCTTTACGAAATAATGTGTAGAATTTATTTTACCCACCTGTCATATAGAAATCTTCGAGCTGTTTCATGGGAACATTAAAGGGGGACGAGTCAGCAGGTTTATTAATTAAATTTCCCAGCTCTGTCGCTTGGGCAAAGTAATTTGCGTCTTCGGCATCTCCGTATCGTGTTAAATTTGGAGATATTTCATTCATTCGTTTGCGAATTTCATGAAGGTCGTCATACGGAAGGGTTATTCCCATGATCTAAAAAATATTTTTTGTCAGTATTTAAAATAAACTGTTTGACACTGAAATACCTCAGACAGCGCTCTGATAATTTTCCAATCTTCTCTCGCCATTCCAGGGGGATTAACTGCTGACGTGGTTTGTTGACTCCTACCTTCTGTATTAACGTACGTCGCTTGCTTCTCAGTGTATGCAGCACCAGGAAGAACTGCATCAGCTATCTCTGCTCCTCTGTCTCCATGATGTCCTATGCATTAAGATGAATTAAGTATTTGGCCAATTAAACGAACAACTATATATAATTAAAAATACTCGTGTAATATTGTGGTTACCCTGATAAATGACAAAACAGTCTTTAGCCAAGTCACTTCGAGAAATTACACCCTCGTCAGCACCAAGCATAAACAACACTTTTGGTTTTGCATCCCTGATTTTCTGTGCACCAGCAGAGTAACCAATGTCAAGAGCTGCAACCTGTGAAGCTACGCGGTGAAGCACGTTAAGAACTCTCCAATCCGATGGAATCTGGCCTTTAGCTCGAAGCGATGAGCTGAGTTTTTGAATTTTAGACAAAATTACAGCTGCATCCGAACGTTGAAGGGCGGTTGAGCCAACAATAATGATTGGTTTTTTTGCACTGTTTAAAGTTTTCGAGAAGGCGTCTTTCCCATTTATGACTGCATCAATAACATTAGGACTGTCTCCCAGATGCTGCAACAATTAAAGTAAAGACAACCTGAGGAACAAATTCTACTGATCATTTGATTGTGATTATGGGATGATAAATACCTCATATTCGTAGGTAAGATCAACCTTGGGACCAATCATTGCTACTTTTAAATCATTATTAATCCAACTTTTTCGTAATCTGGTGTTCAAAAGAGGGGCTTCAAATCGTGGATTAGTTCCAATCAGCAGAACCATATCAGCTTCTTCAATTCCTGCTATTTTGGAATTCAAAAGGTAGTTTGATCGAAGATCAGTTCCGGATCCATCCAACGGAAATATTTCTTCAGTACACAAAAGTTCGGAATCAAGCCTATTCAGTACGTCCTTCAAAGCAGTTAAAGCCTGAAGTACACAATTTTATTAAAGTGTGTTTTACATTGAGTAACATTTTAATGTAAAAGTGACCTCAGCATCCACCAATCCCCCAGCAATTGCTCCAACCTGGTTTCCCTTCCCAGACCGGAGGGCCTGAGCAACTCTCACAAGTGCATCTTCCCACTCTACCTGCTCCAGTTGTCCAGAACTATTTTTCAACAATGGAACAGTGAGCCTTTGCCTCTTCAATCCATCAACGGCAAATCGACTCTTGTCAGATATCCATTCCTCGTTAACATCCTACAATAAAAATACAATCATTTAAAAATTAACACAGAAATCCTTTCATCATCAGTATAATTGCACTAATTTAGTTACATCATTTTGCCGAGGAATCACTCTCAAAACTTCTCCCGTTCTAGTAGACACCACAATGTTAGATCCAATCGCATCCAAAACATCAATTGACTCTGTTTTTCTTGTCTCCCATGGACGGGCTGAAATTAAATAATAACAATAATTAGCATTGTGAGTGAAATCAATCTTGTTTTCTCGATTTCAAATATTGTCCCTGAAGATGATACTAGTGTGTATCGAAAGCTAGGAATAAATATATCTGAATTAAAACAACCATGTCGTCCGATAACTCTAATTCTAACAATGAATAGATTTTTTGTGATTATTATTTTGTAAAATACGGCCAACCACTCTCACAAGCGACAGTCGGCCTATTTCTTCACAGATTAAGAGGAAAAAGTGCAACTGAAGGAATGTACAATTCTGTTAACACGTATGTTTTTGTAATGACATCAATTACATATGAGTAGTAATGAATCAAAGAATGAATCAATTACAGATAGCTCCAGTACTACCAATGTTCCTCATTCAAAATAAATCATCTTCAATGACGAGTTTTTTTCCGTGAATGGAATTGTGTAATGAAGCCTAAATAAAATATGTGGACTTTCCAATTAATAATTTCTTACCCATAAATGCATACGGTTTTGATGTCAATGCTCCAACGGGGCACAAATCGATAATATTTCCCGACATTTCAGACATGAGCATTTTTTCTACATAGGTCCCAACTTGCATATCTTGGTTTAAAACATATTAAAGTTATTATTTATTCATATTATTAATAGTACATATTCTTTCCAATAGTGCTTTGTCTTACCTTGACCACGACCTGTTGTACCAAAATCGTCTACACCAGCAACCTCGGATGCAAAACGAATACACCGAGTACAATGAATACATCGAGTCATAATCGTTTTAATGAGTGGGCCAACATTCTTATCTTCAACAGCTCTGGAAACTCATCAAAAAACACTATATAATTACGTTCAATTAATTAAAAGCCCGTTGCGTACCGTTTTCCAGAGAAGTTAATATCCGTAAAACGAGACCGGTCTGACCCAAATGTCATTGATTGATCTTGTAGATCGCATTCACCACCCTAAATTAAAAAATCAACCATTCTATTTTTTAGCATCAATTTATAACTATAAAGACAATTTTTAAACCATACCTGGTCACAAATGGGGCAATCCAATGGGTGGTTCACCAGCAGAAACTCCATTACTCCTTCTCGGGCTTTCCTTGTGAATTCCGAGTTGGTCTTGACTCGCATTCCCTTCATAACTGGCATAATTCAATCATTATTTATACTAGTCACATATTTTATGCAATAAAATCTAAAGATTACGATTATTTTTCTTACCTGGCATGGCACAAGAGGCGACGGGCTACCATTTCATTTAAATATATCAAAATGTCACGTACTAAATGGAAGTATAAAACAAATAGTGAAGTCATTCCTACCTTCAAAGACTTTTCCACTTCGACTAGACACATTCGACAGTTTCCTGCAATTGAAAGCCGTTCGTGATAACAAAAGCGTGGAATTTCCACACCAGCGAGTGCTGCAGCCTAAATCAAAGTCAAACAGAGTTTTGTTTTTGTTTGCGGTATATTTTTATTTTGTCATATGTAATAATAGTAATTATCCACTACTCGAGCAAAAAATAAGTCACACAAGACCCACTCACCTGAAGTACCGTTGTTCCAGGCTCCACCATCACGGGCTTATCGTCGATGAATACTTCAACTTTTTCGGGCGCAGCTGAGGAAAAGGCGCAGATTCTGGCATTGTTTACAGCTGGGACACGAGACACCTTCCGCAGCACAGCGGTCACCGGCATCCGCATCATCTTCACCACGCTCAAGTGACTCGCTCAAACACTGAAAATTTATTTATACCTTCTTTCGGAAATGTGGGTTTAGGAAACTTTAGGAAAATTTCAACTTTTAATTTATTTGACTCGGCAGAGAATTCGATCTCTCCCACGTTCTCATTTGCCCCAAAGTCACACCACAACATAGACGCAACTTTCCCCATTTAAGTATTTATGAAAATTGTTGATTTATTTTCATGAGTTTCTTAAACAATTAAATTATTTTAGTTTTACTTGCATTTATTGCATTTACGGAAAACAAGGATATTAGGGAGAAATGACTGAAGAACTACACAACGACGCATCTACAGACTCGTTATTATATAGGTATAGTAAGTAAGCTAATTACTGAGATTATGATGTTTGTTATATAAATTTCACGGAATAATGAAGAACGTAACTTATGAACAAGTTATGAGTATTCTTCTGGAATGTAACTCTGCTCTATTTTTCTACTTTCTTCCTGGAATAACATTGGAGCTAAATTCTGGAGCTTCGTCGACTTCCTACGGCTGCAGCGGGTGATGGCGAGGAAACTCCTCGCGATGAGCTACGGGATGACCGTCCACTTCCGTTGTCATCCTGCCGTTCCATGAAATTAAATATAAATTAATTCAACATAATTCAACGGTCTGGATTATGAGTTACATAACTTGCGTTATGTTATCATCCGATACAACAACCTCTCGTATGAACAAATATTGTATACATGCATGTCCATTGATAAGCACTTGGCTCAAACTAGGTTATAGTTACCCATGCAAACAATAAAAATATTAAAAACATGACAAAAATAAGAGAAACAACAAATTTTTATAGCACAAAATAATTGTTCTGCAAAAAAATACATCAGGTGAAAAAGGAAAAAAATATACGAATGGTCAACACTCAATTGGCATGCATAGAAGTACAAACTTGTTAAAACAAAATAATAATAATAATAAAATGTACTGGAATATAAATATCATATAAGAGATGATATAAGGCTGTGTTAATATGTACATAGTAAAATACAATACAAAGTGTTGTTTAGAGCAAATTGAAAATCAAAAAGCCATCTACTGAATAATATGTAGTGTTGTCAAAGCAGGCCACCACCACCACAACCTATAAGTAAGATTACACCACAAAAGCATCACTCAATTTGATAATGATATACATCTTCATATTCGTCTTGTTCAGGTTCTTCGTCCTGGTAGCGGCGGCTGTGCCGTTTCCGTTTTGGGCGACTAACTTCTGCAGTACTAACTCCACCAACTTTCTTTTTCAGCTTGATTTTCATTTTCAATGATGTGTCATTATCCGGCTCAGCTTCTGAGAGATCTTCTTCCTCTTCGTCCTCGTCTATAAAATTCAGCGGAGATAAAAAATTTGGGAAACAAGTCAAGAACAATTAGATTTAACAAACAAGTAATAGCATTATACCGTTCCCCCGCTGATCTAAAGCATTTTCTTCCATATGAATTTCTTGCTCAATACGCTGTCGGGCGTTAAGAAATACCGACTGTAAAACGATTGAGTCTGAAAATATCAGCGACGTATCCTAAAATATCAAAACCATAAGATAATTATACAGTTTAATTAAATACTTATTCACATTGTAAATATCTTTAGTAATATGCAAAATTACTAAAATTTTATATCTTACCTCATTATATTGCTGAGCATTTTGGCACAAATTCATAAATTCGTTTTGAAAATCGTTAAGGTCATTATACTGGAAATAAAAATTGTAATAATATCTTAGTGGCTAATACATCTTATAGTAACATTTATAAAGTGGCATTAAAAAAACCTTTCCATCCTCCACTCGAGACATGATTTTTTTGATGTCTAATGGTTTCTTTATGATGTCGTAATAACCTTAATCCATTAATTACTCAAATTAATTTTGCATGCACAAATTTAAAGCAATTGTAACAAAGCAGTAAACTTACCAGGTAGTTCTTTGCGAGAAGGAAGTTTCATGAATGGTGTACTCAGGACTCTACCCTCACTTAAATAAATTCAGTTACAAAATTATATAAAATGAAACATATGACATGTAAGAATAATAATTTATTATTAATAAATAATTAGAACATACCTATCTTGATAATCTATAACAATCTGCATCAGCCACCGCATTTTCATTTTCAGGCCCTCGTCATTTCTCTTTTGACTAGACTCCCCTTCCGATTTTGACTTTTTAGACTTTTTAGTTGAATCGTCGAGATTTTCCTCTTCGTCATACTTTCCACGTTTACGTCTTCTCCGTCGTTTTCCATTATTGGCATCTTCATCTTCTTCGCCTTCGTCTTCCATGGCGCCAATGACTTTTAACCATTCCTTCTCTGCAATTTTTTACGAGTCTTTTTTAATTTCATGCATTTCAAGTTTTTGTGCAGCTAATTGATTTAACTAGCGAATGGTCCCAGTTAATAGTGTAGTACTTTTAAATCCCGACTATACTAACCTGTCAATGAGTCGCCATAATCAACTTCCCGTCTTATGCGCCTCTTCCCACTAGTGGATTCTTCGTCATCTTCTTCATCTTCATTATTATTCTATTTGTAAAATTATTAATATTATTAATGTCATATACATATGGTTTAAACCAGGCCTAAAAATAGTTTACTAATAATAACAATATACCCCAGCAGCTTCTGCTTCGTCAGCCCGTAGAAGCCACTCTGGCAATTCTGATTCAACCATCAGTCTTCCCTTTCGTGATTCTTCTCGTTGAAGATCTTCTCTTTCTCTGTCCGCATCCATTTTGGTAAATAATTCAAGTTCTTCTGGGGCTGGGGTTCCGTTTAACAATAAATTTTAATTAATAAAATTTTAAACTCCACTTCTGAAATTCTGCCTATTAGAATAACACTAACCTCTTGAAATCATAAAGTTAATCGTTTCATCGTCAGGAGCTTCATTTTCTTCTTCGTCGTCACCATCATCATTTTGAAGAATACTTTGCAAGAATTCCTTTCTTTCCGAACCAGTAGACTTTTGATCAAACATTCCCGCTTGGATAACCTAATTACACAAAAAAAAACAATCAGAATAAACTTAAACTGGTAAAATAAGGCTGACTTTTACAAAAAAATTACCTTTTCGTCCATGTTTAACTTATAACGAGCGGCCGCTAAAATTCTTTCTTCCACAGAATTCACTGTCATGAGCCGCAATACTCGAACTTCATTTCTCTGACCAATTCGATGAGCACGATCTTGTGCTTGCAAGTCCTGAAAAATAAAGCATGTAATTTTTCATATATTAGTAAAAACAAAATCAAATGATGAGGGCAACGCTTATGTTGATACAGCGAGGTCTGACCTGATGAGGGTTCCAATCCGAATCGAATAAAATTCTAACAAGTCAAAATAGAATATTTTAAAAAAATAGTACGCACGTTAGCAACTACGTTTACTTACACAGTGTCGGCCGTTTGTAAATTAAGACCTAAACCACCAGCCCGTGTGCTTAGGATGAATATGAAAATATCCGAGTTAGGAGCATTGAATTTCTTGAGCAAGTCCCCTCGATCTTCAGATTTTGTTCCACCATCTAGTCGAAGGTATTTCCACTCTCGAAATTTAAAATAGTCCTGAATGCAATTATTATTATGAATAAGTATTATTAATATTGCATAATAATTATTCATAGTATTACGAAAAACATTACCTCCATAATACTCATCAACTGGGTCATTTGACAGAAAAGTAAGACACGATGTCCACTATTCTTAAGCTTTGGTAACAACCGATCCAGTAATTCAAATTTTCCTGAAGCTGTTGAAAAGGAAGACAAAATATTATAAATATGAACAAGGACCAAGATCCGAAAGCTATCAATAAATTGTATTTTGAAAAATGTCCTCCCAAACCGTGCACAATAGGAAATATGTTTTTTTAACTTGCTTGACATTTATAAACAGACATTTCTTACTTCGAAAAAGTTCCTCTCTAAAAGCATAAGAATAATTTAACCCAATCAAGTTAATTACTAATCCGTTTGAAAGAAAATCCAGTTTGAACAAAAGAGTAATTCACTTACGCGTAGGTTGGTTGGTCTATGTAATGGTCCTCAATATGACTGAACATGAATGGATGATTGCACAACTTTCTTAGCTGGACAATCGTGTTCATCAAAGCTTTAGCACTGCCTTTCCCATTCTTTCCCTTTTCAGACCCATCGGTTAACATAACACCCTTATTCTGCATGTGCCTATACGACAACATTAGACAAGAAATTGTTAACATTATTTCTTTTAATAGCAAAGAAAAATATTATGATTAATATTAGTTAGAAAAATTTAATACATACCGATACAGAACTCGCTGCAGAGCTGACATTTCACACTTGATAATGTATTCAACCTTGCTCGGCAATTGAGATTCTACTTCCTTCTTGAGTCGACGTAGCAAAAAGGGTCGAAGAACTTTATGTAGACGACGAATAATGAGAATGGTTTCTTCTTCGTTCAGCTCAACTTTTTCTCCTGTTGTGGCAAATGGAGCGTTGAACCACTGCTCGAACTTTACGTTAGAAACATTCATACATATATTCTCACATCTGTCCAACTAATGCAGTAACATTCTTTTAAACTCTAAATTTATTCTTACAGTGGAAGATGATTTGAAAATTGAGGGTAACAAGAAATTCAATAAAGCCCATAATTCAGGCAATTTGTTTTGAAGTGGTGTCCCAGTCAAAAGAAGCCGATGAGCAGAAATATAGTAAGTGTTCAAAATTTGAGTCAGTTTACAGTGATGGTTCTTCATTCGATGACCCTCATCAATAATCATGTATTTCCAACGAATCTAGAAAATAAATTAAACATAATCATCATTAGTGTGCTAAATTGTGTATGTCAACTTCTTATACAAAAAAACAAAGACTGAGAAAAACATTTTACTTTGGACAAAATTCCTTTATCTTTAATGATGTATTCGTATGTGGTCAGGAGAACGTTAAACCTCGTGGCTTTCATCTGAGTCTGAATTTGTCGCCGAAGTAGAGGGGACCCTTTGTAAGCTACCACTTGAACTGAAATGCCAAGTTATATTAAGTTTTAGATTTGAAATTAGCTTACAAGTTTATATGCAAATTTGTTACCTGATGGCGCCCACTTCTCAAATTCCAAGACCCAATTAGAAAGAGTTCTGCAAGTTTTATAGCAACACAAGGTAATAACAATGATGGAAAATCTTTGGAAGTTTATAATTTGAATCATACGAAAGAGGAACAATGATTAAATACGGTCCAAGGTTCCTTTTGCGTTCCATAAGATAAGTACATAAGCCTATCGTTTGTATCGTTTTGCCCAATCCCCTAAAATAGAACTCGGTATTGATTATACAAAAAATGGCAAAAATTGCTTTTAATTGCACTCACATTTCGTCGGCTAAAATACCGTTGAGATTATTGTTGTACAGCGAAACAAGCCATTCCAAACCCTAATGCAGTAATTAATTAGTTAGAGCAAATATATTTTGGAAGTAATATACAAACTTACTTTTATCTGGTATTCTTTCAAGTTTCCATTTATCAACATGTTGGCTTGCTCGGTAACCGGCTCGTGAATAGTGTGGGCAATTCTATCAAACAACGGATGCCATTATTGCCATTTAAAAATATCATAAAACTTGATCTACCTTCTAAGCAAAGGTCATTGAATACTTACGTGTAATAATTTTGTTCTCCTTGCTGTTTATATTCATCATCTTCAACTTTAGCTTTAGCTTGCTGGATAACTTCCTTTGCTACTTCTTCTCCAATTTCCTCAGAATCTCTTTCAGGGAGGATCACAACAGGTGGTTTCACATCTGTACAATAAGCAGTGCTTAGTGCATAAAATATAATATGCATGTAATACATCAAAAAGGATAATGAGAATAATATACTTGTGACTAATGCCGAAGGGTCAAGATCATCATCTGATTCACCGTCGCCAGATTCATCAGATTCTTCTTGAACTTCCCATCCGGGATGAGACTGCAACCATATTTGAAGTTCTCCCGAAGTCGGTGCATCTTCGCCGGACAATATTTTTCCGGTTTCTCTGTCTACAACACTAACCCGTTTTTCCATTGAAGACATTTGAGAATTCTCATCGTCGCCTCCTTCAGTTGGCTCAATGGCTTTCTCCTTCTACAACAGATTAGGTTTACGTCAATTCAAAATATTCAAGTACAGAACTTATTGACATCATGTACGAATTGATATGCACACTATTATCAATTTTTTATCAAATTCCATACCTTCTTTTTACGTAGTTCCTTGATCTTTCTACGCTGCTCAGTTTTGTGTTGCTGTACCAATTCAGTCAAGTTGCCAATGTATTCATCAGTTTGGCTAAGTAGAAATGCCAGGCGCTTATCTTTCTTCTGATCAATAAGTTTCCGATATCCCTAAATAAAACAAATAATAAATAATGTGCAAATTCGGCTCATGTATATATTCTTAGATGGTAAAAACCCGTCTGAAAATAAAGGTACGTACCTCCTCATCTTCTGCCATCAACCGGCGTAATCTTTCTTTTTCAATGCGTTCTTGCTCTTTTTTCTGCTCTCGATCTTGACCGGCATGATAAATCATCATGGCTTTATTGAGACGACTCGTCTTCAGTTGATTATTCTTGTGGAACTCACGCATATCTTTACCATGCATAAGAACAGCATTTAAAAACTCTTGATGTTTTTGCCGACGTTTCTTTTCAGCTTCCTGCTTTTGCTGTTTTTCCAATCTTTCTGTTGCTCTTGCTTCCTTTAGCCCTTGACGTTTCGTGCGTTTATATGCTTTGATTTCTGTCGATGTATCAAGAGTAGAATCCCTAGACATACAACTCACCACTTCTTGTCGAAGTTGTTTTTGAAAATTTAAAAGCCTCAGTGCATGGAGCTCTGTAAAAAATACATCAATAAAATCAATAACATGTGCACGCCACAAGTGTATACTATATTATATATTGCGTGCTTCAAAAACCCATTGGCATACCAATTTGTGCTTTGCATCGCAAGTCTTCTGTCATATTTGTAGGTAAATCTGATAAATCTTGGAGACGACATACGATTTTCGAAGCCAACCTTCAAACAAATAATAATAAGCAGCTTTAGTTAATAATGGCACAAGGTGCGCTAAACCCTATGCATTAAAAAATATTCTTCTTTACCTGTTTTCTCTTTCATTTAAAAGCAACACTGGATCCAAACCTGCCGGTTTCTCCAGAGGTGTTAAACGGTTTTGCTTTTGAGCCGGTGCTACTAATGCTTGAGATTTAGCTTGACCGCCATGCGTTTGAGGACTAGTTACAGGGGGCTGTACGGTAGCAACTGATGCTGATGTTGAAGTAGTAGTGGTTGGACCATTTTGAATTCCTACACAAAACATAAAAAATACACAAGAGAAATTAATTCATATCACTTTCTTGAAAAGACTAAAAGACAACCACTGACCAATTTGTTGAACCGGATTGCGAGCTGCAGGCGATGGAGTAGGTGGTGAGTCAAACCGTTTGCCTTGAGCGGCCGCTAATATTTGCCCATTTAGAGGTAAAAATTGACTCCGAGATAAAAATCGGTAAGCCATCACTTGCGCCTTAAATTGCTGCATTTGTGGAAGACTAAACTGAAATAGGAGAATTAAAGTATAGTTAATTAATCGTATTTATTATTATTGGCTAAATAAAATGATGAAACCTTACATTTGTTTTAAATGCACCATTTGCTGTTGTGGAAAGCAGTGCTTGTGCAGCAGTTACTCCAACCTGCTAACATATATTTAATGAATGATTACATATCACATATTTACAATAGAAATAAATAACAAAACTTAATAATAAGTTAATCCTCCTAAAGTAGCAACTCACCGCACGAAACTGAGATCCTTGATCTTGAGAATGCATTGATCTTGCCCTCAATGTTAGAAGCGAAGCATATCGCGGATCATTTTGAAGACCTTTTTCCTCCATCGACTCGATCGCCCTTTGCAGCGCATTTGCACTTTCCTGCGAAGGGTAGGCAGGGGAAGGATGGAAGTACGGTCCCCCTGCGGTGGGTGGACCCATCATCATAGTGAATCAAGCGCTTACAACCACTCCATTACTGGAAAATGTTAATCATAATTTATAAGCACAAACTTGCAGGTGAAAATCTTAGGAAAATAATAATCTACAAATAACATTATTCATTATTTACTTTCATTATCAAATTGAATTTAGCTTGCACAACGTACCTATTTTCCTATTGCTTTTATAGCAAAAATCGTAATGAGCGAACGCCAGCAAACTCAGGTTATTGAGTTCCTCTCACAGTCGTAGTAATAATTTTAAATTGTAATTAAATTTTTAACAAATGCACTGTCACTTTCCAGTCGAGAATGTTGTTAATTTTGAGATCTGAAAGTTTATAGTTTTGAAGGCAGTGGGATTTTGAGGTGAAGATGGCTGTGAAGTGCTGATTGGGTTTTTGGATGGATGGAAGGAGACCACGCGGAGATCAGTCCGCCCCATGAAACCGTCCTTTCCGTTCACACACTTCGACCGGCTACCATCTCGCTCTCTCCAAATTTCTACATTTTTCGAAATTCCTGATCCAAAAATCTTTAGAAGTGAACAATGGCTTTCGGAGATCTGTCTGGTGTTGCTGGCCTTAAAAAATTGAACGATCATCTGAAAACTCGTAGCTACATTGACGGGTATATATTGTTCTTAAAATTACAAAACTTGAAAAAATACGGAATTTATTTAATATACTTCTGAATTTGTTTCAGGTACTCGCCCAGCCAGTCGGATACGGCTGTTTTCGAACAAATTAAGTCTTCACCTAGCTCATCCGAGTACGTCCACGTGCTGAGATGGTAAGACATTTTTTAGTTTCATGATATTTCATAAATTATAATGATGCGTTCTATGTGACTATTTAATACTAACAATTAATAATGGCTCCTCTTGTAAGGTATAACCATATCAAAAGTTTTGGCGATTTGAAGAACAAATTCCCAGGAGATGTTGCAAAAAAAGCTGCAGCTGCTGCAGATGATGATGACGATGTGGACCTCTTCGTTTCTGATGATGAAGAGGTTTGTTATTTATTTATGACTTGACAAAGTCAGTTGGGGTTATGTCGTTAAAATTATTATCTTATTATTATAGGACGCGGAGGCAGCGAAAGTAAAGGAGCAAAGACTTGCGGAATATGCGGAAAAAAAGCAAAAGAAAGGTCCAGGCCCAATCGCCAAGAGCAGGTTACTTTACATACAAGTTACTTTTAAATCTTTAAGTCTGGAGCATTAACTTATTGAGTTACTATAATCTTTTCAGTGTGATCTTGGATGTAAAACCTTGGGACGATGAAACGGACATGAAAGAAATGGAACGACTGGTTAGATCAATTTCAATGGATGGCCTTGTAAGTCGTCATACATAATGCATACTTAACTAGTGCATTTATCTCTTTTTTGAATGAACTCGTACAGTATGTATCATTTAAATCTCACAGGTGTGGGGAGTTTCAAAGCTTGTGGAGGTCGGATATGGGATTAAAAAGTTGCAGATTATCTGTGTCGTTGAAGATGACAAAATCTCGATTGAACAACTAACCGAGGACATCCAAAACTTTGAAGACTTGGTTCAGTCGGTTGACATTGCTGCGTTCAATAAAATTTAAACATTTATATGCTTAGATTTGAGCATTATTGTTTGAAATTTCAGCAGTTGGTTCATTTAACTTGTGAAATAAAAGTGTGTTCTTCTTAATTCGTTAGGAAGAGTAACTGGTAATTTTATTGCTTCATTTCTTTCATTTCATAATCACCAAGCACAAATAAGCACGATGGCGTTCCTTAATACTAGTGGTACTGGCACCCACTATTTACTTACATAACACTTCAGAAGCAGACGAAACCAATTTTCTTGAACATGTTATTTTTCGGTACCTGTATAAATGAACTGCAGTTGGATCGACTACCCATTCCATATTTATCTCATAAGATACATAGGACTTACTTCGTTAGTAAAGTTACAAGTAGTTTCTTTCCTGAGTCTGGGAATAATGATTGGTGGTACTAGTATTATAAGGTGTTGGTGATGAGTGCGTGGTACCCAGTAGTAAACTTGATTGAAAGAGGATGAGACCACTTTTGCTCTGTTGCTTCCTAATAAAGTAGTGCAAAATAGTGCAACAAGGAACGGAGAAAATTTTAAAATTTGACGTCGCGTTAAAAGTTGTGCCAAGTTTTTTAAAAGATATTGCAGGTAGTAAGTGTCATCATGGAAAGGATTTACAGCGTCACCTTCCTCTTATTCTTCGTAGCAGCCAACTTTATGTTTGTGGCGTTATCATTTCCGCAACAAGATTTTGGAAATGAGCAGGGTTTTTTTAATAGCGAATTTCCAGACTCAAGTAAAAATTCGTGTTTGGCATTTTTTCATATCGTCATTAATTAGTCAGTATGTTTGCATATTTAACTTTTATCGTCTTCATGATTAGGTTCAAAGCGTGGAATAAATCCCATGACCGAGTCTTGTTTAGCCTGCATTTGCCAGGCAAATATTTATTAAATTATATATATATGTGCATATGGGTATATATTTATCATTATTAAATTTCTACTAAAATCTCAGGCATCTACTAATTGCAACTTGACCACCAGATGCATTAGCAGTGATAAATATTGTGGACCGTTTCTAATTTCCAAACCATACTGGTGAGACTGTACAAATGCACCAACACAAAAGAATTCTTGTGATCTAAACATTATTTTGTTTAAAATTGTAGGCTTGACGCAGGTCAACTCACCATTAAATTTGACGAGCCATCAAGAGACGGAGGTATTACAATTTTTGCATATCATTTGTCGTTGCGATAAATGTAATTGGAAATATATGTTTTAGCGTTCTTTGCTTGTGCTACCGATCCGATATGTGCAGCACAGGTAAAATAAATGTACATACATGCACGTCGTGCATGCATTACATAATACATGCAGATACACCATGACATATTGATTATAAACCTAGTTTTATTTAAAATGTGTATCATTTTTCTTCGTCAGACGGTGCGCACGTACATGCTAAGATATCAAACGGTAAGTTGCAATACTTTGCTAATTTTTGGTATGGATTTTTTGCGAGTGTGTGCAAATCTATCTCACATGGGTGGCCATAAACTTCAACTTCATTTTTAATATAAATATGTATGTATGTTGAGTTGCTTCCTAATTACTTGTTACTGATTTTATTACAAACCAAGGACATAATTCATATGTATGTAAATACAGTAGCTGAATAGCTTCTTCTTCTGTTCATCATTCCTTGCCAATTCAAAATTATTCTGCTTATTATACATAAATATGGGTGTATCTATTCACTCTCATTTCCGCTGTTTTTCTCATTCTAATGTGGTATAGTTTGCTACAAATATCGAATAATTTCACTATCAAGCACAGGATACAAATTACTACCAAAGACACTTTTTAATTTTAATAACATCCTGTTTGTCTGTCTAATTTTGCAGGACTGCAATAATGATGGGATAATTGACTGCGACGAGTAAGTTTCTTCAGTTTGTTCTCGTGCTAATTACAATTCGCACTACATATTAATTATAAAAATATAGCATGGGCAGGACGCATCTCATGGGAGCAGACGACTGTTCGAACCAAAGGGTCACGTCAACGCCTTTTTTTAAACGATTCAGAAAATGTTATGATGCTGTTCTCCAGCTCAATGCATCATAAGATAATTATTGTTTAGATGGGCGATCATCATTGCCCATGATGATGTATGTACATATTGTATTAATTAAGGCACGCTACAAAAAAGTTGGAATTGGATCCGGTTCACAACATGTACTCACTTTATATTTATTTGTAATTTCTAATTCCCTTTGTTACCACTTACTTACCACTGATATTTTATGGCATGGGCGTGAAACACATAGCACCACAAATAATATATAAATAATAAAGGTGAACTAAAGGTATTTCTAGTTAGTAGTTGTTTTTTATCAAGCGTCTGAGTCCAAGTCCAGCCAGGTATGCCTAACCCTAACCTCATACAAAAAACATACATATGCAAAGATCCCATGTTTGCAAATTAGCAACCTGTTGGACAACTTCAATTTTATTTTACAGCCATTATTGCATGAGTCATTTGTACTTGGAAGTTATACAATTGGAACACGTCTTGAGCACCGACTATACATAATCACCTAAGAGTAATTGGAGGAAGCATTTATCTTGTAGAAAATAAGTGGGTGTTATAACATTAATTAGTCATTAGCTGCTACATGCGTGATTCCAGATCCTAGTTGTGCTGAGTTTATGACATCATAAAATCTATAAATCTTTGTTTATATGGGTATTGTTACTTTTACTTCAGTTAATAAACAAGGCCCCCAAAAATGGGAAATCTTAGTGAGGCAGTGCAATCACATAGATTGCAGAATTTTTGTATCACCGCTCTCGATAACATTCTTACTGGTAGCATTAAAACATTTGGCCCCCCTGAAAGGTCTGGTCATCATAATACGAATAGGATATCCAAATTAATTTATCGGAAATAGATTTGAAACTTTTTGTAAACCTAAAACTTCAACTTCTCGTTTACTAGTAAAAACGTGTTCTTCAAATCTCGATTAATTTAATAAATGTAAAAATTCATGCGTATACTAAACAAAATTTATAGTGGATCCAGTAAAAACGGTACCGAGAGCGATAATGGAAAAATTATGTAATCTAATTTTTCTTATTAGTTGCGACTGCACTGCCTCACTAAGATTTCCAATTTTTTGGGACCTTGCTTAAAGTTTAATTTTTTATTATGTTTTTTAAGTTTTTGGTAAATGCATACTTACAAGGAAACCTTAAGTACTGTCACATCTCGATTTCCTTTCGGATGGTCTTAATTGATAGAAAATTGAGTGTAACTAAAACCTTGTCGTAGGACAAACGGTGCAAAATCACGTTTTTGTGAAATTTTTGGCGAAAGCTGCGCCAAACTTCCAATTTTTCCAATGCTTTTAACATAGGTAACAGCCTTCAGAATAATGAAATTAAGTTTATAAATTATATACCTGTCCGTAATTTCATGCTGATTACCAACATGCACAAAAATTCATGCAAACATTGGCCAACTTTTTCCAAACTGAGAAAATCTGCAAAATTTTCTAAATTTGAATTTCGTCGTTTTTTGAAATTTTAATAAAATTTAAATTTTAAACTTGTTTTATTTAAGCATTGCAAAAAAGTTTTCAAATAATTTTTTATCTCATTGCAACAAAATGGGCGAAAATTTAAAAAAATTGAAACTCACAATTTTTCATGAAAAAAGATATAATGATCAATGCTAAGTGTATTTTATGTATTTTTCAAAATTGTTGGGTTTATTTGTTTTTGCAAGTCCAAAAAAATTTGGAAATTTATATCGCCAGCTTTTAACATATTCAACAAAATAACTTTTCCATACCTTGTTCGAGATTTTAAGCTTCTTGGAAAACTGGAAAAAAATTTATCTTGGAGGGACCCTCTGGGGTCCCTCCACTATGGCACATATAAATATGTAGTCCTATGTATATGGCATATATAGGACGTCCTATATATTAAAATTTCAAAAAACGACGAAATTCAAATTTAGAAAATTTTGCAGATTTTCTCAATTTGGAAAAAGTTGGCCAATGTTTGCATGAATTTTTGTGCATGTTGGTAATCAGCATGAAATTACGGACAGGTATATAATTTATAAACTTAATTTCATTATTCTGAAGGCTGTTACCTATGTTAAAAGCATTGGAAAAATTGGAAGTTTGGCGCAGCTTTCGCCAAAAATTTCACAAAAACGTGATTTTGCACCGTTTGTCCTACGACAAGGTTTTAGTTACACTCAATTTTCTATCAATTAAGACCATCCGAAAGGAAATCGAGATGTGACAGTACTTAAGGTTCCCTTGTTAGTAATTTTTTTCGTGGTTAGGTATTTGCCTCGATAAGAAAAACTATGAATGCTAGGAAATGCCTTTTTCAATTCGATGGACCAATTATGTTACTCTAAACAAAAAGAATGGAAGCATTTTGATGGATCCCTAATTCCTATATTATGAGATCATCCTCCAATAATTGATGTAAAGTGACACAGCAATAATGTGGCATAAGACGAACGAACAAAAACGACGAGTACCTGAATCATGAAATTTATGGCTTATTATTGTTATCACCTTGACTAATTCGTCTTCATAAGCACAGTCATCATTGATATCGTTATAGACCGTCAACAATAACAAGCTACTACTAATTCTTAAGACGATTACATATGTTAGTCTCATTGAGAATTTAGTAATTGTCCATTTTTGGGAGTCTAATAATGCAGCATATTCATGCTGTTCCTGATGAGATGATGCGTACACATAAATGCGTCACATGAATTCATTCACGAGATACATTTTGTTTGGTGAAGTGGTCAATAATATTTCTCCAAGTGATTTAAAAATTGAGGTTCTTGGAAATGTATCAACAACTTGCTTCTCTGATCTGCAGTCTAGTTTTCATAGTTTTGCTCATCAATGGAGGAGATGGTCAAGAAATATCAGACGAGTGTCTGGGTTGCATTTGCCATGCAAGCAGTGGATGCAATAAAAATCAAGGTGATTTTAAAAAGTTGGAAAAATACCTCATCATATGTGTATTTTTGGATATTTCTAACACAATTCATAAATTAAATTACTTTAGTAAATAGAAATTTTAAAGTTTCGAGTATTAAAGTAAACTGTTTTATCGTTTAAAGGTTGTACTGATGGGGGTGTTTGTGGACCATTTCTGTGAGCATTTTTTCTCTTCCGTAATAAATAATAAAACTTTAATATGCTACTCATTTTTCCAGTTTAACATGGCCTTTCTGGGCTGATGCTGGAAAACTTATGATAAAAGGATCGAATCCCACAAATGGTAGTTTGCTCCATTCGTTGTTATCAAATCATACATGGAAAAAACAAAAAATTAATCCTTTACTTTATTAGCTTACAGTGATTGTTCCAACGATTTGTACTGTGCGGCAGAGAGCGTAAGATCCTATGCACGAAAATATGCAAAGGTAGATCGACGTTACATTTGTTATTTAATGAATACATGTCATGCATTATTTTTCTATTTAAAATATTTTTTACAATTGTGCACAAGTTTGGACAAAGACATGATGTAATAATGTGAATGTAATGTTAAAATCTGTAATTTATGCAGGATTGTAACCAAGATGGGATTATTGATTGCGAAGATTTTGCAAGAATCCACAAAAATGGACCCGGAGCTTGCGGAGATTTGCAACTTTTGCAGACGGAATATTATCAAAAATTTGCACAATGTAAAGCTAAAGTTAATCCACAATGAAAATGTTCCTATCCAACTGTTACCACCAATGTTAGTAAATAACATGCATAAAATCACTCTGCGTTGTTGTTAATTATTACTTGAACCATCCACACTGTTTTTCTTTTCTACCTGATGAGTGAAAATATGAATTAATGCAATTTTGTTTGTTTGATGCTTGTGTAATAAATACACACATAGCTTTCTAGATTTTTATGAAACATAGTGCTTGTTAACCTTATATGACAGCCGTCTAAACAATTATAAGAAACAATAATCATTTGTACGGAATTTCCTTTCGTAGTCAATTGAGCCGTATTAGACAATGAGAAAATCATCTTGAATCACTTATCGTTTAGTTACTCAGGTATTCAAGGCACACGATAATTACGAATTAATGATAATTATTTCGAACCGTATTTATGTTTTACTACTCGTGTACAAGTTCATACTAAATATGTAGAAAACTAGCGCATGAGTATACGAATGATGTTGTGAGTATATTCTGACGACAAGGTTGGAAATCAGAGTGACCGTGATTGGAACAGTGTTGCAGTAAAGAACAGAGTCACATCAGGGAATGTATTTTGTGAACAGCTTAGCTATTCCAAATGAGGTTGTTCTAATTAGTGTTGTCCTGATAGGACCGGGGCCGGACAATCTTCATCTCATCCCGGAAGTCTTGTCCCAAGATCATTCTTTCGGCCGGAACATCAGAATCTTGTGGGAAAGTTTAATGTTGAAAAAATTTTAAGTTTGGCTTCATATTCCGAATTTATACCTCCGTTTGAACCATCACTCATGCCGAATTTCAGCCTTCTGTGGGCTGAAACTATTAAAAATATGCGTAATACCAGTCTTATTCTAAATGTGCACAAAAGTCTTGGTTTCATAACCCGTGCAACTTATTTATTCCATTTGGATACACAAGTAGAAAATCATGCCAAAAACACGCGTCAATTCACCCATGTTTGACCTAAATAATGACACGATGGTGATGAGCTAGCATAACCTATGCGGTGAATAAAAGCTGCAATGCATTATTGTGAATTCTGCACATGTCATGCACTCATTTGCAATAATAAATTGTATTAATTCATGTTCACAACCCAGCATGAAAAGTATACAAAATCTGTAGATGGATACAATTAACCTCAAAATCTAATCCCCATGATAAAGGAAAATATTCCATGCTATTCAAGCTATTTTTCACCACAAAAATCGTACTGGCCTGACCTTCAAGCGTTGAAATTGTACGAATCGATCTGGATCGAGTTTATTTCTTCCAGCGATGGGAGATTGTCTAAGTATAATAGAAACGAAGTCAATTTAATATCCTTGAATGTCGAAAAGTTCATTCACAGCTAATCAAGAGGAAGCACGCGGGCGACAAGTAGCACATCGTGATCAGTGCTATTTAGTATCTACCTACGTACATACGTATATATATTATAGTACTCCGTGTACTAAAGTCGCAACCCAACAACTGTCTGCAGAGGTGTTTTACGACCACCGTAAATATCCAGTCAAGAGGCAAGTGAAAGAAATGTGGAAGGAAGAATCTCCTTAAAATTAAATCCAACCCAAATGAAGAGTGTGGAATAAAGTGCAAATTACGGAAATACACACACATTAATACGGTTGAAGTGGTTGATGTGCATAATTCTTGGAGGCGGCGACAGTCATCCGAAAATTCAAGCTCACTATGCTCAAGTGCATGACTTTGGCACAATCGTACATCCGTAGCCCAATATCGAATCTATAGCAGCCAATAATCATGAGCTCATCGGCTCAATAACCTACACTTGATTTCGCATAAAGCTGTAAACTGGGTGGAATTTCATAAGATTGGAACAGAGAAAACAAAAATCATGCAGAAGCATTTTATTTTTAAATAAGCTTGATCTTGATCTACAGGAAGGAAACACATGTCGTCGACATTGGATATATGGAAAGATTTGCTACATTTTATGCTCAAACGTATGCAACTCAGGTTGAGACAACGCATTCCTTGGAACACGGATTATTCACAACTCGTCGTATTTACCACGAGATGAATTAGTTTTGTCAATTACCGGATCTGCTTATATCTCGTGCATAGTAGTAGTATTGGGAATACATGGAATTGTGTTTGGAAGTTTAGCTATGCTAAAGTTGAGTCTAATATTTATATAAAGTCGGATCTTTGTACAATCCTAAATAGCTTTAAGCACATACTACAATTCTTTCTGCACAATTAAACCTTCGATCTTAATGGCACATTCCTCCATTGTCAATTTTTGTATAGGTACTCAACGCTTGGAAGTTGCATTGTGTCAAGTATAAAATCAGAGAGCGACAATTGAGCCACATCAGTTATTATTCCAAACATTAACAAATGAACAAGTGCACAAGCCGATGCTAAGTGAACTTTAATGACCGGTAGCCAGTAGTATAAAGATTATTGCCGAGATATGTTAATCAATTAGGAAGTTGACTTACAAACGAATCCCTGGACAGTGTTCTGCATTAGTGAGTGGTAATTCATATTATGCAGTGAATACGTTACATGTTTCATATGAAAGTGAACTCATTTGCGTATTGTGGATGGACTTGAAATTTTAAACGCCACATCAGAGGAGTCAACTATTTGCGTGTCATATGTGAAAGGCTAATTCAATACAATACAGTGACGGCAAACAATAGACAAATCTTTCTCAGAAAATCTAACATCTCAAACTTGATAACCTAATGAGACATCCTGCTCATTAAAATACAAAGTCTTGGTGTTCTTTCTTCCAATCTCCACTTACCTCGTCCGGCATTTTACAGTGTCATGAATTCGTAAATAAAAGCTACCAGTGAATCTGCAAAAATGTTGAATTTATTTGGAAAGTTCTTGAGAAAAAAGTTGGTGGACCGTGAGGAAAATTCAACCCAGCTAAACAGGGTTCTCTCAACCCTTGACCTGGTAATACTATACAATTATAATTATAATTAAATGTACACAATGTATGCAAATATGTTATAGACACTTTTGGGAATCGGAAGCACACTCGGCATCGGAGTTTATGTACTCGCAGGTCTGGACATTTATGAAAAAAGTTTCAAATCTGTTAAACTCGTTAATTTAGTAAAACAATTGATGTTCTTTGTACAGGCAGTGTGGCCAAGGATTCTGCGGGTCCTGCGGTGGTCATTTCGTTCTTTGTTGCAGCATTAGCTTCGGTTCTTGCTGGTAATGATAATATGCACCACGTACACATTTTTATTTTATTTAGTGATTATCATTATGATAATGTCTCATTCCTAAATGGTGTAATTGACATTTTTAGGCCTGTGCTACGCTGAATTTGGTGCCAGGGTTCCCAAAGCAGGCAAGATGTCTTAACTAGTAATGTATCGAATTGGTCATCAAGTGTCCTTAATTCTTTAATTTATTTTTTGGCTTCCAGGAAGTGCGTACGTATACAGTTATGTATGCGTTGGAGAGCGTAAGTTGGTGATACACTGATTTACAGACTTTTTTGAAACATGTGTAGTGCAAATGATATATTTATTATGTATGTTTTCATGCTTTGCTACTTATAGTCATTGCATTTATTGTGGGATGGAACTTAATTATGGAATATGTGATTGGTAAGAATACGTGAATTGTCTCAATTTCATACAAACTTATAATAAATATTTGCAGATGAGAATATCAAAATTTTAGTTAATACAGTTTAGAAATTATTTTGCAGGAGTTGCCAGCGTGGCGAAAGGCTACTCTGGTTATGTGGATCAAATATTTCACCACGAGTTAAGCAACGCATTCAACGCATATGTTCCAATTAAAGTAGAATTTCTGTCGGACTACTTTGATGCGTTTGCTTTCTCCATTACAATTGTGCTTACACTCTTGCTGTCTTTTGGAGTTAAAGAATCCTCCTTTGTCAACAATTTCTTCACAGCCCTTAATCTCGGGGTTGTAATATTTGTGATTGTTGCTGGCTCCTTCTATGGTGGGTTTGACATAAATATGTCTACGTTCGTGGTCATACAGGTCGAAAAACGCGTAATTAAATAATATTAGCGGAATCTACAATTTGTGGCGATAATTTTTGATTTTTTAATATTTCTTATGAAATGCATGAAACGTATTAGAGTGCGAAATTAAGCTAATCATATTCTTTGACTGACACAATTCGATGACGTATTTTTCGACCGCGTATGGCTGGCTGTATATGTACGTATGTATGTATGTGTAAGCAGTATAATCTGTACTTATTACAATCAAATTTAGCCGATCCGAAGAATTGGGCTTTGCGAAAAGAAGACATTTTGAATTCAACTGCAAATATGACATCAGAGAAAGTGGGTGATGGGGGCTTCGCTCCCTTCGGTTTTCACGGAATGTATGGAAGTTAATTTTAAAAGCATAACTAATACGCATGAATAAAATGATTATGTTAATTACAGAATGAAAGGCGCTGGTTAGTTTTAGTCCAGTTTCGTGCAAATTTACGATCACAAGGATTATCAAGCTATATTAATTACTATTTCTTTATTTCCATTTAAAGCTACCTGCTTTTATGGGTTTGTGGGGTTCGATTGCATTGCCACCACTGGAGAGGTAGAATTTTACCAATTTTTAATTGCCAAATAATAATATGAGCACGGGACTAAATACGCTTGTTTTGTGGTTTAATGTATTTGTAGGAGGCCAAGAACCCTCAGCGATCAATTCCAATTGCGATCATATTTGTATGTAATCTAAACCAATACTGATGTACAAATGCATATGATTTTCCTCTGTTATTTTGTAGTCTTTGCTATTTATTTTCCTTGCGTATTTTGGAATATCGGTCGTTCTGACCATGATGGTCCCCTACTACCTGCAGGTATCACTTTCAAGTTTGCAATTATTTAAGTATTTAAACTTAAATTCGAGGTCCTGTTACGTAGGTTTTTATAAATACTTTTTACGCAGGACTCTGAAGCTCCATTGCCACAGGCTTTCCTACGTGTGGATTTTACATTTGGACAATGGGTAACTGATACATATAAGCCAATATTAAATAGTACAAAAAATATTAAGAATGGTGTTTATGACTTAGGTTGTAACGGCAGGGGCCTTATTTGGGTTATCGACAAGGTATATTTTGGCTGTGAATTAATGATTTTGTTTAATATATTATTGAACATAAACAAGAAAGGAACATATTCTACTTGTTTTTTTTAGTTTACTGGGCGCAATGTTCCCCATGCCACGAGTTATCTATGCAATGGTTTGTAAAATTGTAATATTGGAAAATTTATGATTTTTTCATATGATTTATGCATTTAAGGCCAGCGATGGAGTTTTATTCAAATTTTTGGCTAAAGTCCATCCCAGGTAAATTTAATGAAAACTATATATTTGTTAAACAAAAAGTTTATTATCAGCGATCCAATATTTTGACAGATTTCATACTCCCTTAATTGCAACTCTGATAGCTGGCACGTTTGGAGGTGAGGCGATATTGAAGGGTTCATAATGCGAGTAGATTAATCCAATGATACATAAACACATATGCACATACATGTATTCGTTATAGGTTTAATGGCTGCCATTTTTCGACTGGAGGTAATACATTTTTTATTAAGTTAGTTTTTATTAGTTGTCCGCCAAGTGAAATATTGAATTGATAATTTCCAGGCACTCATTGACATGATGAGTATTGGAACTTTGACTGCTTATACGTTAGTGGCTGTGTGCGTTCTTTGCCTGAGGTAAATATGCTTTTATAAATGCATCGTTTTATTTTGTGTCTAACACACGCGTCTTTGCAGATACCGGAAAGATGTCGATGGCGCTGACGACATTGATTGTACTATAGATTCATCACAAACACTAATTAAAATGACGTCTTGCAACTATTTTGGACAAATTTTCAACTCGATGAGATCAACGCGTCCCACTGAATTATCTTCTGCCTATACAAACTATGCAGTGGCGATGTATTGTTAGTGAACAGCATACACATATTTATGTATTACTATCCTAATATGTAATAATTTTAAATATATTTCAGGTGTAATCACAGGCTCATTTTGTGCTGTTGCAATATTTGCTGAAGATCGAATTATTCAAGGCAGTGTTGGACCTGTGTGTGCTTTGGCAATTTTGGGCATTGCATTAATTTTGATTCTAATTTCTTTAGCATCACAACCAGTTTCAAGGGTTAAAATTTCCTTTAAGGTACGTTTTGTCTTGCTCAACATCATGCAAAAAGTATCACTGCATAAAAATAATATGTGATTAAAGTGATACATAAATATTGCATGCACATAATTTGCATTCGTGGTATACATAGGTGCCTTGTGTTCCTTTAATCCCTGGCCTCAGCATATTGGCGAATACTTATCTGATCATGAAACTTTCCGGGATGACTTGGATTCGTTTCTCGGTCTGGATGGGTCTAGGATTTCTTATTTACGCTATTTGTCTTTTGAACGGAACGACGGATAAAGCATACGCACTCTCGTTGGAGAACAAGAACAAGAACAAACGGAAGTACTCCAAAGTGTCCGCATCAGGATTTCACAACAAAGGCTTGATGCACTTTAGGAATGGGAAGTTGGTGGATGAGCAACACGGCCACAATGAGACAGAAATGGCTGGATATCCCAACGGAAGTTGCGACACAGGGACGGGAAAGGACACAGTTTCTTTGGCCAGTGCTCAAAATCGTACAAAGACAGAGATCCGACGAGATGTGGAAAAAAATGAGCCACCTTCACCAATATCGAAACAAGTCGAAACTGAGACAATCGAAAAGAGTGTCGAGTTTGATGATGGAGAAAGTCAGGAAGCAGAGGCTGAGTATCCATCTGCAGAGAAAGCAGCAGTTGAAGCCATTGACTTTGTGATTTCTGAAGCTTATAAACAGCCAGTGGATGACTCAAAGTCTAAAAATTAATCTTTTAAATTTATTATATTCATCTTGCCAATTTTATTAGCGTATATATATTTGTATTGTGAAACAACTTTTTTAACTGCTATTGCTTAGGGCAAATTTTAAGGATTTAAATCCCAACTTTTAGAATCGTCAATGTACAATTTAGTGAGTTTTAAGTTATGACAAAATTACCAAATAATTTAAGGATACACTTTTTTAACCTTTTCCCAAATAGTTTGAACAGAAAATATTAGTACTTCCTTTAAAAACATGTCCTAAACACAAATCAGATTGTGATAAACCGGGAAATATTTCAGTAAATAAAACTTTACAATTTCAAAATTAAAAATTCCACTGACAATCTTTGTCGACCTTATTTAAAGTTAATTAAATGAATACAATAGCACATTAAAACGTCATGTACGTAAGTATGTAGTGTGCACCTACTTCCATACGTATACAAATATTTCGTCAAAGTGAGTTGATATTAAGCCCTATAACTTATGTATAATGCTAGGGCTATATATGTCCACTCAATACCAAATCACATGATGGATGAAAATATGATGCCGTTTGTGGCGAAAGAGGACGTATCGTAAAAAATCAGGTTGGGATAAAAGGCCGAATCTCAAAAGTTAATAGCTGGTGGGTATTTCCACCCTTATTGAGAAAACATCAAGCTTTCCAGAATTGGTTTCATCCATGGTGCTGATATTAGTATTTATGACTATTGCGTTCCTATATTCGGTCAGATAAGAGTCATTAAATGAGGGGGTCAGTTTTGAGACTCGGTCTACAAAATGGGTTTAGGCATGAAGTCAAACTGCCATCGCCCGCTGTTGATCTTTCTACATACCGGAATCCAATTATAGCGTATCATCGCCACTCCTCCGTCCTCTAACCACCCCATCAGCACTCGGCACTTTCCCCAACCAGACAATCACATCCATCCCAAAAAGACGACCCACAGCAGTCGAAAGTCGTATAGTTTGAGAATACATAACAAGGAAGAAAGCGAGAGCACGAAAGAAGAAGGAATGAAAAGTGTAAGACCCGATCCCAAAATCTCATAAAACGTGTTATTTCGTTCAGTCTCATCGTCAGTCTCAGTTTCCTACTGCTCCTGCAGCGCATAGTCTCCTCAAATCCAACGAAACGCACCTTCATCGCAGAGTTTTCACCCGAGAGTTAGTTGTCGACAGAGCTCTGACTTGGTGGTATTGTCTCATCCTCAGTTGTATCATCCACACACTCGTCTCCTTTCGCCCCACAAGTTATCGCAGTGCTATAAAAATATTGGCAGTCTCACTGGAAGAGAAATATGGTTCACTCACAATCAGTCATTCGCATTACGACGAAGATTGAACTTTTTCATGAATAAGCAGGGATCAATATTTGTAAATAACTAACTTACACTTGTTCCTAGAATAGTTATCACAAAGTGAATAATCTGCAATGTCAAGTCAACAGGGCAAATAAAATATTACAATGTATCTGTCATAACCACATCGTCTCATTTTCCCCAATAAATCTGATTCTGCTAATAAATAGCTCAACTGTGATCCATAATTAAGGAGAATAAAAATGAGAACAGCGTGACTGTCCTACTTTATTACAAGACACGTGTAAATGATTCATCTTCTCATGTCTGGAACTGAAACATTTACTTCATTAAAAAATATGCGTCGTAGTGTGCGACACAGCTGAAGTCATATTTTTAACTGTCATTTTCGACACTCGGATTGGACCAGGATCGTTGACTGGCAAAGAGGAAGGAATCTAAAAGTGGAATAATAATAAATTCTCCTCCTTCGAACAAAGAAAGACTTTTGGACGTCATCTTAGCATAAAAATAAAGAGGGCACAAAGGGAAGCTAATTAAAACTTTTAGAGAGAAGCTCACAAAGAATCCAAGTGAATACAAAAGTGTATTGAACAAATGAGCACTTTACTTGACTTTACTTGACATCAGGGTGAAGAGAAAAAGGAGGAAATTATCATTTAATGAGTTAAGTTGTACGACAAAAGTTTTAAACTCTTTTAAGACAGTGGAGGACAGCTGCTTGTCACCTGAGACGGAAGTCCACCTCAAACTCGGCTTCACTGCTACAAGAAATCCAAGTTGACTTTCCCCGTCTTTTTTCCTATTTTTGCATACAATCGTCCTTAATTTGACAGCAGATAACCATTCACTCGCTCGCACTGCCTCCTCAAACTTTGTGCACCACCGTGACCGGAAAAAGTTTTGATTATCCAGAAAAGGAATAGGATACACATGTGTCTCTACTACGATTTTTTTACCATTACGTGTCTCGACTCCACTGCCTGTCGAAAGTCATCAACTGAAAAATTATAATGTTCACAGTGCAAAAAATCTGCTCGAGTTAGCGAAACAATATGAGTCGTGATCAGTGGTTGCCATCATGTGTGGCTTTAACAATAGCTTTATTCACCCTCAACATTATACCAGGTGAGCTTATTGTCAAAGTCCGGGCGTTACACCGAGGTATTTTTACATGATTCTCTTGTGCAAATGTTAATAAATATTTAGTTGATAAGTATTTATGTGATAGAAATATAGCTTTATTGATAAGAATTAACAAGAGAATGGTTGTGTTTTTGTGTTAACTATCAACTTCCTTTTATGTGCCCAACTGGTTGAGCCAATTAAAATTTTTGTAGCCATTGATTGCGCAACTTTCTCACAATTTCAATTGTATTTATTTGACCAAAATAAAAGAAATCAGCAAAGTTTCTATTAAAATATTTCTTATCCATGTTCTGGATGCAATAATTTCCTAACTTTATATAACACCTAGAATTAAACGGAAGCTGATTCAGACATCACAAACCGACAGTCAGGAACTTCTGATTAATTTGCTCGAGTCAATCATTGTGGCCTTGTCCCTAATTTATTTTCATACTTCATTTCATACTGGTTTTGTCAACTAAAACTTGTGAGAAACGAGCAGTGAATCAGGAAATGGAGTACAGCATACATGACGTTCTGAATGTCGCTACAAGTTTATATTTGAACAGTGGATCATATGCATGTGTACTTAGAGATTAGATTGCACTTAAAAATACGTAAAGGTCCCTTCAATTTTTTTGCCAACTGTATGTGCAATTATATGATCTAATATGATTGAAAATTTCGAATATCCATAATTATGGACTCTGGTAATATTGATAAACTGTAGCCCATTGATATTTTAGGATTGTCTAATTTTGCATATTGTACTTCGTTTTCCGTTCGATTACATAATATTGAGATAGAATTAGAATACATAAAATATGGGCTACGCGCTCAGGTCGATTCGACATATATTTTACACACAAAAAATGAATTAGAGTGTTTGTGTACCGCAGTCGACGGAGGTTTTAGTTGGAATTTGTATGAATGGCGATGGCACAAATTGAGGGGCAGAATAAGGGGAAAGAGTGTCAATAAATCACGGAGCAATTCATAAATATAATCCCAGTCGGTTTAAAAGCAGTTTAGTGGGGCGAGAGTGGTTCTGGTTGAGTTCCAATAATTCGAGGTGAGGGGGAGAAGATGGAGCATTTGTCAGGCATGACGCTCTCAACTTCCTCTCGAACATTTAAATGGTTCATGACATGCGGCAGGTAGTAAAAAGAGGGGAGGACAAGCTCGAGTATGCAAATCCAGGAATTAAGAGTGACAGGTGCGATTCATCATGCTAAAAATCTGACATACCGCTCTGTATTCAATATTGCTTCAACGTGAACCAGGGTTATACTTATCTTTCCTCATCTATACTTGTACTTATCTAAAATAGTTACCAACGCCTCAAAGAGATGTGCCTACCTTTGAAAATTAACACGACCCTACTGTGCTACTTAGGGCATGGTGCACAAATATGTACTACATATTGTAGGCGATGACGATGACTATCGTTTCTCTTGAATACAATTAGTCAGTTGAAAATCTTTCAGATGCAAACTTATTTGCTTTAAAACTTTCCAAAATATAAGCCAGTGTGTGCATATGTATCTCTGTCTCTTATTTTGTACATTTCACATTTCGTAATTGTCATTTTGCTATTTCAGGACTGCTTGGACTAAAGCATGTGGAGGTCATAGCACCAAAATATGTCCGGCGTGGGGCTGACGTCCGTCTGTCTTGCCACTACGACCTGGAGAAAGAAACTCTATATGCCACAAAGTGGTACAAAGGCCCCCCTCCATTCAAGGAATTTTTCCGCTTCCTCCCCAAAGAGACACCACCAGCCTTGGCCTTCAACCTTCCTGGTGTTTATGTAGATGTAAGAATTGCTTTCTCCTATGTCTATGCCTCGTATTTAGTGTTCTTATGCATAGAAATATTTATCCCCTGCGATCCGAAATGGTCTAGGTCCTTGCCAAAATGAGGAATTAACAACAACGGTGGAAAATGTTGTCAGCTTTGAAAATATCTCTTCCTTCGTATTGTCAATGTACTTAGGCTTCGTGTAGTAAGTAGTCGAGTGAATGGCCACACCACGATTGGGATGAGAGAAGTGCAGAAAAGGTGGTACACAGAATCCGTAGGAACAATTGAAAGAAATATTTCCCAACTTAAATTTATTGGGCTATTAATCTTGTGTATAAAAGCGTCTTGCAGAAAGAAATCGAGTATCAATAAAACCTTCTTCGATAATATATTAAGTTGGCTTTTAGAATTCAACTCTGCTCAAGATGCAGCATCATCATTCGTTGGGAGGTTTCTTCCCATACCATCTCGATCGCAACGACGACCAACTCTGCTGTCCCCGAAAAGAGATGCAATAATGCCCTTCTTTTCGATCTGGATCTTGAGTGGTTCTACTGCTACGCTTCTGGATAATTTATTTTTTCGCAGTGTCATAATTACATGGATTTTAATGCAACCGTTTAAATGGTTCTTATATGTTATATGTACATATGTGAAAGGTCTAAATACCAAATGACAGAAAAAGTTACACCTAACCTTGACAAAATGCAGTTATGAGTTTCCGAGCAAAGCTATGGCGAATCTATAATGTTCCTACGGTATAGTTGCAGAGTTCACCCATCAAAATCAAAACCCCCTGCACTTCCGTTGCTTGCACCAAGAATCGATTTATGGAGGAGCATTATGTCATATTTATTTATGTGATGCCTTTTGTCTGTATAGGTGACAATTTCCAACGACCACGACGTCGTCCTCAAAAACGCTTCTTTTCAAACGTCGGGGTTGTACAAATGTAGCGTTGCGGCAGAGTTCCCTTTCGAGACGCGTGACGACTCACGCGAAATACGAGTTATTGGTATGAATTTTCATTACATTTTATTTTATATCGACATCTCAAAGCAAAAGACGAAAGTTACTACGCAATCTAGTAATTTTCAGTAGCGTTGCCAAGTGTAAGTAGCAGAGCATCGGAACCACAAAGCCAAGAAAGCCACATTTGATCTAAAAAGCAATCTTTACTGGAGACTTTTTCCGCACTTTTCGCAGCAAAATACTAATGACTTGGCTGCGGTGGGATCACACTTCCTATTTTTGAGGAAGTCGTCATAAAGAATTTATATACGTAGAAAAGTATGATGACAGTAATGCGTAATGACTAGAATGACAAAGAATAGAAAGAGGACTACATAAGGTATCAGACGAGATGTATGCATCGACAGGAGCGATGATACGCAAAGCCTTTTGAACTTTGAATATAAATTTTCAAGCACATAGTTAAGCAAACGTTGTTCATTCTTTCCGTAAATTAGATGGATTTCATATTCAACTTGTACTGTACAAGAGGTTTGTCAAACTGACTCTTAAAAATAGCATCACCTAAGAAAAGTTGACAATGCGTCAATATGGCGCATTATTTAACACTCTTGCAACAATTAATTCCATCTATTGAACCACACTTTATCAAATTGCTGCTATTAAAACATATCAAATGACTTCATCATCTAACTTTGTGGCTCGATTCCCGATACGGAATTAAGAAATCCAGAACGGAATTAAGAAATCGAGAGGGACAATATTTCGTGATTAATTCTACGTCGTCTGTGACGGGATTAATCTTTTATTTTATATTAGTATGATGTATATAGTGATTGGAGAGAGTGCGCCAATAATGCGACTGGACAGCCGACCTCAATACCACCCTGGAGACCTGGTCTCAGCCGAATGCCGAAGTCCGCCATCCTTTCCCTCGTCTAATATTACCTGGTACATCAACGATATCAAGGTATCTCATCAAGTCTTCAGTACAATAGAAAACTATGTCTCATTTATCAAAGCGTCTCATAACGCAGAGACGTGAAGCAATCAAGATCATGACTTCACTGGGAAATCAACTATTTTTTCTCATGTCCCAATTACTGCTCAAATTTTCTAAGTACATATCTGATGAAAAGTATTATAACTTAATTCAATAGGCCATATTGCGACATTTCAATGAAGCATTATTAATGCAGTGTTATATTATTAATATTCTGGATCGTTTTTATACTCCTTGCATGGAAATATAAAAGTTACATATGTGTACAACACAATGGACTTTGGTGCATAACTTGGTATCATTCTCCTGAATTAATCGAATGCAAAAAAACAATAATATTTTTCAGGATCATGGAAGTGTTTTGAAGACTGAAACGAGAAAAGATGAGAAAGATCCGTTGACGAAAACCACACTGTCCAGTATCTCATTTAATCTTCCTGAGAAAGTAACACCTGTCCGAATTTATTGTCATGCGACGGTGTTAAACGTTTACGACAAAAAGTCCAACGTTACAATGATACATCCTATCCCGCGACGGTTGACGGGAACGGAAACGCTCTTGCGTTCTGGTGAGACATAAAATACATATGCAAATTCCTCTATTTTATGAAGTAACTTAATTAGTTGAAATACCAATAAACTCATGTATTTGATATTTTAATGTCGTCGATTGCATGGTATACGTTCAATTCAAATTTATTATTTATCATAAATCCACCTCGCGTTGAATGGAATACTGATAAATAAGGATGTACATATGTAACAGCCTTTAATTCATCTGTTTCAGGTTCTTCATCAAGAGCTTCCACGGAGTCAGTTTTTCTGGTCTTACTGTTAGGATTACTAAATTTTGAAATAACTTGTACGAATTCTTGCTCAACAGTGCTTCAAATACCATAGTCATTACTACCACAGATTATTGTAAAGGTTATTCTCGTTTAATGATGAACATAATGATTGAATTTAGTTCCATAATCTCAATTAATGTATTAATTAATATATACAGAGTTCAAGTTTGATTTAATTTATTCGTACAAGATAAATACTTACATATAATTGGATCAATACACAATAAAATTAAGTAGGTGATTTTATGAACAATATTTTGCATACAATTTTTTCTTGATTACAATATAATTGGATTTGACATGCAACCTAAGAAAGTGTATACTGGCGATGTACATTTTAACGATTTTAATTTTAACATTACGAGCTCCTCGCCATCAAGAAACTGGAACATGGACCAGTATATACGCATACAGTACACATGTACATACACACAAAGAGCAATAAATCGTCAACTAACTCCCGGTCAGGAAAAATGACAAAAAACACCGACGCTAGCCAAAGTCTTCTCATCTCCTTGAGTTGAAGTCGAGAGGAAGCCTAGCAAGAATTTACTGCTGGGCACTCGGGTGGTGGTGAAAGCGAAAGTAATTGTGGGCGCAGAAGGTAAAATGAGGAAGGTTGTAAGTACTTTGTGTTATTCGACCCTCGTTTCTTACGAACTCTTTTCAAACCGGAAATGTGTTGCCACACCAAACCACCGCCACCAATAAGCTGCCACTGCCTCATTACATTATGAGGACATGAGCACAAAAACACTGGCGACAAAGAAGAAGGCAAGCACTTAAAAGAAAATGTGATGTAACAAGAAAAAGTGATACATGCGGATGGGATGGAACACATGGAGATCGGGAAAGCAACCAAGCTGTTGAATCGGCCCATGCTACATACGTGAGACCAATGAAAGAATCGATACAAGCAAAACACTTTCGTCTAGATTTGGTCTCCACAATTCGCAACCTTCGTGAAAGAAAAGAGAGGAAAATATTGGACTTGGACGATAATAGTTATATGCTTTCTGTCACCCTGTTATCGTGAGTGGGACTTTGACGGAAGGAAAGGACCGTTCCCTACGTTACCGCTGCTACATAGCCTGAGAGAACTATGTAAACCGATTTTCTGGCCTAGGTGAGAGTAGATGAGAGTGTGTGTGTACTTATGTAAGTGTAAGTATGGATGTTTTCTGTCGTCCAGGGTGGTTGGGCTTAAGTTGACCATCCAAATCCACAGAGATTCCCAATCCGGAACAAATTCGTGTTGCTCTCGTAACGCATTCCCACTCTCGCGATATTGGTTTCTAGAAGAAAGGTGGTGTTGGAACAATGGAACATTATTTTACCTCGGAGAATCTGAGATTGATTTCTTCTTTTTGTTTAGATAGGTGATTAGATTGTCCTTCCATTGTAGCCCAAGTTTCCCATTTTATTATAAACCTGGCATTGTAATTGTAAGATACGTATGTACGTAGTTTTTCAGTAGATTACAAACTGCTACTTCACCTTCAACTGGAATATTTGTTATAAAATAAACCATTGAGGTTCAATTTAAAGAAATCTCAGTAAACCAATTCGTCATAAATGACAAACTGAACTGGTTTGTTGGGCAGATTTACGAGACTGAAAATATATCGTCTTCCTCCTGACTAAGTGCTTTCTCCTTCCACTGCACTAAGGAGGGGAGCTTCACCACCTGCCCTTCACAGATCTCGATGCCCTTTGGATATGTGGTAGGGTCCTATGAGTGTACTAAAACCCTGAAGTGATTTGACTCCATGGCCACATTTGCGTCCGCCACACCCACTCAAAGGCGCCAAAAACACGAAAAAGCCCTGTTTTCATGTACTTTAAATGTCACCAAAAATCCAATTTTGCTCGGATTTTGATAAAATTTACATTTTTGTGATCCCAGATACTTGTGTGATCATATCCACTAGATATCCCAACTTTTTTGAAATTTTGAATTTTTTCGAATCAGCTCATCAATCAGCTCGAAAATTTCGAAAATTTCAAAAAAGTTGAGATTGCTATTGAATATTATCAGGCAAGTATCTGGGATCACAAAAATGCAAATTTTATCAAAATCCGCGCAAAATTGGATTTTTGGTGGATTTTTGAAGTTGGTAACTTTTGTTGTTTTCATCCCTTTGAGTGGCGGTCGTAAATGTGGCCATGGAGTCAAACCACTTCAGGGTTTTAGTACACTCATAGGACCCCGCCACATATGCAAAGGGCATCGAGATCTGTGAAGGGCAGGTGGTGACGCTCTCCTCCTAAGCGGTAGGCTCACATTCTTCTGGAATTGCAAATCAGTGCACACATAGATAATAGGAATGCAGATAGATATCCCAATCAAAACCTATTTTCTCTCAACAGAAAGTGACAATTTTGCAATTCTGCTCTGCCACGAGAGCCTTTATGTTTGCCAGGAGACTGAAGACCTAGTCTAATGTTAGTCTAGTGCTGCCCACAGAATACCGACTGTCTATAACTCAATTTCATCGTGTAAATGGAAAGTAATATTTCAGGGACTTCGTAAGATTTGCATCCTAATCTTCTATCATTTCTTACACCTGTTACTTTTAAAATTAACTGCGCAGCTTGTACATAAAATTATGTGAGACTGGCCACAAACCCCTTCCAGTTATGAGACGATGAGATTCTCATCATGAGAATATGTAATAAGAGGGCAGTAGTGGCATGATTCTCGCATCTGAATCCGCGGTGAGACTCGACGTATTTGGCCAACCACCGGTGACTTTCCTCTTCCCAACCTTCCCACGTCCACCTGATAAATTCTTATAATTTCAATTCTTGTATGTGCCAATGTTCACTTCCTGTCATGTTTTCTGCGCAGTAGTTGCTGCTTCATTTTTGTAAAAGGTTTCACATTTTTAGATCATTCTTCAAATAATGTTCAGCCTGTGATATAGCAAATATGATGCAAGGCTCCACACAGCGTAAAGAACTCGACACCCCACACTTCCCGTTGAAATTCTCGTATTGCAAAGTTGCCATTTTCAAATTGAATTGGCTTTGAAGAGTTTTTTTTTCTCCCTCTTTCTTTGTGAACAATTTTGACCTGAAGTTTCCACTCCATAAAATTATTATTTCTGCATCATAATCCATTTTGTCTGATTTCTGTTTACTTTACTTTATATTGAAATTCTCTTTGATATCATGATTGCATAAAGAGACGATGAAGACTTTCTCTTTATTATTTGGTTTACTGTCAACACTGTCAACCATGGATTGTGAAAGGATTATATAGAGTTTCCGAGTGTTGATGGCCATTGTCACTGCATGGTTATCTCACCAGCCCCATTTTAACATCACATGAGCCGTGTCTCAAGGGAATAAGCGAGTAGAGCCTAAAATAGAGTGAAACTTCAAAGGTATTATTGCATCTCCTACTCACGACGTCTGATCTGATGTCGATAGATCTCGGCCAAACTATCGTCGTCAACCTCTGCCACGGTTATTATTAAAAGAATAACGAAGGGAAAATGTGCGTAGGTCTGGTGATATTGTTGGTCGTCGTCGTCGTGGTGGTGGTGAAAGGCGGAGAGATGACAAGCACGAGTTTAGCTTCAGTTCTGTCTGAGAAAATATGCTGAGATCAGCTTTAGCTTTCCTTAGTCCAACAACCTTTATCTCATTCATGCTTAGCTTAATCCATTTTTCTCCCCAGAACCAATAGCTTGTCGAATCTATACTTTTGCTCAAGTTGTTTGAATTAAATCCAAAGAAAATATTTTACTTTGTATGTTCACAGCCTGAAAAGTCTCAAAAGTTTGAACTAATAATAAGTGCGAACAATGTTCAAAAACGTATACGTACGTGTGATGTATTACTTGGATTTCTGGATTTTGTTAACAATCGTTACTCCGTTCGAAATTTGGTGCATTACTTTGATTCAGAATAATGCTCAATAATAATATCAACACAGATTCATACACACGAGGAAAGCTATTTCATATTAACAAGTATACATATACATGTATATGTCACATGACTATATGTCATTAGTAGCCAGACATCATCGCAAAGAAACATTCTTTACATATTTTGACCGTCGAGAACATTCCTTTTCTCAATTGTATTGTTCCGTCATTGAGAAAGCACCCTGAATTGTTGTATATCCTCAACCCGATAGTATAGTATTACTCCTCTAATTCTGTGCCTCAACCCAAGAGGATGACATCGACCAATTTGGGAAAGAGGACTAAATGTCCGAAGCATTGACAAGTACCAAAGAGCGCATATTCACATCGCATTTTGCATTGCCACCTCATTCCCTTGGAATTCTGAGGTCCAATGCTCATCACCAATATCTTACAACACCACTTGCACGTCCTTTTTGCATGTTTTCTTATTCTGTGTTTTCTCAGTATATTGAGGATAGTTTTTCTTGAAGTGGGCAGTCGAATTCCTATCTAGTCAGTTAAACAAAAGGGACCTGTAAATGTCAGCAGCCAAGATTCGCTTGATTTCGCAGTCTATCCCTCTCCTCCTTCCCTTCTCTTGGATTCCTATCCATCTCATGCTCCCTCAAAGCCTCCATTTCAACTGCTAACTGTGATAATGTACAATGTTCTTCCATTGTCAACGTAAGAATTCTTTCACCATGAGAACATCGCTTTGACGGTGGAAGAAGTGCTCTGCTGGAACAACTTGTGCAATAAAGTGAATGGTGATGGAATCTTATTCCGTAATAATTATACCACGAGAATGACCGATCTCATCTCTCCCCCAACCACGGAATCAGTCATGTCTTTCTACATGAGTCAACTTTAATAAGTATTTAACTTTTGGAAAACAATGGACCATTGGTTACTCTTTCCACTTGGACGAGTGAGTATGGGACATTGTGAAGGAAGAAGGTGAGGCAAGAAAAGGAGTCGAAAGGAGGACGATTGTTTCTGCACAATTAAATTCTACAGATTCCCAAACCCAGCCTATCCATTTGAGTTGATTTCACTTGATAATGGACTCTAACGGCCAATATAGTGAAAAGGAAATGGAAATCAAGCCGAAAAGTCCACGTAATCAGCCATTTCGTATTCCTTACTCAACACTTCATTATGGAAAAAATTGAAAACAGCCTTAAAGTGTTGGAAACACAAAGGAAGAGGAAAAACAGATAAGAATTGCCACAAAAATTACAGTCGCCGTTTGGTTAGTTAGTTATATATAATAATATGTAATATATAATTATAATATAGGATTATACTCATCGGAATGAATAAATGGCGAAGAGTTCAGGGGGTGAGATGAGACAGCATGAGGATATATATCATGAAAATGTTGAAAAATGTTCCTCAACTTTTACTATATGTACATATTTCTGACATAATATGTATACATGTATACACATACACAAAACTCCGGCAGCCAAAGGATATAAAAGTCCGCAAATCTTCAACTCTTTGGGTATCCTTATTTTGCCATTAAGCTTCGAAAGTTTGTTAGGTGAACCCGAAGTAGTGATTCAGAGAAAAATTCAGAAAATTGAGAATTTAGGTGGGGAAGGGCTAAAGTCATCGTGGAACATGTAACCACAATTTGTGAAGTTGCTCCTACAAGAGAGGACAAAGTTAGTGGTAAATTGGGGAAGATGTTGGGTTGATAAATGCGAGTAAATAATTCATCTCAAAAGAAATTCTCATTTTCCACAGCAGCTCCCATTTCAATGTTCCAACCCCAAAAACTTGCTAACCAATTTAGAATCTATTACGGAAAGTGACTTTCTCTACTTTCCCCCATAAAGTTGGCTCGCTCAGTAAGAGAGAGACCAACAACAACAACGGAACAAAAAAATTCTCCACGACACCTACAATCACATTTCGTTTTCAATTTCTTTGCTGGTTGAAACCCCATAACAATCCAGAACCATTATTATTACTTGGATTGATGCAACAGAAAAACTTGGATTACATTCACATTTTTCCTGATTTGTTATGTGTGTGAACGTGTTAATTCAAATTATACAGGAATTGAATTATTTATCAGTATACATTTGCATGACGAATGCTGGTTAAATTCGCGCAATATTGATTTTAACCTTGGTTTGAATTTATATGATTAATATGATTTATATGAATTTTAAAGATAAATATTTAGGTACAATTTTATATATTTGCGATTTTTGCTGTAACTTCTGTTGCATGCACATTACATATACATTTGTACATACATAAATGTATTGCCTAAATAAAATAATTTGAGATAATCATCGCAGTGTATGTATATCCATTAAATTCGCTATGTTTTTAACCTCATTGTTTTAGATTTCTACCATTATTTAGAGACTCCTTCGGCTATGTCACTATTTTTTCCGTTGCATTTTCCTCCAAAAATTGTGTCCTAGTTAAAGTGGCAAGTTTACTCATGCACCCCCAGCAAAGTGAAAGTGGAAGTTGGAAGGTTGTTGAGTATCAGGAAACCTCCTTTTATTTTATTTTATCTCAACACAAATCCAATTCTCCATCCACCTCCACTCATCGATACAAGTTTGTTTCACACTTTGGTCTACTCCTCCTTAGGCGTGCACTTGGAATCATCCCATTTACTCAGGAAGTTCAAATGCAAAGTTTGAATACTGCGGATAAAAACGTAAAATAGCAAAGGCTACAAAAATGGAAATTTCGAAATTGTCTCCAAGAAGGAGAGATTTCCAAGACGAGTCCTCCCATAGGTAGATTGTTTTCAAAGCACTTTGATGTTGTTATCTCACACTTGTCCACAAGGGTACATTTTGGATGTTAACTCATGTGCCATGGGGTTGCGGTACTTTGCGGAAAAAAAGAAGCAGGAAAAAGATGAAAGTTAGAAATTTATAAGACTCCACATATTTAGGATTAATCTCTTTTGCTGACCCAGTCGTTCATATGATTATCAATTATCATTGCAACCTTATTTTGTCATATCAGACGTGAAAGAAATGCAAGAATTATTTGGGTTGGAAGCCTTTTCAGAAAATGGACTACTTCTTTGATGAAATAGATCGAAAAGTTAGAATAACATTTCACTCCAAATTCGTATTTTTCGCCTACAATGTCAAATGCCCAAAAGTTTCTAAATTTTTAGGACAATGGGTGAGATGTCGCCCCATAATAAACCTTGATTATTACCACTTTTGACGTTGGGAAGAGAGAAAGTCGTCGGTATATTCAACTTCCTGCCAGACTGTCCACTCTTTCTTCGGTAAAATAAATCTGAGGCAAAACTGCAGGTACGACACAAGTAGTGAAGAAATGTTTCGCAGAGCTGCTAGTGAAGGATGATGAGATTTACTGGTGCTGAGTTTTATTTTATACGTTACAATGCTGCCACCACTACGACTCACTACCGTCAACGGCATAGTACATACCATCATCACTTCCTCACTCGTGAGAAATGATGTGAGAGGTGAAAAAGTCTCGAGAAGAAAAATTTTCGCCAACTTTCTCCTTTCGCTTGAAAACATTCACATCACATGAGCGTACAACATAACCGTAAAAATGAATGACTCTTAAATGCTGCATCAGCTCCCGTTGAAACTTACTGTCTTCTCATAAACGAATCAATAAAAAACTTCAATACGGCTCCCAGTAGTCCCCGCGCTGTAACAAACCAATGTGTACACCGATGACGCATAAGTAGCCAAATCCTCCTTTTATACACCCACTATTTAAATATAAGCACTTCTTTTTCCTCAAAAGTGTATGAAATTTTTACTACTCGAGTTCATATTATCGTTACTTTGTAAGATTTATGTACATATAATAAGAATGTATTTACTATACATAATACATATGAATCGTAACTAATTAAAATTTCATACAATTTGTGCAAGTAAGATATGTCATAATACTTGTATGATACATGGCAAAATTATTTATATCGTGTAAAAGTAACAACATTGCATTGATTCGCTGAAAGAAATATTATGAGAACAAGTTGCAAGTGGGTAAAATTAAAGCATTTTGCACGTTCTGGACATCAGTCAAAGACGATCGGACAAGACAATATAAAAGAAGTAATCAAAAGAAGAATGGATTGGTTGATAACATTTGAAGAATTGCAGTCATCCACATCTCTCAATATTCGTTGAGCATACTGCTGATCATAAACCACATCTTTATTGGCTGACACGTAGCGTCCATAGGAATCAATCCTTCGAGTACCGAACCCTTCATCTGTTAACGGTACCAGACCAGTAGAGATGTCCTGTGTGCAAACAGAGGTATTAATAAGCAGGCATACACTTAATAACAGTAGGTATGCAGAAGGTGAAAGTACCTTGAAGAGTAGATTTGGAACTCTAAAAATAAATAAAAATTCATTTGTGTTATTTTTCCCTCTCAACTCCATTGCCCACCTGAATATCTGTTCATTGTGTATGTCACCTAACGTCCCCGACGTTAGGTGAAACTCTAACGTCTCTACTATACTCCTACAGATTTCAACCTGTACTTATTTCCAACCTCGCTCAAAATCAAAACAAACCCTTTTTGAAACGCTTTCACTCCCAATATTTTCTCACTAGTTAAATATTCAAAATGATTGGGCAGAAGAATCTGCAGAATACGATGGACTTTTGAATTTTAGAAACATTGGAAGAAAGAGTATAATAGAGAATAACGTTCAAGAAGACAGACTTATTCAAAGCTTTTACATGAACCAATCAAAGCATCAAAGGAAGTGAAAGATTGATTAATAAACTTATTGTTTGCTTTCCATAATATGTAAATTATTCGCACTTACCCATAAAATGGCCCAAAAAGTCTCAATACGGTTTGTTCTGAAAGTTAAATTCATATAGATAAATGTAATTTACTAAAACAAATTACAGTAAGTTTGAACATCATACTCATATCGTGCTCATACAACTCACACTACCAGACTGGGTGTTTGTTAACTAATGCGTCTGTTGCTTAAAAACTTTATCCATGTAATGCTTAATTACAAATCAGGTAAATGATTCATTATGGAACCAAGGAGGTGGTACGATGGAGGATGTATGAGTGACGATGAAGATACGATTTGTCTTTCCAATTACTGCTTAAATATACGAGTAATAAATTATAATCACTTGCCTGGATGAAACGTCTCTGAAGCTTTAAGCAGAGTGAGTCGAATATCTTCTCGCTCGACATAATCTTTATCCTCTCCTGTGATAACCTGCAATGTTCAAGTATGATTAACAGAATCTTTGATTTAATTATGGTCTTGAATTGTTCAAAACGAGAGTCTAGGATGGAGGTAACTGGAGGAAGACAGACGATAAAAGGTGTAAGTCAACCTGTTCCGTCTCACAAAGCATGCAGTTTACTTCTAACGATTTGTCAGCACTATTTACAGCCATATATACTATTTACATGCTGGCCGTTAAGTTGAGGGGTCTCCGACTACGGCCTTGACCAATTTATCGTAATTGTTAAATCCAATTAAAAACCTGACAGACTAAAAGCGAATATTGAACTTGTAAATGAGCTTAGAAAAAAATCCATCCGGAGAAATTAAACATAGAACAATTAATTCTGCTCCACACAATCTTTGGAATGAAATATATATATGATAAGAACCAATCTAATCACTGTGTAATGATACAAAAGCATCGAAAAATCAATGGGGCAGCGTAAGGAGAGTGGTCCGCATTTCATGTGTTAATTTTCGGGAGTGCTTCTCTAGCAGAATTCGTCTATAAATTACCTTATCTGCAGGTATTTTACCCCAGTGACATTGTCGAAATTCTGTTACTGCACGGCTTGGTCCAATGGGACAGACCAGCCTGAATTGAGCGGAGAGCAGTCCAGCCGCCCACGTGGCGTTCGCAAGTCCATCTGTAAGTGACATATGCATATTTGAAAAAAATACACATTCACACAATCATACAAATTCGTGGAGAATATTAATCTAAATACCTGTATTTAAAAGTGGCGTAAGGTGGTCCACGAAGGCAACGTCGGCTGCAAGAGTTGGTAAACACCGGAATGCACCAAGATCACCATAAAACCCTTCCAGCTCGTTATTTGCGCAAAAATTTTCTTCCGTATTGAGGGCCGGAGCATCTGAAATTTAAATTAAACCAATTCATATGAAAATCAGGACATATGTATTTGTGCAGAATATGTACATTCTTTATTTTGTGGATTTTTTTCTTAAATTATGGTTCTGAATTTTTTAAAGGTTAGGGTTTTAATGTACGACTCCTATGTAGTAAGGTTTTCGACATTCTTTTTTTGCAATCGATAACAATGCAAGCTCGGTGATATCCATACAAATAAGTGAATAAGTACAAAGTTAGTAATATTCTGACGATAATCAAGTGCCTACTACATACCTAGACTGGCACCAACGCAGAGAGAGCAAAGACTTTCAGGAAGTTGAAGATTCTGATCTCTGGCTCCTGGAAAAAGATTTTAACATCAGCTTACTTGCTCAACCAACACATGTCCGAATGTGAAATAAATAAAGAGGCAAAATGAGACTAAGCATGAATACCAAAATAATTGCATTTCATCAGTTATTGATTAATAAAAGCCATCAATTAATACTTTTTTGAGATACCTGGATTTATAATAATTATTACTCATACCTGGAACACAGCTACTTGCAAAAAAACTGGCCAAAGCTCGTCCAAATTGGCATTGCTGAGGATATATTAGTCCACTATCTCGAAGCACCTAACACCAGTTTACGATAGCACTGTACATGCACATTTATACATTATATACTTATTTCTTGTTGTGGTTATTAGCCATACAATCAAAGGAATGTTCCACCCGGTCAAACTGCTCACAGCTGCAATTTAATATGTACAGCCTTTTGTGAGAACAAAAATAAGAGCACAGTATGTACGTAGTACAACAACTTACATCCATGACATGATCGTTTTCCTCGTAAATCGACAATCGTTTGGATGCCAGAGTCTAGAATTAATTAATTAAAGTAGTCCAGATAAACTTGACCAGGGAGTCCGATGTCGATCGATCACTCACCAACTCTGACGACAGCGACCGCATATCGAGCAGCATCAGCGTCTTCATCACCAAACCGCTCGGCTTCGGACAGAATTGGCGTCAGCCGCATTTTCCTGTGCAGTTATTTGTGTTTGTAACGTTATTTTCTAAATGTTCACAAAACAAGAAGACGTTCAGTACCTGGACGCCACGTATGCTTCTCGACTGTCTACACTTGTGAAATCCGCTTGGCCAATGGCAATTTTACGCATACAATCCTCCTTGGACTCTCCAACAACGCAGTCGAAATATGGCAAAATTCTTCTGCCATATGAAGCCATCCGGAAAGCCATGCATTTAAGTTTTTCAATCTCGTTCCTCACACAGAATCTTAGTGTTCTGAAAGCGAATTAAAATATTCCATGTAGTAATTGAATAATTTATGCACAGAATGGAAAGTACAAAAACACAGTAGTTTTAGATTAATTATTACGTAATAACCTTCGTACATACTCACCTGCGATTGGGACACGTGGGTTTTTCAATAGTCATTGTATAGTTCCCTCTATCCAAATAAGCTAGTGGGGTTACAGTGTTGGCGACAGTAGCAGGCACATGAAACTCTATATCTTGGATCCTAAATTCTAAGATGTCGCCCAACCAATTAATTACAGTTGGCGTTCCTGTGATAAGCTGGAACACAGAATGCAGGTATTAGAAAACTACTTGGGCATCATTCCAGACGTCCAAAAATAATTTAGAGTCCAAAATAAGAATCGACACTTCCAATAAACTCTTTTCATAAAGTCATTATTCCCCCTTCCATCAACGATTAGATTCATTTCAGGGTGCATAAACATTTTTGTTGTCCGTGGTTTCTCCTAAGGGGGTGGTGCAAGGATGAATTTTTTTTTCAAAAAAATCGAAAAATCAAAAGTTGGGGAATTGCATGCAATTTTCCCATGAATTTGGTTGTCAACCACACATTAGAAATGAAATAAATGCGTTTTATCCTGGTCTTCATCTCTGAAGATGAGGAATAAAGTTTGAAGATTCATAAAATCGGTCAAGTGGTTGACCAGTGGTGGTCATATGAGTTGGATGAGGTCGTTGGGACAGAATACTATAATTTCTAATATTTGGTTGACAACCAAATTCATGGGAAAATTGCATGCAATTCCCCAACTTTTGATTTTTCGATTTTTTTCTTAGGTGAGGCAAAAGTAACAATGGGTGCCCGCAAAAAAGTGTCACCATGGTTACGGCGAAGCCTAAGTATGCTTTCGTATACACCCTTTGAAACTGTCAGCGAGGCTTGAGCCTAAACGGTTAATCCTACGCAAATGGTGTAAAGAGCAATCGTGCAGAGGAGAATTAGGAGATTTGGTTTTTCAATATGTCCGATAGAAAAGTTTTATTCTTCGCTCTCAAATTTGAATTTGAAACTTTAAAATCAAAATTTGAGATACTTGTGCTACAGGACTATATGCATAAAACCTGATTTTATTATGCAGAAATCGGTTGTGCGTCATTTAAAACAAATCCGACTGAGATCGGTCAAAAACTGAAAGAGTTTTGATGGAAGCATCTGAAACCATTCATGTTGCTAACCAAGAATTACAATATTCCTAGTTGGTTGCTACTAGCTATCAATATAACAATTTTCCAAATACAAGTAGTTGTGTTAGGCAATTCTAATTTGTCAAATTAATTGGTCAATTGTACTTTCCATTTTTGGCCAATCGCACAAAAACTTTCCTCTTGATCAGTGTTGGGCACGATTATTAATCCATATTAATTACAAATTCTTTTGCAAATTCAAATTTCAATAATTTTATATTTAAGTACTGTGTCAAATTTACAAATTTTAAATTTGAACATCCTATATGCATATATTTTGGATTTAAATGTTTATAAGTTCATTTTGTAATTTATAATCTAATCCAGATTAAATAATCTTCCTCCCTAATCCAGATTGTTCTCGTGAAATAACTAATCCTCGTAAAACCTAATATCTGAAAAATTATTATCTGCTAAATTAATTAAAAAATTTGGATTATTTGATCCTTAATTTTGCGACCCCTTGTACATATTTTCAACTAATTTTGTAATGAAAAAGATTCAAGACATTCGGTCTTCATTTAAAAAAGTTTAACAATTTTGAGGTGTAATTAATTGTCTGAAAATGTGCATCACCTAAAATTCATGAAATAAAATAATTTTAAAAAAGCTTGCTTAGGCGAGGCGCTGCTAAAAGTGAAAAACAAGGCCTCTGGCATATCTTTTAAATATCTCGTACCTTTATCATTGTGACAGGAGTTGGTGGCTTTGCATCACCGCGAGGCCAAACATTTTACGCCAAGCCTCTAGCAATTAAGAATATATTCTCAAGAATTCGCAAGAACCTAATCTGGGTTCACGTCAAAATTATCATTTATCACTTTTTAGTTCGTACTGAAAACTAGTTGTTTTAATATGTAAATAAAATTAGGAAATACCCTCGCATTGTTATTCGTGCGTCGGCATCTTAATTTTTTGCATAACACCTATTGAAAATTGTGTACATCCATCAAATTTTAATAGCTACCTGAATTACTGGTTAACTATCGAATTTAATCATTAGCTAAATAAACATTATTGATCATATTGGTCCTCTGCATAATAATTTTACAAAATCCACGCAATTTATTACCCTTTCGAAGCAATAAGTTTGTTTAAGCGTTCACACATATAGATACAATTTTAACTAGCAATAATTGAATTTCTTAGAAGAAAATGTAAGTAATAAACGTCGTGGTATGGTAAACGGTAAAAATGTTTGGCCTCGCGGTGAGACAAAGCCACCAACTCCTGTTACAATGATAAAGGTACGAGATATTTAAAAGATATGCCAGAGGCCTTGTTTTTCACTTTTAGCAGCGCCTCGCCTAAGCAAGCTTTTTTAAAATTATTTTATTGAAAAAAAATTCATCCTTGCACCACCCCCTTAGGAGAAACCACGGACAACAAAAATGTTTATGCACCCTGGATTCATTTGCATAATCTCATAATTCGAGGGACATGGCATTATTTAGTATGTGACGCTTTTATGAAAAATAATAATTCATGAATTACTTGGGCTCCCACGCTTCTGTACAAACTGATCTGCTGTTGAATGTCTGCGATCGTAGTTGGTGATGAAAGTCTGTTGGTGACAATGAAGCTGCGCCAAGGTCTGTCCATCCAAAAAACTTATTAGTTAGTAGATTTCATGGCAAAAGAAAAAAATACTAGAAATTGAACTATTGATACCTTCCAGCCCATGTACATGGGGTGGTTGTTCCAATTGGAAGAGAGCTTCCATCAGGACACAAAAATGAGTATTCAGATGCGCTCAGAGATGCTCGATTATTTCCATCCAGTGTCTGCTGGGGATTAGGCTGTGGCTGTTGTCCTTGTTGGGACGGAGGAATGTTTCCGAAATATTGATACACCTGTAAAATATACATGATTTATTCTTGGTAGTCTAATCTACCCTGATTATTCATAAAAAATTTTAGAAAACAGTAATGCAAATCGTAGACTTTAAGGGGGTTATCTCTTATTTTAACTTCATTTATATATTTTTATTTTGCAGAGTGCAATTTATGTATGGACACAATAGCGAAAACTTAGCTGTGGAAATACGAAGCGATGCATAATAATAAGTGTCATAAAATGTTTGGGAGCTATGTGTCTTCATAAAATTGCCTGAAGCAAAGTACCGTCTCAAGACGTGTCCAGCTGATGTCCCCGTTATTCTCCGTTAAACATCTTAAGGCACCCCGGAATCCTGAGTACTTGTCGTCCTCCCTGCAGAGCCTTGTGTTGGAACAAAGCTGACATAACTTTGGGTATCGTTGCTCTGCAAAATACATACATTCCAATATTTCACTACAGTCTCACACCGGTACGCGAAAAGTAGTCACATTAGTGAATTGAAAAACTTTGTTATTACATCAATACATCTATATTAGTCGAGCCTAAGATGAGCTACATTACATATGCAAGATGTGCAATTAGTTATTGTAATATAATTGGTTTACACTCACTCAGTTCCAGGTCGGTTCGATCATCTGGAGCCTGTAATAAGGAATAGTATATGTACATAAATATAATCATGCAGTTTTGGACAAGGTCTTTAAAGTTGGTCAACCACATGTAAAAATGGTGTATACCCATTTTCCTGGAACACAGCTTTCCCCGAAGAAATGAGATGCAGAGGCAATTTCTCTTTCCACGGTCGTCAAGTCTAATGAGCAATCTTTTACCATTACATTCTTTAACATGAGTCGGGCCAAGGGAACCTATGATACAGAAGTAGACGCGACATTTATTTCTCCCCCACTTGCATTAAGGTTTACGTATGCATTAATTAAAACAATAATCGCCGTAAAATTATAATTCATGTACCTCCCAGCCACTTGTTCTACCGAAAGCTGTATGACACGATTTCTTCCCCTGTAAATCCTTCAATGATCTGATTTGCGCCGAATTCCGAACAATTGCCACCGGCTCGTATTGAAATGACCCTTAGGATCAAAAATAAAAATTTCGATGTAGGTCGCTGATTTATAGAGACAAATTTACAAATTATAATAGCAACATAACATAGCATAACAGCATGTATGTAGTTGATCACAGTTGATGCTTTACATTCACTGTTGACACGCCATTGCATAATTATGTAGACATCAGATAAAATTCTGCTGATGTTTGACAGACATGAGGCTACATGTAGATGTTCTATTCTACATTAAATTGTAGCTGTGCAATGGTTTGTTACTTAAGCTGCAATTTAGTGTGATTTGTATACAATGCAAAAGGTTCTCAATTACTCTTTGCAGACAAAAGACAGAACAATCGTACATGGTTACCTCCATCCAGGGATGACCTTTCGTATGAGGGCCACAAATTTCTACGATCCTTAACACGGACTTTATTCCTCACATTTTGACCACTGATGCTCTCATTTTACTCATCGTTGCAAAAAGGGAGTTTGCAAAAATGCAATTGGCAAAACGCAAACGGAAGTTCAAGGGGTGAGGAAATACTCAAGTTTTTTCACAAATGTGCAAAACGTTTCTTTTGTTTAAGCATTTGCTAGCAACAAACTAAAAAGCAGAGTTAAACATCTTGCAATACGAAAATTATTAATCATTACTATTTGTAATTGTAATTTAGCGATAAATGGCATGCTCAATACGAATGTATTATTTTTCAACTTTACTTTTCTGGACGTGAATATTGCTGGAATATTATTCCATAGTAGCTCAAGCCATAAAGAGCAACATGAATAAGAGTATAGGTAATATATTACACATGTGCCATCATAATTATGCATTTTCAAGGCTTTAGTACTTACGTCGTGGGAAAGTCTAGTATATTTGCCAACTTTCAATTGATAATTAAAACGATGAAGTATAAACAAACTGGGTTTTGGTAGTGCTCTAACCTATAGTGAATCTAGTACAAGCATATATAAAACGCAAGTACTTTACTTATGAATAACCATAAAAATTAAGTGTTCATAGAGCCCGAGTCGGGACGTGGCACTTGTCATTGCTCAGGTCAATCTGATAACTTTGAAAAGAGTTATCGCGGATCAGACAGACTGACAGACGAAGGGACTCGATCGTTCTGCAACCCTTGAGTCGGAATAAAACGCATAATAACAAGAATCAAACCTGCTTGACGGGCAGTTGTACGGATTTCTGTTGCAACGTAGAAAGCATCATGGAAAAAACGGTGAGCAACGTAAACTGGAAAGCATAATATATTGAAGTCATTTAATTAACTACGTGAAATTAAGGGTTATTTTCATTAAGATTTAATTGAAGACCTTCCTCGGGTTCGAGAACTAATAGGTCAGCTTCTCCCTTGCTGTAAAATGGTTAGATCAGAAGGTTAAAATGAATTAATGGATGGAGTGTAAATGAGGCAAAATGAGACGAAGATTAGTCGTGCTTACCTAACCCTGGCAAGACAGTCAATTCTGGAAACAAAGGAAAAACATTGTATTTGCATTTTATTTGATTTCTTCCAGCTTAATGCATGCTATTATTCCAATTAAGTGGATTGAGATGAATGTGATTCCACTTTTTCTGCAGGGCAGTAAACAAAATATGACTGTCAGACTTGTAAGTTGGGAATTTTCATGGTTGTGAATAATTTTATATTTTGTATCCTTTCCTTACAGAAAAACTGACATTTTAGACGTTTAAAGGTCAATTTTGTGCTTTTAAATTAATCATCCTGTTCACAAATGCTGGGAGCATGAATATTATAGAGTAAATTAATCCAAAGAATTACCAGTTAGAACTTGTAATTGCCCATGGATCGAGATAAATTCAATAAGCATTTCTTTTGTTTGCCATATAAAGTCTGACTCATAAAAGCTCATCTTTTCGGCTGCAGCCATGTTTAAAAAATAGCAATGCATCATGTTTTCGTTTAGATTTAATTTATCGATGTGTGTTCCACAATTCTCCAGCTGGGCAAATATGTAGCAGTTTATTTTTTGCTACACCACGTTTATGAATGCATGAATATGTACGTGTGTGGATCAATTTAAAGAACGAGGCACATCATCTTGATCTTCAGTTACTTATTATTCGTGTCATTTTGATATGTGACAGCCTGGACTAGAAGAGCGTCGGAATCCGATTTTTTACCAGCCCTTCCCAAGAAGAAAGAGTAATTTAAAACATCACGATTAACATTTTCAAGCAAGTGTTTTAGTTTTGGCATCTTTGATAACCATCAGACAGAGCATTATTGCCTGCGGTACTTTAAGAGGCTGAGAAATTTGGCAAATTATTCTGTCTCTTTAAACACTCTAAAATGACCACTTATGACAGCTCATCCACCACCATCGCCAATCACACATTTAATGTACCATCACATCACATATTTGCACATGTGCACATGTGTACCAAAACCCTAATGTGATGGTCATGGTCGCATCCATTTAATTGATAAATGTTCATCTCATCAGATGCAGATGATTCGCTTTCAAGGTTTCTTTTGACAGAGATCAGCAGAGGAACGTATAGAGCGGCTCAAAGAGTGGTTGAAAACAAGAGCTGGCAATAATCTGATAAAAGAATGAGTTTAATACGCCTCAGAATAATGGAATAGCAGGTGAGTGAGAAGATTTAAGATTCATTTTCAATTTTCCAAGCCTTTCATGAGGTTTACTACGTATTTACGTACAGGCACAGGTCCATCTGGCTATAGGTTGTGGGACAAAGCAGGATGGACTCTGTTTTGTTTCAGTATATCAGCCAGACGAAAATAAGTATATTATTATATTATTAACACACCTGAGAAGATTCTGGCTGGATGATTCGTAAAAAGAGACTTGGGGACATTATTCACTATCCATTATCCTACTGTGTGAAATGATGTAATTGGAACAAAATGGTTTTTTTGCAACTTAAAAATTATCTTCATAGCTAATATGTTACTCTAGGGTCCAGATTAATACTGGCCCTACCTACCCAACTTACGGATTATGTTAGGTACTGATAGAATCAAAATGAGACTGGCTTGAGGCATTTATTTGTCAAGTGGTCTTCATGCACGATACATAAGATAAATATTCACAGTGTTCGCGCAGTCTTCAAAGAGCCTTTTTCTGTGACCATTTTTTCTGCCATTTACGTACCTACCTTGCTATCGCTACTTTATGTGACCAGTAACTGATTAACCTTATCAGTTCGAAGATCCACAACTCAATCATAATGACCATTAATAATGATACACTAGCATAGCACGCAATTGACTTTTTACAAATTTTACTACCAAACATTAAAGTATTCTATGTAAAACAACATTCCAGATCGCGTTGCAAGTCAAGGTTGAGATGAGACAAATGCGTAAAGGAAAATGACATTAGTTTACTGATTATATGGCTTCAGGAAAGATATGCCACGCAGAATATTGTTGTGTTTGTTTGCTCCTGGTTTTGTTGGATTCACACAAATCGCATTTTTTTCTTTACCAACTTATCTTTAATGTATTTGCATGCTGAATACTTACTTATCGTTTCCAGGAGTACATTCAAACCGACCTCCCTGCGAGGCTGCATCTGCAACCATTTGCTGACACACTGTGAATAGCACATCAGGAACACAGAGCCGATCTGAAAAGTAATTGTTATTAAAAATTAGTAATAATTTTCATAGAATGTGAGGAACATTATCCACTAAATTGAATCATTCGTTGAATATGATGCCATATTAATTTTAACTGTTAGCCATTCAGTTATTATTACTACAGCCATATAAAAGCAATAACTACTAGTAAAGATTTTTAATAATCCACGAGGTTGTTACATGCATCGACATTACACTATTGTAATGGTAATCGATCCAAGGGAATTTCCTCGACCAGTAGTAAACATAATCAAGTTTATGAGAAAATATTGCAATTTCTCACATGACTTAAGCACACCAAGTACCACATAATAACCTAGACCTATGTGGATTACGCATTTAGAGTACATCACAGTTATTCATGCGTCTAGAGTAACATGAACCTGTGTTGGTAGAACAACCCATATAAAAACTTGCATTAATATACTATACACACCTGCCAAACGACTGCAAAAATGTTACAATTTGAAACTCAGTATTTGTGTTTTCTTGGATGATTCTTGGGATATTTTGAATATCATAGTTTCAAATCACTGTAAAACTATACACTGTATCACAATCTATGTGTACCTATATTGTACATATACATACTTATTAGACACAAAACCAACCAATTTGAGAATGCAGAATTATAATTCATCATTCATGGCATATTTATATGATCACACAAGTTGTGGCCACAAGACAATGTCAACCTCAATTAAAATCGTTTACAAATTCAGAATGAGTGCAAGTAAACAACGATTTAGTCTGCATAAAAGTTTCACCAAAATTCTAGAAACCTCTTAATATTAGCAATAACCATAACCAAAGGTTGGCGAGTGACAAAGAGATGAACAGTAATCCTAGGCAGTGTCAACACTTGGGGTTGTCTGTCATGGCCACGGCGTTGGTGCTAATTAGAACTTAATGATTTGGACGTGATAGCTTTCCTTCCTTTTATGCATACATAAGGTGGCGTATTAGAGTATTATAGCTGAGCTGTCAATGAGAAATAATTCGCCATCCATCCATCCACGACACACAAAACTGCTATTTGACACCCTCGCACCACTTTTTCCTTCATTGCTATTCTAGGCCTGGATTACACGGAGCTATTTAATGAGTCAGAATTAGGACCGAGGACTGCAATTAAAATTTAAGTACAAGACTTTAAATTGTCTATGCATCATTTTGAGAGTGACACAGTCATTTGCATTGAATGACTTATCTTTCCTACCCTACTTTAAATACCTCCACCAACAGAAAAATCAACAGAATCTCAGAATATATGTTGAATTTCGACTAAGATTATTGTTTTGGTTCTCATCTTGCCCCATGATATGATTTGGAAACATGATACGATGCATAACAACATGCTGCTGCTGGGAGACAAACAGAGTGAAGATGAGGCAAAATGAGAACCAGAATGAGATTCGACAATTCGTCTCATTTGAGACATTATTGACTGCTAGTTTAAGGCTCGTCATACTTGTGAAGTAATCTGAATTTTCAACCAATTAGGTTATTTGGCTTTACTTATTTTATATCAGAATACACAATAAAACCAATAAATACTTAAAGAGATAACTAAATAAATGTACTTACATTGGCCTGAAATTTGAGATTTAACTAGATAAATACTCGTCAAAATAATAATTCCCCCGACGAGAGGAAACATGGAGTTAATTTTGTACATTGTCACGCTACTATTTTAACAACTATTTAAGGCACAGTAATATTGACACTTTACTTATACTACAAGAAATGTTTTTAATCGTTCATTTTTAGATGTAATTAAATGATTAATGAACTGATGTGAAGATGTGTATTCACTTGATAACACTGTAGTTCTTTATAACCGGGCAGTAGATTCTCTAAATTTTCTCTGAGGACTGAATTTGTCAACTATGCTTGCAGTATTTTTTAATCCTCCAAAAATGTTTTAAAATTTATAAACTGAGTCAACAACTTTTTAAAATATTTTAATGTATGCAACGCTATTAATATGCAAACTTTTGTAAATTTACAGAATCTTAACTACTTATTTAGTTAGAATCCGCACGACTGAGTGAGTAAACAAAGCTTTGGACACCTTAGGACCGTTTTCGCGACTAAAAGCTTAATTTCTTTACTTGGCACATTCCATGAACTGAGAGCACATTAATTTATAGCAATCATGCTTCCTTCAATATTTTACATCATCATGTACGTAGAAGCCTGCCTACCTACCTATTTACCTGGTCAGACCGCAGCACATAGCAGCACAATATACATGGCCATGTCATACATACCAAGCGTGTCGACAACAGTCCATGCCATGGTATTCACTGTAACCAGCCAATGCATGCACCATATGAGACTTAAAAGTTCTGATGCTGCTGATGAATGATTATAGTACTTATTCCCACAGTTAACTGACTGCATGGAAATATTCTTCATTATTTCCTCTAGATGTTTCAACTATGACACCGATTATACGCATTAAAACTACCCTGATGGTTACTGATGAGTCATGGAAATTGCCCAATGGAGGATTTGATTTGTGCCGTATAGTTATAAAGAGAACGAATTGAAATATTTTATCAATATTTTATTGAACATGAATAAAAACAATTGTTTATCACATCAAATTGGGTAAATATTTATACCATGGCGGTATTTTAAAATGATTGTTGAGTGACAGACTGTTCGTAATATATAGTAAAATAAGGGTGTACTATTTGTTGCGACTGAAAGAGCCTGCAACTGAAAAGTGTCGCCAAGGACCTGTGGCAATTAATTCCCATCCTAAACCACCAGGATTATTTTGGCTAATTCCCATGCGCTTAGCAAGAGTACATCGGTAGGTGTCATTCGTCTTCAACAATGCCCAAACGTTTCCATCAGGAGCAACTCCAACCTAGAAATGTTAGTGCATATAAGTATCATGTGCGTACGTAAGACCAGGTCAAATTAACACATGTACTGTAATCACCATAACTCACCTGTAATACACCATCACAAACACGAATCCATTCCCGACCTTCTGGGAAAATAGCCTGCACTTCCGTACGTCGATAAAGAGCATTATTGGTACCTATATCGATACCGATAATTTATAGGTAAATACCGATAATTTATAGGTTAAGAGCATTGTTGGTACCGATGGCCCAAATCGAAGATGACCCAACTTTGACCTGCTTCAAGGGAGTATCATTCGGCCGGTCCAAAAGTTGAAACGAGTGTGCATATCTGATATACGAGAAACCGTCTTTCCCCACGGCCCATATCCTTTGACCATACCAGCCCGAGATGCTTATCTACAGTGGTTGTTACAATTTACGATGAATAAATAAAGATTATTGTATTATACGTATTTATATATAATACCAGATAATAATAATATATAATAATTACTCAATATTTACTCATTTAACCCATTTAACTTACCAAGGGTTTTTCAGATGAAAGGCTATCCCACGCAGTGCCTATTGGGCATTCTGGTGAAATTCCAGATCTCACTACCACATCGCCATTTTCTTGCAAACCCAAAACCTCCCACTCGCAATCTTCGTTCATCTATTAATTAGTAGTCGCAATGTAAATAAGTGTAAGTGTATTATACAAAATCTATATAGATTTTGTAACATTTGCATATGTACAAGTTACCCGAATACTTAAATCAACAAGCTTCATTCCTTCAGCTAATTGCCATGGACCGACGACAGTAAGTCTGGCAACACGTTTCCACCTTCTTCTTCGAACAAAATCATTTATTCGCTTATTGGGGTGATAAGAAGCAGGAAAGTCCACAGCAAACTGCCATCCGTCATCATTTACTCCATGAGGAGTGTCATAATCGACGGCCCAGTCGGCCACCTGCGATTGAATTATCTTCAATTAAATATAAAGTAATAATACTCTTAGTCTAGCAAAATGGCAAGTACAAAATGTGTTGTATATGTATGGTGACATCACATTACCCATGCCCAGCGATTTGAAGGCAGTCGAATGTCTAGTTTTTCCATTCGAATGCGACCACTTTCGTCCGTCCAGCCATGTCTATCAGTTGGCAACATTACATTGCCTGAAAAGCCAGTGGCGGGATTCCACCGTTGATTTTCGTAACAATAATATGTGTGTTCATCCGTAACAACTCCAAGAGAAGTCCCTAAATATGAACGAACAATGAACCATGCATATTTATATTATGCAGTAAATTGCAGTATCATCCGTACATAACAACTTACCGTCAACTTTTTGCTGTTTTGATGATCCAGTAAAACACCAAACTTTTAAATCATAACCTATTGCCCAAGCTGAGCCGTTGGAACCTGCACAAGATATTATCTACTAATAATTTTTTTCAGGACAATTAAATTAGTGATTAGATAGCACCTGCTTCGACCTTATAGAAGTGGCCAGGTAACTGTTGCGTAACAAATTCTAAATCGTAGCTTTCTCCAAGTTTTGGATCATATCTGTAACATATAAACATAATTTGTAGATTAATTAATTATATACCCTTTTGTTAAAGATAATTGAATACCTTGCACTAGAAACATTAATATCACCATAAACGAACAAATTACAGATGCATTTTGGCGAAACTCGATGCTTGAAACTAAATATAAACTTTGTTTTCTTTTGAGTAATAGTTGTAATAATATGAGTCTGTGTGCATTCAATGCACATTGTGTAACTCATGCCTTCTCTAAATGGGAATACGCCGTCCCTTTCTTCTTCACCCCATTCTCCATTATCATACGAGTTTCGAATAACACATGCGTCAGAAAATCGTGGATTGTAGTGGAATGCATTGACTGCTTCGGTATTTCCTTTTAGATTAATTGAAAACCTCTCTGCTCCTTTAGGTATACTTATATCTAATAACAATGAGCTGTCTGGCATAAATCCTCGAACAAGGGGGTAGTGAAATTGGAAATCGCCATTAGGTTCCGAAGTCACAACCTCTGCTTCGACTGGACCCTCTTATAAATTAAACTCAATAAGTGAAAGTGATTGCATGATTACGTACTTGAGTAACTAACTATTGTATTCAAACCTAGAATTTTAATTTGTCCGGCTCGATGTATTTCAGCATCGCGAGTGACTATCCAAATGTCTGCAATAGAAAAGTCTTCCAAAGGACGTAATGCTAGCTCTGATATACTTTCATGCCATTCTTCCGTGTCCTTTTCATTCCTAAATAAACATGGGATAAATAAGAAAAGATACAATAATATTCATTTATGTATATTATTGGTTAAACATTTAAGAAATAAGTGGTGACTTTTTCTTATTAATAATATTATATAATAATAATAATATTATAAGAATACACATACATGAATTTAAAGGTAACATATTCTGCAACACCGGGTTCTAAGCTATTTCTTATTCTGCATGTCAAAGTATTCACACCAGCCACAGTTCCAAAAATTGACAATACATCACCAACAGAGCACAGCCATGTTTTTTCAAGATTCTATTATTGAACATGAAACCAATAAGTTAGTAAAGTTAGTATAACCAATTCAGACTACATAGTTCAATTGAATTCAATATTACCTCATGAAACATTAAATGATTATTGTTGGAAATTTCCAAATGACCATCTAACCACCGCTTGTTTCTGGACAAATGCAAAAATTTCACTCTGACTGATTTACTCCATGATGTTGACGATGGTTCAAGCGCGTCTGGATATGAAAAATTAGTCCTTTTCAATTTGAGCTTTTGAAGATCTTGTAAAATATCTTCGCGCCATGGACCTACTTCCAAATCTGTTTCTACTCCTGTTCTGAAAGTTAAAGTACTATCTTAATACGGCTACAGATTTGAATTCTATTCCATTATTCTCCAACCTCAAGCAGGAGGCACATGCTCCATCAACCCAACAGAAAGAATTAGGAATCGTGGAATTAGATGAATCAGAAACATTGTTAGTTCCAATTGATGTTGATGGAGGAACATCTGGCCTTAAGGATACAAGGCTTTCCATGCTATCAGCCTTCCCATCCATCATGTCATTTGATACAGTGGAGACTACAGACAATGAATCCCAATCGGCATCTTTCAGTACAGGTTTCCAACTTTGACCATATTTTTGATCTTCCGAAATACCAACTCGGAGGAACAAGCAGCTAAATTCTTCATCAGATAATGCCAAAACAATCTAAACAAAAACATTATTTTGTCAACGATCATGAAGTACGTGTGGTAGTAGCTGACGTGTTGAAGTCTTACATCATCTTTCATTCCTACAGCAATATTTTTCATCTGTCCTGGCAACTCAATCCATTCGAACATCGGTTCTCTCTGTTGCACAATATCTGGCCAATTACCCTTTAGTACCCAACACTTTTTGTCTCTCGTAATTGCCCATAAACAATTTGTTCCTGCAGAAATTTGCAGCAACCCTCCCGGTGGACCGGGAGATTCCAGCCAATCAGAGCCTACCAAGATTTGTGTATAAAATTATGCGATAATACTTGCATAAGTTACTCCATGCGATGTAATTCGTTTGATATGATTAAAAGAAAGTACGTATTACCCTGTGGATTCTTGGGCGTGAGACCAATTCGATAAAAAAATGTGCCAGTCCAACTTACAACAAATGGAGTTCCATTCCTTGCTACCGTTACTTGACAAGCTTCAAGGCCTTTTCTAATCGGGATATGTTTCCAGTGAAGTCCTTCAGGATTGCTTGTGGTAGTGTTATTTCGAAAATATACCTGAAAATACATCCCGATATTTAATTTCTGAACAATATACAAATATTTGCATATTGTTATATGTTGTATGTTTAATGTTATATATTGAAGGTAACAATGTTATATATTGCGGGTTATATATTTCTAAGAGGGTGAATTACCTCCCCAAGGATTGAAACAGCCCACAAGCAACATGTTTCTGGAGTTGAAAGATTATTTAATCCTCCAACTGCAACATCAATAAATGGCTCCTGACAAAAAAAACATATGAAAATTACTCAGTGTAGATTAATGGATGAGAATGTTGTAAACATTATACTAGAAGACTACTTGTGTATGGTCTTGATGAAGGGACTCTATTTTATTCCAACGATTAGTTCCGACAAATTTCCGATATCTGAAAAGTTCAAATAAAATGTTCTCCCATAAATGTTTGAATAAATTGCTCATACGTTTTAAAACTCGTACCTGAAAAGTTTTCTTCTTCTTACAAATGACTTAAAAGTCTTTTCTGGGTGGTATGTAGCTGGAAAATCTAAGGCATACGTCCATCCCTTGAAAAACAAAGACGGTTTTTGTAAACATAAATCAATTAGAAAAGAATAGTTAATACCTCAGCAATCAACTCATTTTCAAAGGTATTTTCTATTTGCCAATCACATTCCCATTTCCATGCGTCCGACGGTAATTTATCACTTTTCTCACGTGGTTCAGTACCACTTTCGCTTAATAAAATAAATATAATAAAAATAATCTTCTTAATAGATTATTATTACTGGAATATTACTAGTAGCTTCCTATTAATATACCTTGAGAATGGGGCCCGATCCGTTGGTAAAAGGTGCTTGCCAAAACCATCAATCGGATTCCACCTCTGGAGAAATAAAAAAAACTAGTTCTCTACAACATTTCAAGGACACAAAAAACATTTGTTCAACTCAACCTGATTTTCCCATATTTCTTCCCTCACTCGAATTCCTATATCACGTTTTGGTACATATACGTATATTTGATGATCCGAGCCGATTCCCCACAATATATGCGAGAAAGAAACCAGCCTCTACAGAGAAAAGAAAAATAGCAAATATCCATCAGTTTTAATCAAACGAATCTTTAATGAGTATTTAATGACATTAACCTTAATATTGACATTTGTTGGATTATGAAGACGAGTCCAAGCAGGTGGATTTGAATTCCCAAGGGCCCACACTTTCCCATTATAATCTACTCCATACACGGTCGAGTCGCTTTCCTTACTGAACGACATCTAAATATCCCCAGTTGTTCTTATTTTACCACAACCTAAGCATTAGTTCTTTGTAAATATACTTATATTACAATATATACAATACATATATACATACATATACAATACATATACAATATATCCTCTTAAACCTCTAATGACGCAGAGGAACCTCATATTGGTTTTTAATGCATGCTTAATTTCACTTTTAAACTATATGATTGCAATATGGGGGTCCTCTTGTGCAAAAAATTTGAAAATAATTGAAAAAGGTGTGCGACATGTCGCAAGAGTCATTTTAGGTCGCAAAAGCTATGAACCAATTTGTAGCATAATGCAGAACGAACTGAAATGGATGTTACCTAAACAAAACTATTATTATAAATCTCTATGTTTTTTATATTCACTACAGAATAACGAAATCCCATTTTTTGAAGGTTTTATTAAAAAATGCATGACTTTTTATAGATATCTAACCAGATCCGCTCTTAATTTGAGAGGTAACTTCTGTCCAAGAAACAGAATCGGAGAGAGAAGTATACATTATTTGACAAATTTACGACAAATTCATGTAATGTGAAATACTAATATGTCAGGCATAACGAGCTTTTGTAAAGAAGCAAGCTTGATTAATTAATAAATAAAAATTACATGTATGTGAATGTTTAAATATTGCCAAAACACAAGTTACCATTAAAATCGACTCATTCGTAGATGCCAATACAAGCATCAATTGGCAATTAGTATTCCTACAAGAGCACATAAATTTCAGATTGTAGAATGATATAATTTATCCGTTGAATCCAAATTTTTAGGAAGGAAACAGGTGTCTGCAGGTGAATGTGAACTTGTATTTTTCACTTTGTATGATTCATTTGTTTTGGTTTTGAAGGTAGTTGGTTTTGGCGCACGCGGTGTCACGTGCTTAGGCTGCCACCAATCGGGCCCCTGCTTCAAGTTCCCTCCAATCCGAAGCTTGTTCTTCTTCTCCAGCAAGCAACTCTGGCTTTATTCCACACTCGGACCCCGGCCTACTCACTGCTCTCCTCTCTCGTTCTCGCGCTCTACTGAGGAATTATTTGGTAAGCGCTGCTGAAGTCAAGGATAAGCGAGTTTCAAATCGACTGCAGGTAAGTTAACCTTATTATTGTTCTTGATTCATCCTTCATCCTCAATTTCTTGGGTTTTTATCTTCGAATCAAGAATCCTCCTCATTCTTGTTCATCACCAACTTTGCACAATACTTTGCACACTCATATAACCCAATTTGCGCTCTATTGTACTATAGAAGTGAGTTTTTTGTTGCAAGGTTTGCACTTATCGTTTTTCAATAAAATTAATGCATTCCGTCTATTTGAACTACGCCATTTATTTTAACATGTTCCGATTAGTTTTTTACCAGCACGACGTATCTTTTATGCACTTGCTAGTTTGTGGTGCGGTAAGGGAAGTATAAGATTTTTTTTGGAGCGGTGCGGTAAGGGAAATATAAGATTTTTTTTGGAGCGGTGCGGGTGCGGTACGGGTATGGTGCTGGAGCCCTGCTGCGGTACGGGCTGAATCAGTACTAATACATTGGTGGAGCGGAAAACCCGTACCGCACCAGTGATTTTGGTGCGAAACGGTACTTTTATAATATTTTTTGGTGGGGTACGGGAAGTCTTGAGATTTTATTGGGTGCGGTACGGCACCGTTCCAAAAATCTTTTGGTACGATACGGCAACACAAACTAGCAAGTGTGCTTTTATGTAGTTGACAAGTTTTGATACTCCCTTTGATTTGAACCTTGAAATTAAAGGTTCAATGCAGTCAATAATCATTACATGATTTTACAGAATACAGTTCACAATGGTGAAATCAAAGAAATCTGGTGGTGGACGAAAAGGCAAGGCTGTCCCAATCAAAGCTAAAGCTAAGGTGGTTGAAGAGGAGGAATTCGAAGAAGAGGAAGAACAAGGTTCCCAAGATAATGGGAAGGACGATCATGATGACGAGTCTTCTGAACCGGAAGAAAATGATGCACCACCGGCGAAACGCTCGAAAACAACTACCCCCGCGAAGAAAGGCAAGGCCGGACCGGCCTCTTCTAAGAAAGGCAAGACTGAACCTGCTGCTTCGAAAAAAGGAAAGGCAGGACCTGCATCTAAAACCAAGCAGCCTGCTGCGGCGAACAAAGGACGTCCGAAAAAGTCTGTGGAGAAACCAGCAGCAGTAGATTCCGAGTCCGATGACGCCGACTCGGATACGGATTATGAAGTAATGAAATTGCAATATTTATTTTTCTATGTTAGCATGCTGAATAAACTAAATTGGAATGCTTATTTCATATAGGTGGATAGTCTTTTGGATGTCAAGTACAACAGGAATGGTACGAAGGAATTCCTGGTGAAGTGGATTGGATACCCTAAATCTCAGGTATTTTGCATGAGAAAATTATTACTTTCCTTTTTCCACTCAGGTATAGCATGCTTAATAATTTATTTGTCTTTGAAAATGAAGGCTACGTGGGAGCCAGAGGGTAATCTTAATTGCCCTGAAAAATTGGAAGCTTTTTCGAAAAAATTGGATGCGGTAAGTCATTATTTTGTTATCTAAGCTGGTTGCGAACAAAAATACATCTTTTTAAATTTATTGGTTCCCGTTATATCTTTTGATCATTGACTTTTTACAATACAACTAAAGATGAGTTAACTAAGGACCTTAGCCCACAACAATTTATTTCCAGTTGCACTAGCTAGGTCCGGTTTGCTTTTAGGAAGATCTGGCTTTCTCTTGCATTGATTTGCACTATCATTTACACTTCAGCTTTTGTTCGTACTGTTGAGTTGAATGATCGACCTATTTCTTAAAAAATTAAAATTATTCGCGTTATAATTAAGCGAAATAGTTCATTTTTTGTTTCATTCGTAATTTTTCAATTCTAGTTTGTTTGTTTGTTGTTCATAAAATACAATTACTTGATCGGGATATTAACTTGCATTAAATTGTTAGTATTTTATAACAATATGTAACGAAAGAACTCTACCAAGAGGATTAAAAATTTGTCTTCCTTATTTATTAATCAAGATGAAGCAGGTCTCTACAAAAAGTCTCAGGACAGATCGTAAGCAAACACAAGTATACCAAGACTCGACGCGTAATAAGGGCGTACGAACAAGCCGCCGGTTTGCGAATTCGCCAAGGTATATCCCCCCAAACTAATTATTTAGTGCTATAATAACCTTTACACTAATGTTTGTCATCAAATACAATTCCATCCATCACATGCCATGTCTATTGTAGATGCTTTTTGCCTATGCCCTTCCCGAACAATTTATAATTTACAAATTATTTTTTTGTAGAAAATAATTTTGCGGCTTGTATATTACAGTAATTATAAGCTTAACATAAAGGTAATTGACCCTAGCTCGTATGTACTCTTTTTCTTGCGCTATATAAAAATACATGGCACACCATATCAATGTATTAAAATAAGAACGATGTTGAGATTATGCTAAACTAATGATTAATTTTTTTTAACTTGTAGGACAACTTACCACGGTCAAGACGAATAAGCCCTACAAATAACAATCTTGCTGCAAAGAAAATTCGAGTGAAAGAAGGAAGGGTTGAAAAATTGGCAAATAATCAGTTATCTAAGTTTTCATTGAATAGGTTTTCAGTATCAGGTTTTTCATTGTTACCACGATCTTCACGTAAAATTACTCGGAATTTAAAATTAACTGCCTTATTCTCAGCAACTGTTCTTTCGTTTGGTGCGGTAACTTATATAAATTATGATTTTATTAAACAGTTTTCTTGGGCGTCAGTCCAGCCCCAACTGTTCAACTTGTTTCAGACTTGTCAAATAATTTTCAGAAATTTTTTTCATTCAGCCTAAATCCATTGTTTCGTTCATAATTGTTAGTATTTATTTATAATCTCACGTTGTTGACTCTGGGAGATGTGTACTACCAAAGTACTAAGATTTTACATTTATAAATATGACATACTAAAAATTACATTATTGACAAATATGATAATCATAATAGCATCATAATTCATAACATTACAACAACAACCTCGTTTCCGCCGGAATTTGTAAAGTTTATAATTAAACTTGTTATTTCATAAATACGAGAGATTAGTGTAGCCTATTATCACTAGGATAGAGCAGAACTATTAATTACTATTGATTACTATTGATTTTTGATGTTGTATGATTATTATTATTTTGTAAAAGGGTTGCAATAATTTGAAAATATATGAAAGATTAATTTAAAATCTTTTTATTATGGTGGCTTTTTATTGATCTCGATAAGAGATTACTGTTATATTTGATTAAGTACTTGTACCTATATTCATGCGCAAGGGGGTGGTTAATAAATGTACAGATATTTATACATATTAGAGATTACCCGTTATTTCTTCCGTTCATGCTGATAATAATGAGATTCCTGGTAGGTTGTTGACTCGATTCTTGTGGAACTCATTTTATTATTATTTTGACCACTAAAAAAGGCCTCATTTCATTGGCCGACATATGTTCTCAAAGATGAAGATGAGTGGAACAAGTTTAGTCGTGAAGATTAATATAGGAAAAATGATGAATTCGTGGAAACGACGACTTACTTAGGTGGGGAACATGTTGAACAAAATTAACAAATTCACGAGACAACTGATATATAAAATTATAAAATTAGTTTGCTATTGTGTAAAATAAGTCGAATAGCCTTAGGGTATAATGCTTTCAGTCCAATTATCTACATGTGCATGCATACGCCACAAAATATATATTCTGAATCCCCTCGCCGAGAGACCTGTCCAACGATGCCGCTTTTCTGGAGTTTACCATACCGATTTTTCAAAATCGTTATATCAATCTGAAATTTTGCATGGAGTTGCTTATAGGTCTGAATGGAAGAGCATGAACTAAAATTAGAAAAAAATTCGAAGGCCCCTATTGGGTAACCCCCAGCAATTTTCAGAAATTAACATGGAAAGCTGAAGTTTGGACAAGAGTTCCTTACTGCTTTCTCATGAAATAATATAAGGTTAAATATGAACGAAACACAGACGAGAGATAAACATATTATGTTTATCCCTCGTCTGTGTGAACGAGAATTTACCAGAGGGGCACTTGGGGTGGGGGTGACCCAAACAGATTTCTAAAAGTTGCTATAATTAACGGAAATTTAGTATGGAGTCGAAGAATAACTTGCAAGGAGCATTTTGAGGTTTGTATTTTCGAAATTCTTATAAGGGCGACCTCCACTGGTCATCGGAGCTAGTCAAATAGAAGGAGCAAAAAATATTTCTAAAATTTGGAGCCAAGTAATACGAAGAATTGTTAGAGCAGATAAATACCAGGCCAAATGTAACACAAAATCATTTCCCATATTTCGCAGGAGAAGGTGAGACAGAGTGAGAAAAGTGGTTGGCGGTGGGTATCCACCACCATCGTGCGTTAGGATCGTATGCGCGATCCATTTTCTCACTCTGTTTCTCTCTCTCTGCACTCATTAGTGGCCAGAGTTTGTTACGGCTCTTGCGGTATAAGATGGCCCCCACAGAAACTTTGACCCCAAAAATCTCATGGTCCGACGCATTTCCAGTCGGGCAACAGAAGCTGAAAAGTTAGCTCTTCAAATGGAGAAAATTCTGGCATCAGGTTGTCAGACTCGAAATGGGTAGGACCATGACTTTTATACGATTTATGTGTAAGTCAAAAAACCGCCAATTTTCGAATTTTGAAACTTTTGATGCATCAAAATGTCCGTATTCATGGGGAAATTAGAATTGCAAATGCAAGTTGGGGTCTAATTCTTGCTGTATCGAGTGTGCATTGGATTTCTCATTTTTCCCAGTTTCTTTTCTCAATTTTTAAAAGGGGGGTGGTTGAATATAATTCAAAAATAGCTATGCTGAATTGACGGTTGCACCCGGAACTCTACTTGCAAGTTTTTATATTTAATTCCAAGAAATCGATGCAACGTAGAATGGAACATTTCCCATAATACCTCTCAGCAGTTAATTATAGTTTAGTGTAAAATAATAGCACATAATTCTATAGACAAATATGGATTTACAAATCAATCCTGGTTCGGGCTAAGCAAAGCTGTACTGTACTAGGTTTTTATAAATAAATTGCAAATTATCGCATTTGACTCAGTTTATGTATTCATGTATATATTCTTGTTTTTATGATGTACGCAGACTCCAATTGATCCTATAATAATGCTGCAGTGGTAAAATAGAAAAATCATAAAATTGTTCGAATTTTAAATTACCAGTCTCGATTGCAAAATTTGTCACGTAGACAGGTTTCTAAACTTTCACAGGTCAAATTACTACTATTTTCCTAAACGGGAGAACCGCTTCCAAATATGGGTAGCACATGGTCTACAAATACAAAGTGATGCAGTTACATAGTTGGCTGGTTTTTCATTTAATTTATCTAATGCAACTGTTCCATATATGTAGCCTGAACTGCATGCATTCATGTATATGTAAATAGTATTCTATTTTGATCCCAAAACAACGAATGTCTAGTTTTCTATTCAAGACATACAGATACAGATTGTTAATTCGTTATTACATATTGAGCACAATTAAACGGATTGATATTTGTACATTGAATATTCTGTAATATTGATGTAATGCGCCGCATTCCTGTTATCAAGCTAATAAAGGTCAATAAATACCTATCAAATCTGTCTACTTCATTTTTTACCAAGACACTTTCGCATGTTTCTATACATATCTACATTTGTGTAGGGCTATGCACTGCCTGTGCATAGCCCTCGTAGAATAAATTTAGTTTTGGGTCGGGTCTTCAATTTTTACTTTTGAAAATTTTTACCGGATAAGATGCTTCAAAACATTAAACCCTATGATGTTTGATGGGGCCACGTTCAAGTTGAATTTCAGCCGGGTAGATGGGCAAATGATTTTTTGGACTGCATATCATCACTCTTGATATGCAGTTTAACAAGATTAGTGTTTTGCATCAAATAAAGTACAAGTAGCGTCATAAGAGTCTTGATTGCATTGATCATAATAAAGTTTAGGACAACTATTATTATTATACGTAGGAAAACTATGATTGCATTGCTTTCAAAGAATTAAGCATTTAATTTAATAATTAATCGAGAAGATTCTACACGTATAAAATTCTACATTTTAGTATAAAATCCTACAAACGAATATAATTTGAGACGAATAAAAATGTTTTTATTCCTTTTCCTATTTCTTGCATTTCGTTCATGGCAAACTGGTCATATTGACAGGCCACTAGTATTGCATAGGCGATGGAATTCCAGTTTCACTTTCCATAGACAACAACTAGCAGTTTGTTGCAGCAAACTTATGTAAATTGCATGCATATGTGAGGTTGCTTTTGTAAATTATGGCACGATGTAGATGTATTTACTTATTTATTATGCTGCACTTCGTTTGCATTAAAGAAATTATCCGATCTCGAGACAAGAATGCTTATGTAAGCAGTTCAAAATTTAGCCTAATATTTCTAAATGCAAAGTGAATATTATAAATGTAACCTGGGTCAAGAAAACCAAATTCTCTTTGAGATACGGAACTCGGCCAAAGGGAGAGAGATCCACAAATTCTTTTATCTCGAGCATTTGGTTGGCCTACAAGCACTTACGACGAGTTTTCGTATAAACTTTTTTTCTGTGGTACGGAATCGATATGAAGGCAAAAATGTGTTGAAGCCGGCAACAAGGGAGTTCCCGATGAGAGAGAAAGTTAACAACTCCACTCCTGTTACAACAACGGGGTTATAAAAGTTAATGCCAGAATCGAAGTTGGAGGAATTGCATGTGCATTAGGAAAACCACCCAATAAGAGGCAGGCCAAACTGCAGAGAGAGAGTTGAAAAAGACTCCGGACGGTCTAGACTCCGGCAGCAGAGGAAAGAACCTTGCCAAACCAAACTTTCTCCACTTTCTCCTCAGTCCTTCCCCAGACCACGGCTCAGCTACATCATCATCCCTTCAATCCTCTCAATTTTTTAAAAAAGTTCCTCAGTTGCTGCACCAGTCTGTGATTTACCTCAGGCCTTTCCCTGAAAAAATCTCAATTGCGCTGCCGGGCAGTGAAATATCGCATCGCAACGACATACGGCAACTGCATATAGTCGTAGCATTTCCTTCGTCCGGATTTGGCTGGATTGTCGTAGACTACAGAGTTTTTCTCACGACAATTACTCAAGATGTGACATAAAGCACTCCGAATTGAGTCCTCTCTAGTTCAAGCCCTTATGAGAAAATTCATAATTATACAACTCAATCCCGCCCAGAAATAGCGAGACAAAGTGGATGTCAGCCCAGACAAGCAAAAACCGACTTTAAACGAAATTTAAAAAATAAGCAAGTAAATTATTCATTGACTGACTGGGTGAGTAAGGTGAGACTGTGTGGTGCTAAAGTTAGGGAACAAGTGTCATAGGGACGAGGTGTCATTACTTATTCAAGACGTGCCCTGCCCAGTGGTTTATTATTATTCCATGGCGAGCCTCCATTAGCATTAACTTGCACTTCGACTTCAGACGCGACGCCAGATCTAGACGCGCTATAAATATTCTACTTTCTGGGTGGCATCTCTCTCTCTCTCTCTCAACTTATTTGACTGACCTATTCATCGAAATTTTTGACGTTGGTTTGGCTTTAAATATTTAAATGATATTGACCCCTGCAGCTTATATGTATATGTGTATGCACATATATATAAATTGTACTGATGTAATTTGAATAGGTTAACTGAACTCTATATTCATGGCACATGCGTATGTGCATCAGCCATGGACGCGTAAATAAAAAGTTTCAAATTACATAATAAAGTATACACAGTTGTAGTGAAAAGTTGATCTTTGTAGGTAAAACCTTTGAAGGGTAAAAATGGATAATTTGTCAACAGGCACAAATTTTAGCATAATAAGTACAAGATCAAATATCCAATAATGAGGTACACAAACCACTTCACTGGATGGAAAGAATGGAAACATTACAATAGCATTTTTATCTCTGTATTATTTTAACATTGTTGTAGATAGTAGTGTGGCGGCGACTGTGCTCTGATCTCGATGAGATGAGCTTCATCAACCCCATGAAAATTAAATTAAATCTTGGAGCAAGAGTCAAAAGTTGGGCTAATAAAAATAAAAGTTGAACGTGACAATATATGTAAGACCAGCCAGACAAGAAGTGTGAGTAGAATTGACTATTTTGTGGAGGAGATGAGACTTTTGTAATCATTCTACGCAAAGGACTTGCCCAGTCGAGAAGCAACTTTTGTTTAGCTCGTCTTCTCATTGTCTTGGTCTTCTTGATCATCCCTCGATTCACCACTCACGGCAACACAACCACCAACACGGGAGGGCGAAAGAGGAGCACATTATCATTTTATGAATCAAACCAGATAACACATATAACCAAAAGTTGGTAGTAAATTTTTAGTAGTAGTAGTTCTCAAAGTTGGCTTTTTTTACAATAGCTTATGCCATGTGTAGTAACTACTCTTGCAGCAATTATAATCTACACATCGACATTAAATTTTACTTCAATAATACTGTAATACCGGTATGACAAGTATTAAATTGCTGGCAGCTGTGAAAAGTTTGTTCTTGGTGAGTTTCAGTTTCACTATTACGGAGGAGGGGCAGTCTTTTGTTGCATAGGTTGGAGGAAGTTGGCGGCTGTGAAACATATTCATTTCGAATATGCCGTGGGTGCAATGAAATGATAAGTTCAAAAAGTCTCCATAACCGAATATACTGGTGCCAAAATTTTTGGAGTATGTGTGAGTAGTTGAACTCTAGTAGTAGCAGTAAGCAGCACTCTGAATAGTTGACCATTTAATTCCTTCCTTCCGGTGGTACAAGTGCCATGTCACTGGTGGACACTTATCACACTTGCTCCCCGGCAGTCGTGTGGTGGTGACCTGTAAAAGGTGTGGACATCAAGACTATGCAATTCCATGGTTGGGGTCCTTGAGCTGAAAACATAAAACAATAATGTCCCATGGTCACTTCACCACCAAAGTGACACTTTTGTACTTTCTCCTCGCATTAAGTTTCCTATCATGTGAAAGAGTCTGCAGTGTCCTCGGTAGTGAAAGCAGCAGGGATGAGTCCTCTCCAAAATATGAGGAGACCATTCGCAAAGAGATGATCAAAGTGCAGATTCTTCAGAGGTTGGGGTTGGAGCAAAAGCCTCACGTAGATGATGCACACAAACTTTCGAAGGATCTCGCTCTCGAAATTTTGAGGAGAACTGACAATTTACATCAGTCTGGTGGTGGGTCCACGTCCTCGGATACTAATTCCACCACCATTCAGACGACCGAGGATGACAATAACTTTGCAAAAACCTCGGAGATTATTTCATTTCCTGACAAAGGCAAGTGCTGACACAATTTATGTACATTATGTTTACATTACGCTTACAATGCATACCAACTGTGGCAAATCATAAAGTATCTAGTAGACTTATTCTAAATACTCACATGTGTACATTTATTCTTAAATACGTTCAATTACAACTGTATCAAACAACCTGACACCATTTATGCTCTTGATGTTTATAAACAATTGTAGAGATTCAATGAATGTAAAGGTTACAGTCTTGGTGAGAATTGGGGTGACCATCTGCAGAGTTCTAGCAGACTCACTGCAGAGTGTACATATGTACATCGTGGCTTCTGGCAACCGCTACTGTGTGCAGGCAAACTGCTTGAACGACTTAATGAAAATTAATAATTTCTGTTGAAGAGCGACTTTTCATCATAATGCTGTATCAGCATAAATGCAGGGTTGTGTTTTATGCAATCGATTACTAGACCAGACTTGGCAGTGCACGTGCCAAAGATTGAATGCTTGATATTTCCTGCCGTACTCCACAAGCGACGCATAGCTTATAGTCGTCGACCATACAGCAGACATGAATAACCAACCACTTGAATATGTACAAGTATGCAATGTGGAAATGTGCAAAAAAGTTGAACCCTTTAAATGTTTGCATATATAGACATAGGGTAGAACGAGTCATTTCAAAACAACTTATTGCCATGTTCATCTACATCGAGATCCATGATCCACAAGATTTAAATTTAAATGCAAGCCAAATATCGAGTTTAATTTGAAACGATGATTTACCAGTTTTTATGCATTTTATAGAGTCGACTGTCCAAATGATTTATTTTAAGTTTTATGAGAATATACAATTCGTAATTGTTTGATACATAGATACATACTGCCAAAGCAGATTATGGATATGATAGTATATGCCCCGAGAGGTATGTACATATGTTGTATGTACATGTGTGATGGTTGGTTTGCTGCTGGTTGGTTTAGTCTGGTCTAATTAATATATTTATAAAACAACTAATTTAATACGCTGTGCTACTTATCTATTTATTATATGCATAGATCGATACTTGGCGACAGTTTCCTCAATCTCGTAGGCTGTACTTGCTTATCTTTGGCATATGCATGGAACAATCGTTTATGATTTCGTCGCCACATCCATAACTGGCAAATTAATTCAGTGGCAGGGCGGACCCTCTCCGCAGCTCAATTTACTCAAATTTAAATGCTAATTATTGCACTTGTTCATTCTGTTTGGTATATTTATGCATGGTGCCTATCTCGCTCAACCAGTCAGTCTGCACAAGTTATCTGCCAAGAGATTTTTCGTTTGATTAAACATACAACAGCCACAACTACTTACTTACTTGACCAGAAAGGAAGTCGACAGTGTCTATCGGACAGAATGCTGTGTTCTTGTCACATACTTGTGTATGTACATGTGAAACTGCGACATACACAATCGAGGACGTCTGCTTCATCGTCTTAATTCTGTATCATTTGCTCACCCTCAAACTCATCCTGTGCATAATTTTTTTCCTTGTTGTTATATCTCAATCAACAATTAGATTTATGATGAACATCAAATTGCTATATTGTTTCTTTTATTTGCTCACCATTTTTCCTGTCTGGAGTTCACATACATATGCATATCTGCACCAGTTATTTACAAAGTATGTTGTACACATTAAAAACAAAACTATGGGATACTATTACATGACAACTTTAGGTGTCCACCATCTGCACTTGCATAAATAGCGTGTGTATATGCGTGTAAGTGTGAGACCTTTTATTTTTAGTCGTCTTGCGACTAGAGAATTTGTCATCCGAAATTATTTTGGGTAGTGAAACACTCCGTATTTTTACTTTAGGAATTCCTTGTCGATATATCTGTGCAAAAAAATATCATCTATATGAATCCTCTCCATGTACTTTCCGTTTTCTTTATTTAATTATTGCAAGAAGAATCTTGTATAGTCGCCGTCTAGACATTTTAGCATTCTTCTTCTCTTTGACAAGGTACCTTAGTTTTAGACTGTTCAGCTTTGTTGGCTCCAGTTTTTTTTGTGGACGGGAACATCTAATCATAAATCAATTGGTTATGTAACTCCAAAACCTAACAATCTCATTTGTATGTTAATCTCGTTTTATTTGGCATATTAATATATTTCAATGCAATTGACTTACCACGAACGACACAAATACATATCTACGTAAACCGGCATTTAGGAAATGTGCTTGTGCTATTCTCTGAACTAAATGTGTTTAATATGGCATACTTTTTTCAGGTCCTATTCTCAATGGGCACACCCTATTGTCTTTTTCATATGCTGGGAACCACGCGTATGGAATGGGAGTGCGGGTGAAAAGAGCAGACTTATGGGTGAAATTCGATTATAGGTAAAATTTGAATTTATAAAATAAGCCAAGAAAACGATGAATATCTGAGCTCTTAATTATAATTTCACTCTGAATTCCTAGATCTTTAATGGGCAGACATTTTGGACACCTTTTACACCCAAAAGGGGTGAACCTGTATATTTTTCACATAGTTGGGAATTCTAATTCCAAGAAAACTCCTTTAAATCATACAGTCCATCTAACAAGTCAGGTATAATTTGGCACTCAAAAAGAATACAGGATTTTTACGTATGCGGCATGTGCATAAAAATGGTCTTATTTCTTATTTAGGACGTGGAGATGGACCTCGTGGTTTCCAGAACCATAATGCTCGACTCGCTCGGTTGGCAAAAGTTGGATATTACTCCAGTGGTGAGTGCGAAAAATAAGTATGCAGTAATTCAGGGTTTAACAACTGTATTTATATGAGCAGATGTATGTATACAAATATCAAAATCATCGCATGTATCCATGTAAGAATTTATAAAAATCTGCTTGCTTTTATACCTTAGGTGCAGAAGTGGTATAATAAAAACAGCCGGCACAGAATCCGGCATGGAAATCACCAGGGAAAGAATCATCATCCACGAGAAAAGCTAACCCTACTCGTGGACTGCGCTGGCTGTGCCAATTCCATCCATCCAATTACATTTAGTCAATCAAATACTGTGATCACAAATGAGAGAAAGGATTCCCCAGACCTCATGAGGGATGACTTTCACCAAGAGCCATTAGATACCTCTGGCCAGGTCCACTCCGAAGCCTTTGCTGAGAGGGACGAGAATGAGATTCCCTTCCTAGTTTTAGGTACTATTTTGAACGTTATGCAGTAACTCGTTTAAAAAGCCTTCTTGTGAGTTAATGATGTGGTAAGATCAGAAAATTGTATACCAAATTGTATTTTGGTTTCTAGAAACAGAAACCGCACCGAACGCTAGAAGAAATCGTCGAAGAGCTTTAGAGTGTGGTCCGAGAGTGAAACATTGTTGCAAGCAAAGATTTTACGTCAGTTTTCACGAACTCGGTTGGGACGACTGGATAATAGCTCCAAAGGGGTAAAATTACATGTTTTTGAAGTTTGCCCACCCGTTACACATTAAAATTATGATCTAATTACTGTATAAATCAAAATTGTTACAAGTTTATGACCTGATTATTGTCTACATGTATTCTTATTTAGATACTATGCTAACTATTGTCGAGGTCACTGTGGAGGTCCATTCCGAACTCCTGACACCTATCATTCGTACCACGCTCACATAATCGAAGAGTACCGAAGAACAACCGATGGGCAATCAAATCTGGAAGGAATCACGCCTTGCTGTGCCCCCACAAAATTTGCTCCAATGTCTCTCATTTATTTTGGGCCAGACTACAACATTATAAAAAGAGACCTTCCTAAAATGATTGTAGAGGAGTGTGGCTGTCCATGAGCAAAAGTACTAGAGCCTCATTTCTAAAAAAAACACTATGAAAAAGGTAAAATTACAAAACAAACTTTCTCGTATAAATGAAATGGAGAAAGTAACGAAGATTCCCAACGACGGAAAGACTGCCCACCGAGAAAGACCCGATTAATTGTTTTGAAAGGGCTTTCGGCCAGTTGTGATATGATTTCGAATGCGTAATGTAGCAATCGTAGATTTCCTCACGCCAGGTTCATTGTTCGAGTATGTAAAATATGAATCGTGATCTTGTCACTCATTTTATCGTACTATTATCGCAATTATTACTGTTGTGTTCTTTTGTTTCCAAACGCAGGAGCCATTTTGCATAAAAGGTTCTGTCTTCAGTTCAGGTAATAAAGCTGCCATTATTTTGGCTGTATTTATTCAAATGTCATAAATATATTATTGCAGTAATAATAGTTGGGTTGAAAACGATAATTTAGATACATATGCATGTACAGTACAGTACATTTAGTGATAAAATTATTATACTTATATGAAATTGTTCTCCAGTTTCAAATCACTCAAAATAGTTGAAGTAAATGAGGAATTGCGGAGATATACCTTCCATCACTGCCACTGTCGACTTATATAATGCCAGATTGACCGTCATGTCAATGGGTTTAATTAGCTTATCAGTTTGTGTGTGTAAACTCAATCCATTTTAAAAGTTGTCAAAACTCAATTTTATTGCAAACAATGTCACATACGAAAAACAAGACTTTTTTTACCAGAGAAAGAGAAAGAGAATCGGAACTCGCTGTGAAGCATATTAAATTGTATTTGTATTGAAGCAAGTTAAATGTGATTAAAGCTACTTTATAGTAATATAATCATAATGAATAACTATTAAAGTAGTTCAACGCGATTGCATAGTGAGAAATTGTGTCACCAAGTAGAAATTATAAAATCTTGGTAATAAAAACTTGAGAATCTTTCAAATTGTAAGATGCGGAAAAATAAATGCGAGTGTTAAATTCAAGTCACATTAAGCACTTACGTTCTTCACGACAGTGATTCAAATATTCGAAGGACATGTTCATGCGATTAATGGCTGACTCATAATGGTCGAGTTGCACGGATTATTTTCATGATTGGATGTGGAAATTGAAATTGTTGCATAAGTTGCTTCGAGTAATTCCTCATTGATCGATTTTGCTTTCTTTGCTGTCTGCACATATGTATTGGAGGGGAAAAAGGATCGCTCCATGAAATGTTGCGTGCTGTTGGTTGTGCTAATGAATATATTTTTTAGAGCTTTTAGACATTTGACAAAGAGAGTTAGGCGTTTAATTTTCGATTTTCCTCTTTTTCGCTTGTGCTCCATTAACGAAGCATTACTCTATAATACGGTATCACCATCGAACTCGGAAAAGCTAAAATTTGTATCCACACAACGCTAGACTTCGCAACAAAGTTCAACGTTTGATTCAGTTGTTGCAGTGGCCTCGGTAAAACTTATCACACCAAAAAAGGCAATTATATTTCTCAGTATTCTTTAGTCCAATAGTTTATTTTACAATTTATTACATGATTCCTAATGTGTATCTCAACATGACGAGTGGTTATTCTGATAGTCTGGTTAGTTTTCTCAGCATTTCATATGAATTAATCAATCAAATAATCACAAGTGCAAGGATTGAAATATAATGGACGTTCATTTAGGGTGGACAACAGCCAATTTCGACAATAACGGGACCGGATATCAGATCTGAACCAAGAAAGTCGCATAGTGCCCCAGCCAGACGTACATACGGAGAAAGCACGACCAGCAGCAGTTACTTCAGTAGTAGAAGCAGCAGTGGTAATAATAATGGCAGTGGCACAAGATCCGGTGGATGGAGAAAGTTTGGCGAGAGTGTATTTGGCCATGCTCCGTACATTGGGACGTTAATTGGTGAGATGAAGAGTCCCAGTAAGTGGACCATTGTGGTCAACATATTTTATTCCATTCTTCATTCCGTGTCCGCGACGACGTTTGTCTCTAACCCGCTCTCAGGCCTTGTCATCCTCGTAACAATGCTCTTCTGCGACAGGAGGGCTGCCCTCCTAGGTCTCGTGGGTAGGTAACCTCTCCAAGTCCGTAGGGAAATTCAGCCCAAAATTCTTTAAAAAACAGTCATTGGAGTTATCCGTACCACAGTTCTCTCTTACGTACCTTCTTTCACATGTGTAGCGACCCTTGCGGGCATCGCCTCTTTTTGGCCACTTGGACTCCCAGTGCAGCTCCTCGTAGGAGGGAGCGTCACGTTCAATTGCTTTCTCCTTGGCTCACTGCTACCCTTGGCTGGCGAGGAGACACATTCTTGGCAAGGAATCGAGTTCCTAATTCCCTTGGCTGCTGTGCTCGGAATCTTCGTGTGAGTTGCTCTTCAACAAAAAACATCCAATAACTAGCTCTCTTCTCTTAGGATTAGTTTGACGGAGGCGTCTCAACATTAGCTCATAACTTCTAATGACCACATTAGAGAAAAAATCCAGAGTCCAGTGCTAGCTTTCCTTGCTTAATTTCTTTGCTTTACAATGGAAACCCCTTTTTTAAGGCTGCTACAATATTTTTGGGAAAAGTGAAACGTTTTTAATGCATCATTTCGGAACTAGCTACAAAAACCATTATGTTTATGATTTTGATGTAAATAAGTACTTGAATTCTGAAGGGTTTATCTGTGGAGCGGATTCAATGGGATACTGGCCCGCGTCGATATCCCAGTTCTAAGCGCTCCTACAAATCTTTTAGCTCTGCTGCTCGTCTACTCTGGATACTTTTTGCAATTTTCTCACGGACCAGAACTACCAAGCCTCACGCATGATGATGATAATAGAATACACAACAAGTCTGAAGACACATTTCAGTCTGATTGCAACTGTTCAATTTCTAATCAGCTCTGGAGTGGGGTTGTTTTGTCCCAGGGGGTGATATTTCAGGTTCCAGTTGCACAGTCCTACATCATTTACCTAAGTGTATTCATTTACTCTCCCATCCTCTTTTGCCAAGAAGTGCTGGGAGGAGTCATCGGTACCATAATTGGTGGGCGACTTTTAAATTTTAAATGCAATATATGTGCCATGAACTTGTATAGTATTTCGATGTCATGTCATTAATAGGAATGGGACTAGATGTAAATGGAGCATGTTCTGCGGATGTGTGTAACGGTGTTTGGGGGTACAATTCACTACTAACAGCAGCAGCTCTGGGCGGATATTTCGTTCGATTCAACTTTCACTCTTTTCTTCTCTCAATAATCGGTGCAATCGTCTCTGGATTCATGTGTGCTGTTCTGAAGAAGGTTAAAAAATGTTTTTATTCTTCAGACTTTTGTCTCAACACACGAGCAAATTTACGAAATTCATATGAAAAGTTCTTTGCATCACTTTCAGAGCGGTGTTCCAATTTTAGGAATTCCGTTTATGCTTTCAACTTGGATATTACTCCCTCTGGCCAAGATGCCATCGTCAAATGAAAGTTCAAAACTGCGTTGTGGGGATTTGCAACGAGTTGTTGTATTCTCAACTCCCGAACTCAACAGCTTTTGCAAAAACAAATTTTATTCACGAGTGAAATATACTCAGCAAGAAAGATCAACACTACATATCTAAGTGTCTATTTAAAATAAACAGTATTTACTATAATAATACAACAAAATTGACGTTACGTCAACGTTAAGCAATAAATGGTAACAGCACACATGTTCAAGAGAACTAGGAAAGGTTCAAACGTGATATTTTTAAATGGTAACATTTCGGTAACATATTCTTATTCGAGTCGACTAATTTAAAATACTTTCTCTCAAGGTGATGTATAAACATAACGTGTAAGGTACATCGTTTGTGAGCAATGAAACGACTAGGTTGGGTATATTTTTTACCACCCACACAAAAGTACATCACCACAACTTCAAATGACATACATACAAAGTTGAACATTAATCGTTGAATTTGCGATAGAGTAGGCACAAGCACGCTTGAAGACTAGAAAAATAATGTTTAGAAATGTGATTATATTACGTACGTCTTTTCAAAATAAACATAGTCAAAGTCAGGAGATTTGATCCATTAATAAATTGGCTTAATTTTTTGTAACATTAATCGTCAGCTCTGAGATATCTATACTATTGTTCTTCCATTTGGTTGTCAGCATTTGGACTAAACGTGTAGAAAAATGGTTGGTCGTGGAAAGGATGCAGATTTTTAATATGACGTATGACTCGCCCATTCAGCAAATGCTTTCCGTATTTAATAGCTTCAATACGATCTCGAGCTAAACCAACCATCAGGAGCCAGTCAACTAGTTCATTTCCACAAAAAACTTGCCAGTATTCTTCCATCCTCCAGCTAAAATTTTAATAATTATGTGCATTGCAATAAATGACACGCTAATATTAATGTAGTTCAATCTACATACCGTCGGTCTCGCACTATGTCTTGCATGCACTTTTCATAGTGATAAGTCAGAAATTGGTGACAGATTTCCCTAGTCTCCGTAGAAAGTTCCTCCCACGCTGGCAACCTTATAGCACCTTCTCCATAAATGATTCTTCTCCACCTTGGTTGTGTTAATAATTAGAATAATATTTTTTACTTTCACGCTCTCAAATTGCGCTTTGAATGAACATTTACCATTTATTTAACGGCATTACAATCATCCTGGTGTTAAGTCCAAATAGCATGAAAGTAAAGAATCCTTGGCCAAAATTCAGCGCTGCATCCAGAAATACTACAATTTTTAATGAAACAATCAAATTAAAAATTAAATAATTATACTACCGTTCAACATATGTACATGATATGACATTCTCACCTAATTCCACATAAATTCCTGTCACATCTTCCATAATTAAAGTCCAGATACAAAGAGCCATTCCCTATTCACATTTGACATTTGTTTACACACATTTTACTTTTGGTATGTTTCAACTGTATATGTATAAAAGTACCGATGATGCAATATTTACATAGTATTCGACTTACAACAAACATGGAAGAGCACAAGAGAAGAAGAAGAATAATGTGCCGTAACATTTGAAACTCATCATCCCTGTCTCGCACGATCCCAATTTCTTCAGGTTCTGTTAAATAGTTTGTCTGCCTGTATCTCTCCAAAAGAGTTGTACAATGTCTTCTCTGAATGGGATCGCACGGGTGTTTCGAGGGAGCACATAAGTCATCATTAAAACTGAAAAGGCTTTCTGCATCGTCATCCTCTAATTCATGATCACTCGTTTTCAAGTCTTCAATTTCGGTGACAGTAATCTGTGGTCTGGAAAACGATGGACCTGGAGCATTCTCATCTACCTTTGTACACCCAGAGCAGGATCCGCTTCTCGCTCGTGGTCGTAATTTTGGAGTTGGAATTACACCACCTCCTAGTCGTACATTTCTTGAAGAAACGCTCTCGTTTCGCCTTCGTAACGACCGACGTGGTGGGACATCTTCATCACTTTCGTGTAGATGGGTTGGAAGAGTATTATATTGTGCATATTGTCTTTCATATCGTTGTTGCATAATCAAACAGCCAATTGTTACTGTACATATGATACAGAAATAATGGTACAGATACTACTTTTGTGAATGCTTGTTTTGTTTTTGCTATATGTTAAATAATTTCTTACCGATAAAACATATCATCAGTAGCATTACCGCGACCAATGCTTGAGTTACTCCATCTAAATAAAATAAGGAATTTTAGTCAAGTTCAATTTAATTAAATGAAAAATCTATATATGCATTTGGACTGTTACATTGGAAAACGGGATCCTGTTTTTCTTCAAGAGTCTCCCTTCTTACTGCTAGCATTAAAACCGTCACCAGCACACTTGGAATTCTGGAAAAGTTATTTGAAACTAGAGTGAAGGAGAAGTATATCCCAGGAATCTTATGAGGATTAAAAAATTATAACTCACCCACAGCCCATAACAATTAGATAGGGACGCAACCGTAGTACAAAACAAAGACTTCGGCACCTAAGGAAAACTAAACTGGCTGCTAAGATTGCGGTGAAGATTCGCGAACTAAATATTCCAAACTGAAGAACGCCAAATTGCAGATATAGCTTCCAACCAGTGCATCCATCCACACCTAACCATGACCAAAGGATTGCTCCAAGGCAAGAAATTGCCTAGATCGAAATTACCAATATGTTTAGCGGACACTTTAATAATACATGCAGCTTATAAAACAAAACAGTACCTGCGACACAACCAGAAACAATGTGAAACAGTGAGGTACTTTTCTCCACTTTTTTCCAAGTACGAATACGACTATAACCCAGGTCTATTGAATATGGGTAAATATGTATTATTTTGACAAAGCTACATTGAGAAATAACTTACACAAGCTAAGAATGCCAAGACACTAATATTTTGCAGAAAAGTGTCCAAGTCATGGACATAATCTCTGGGGTTAAGCTTTTGCAAAGTTATCATCTTAGCAGAAACAAACATTAACGGAGCAGACACAAATGTACAGGCGACCATTGCACTTGCAATCTAAAATAAAAATACCAAGTCACATTAGTCAACTCATAACAAATCAAGAAAGACATCATAAGAATCATCTCATTTATTTGTTACCATTTGCACGGCGACATCATATTGATTTGCATAAACAAATACTCCAGGGGCTGAAGGAAAGGTGCCGTAAAGAAAGCCAAAATTACTCAAGGAAGCGGTGTCGTTGGCATTCATTCCGGGTTGAAGCAAGCTAACCATTTCTCTCGTCACGACGGGCAAAACCAACCTGCATTTTAAAATTGAACAAAATCAATTTCCAGCCAATTACCGTTCTTCACATTGGTATTGTTCTTTTTACAGTTTCACACTAATGAGTATTCCTGGCACAAGGATTCCAGACCCTTTCAGACTTGCAGCACTGCCGACCATGGTTAACCCAAGAGAGAAAAGAGCACACGCAGAGAAAGCGGATCCTAAAACCTGACAATTATTATAGCAATATGATTAGTGTATCAACGCATGTTCACATAGGCGTGTAATTTTAATTACTTTGAGTATTCCTTCCAAAATGGCAGGCACACAATGTTTGAATATCAAGTTTCCGAGTATACCGAGTGCGGTCATTATTATTACAGGGTTGCAGCATAGGTTCAGTATCACGCGTTTCACAATCTGAAAAATAATTTGTAGCCGTAATCTTAAATTCAATAAAATGCAATAAAAAAGTTACCCCTAGTATATACATAGTACTATTTATTTACTTGATATTTTGGGCGTTCGTATTGAAGTCCTTTAGCCCCATCGGATTCTATTTGCAACCTCTCCACCTCCTTCTGCTTGGACACCTCCATTAAAATAAATGCGATAGGATTTAGCAGTAACAGATTCACCGGTGCTGCCAAGTAAAGATATCCAGCATACTCGGGATGAGTTTTACCTGAGAAATTAAGTGTAACAAAGACAGAACAAAATTATGGTCTTTGAATGCCCAGAAAATAGCATCAAACCGAACCTTACCGTACAATGCAGCAACTAGGATAAGAGCAACAATTAAAATTAAAATCTCATATAGCCCCAATTTGATGTTTTAGGACAAACACGTACTGATGGGATATCCAAGAGCAAAATCATTGCTTTGAGTGCAAAATATCGCAAATATTCCAGCCTTGTCTAATTTTGTACCCCGATTTACAAGACTTGAGATCAACATAACAGAGAAGAACACCAATGTTTTTGCCAACAATATAGCAAGCAGAAACCACCAGTTGACAGATCTGAAAAAAATATCATTGTAGTCTTTTTATTTATTATTCTAGTGGATTCATGCGGAATAGAGCTGGTACTTACTTTAGATCAAGTTGTGCTAGTGAAAGGAAAATGAGGGAAGGAAGTGAAAACTTTCCTGTGCATAATTTAAAAAATTAATTAATTTGCACTCCGATTTCGTTACTTTGTTAAACATGAAATAGAAATAAAGAATTAAAAACCTTACCTATGAAAGAATTGAAGCCTTTTGTTTCACTTTGGGATATAACTCCTGCCTTGCCAGCTATGAATCTGTAAAATAATTAGAACCGTTAAGTTCGATTCAACTGCAAAACAGTAAAAAAAATACCATGGTTTACAAGAATGAGTTGCAACTTACCCCAGCAAAATCACTGAAAAGCATTCTACTACGGCTGGGTATAAATTGTCGATACCAATTTCGGTCCCTGCCAGCTTATCGAGCTCAGCGTTCAGAACCATTTCAATCAGGCTCTCCAGGTTAGGTTGCGTCGAACTGTTGGTCTACTCACCCAAAATGCAAATGTTCACAGATACTTAATTGGAATGGAAAAATTAGTACAATGTTCATTTATCATGTGAAATTCATGGCTACCTGTAAAGGAATTGTCGTTAGTGAATCCAAACTTCGTTTAATAACCGTTTTTGAAATAAACGTTTCTTTACTACAATGGTTAATGTAAAGTTGCGTTGCATAGTGGAATCTCTGAAAAAATATCACCACCACGAAATGAAATCATTTTTATCGTTAAGTTTCTTAATTTTAATGTATTTTGAAATTAACTGAAAACGCTCTTCAAATTGTAATCAGTGCGAAATTTACCTCTCTGTCGCACATTTTAATATTGAGTATAACTTCTTATGCTTTGAGTTGGGCAAGTGGCAAATGGCAAAATGAGAATGAGATTATGTAGGAAAGTAACAACCATGCAACAATTTAAGACGTGCATGCAATTTAATCACTGTGGGGGCAGTGCGTGTATTTTTGTCTCAAGTTTGACATGTACACCTACAGTACCTACACATCTGAGACTCGATTGTTTTGCAGTATGTACAAATGTACATATATATGTACGACTAGTCTCAGCAAGAAACGACAATAAACAGACGTGTTTGACAAAGATTTTGTCATTTCGTGTAATTCATGAGCATACATCAATCTAAAAGGCTGCTTTACAATATAAAAGTACTGCTGACAAGCAACAGCATAATTATATGAACCAGCCATTGTTGACTCTTTGTATGATAAAAGTGTATGCACAACTTATTTATTAAATAGGTCGATTCTTGAATAATCCGTGGATTGTAGAAACCTACCCAAAGGATATCTAGTTGGAGTGTATTTTAAAATAACGATAGCGGTCCAACCTTTTATAAATTCTTCGCTTCATATCAATATCAACCATCAAAACAGTATTTAAGTACGTTAGCATATATGTATTTAGCTAGTTGGCTTACAGAACTTTCTCCTTTCACACACAATTCCAGTGACCTTGGGTTATTTGAATATGAAGAGAAAGTCAGAAACTGTTATCAGAAAAGTCTGGTTTCTTTGAAGATTTTATAACAATTGTGAACTAAACTTTCTCTTGACTTTAATGCTATTCTGATTGATGATAGATAAAGGACCAGTGAGTGAGTGAGAGTCGTATTATCCAGATATGACTTGCGGATATTAACGCAACGAGTTGTTGTCCAAGCAGTTAGCCAGCCTGTGACTAATGTCCTTGGTACTTGGTACCATTGGTTTGTGATATACGTAATTTGAACAATTCTTGCAATCAATATATTGCTCGATTCTACGTTAATAAACAAGTAAACACGCGTTGTTTAATAAAAGATGAAGGGGTTAGAGGTGACTTTGTTGCTCAATGTCAATGTAGCGTAGGAGCATCTTATTCCGTCGTAATTTCCAGGTTAAAGGTGATAAAACTGTAGTCACAGACTCTTTGACTGAGATTTGGTTATGACTTTTTCGGAATTTTTTCACCAACAAGATAATTGTCCTTAATAATTATTTTTTCGATAAGTTGAAATACATATGGCAGCAATTGAATAAGCAATATTTCGCGTACTGTGGTGTCACAAGACGACTGAAGAAAATCTAGCAAATCCACGGCGATATTGACGATTTTCGTGGAATTTCATATCTAATTCAAATCGTTAAGAGCGAAAAAACACGTCTTCCCAAATTCCTTGTAACGAGGAGGTGATGGGGAAAGTCGGGGACTCGGGGTAGTGTTTTGTGGAAATTGAGATCGAAATTAAATTTCTGACATTCCTTCATGCATTGTTCAAGAGCCTTCAATATTAAACCCTGCTCACATCTCACATTCCAAGGAACCAAAGGAATAAACGCAAAGGAATGCGGTGTGCCGTCTACACCATGTAATTAGTCCTCTAATGCTTTCTCCCACATTTTTATGATGGTGTCATAGGCGTCACTCAACAATAATGAATATCTTATATGCTCATAAATTAGTCTAGCAGTCAGAGAGATAGCAATATACAAATATAGTTATTTAAAGTTGAAATGAATGATAATAAATAGCTTACCTTAACACTTTATGATTCCTTTATGATGACACTCTAGTCATTCATTCTCACTCGTTGTCAATATTTATTATATGGAGGACACTTAACATGATACTCCATCAATCAATTGAGGTGTGATTCATTTCCAAGCCTTAAATGACGAAGAATTGATAGTGACGTAAGTGAATTGCAAAACATGGTGAAAGTGACTTTCACTGCAATCTTCTTACCAAAACATCTTAAGAGTTTTCATTTTCAGTTTATTATTTTGTGCTTCCACAATTTTATTGTACTGTTTGTTAAAATACATTTTTAAGGTCAATGTAATAATCTTACAATCCACGTGTAATATAACTAACGATAAGTGCTCTGGTTGATTTAGCTATATCTTGTCCCAATAATTTCTGACTAAAACTATGAACTACGTGCACCGCTGGGTAAAGACACAATGGAAGGCAAAATTAATAAAACAGTTTGAAGAAGATACAAGTTAGTTACATAGTTTCTTATCACATTTTGAGATAAATACTAAACAACAAACAATCACAGATTCGCAACTTTAACCCTTTGGTCACGTACACACAACTGCATGCAATAGCATTGAGAGCTCCGTTGTCTCACTTCGGTGGGTTCAGTGGAAAGTACGAATTGTAATTTGCTCAGAGGAGACGTGGAAGTGTCACAACAACATAAGCTGTTTAAAAAGTTTGACATTTTGAGAATTTCCATAAAATAGTTTACTTTGAGATCTGCACAATGGGACTTACCGACTGGTTTGAAGCTCTGCATATGGTAAACCCCTTCACATTTGGTTTTGATTTCAGATTATAGATGGATTATATCCTTGCAGGATTATGATGGTCAAGCCAGAGCAGAGAAATTTTCACGGATTATCATTCTTCTATTTGGGGTAATTTCCCAAATAAATTAGCGTATTATTATATAATATACGAATCTTGTTAATTATTATATTGGATGTTTTAATAGATCGTAGGATTCGTGTGGGGTTATGTAATTCAACAATTTTCTGAAACTGTTCGCATTCTTGGTGCTGGATTCATTCTTGCGGCAGTTGTGAGTCTTGTTTGGTTTTTGCATTAAGAAAAGATTTATTTTAAATTTCCAAATTTGAATACAAGAGTTAAAATATTCCCATAATTTCCTGCAGTTGACGATTCCCCCATGGCCCATATATAAGAGAAAAGCTCTCCAGTGGCAAAAAGTTCGACCCGTAAAGGCTGCAGAGGGAGAAAGTTCAACAGAGAAGAAAGAGACTAAAAAGAAGAAATAAAACTGAATATAATGTAAACGTGTTTGCAATTTATTCCTCTTTCCTACTCTCTTTTTTAATGGATTAATTGTATTGTACAAGATAAGATGAAATTTAATAATATTCGTTCATTTAATTATTGTTTCTAAAAACTAAACCAACGCTGCAGATTTAGATGATGGGTACCAGTAAATCAAGAATAAATGTACATGTTTTCTATACGAGACTCAATCGATCAATTTTGCTTTATTATATAATTGTCTAAAATTTCTTAATTCATAAAGTGGATACACGGGACGATGTGATGATGGCGTTCAACAACAAAAATACTGCATGTAAATAATGTACGTAAGTTCCGAAAGAATAACATTAAATTATGTGTGTAAAATGAATATCAGTGTTCGTTAGTTTCTTAAATAGGAACAACTACAAACAAAAATGAGAACAATAATGAGGTATAATTTACAATCAAGATGTCATACACATACAACTAAAGACTACGACAACTTTATCTGTAGATATGCATGAGATTTATATATAGTTTGATGGAGCCATCATGTTTCACTACTTAATTCATAAAACGATTCTCATTTTTTTCCGAAATTGCAGAGTTGGTTGGTGACTAGTTTATAAAATACACTACATTACACTTTGACCAAGTACTTGTTGAAAGTACTTTAGTTTTTCTTAGGTATCACTTTACATCATTTTTAATGCCTCAATTAATAAATGTAAGTATATTATATAATTATTTGTTCTATCTAATCTACATAATTACTCATTACAATTTGACTTGGTAAATAAGGTCTCATTCACTCACAGTTTTTGCGATAATTGAAGGTGTATTATTATGGCATATACTTTCATCCAAAGTAAATACGAGTACATTGCTTATGTATGATCAATCGGCGGGTGTGCACAAAACGAATTATTTGTACCGATATTGCTTAATTAATTCATTTCCTAGATCAACGACTACTACATGTCGACTACTTATCAAAGAAATATCAGAGGGACGTCTGAGTTTTGAAGTAAATGAATCGATTGTAGAGACTAACTTGTATCCGCCATTAACTAACTTGAATACCTGTAAGTAACTTGCTTTCTTCTCTATTCTGCATGCAATAATCAGGCCCTCCTCATCTATACAGCAGGCCCCGAATCGTCCTGGGACCTTTCCTGGGGCCTTTATCTCCTTATCATACTGCGGTCCAGCCCCGCTAATGATCAAAAGAGACGTATCAGCAACCACCAAGGTCTGGTCGTCGCTTCCCACCGCCACTCCTCCAAGCAAGCTGAATGCCTCCCGCTTGATGTCATGCTTGAATTTGCCATCCATATCAAAAACAAATATCTGTTTCTTCCCATTGTCAACAATATAGATATCTCCCTTCTTGTCGACACACAAAGATACGGGTTCCACAAATTCGTCGTATGTGAACATTGATATTGTAGATCCGTCCACAGATGAGAGACGAGTAACTTCTTTGCTTCGCCAATTCACCACCAACAGGCTTTTAGAATTCCAAGAGGACGCAATCCCAGTGCAACTCCGTCCCTACACATCAAAATATAAGTGTTAAATAAAAAAAACCATAAGCATGCGATTGCTTATGCGATTGAACGCATTGTGAACATATCAAATTTAAACGTACCTGTAAAGTCTCATTTTCTAGGCATCGTTTAATTATATTATTTTGATCAAGAACAACGATTCTCGAATTTCCAGTGTCCAAAACAAACAATTCTCCACTTTCGTTTCTTGCACAACTAACAGGTTGGGTTAATTCACCTTTTCCCCACATCCTTACGGGCGAATTATGATTCGAAACTTCTATAGAATAGTTTTCATCTCGAATAGGCCTTCCAAATATTTCTACATGCATTTTATACGTGCCCTCTGACATGGGAACAAACACTATAGAATATGTTCCATCTTCATGGTCTTGAACTCTACATTCTTGTTTTGATTTCTCTCCCTTTGTTATTTTGCATGTAACCGGATCGCCCCCTACCTTTCGAGTTTCGTCATTGTAATCACGAGTTTCTAGAATTATTTCCATTTCGATTCCTATACACTTGAGATTTCCAGGTATTTCGTTGAGAGTACATAGGGGTGGATACGTAGTGGACGTGTGAATGTCAAACGATGTCAGATCACTTTCTGTTGTGCAAAATAGGAAAGAATTCTCACGCGGATGTTTCAATGAAGAAAACGAGTCCAATTGTTGAGACAATTCAGATATTCGTTTCGTAATATTTCTCACCTGTAAATAAATTTACAAATAACTCAATCTGCATATAATCTGCCAAAGCCTTAATAGGACAACTTTAAGCATATACATGCATAAATAAATAAAACGTAATCATATATACATACTTCAACTTGATACTCTAATCCTTCGCACGAATCCCTCACTTTGGTCTTTTCCTTCTCGATAAGAGAGATTTGATCGTTCAAGTTTCGTGATTTTTTCTCAGCAGTTTCTCGAATTTTCGAAATATATGCAACCCTTCTTTTGTCAAGCAATTTAACAGCTTCCTCGTAAGCTTGTTCAACTACTTGACATGCGGAATTTTCCGCTGTAGCCAGCCTCCTAATTTCTTCAGTGATGTTTTCCTCTGCTTCATTTAACTGCAAGTTTACAATTACATGATATTTAATTTAATTATTGTGTAACAATTCAAGAAAAAAAATAAGCTTGTACGATTTGATTACCTTTACTAAAGACTCGTTAACTTTTGATCGCAAAATTTCAGCAAATCGTTTTATTGCTACAGCGAACGGGATGACATTGTGACTTCCTGATTGCAGAGAGGTATGAGGAGAACTTTTGCATGCCGAGCAGAATACAGCATCACACGTCTCACAAAATTCAAGGTGGTTACTGAATTATTGTAACAATAAAATCATTAATACACTGTACTCAATAGAGACATACATTGAAAATAAGTGAAAAATTTAAATAATAAATGCACCTATGAATGGAGCATTTCGGGATGACCTCTCTTCTCTGACAAGCCATGAGATCTGTAATCATTGTAACGGTAAGGTTAATTCATAGAGTGTACTCAATGGACATTGACATTGAAACAAGAATAAATCAATAACCTGTGTAAAACTATCAAAAATTCATATAATAAAGAACATGTACCCAAGAGCTGGTTGACTAAAAAGGAAGGTGGCAGTGCAGCAACACCACCTCTTGGAACGATGATATTTTCTCGGCATATCGGACATCTAAATGAGGTGTTGACAGGAGGGGTTGGCGTTAACGAAGAAGACGCAGTTGGCGTTGCTGGGATGGCTGGTGTTGTTGAGTACGCTGTAGTGGGAATCGCAGATGCCACAATTCGATGCAAGCACTGAAGACAAACTAATTACAAAAATCCCAAATATTAATGTTTCTATAAATAAATTTCATACAAAAACAATTTAAAAAAAACGAAAATGTGTGGTTTTGTAGACAAAATGAATTCTCACCCGTGTGCGAGCATTGGAGAAGCCACACGAATACCACACCACTTTCATATTGATGACTCAAAGTCATTTGCCATCAAGGAAGAAAAATGGAGAACTTTTCACACAACTCGTCTGCACTGCCAGCGAGTTTCACGTGTTTTTCTTCCTCTCTCCTCCACCTCTCAAACCTTCCACACTTTCCACCACTGTTTACGTCTTTGTTCAAGTCCTTTTCAGGGCGCAAAGATGGCCCCAACCAAAAAACGACCTTCTCGGAAAACAACTCGGAATCCCCCTGACACCGACCACCCCCAAATGCAACCCGCGAGTGCTGTTGACGACTCGGATTCTTCCCCTGACACCGACCACCAAAACACGGAAGGGCGTAAGTTTTCTACCCTCTTATTTCACCCCACCCCCACGACACAGCATATTAAATATTACTATTATTAATTACCTTGAATTTATTGTTTTTTTAGGTGGTAGGAGTTTGAGGAAGCGAAAGAAGGTGTCCTACACGTATGATGACGACTCGGAATCTGCCTCCGATACCGACCACTCTCCCATGGAACGAACGAATGAAGGTGACGATTCGGATTCTGACCACGGACAAGCCCACCCCCACTCTGATCACATGAATGATGATGAAGACTCGGCCCATTCCAATGACACCGACCACTCAAATTCTGACACGGAGCCCACCTCTGACCCCGAACACCACTCTGCGGGTCAAGTGGATGAAGACCAACTCTCCCCTCATTCCACACAACACTCTGCGGACGAGGAGGAGGGGGAGGAATATATTTTTGACGCACCCCCATCTCCATCTCCACCACCACCGCGACTCATTTTGACGTACGGGGATCGCGTCATGGAATACAACCCCACAATACCACTTCCGCACATGGTTGGAGCGCCCGTCACGTTTGCTATTTTTATGCAACATGGGGACGGACAACTTCAGAGAGTGGAACCAATGGGTAATAAAACTACTCTCAATCATCATGATATTATGCATTTTTTATGAGGATGACGACTGACTCAATAAATTTGCTAAATATGTAATGGATTATCTTGTGCATTATTTTAGCTAATCCTCCTCCACCACCACTCCCACTTGCTCCAGTTCCACCACCACCCCCACCAGCAGAAGTTGAAATGTGGCACCCTCCCAAGGGGACGCTAAAGTGCATTTTTGATGCTATCAAGGCTCATTTGGGATGGGGCGACAATCCAGGCGAAACGGATGCCAATTTGGGCGAAAGTGAGGAATTCGTGGAATTGATGGAATCACTTCCTGTTCGTGGCGTCCATACTTTAGGACTAGGACCCCTTCCAACCACCCCAATTCGACAAGATGGCAACATTGTTTGGATCAAATGGCAAGGTGTAGAGGTGAAAGCCTTGATGTACAAAGTGCAAAAGGAGTTATTTTTCACTTGGAGTAGGTCAAGAAAAATGTGCACTGTTGCAAACTGTTGGTCAATAGCTGTGGTAAGTACTAGAATTATTCAATTTCTACATCAATTTCATATTATTATTCTATAAGCATATGATTTATTATATTTTACAGGATAGAGTGATTGGCTACTGCCGTGTGGATTCGATCAAATTAAATGAGATTTTTCTGCTGAGAGACGCCACTAATGTCCAACCCAACATCATCGTCCTTCATCCAACCCTTCGTATGACCCCACATGACGAAGAAACCATTAATGTGTGTTTACGAAATGAATATGTACCCTTTTGGCACCGGACCATTGCCAAGTACATCACTGAACATTCCAACTGTCGTTTCGTGGTGGATATGCGGTGGAGTTTTGCCACAACGCTCTCCCTGGAGAAATTCAACACTTTTGCCGTAAATAACTTCCTCAATCCTAATTTTATGATAATTATTAATTGAATGATTAATGAACTGTCGATCTGTTTTGAATAGGTTGCAACTTGTATCATGACCTTTCTCCACAATAATGCTTTTCCCAATTCCACTCACATCAAGATTCGACTGAGGATGGGTCCGATCCACTTCAAAGCTGCCGTCTGGCAAGAAGTGCGGAAGATACTTGCCCGGAATGGGTTCAAATTTATTGTGACTCCAGCCACTAACCAACTCACCCCCAATCATATGTTTCCAGCCAGTGTCATCAAGCTGCAGCCACACACGTATCAAGGTGATGATGGAAATGGTGCAGTAAAAGATGGACTGCTAACTTCAAACACCAGCGTTCTAGCATCAGGTGCGAGTGTAGGAAATGCCATTCCTCAGAGACCACTCGCCCAACATCTCCATAATGTCGTGATGCTGTACCAGGACATTCTTGACCCTGAAGAATACGACCCCGAGGAGACTGAGACCCGCACCCGCCACGCAGAATTCATGGGAATATTGGCTACACTGATGGGAACTATTCTTGAACAAGACTTTAAAGGACACCCAATGCGACCCCTGACTGAGAAGCTTACCCACTATGATATAGTATTTGATTATAATGTGTTTAGGAGACTTTTTCAATTTAAAACAGGATGTACAATTATCGTACAGAGGGAGGGCAATGGCATTCCAATTATTAATGGACAACCTCAATTTGTTTGGTAGAATGTCGCAATATTACTCGTTAATCTTCACACAAATTATAATTTGAATCATAACATGATTCAAAATAATTAAAAATGATTAAAAAATAATTCACCTGTGTGCGAGCATGAAATGAGCTTTGGTGTATGTTCAGAATTGTTGTATGTGCATAAGCAAGTGGAGCACGTTAGGAAATTCTCGTTAAAGTCCAAAAAGTTGATATTAACCGTCTCCACCAACGTTGATATCATGTGCTCCCCCATCCGAGTTCTGAAAACAAAGGAGATTTTGGAATCATTTTTATACTAGATGGAAATCTTACTACATTTTAGTATATATCCCATTGAAAAGGTCAAAGTTCACAAGCATGCCAATATATGCATACGTTCATATATCTATGAAATAAAGCTACGATTGGACAATGGGATATAATATAATATGCATGATATCAAAATTCAATTTAAAAGCGGTTGACTGAAACAACACAAGTGTAACACTTTATAAAAATTCATATTATGTTAAAAATGAATTGAAAATAAGCGCCTGCTTAATTTAATTACTTAATTTTTGTCCAGACAAAGTTATGTATAGAATTACTAATAAAATTTCATTGTCTAAAGACGTGGTTAAAAAAGCAGCTCTTGGGTATTAGGTAAAAATGAAACTAAAAATACAAACTCACTGAAAGGCAACTTGAATCCTGTCAGTATCCATACTGTTTCCTCTTCTTGTTAATTCAATCGTCAAACTCAAAACCAAAGGAAAAGCGACAATGATATCCGAGCAAACCACTTTCTTTATGTATTATTTATGTATAATGTGATACAAGCTAGGTACAATTTACTAATATGTATTTATAAGGTTGAAGTATAAGCTTGTTCTTTTAAACATTACATTAGCTCCTACAAGTACAAGTACATACACAAACTACCGAGGTAAGTATACAATACGCATACGCATAATAATAAACCAATAAATAAATGACATTCCTAACTAAACCCTCATCGGTTACTAGTCAGCGTTTCCCTTTACACATAAACTTAATAAAACCATAAGCCACTAACATAAAAAATACACAAACAAATAATACGGGTCTAAAACATACATTAATTTATATCACTTGCATGGTTAAAAGTTTAAAACCGGATACTCCAATCACTCCAGTAATAGTGGGGTGGAAATGGGTTTGTGGTTATTACCATAAAATAAAAGCCTACAAGATTTCAGTTCATGTTTCTGAATCTCTTGAACATAATTAACATAAGATCAAGTCCATGTGCTTCGAGATGTTTCAACAAAAATAGAACAAGTTTAGTCGTCGTCCAGCGTTTTTGTTCAGGGGCTGCGTGCACTACATATATCGGATTTTACTTTGTGGTTGATGATGATTCTCACTTCCTAACCACACACGCACAAAAAAGGATAAAACTGGTTGTGCTAAAAGCCGTCTAAGCCGAACCACCTCTCAAATCTTCTATCTGCATGCAATGCAACTTTAAATAATTACAGTCTGTAGTTTGTTTGAGGCTGGCTGGCTGACTGACTACTCGGTTCTGTGGGGTTGGCTTATGGTTGCATATGTTGTATTATGTAGTTCGTGATATGCGCAAAGTTCCGTTGAAGTTGAAATCAGTAAAAGTCAATGAACCTCCACGTGCACTTTGTGGATGATGATAAGCACATAAAATGTGATTTAGGAAGTACTTTTGGTTCCTAGTTACGTTAAGTACTCTTACTATACATAAATTGATGGGTTTATCTAAAGATTTTTTTCTAAATGCGACATATATCAACGAGAACGAGATGGATTCGTAATTATTTTAGCAAACCACTCTCGCCTTTCAAATTGGTGACATTGCTTACTAAATAATCGGATTAGATGGCATTGTCCATTCATGTTAGATTAGAATGAACGAGACAAGAATTGCATATACCAATGGTGACACAGGAATTACTTTACGAAAAGCTGAATGAACGTGGTAGTCGTCTCACTTTAATTTTTCATCCCATCTGCCTTCAACAAATGCTGGCTTCAACCAAGTCTTCCTAACTAACTGCCCCAAAGTGTAAATATTGGCTTAACCTTATTACATCTATCTTGTATGAACAACAAACAGAGTTTCCTATTCGCACATTTGACCTGCGAAACACACGGTCATACAACTTTACGAGAATTTTGTTTACTGGAGATCACCAACCTCAGTCCTATCACTTATCTAAATATATTATAGGATGTCCGATAAATCCTTGCGATAGATAACACTTGCAAGTAATAATACACGCTACTACAGTAAAAGAAAATAAACTGAGTTGTGAAAGCCAGAAGAGAGACAAATTATAAACAATTTTTAATATGAGTGGTTCGATGAGAGGTATGGCCTACATTTTTTGCATACTCTACAAGGGTTGCATATAAGTCAAGAAATGATTAATGCAGCTCAAACAATCTCATCCTCAGCACTAGCTATTACCCTTCAGTTAACCCCATATAGTAAAATCACTGATAAGAAATGATATTTAATGATGTTAACATAAAATTAAAATCGCATTAATATAAACTAAACAATCTATACGACAGAATACACATTCCACATTACAGTTTTTATGTGTCTGTCTATCAAATAACTTGTAGTAGGGTAGTGGTAATGTCTTGTTGGTGAACAATGTGAGAAAACCTGAAAGGAACAAAAAATGAAGGGTTGAATAAAATAAAAAGCCAACAAAACAAATATTATTATTGTAATGCAAATATACATGACGAGTGTTAAGTTAAGCTCCGTATTCATAAGTTGTTTTTTCACGGTGAAAGCAAATAATTTATGTACTTCAAGCTTATGGTGAGACAATAATGCTATTATGCGGGCTTGGGTGTGGGGAGGTGAAAAAGGGACACGGACCAAGAAAAATCACAAATAAGCGATAGGATAGTGTCAAGGCTGTATGGCCCGCTTCTCGTCCATTGCATTATGACTCATCACTACCCGAGCAGCACCATAAATTCATGGTAAGTACCGGACAATTTTTGCTCAAAAAATTTTAAAACGGACAATTTGATCTTTTTTCCTACCATAATATATACCTAGACATATTACATCATAAAGCCTATTGGATTCCCGTTCGAAATTAAATTTTAGTTAATTAAATTTTTCAGGAAAAATTTAAAACCAAAATTATAGCGATTCGAACGGAAACCCAGTATGTAATATATCTAAATATATATTATGGTAACGAAAAACATCAAATTTTCAGTTTTAAAATTTTTTGAGCAAAAATTGTCCGGTACTTACCATGAATTTATGGTGCTGCTCGGGTAGTGATGAGTCATAATGCAATGGACGAGAAGCGGGCCATACAGCCTTGGATAGTGTCATCGTGCATTTACTTGGGTAATAGGTTCCAGTGATATGTATAGTAAAATTTATCAATTTGCGATGATAGTTTCATATATGATATATATGCTGAATGTCAAATTTGGTTATCGCTTTTGCTTTTATTATAATATTACTTAACTTTGCTTTAATTATTACACTAAACGCGTAACAGAAGCACCAGCATAAAATAAAACTCTACATATATGTTTCAGCATTCCATTTATCAGACGTTTGAATCGCATAGCTGGATAAATTCAATTGAAATGACGCTAAAAACTAACCAGATACCCGTTAATGACTCCCCAACTTTTATGTTTAAGTACAAACTATTTCAAACTACTTACCTGGTTTTCCAAAGGTGGTCCCTCGAACGAATTAAAATCCGTACAAAAAATGTGTAGTCTACTCAATCACTCACATCACTTATTTCAAGTCATCTTTATTTTTCCTTTCTGAAATCGCGTCGTCTTGTTAACTTTTGTCGCTTGGTTTATAACTTCAACTTGTACTACGAATGCTTGTGGCGAAGTGCGCAGCAAACTTGCGAGAAGTCGATACTGCTTGAAAATTTAAACGCAAATTGCTCGCTTTGTTGTTGTGCTTTTATCTTCAGAGGTCGGAATTGCGAGAGAATTGAGAGAGAGAGAGGTACGTGCGCTATAAAAAAGCTGCTGTGGGTAGTATTTCGTACTGCGACAGTTGGTTCAACTTTACGATGCAGCGTATAAAGTCTAGTTTGCTTTGCACACGACGAGGAAGAAAGGAACAGAGAAGAAAGGAATACACTCGCAGTGAGTTTTATATGGCTGGAGGCCATACAACGAACGGATAGTGCACAAATGTTTTCCTCGTCAGCTGTCTCACTCTCCCCAACCCACCCACCTGCACTCAATATTTCGGGGTCAACAACTATCCCGTCAGCAGGCGCATGTCAATAATACTACCAAAATTGCAGTCATTCGATGAAATATTTGTGAAAATAGGCGCATCGCAGCTGGGTGTATGAACAAAGACTGAGTAATAATATGGAAAAGTAATTATACAATGCTGATAACATTTGGTCATTTGATGTTATTTACAGGTGACAAATTAGTATGAAGCAGTAAAATGAGCTGTGAGGTAGAGCTGGAGGCTCCCACTGCAGAAAAAACGCGTCGTCGACCCGTCGGGTCGGTCGAACAAAGACGTCGACTAGAGCTCCGCCCAGACCGCGGAGTTTGGATATTACTTGTGTTGTCGTCGGGTCATTCATCGGGTGGCATGGCATGTGCAAAAATACTTCAATAGCAGTCATTCCTTACAAGTTAGGTTTGCAATTTCGTCACGGTTTCGGTAAACAAATTAAATTTCGAGGTACTTTTACCTTTTTTTCAAAAACTGCATAAACAACAAAGTTCCTTTGTTAACTAATATTGATAGTTTGAAGTCGAATGAATGAATGATGTGCTGAACAGTGATTAATAACGTGATGTGTTATATTCTAGGCTGATGGCTTGGAATCTCAAAGACGAGAAGGATGCGGAGAAGTATATTGAGAATCTTGGGACAGAGTACAGATTTGGATGCTTTCATGAGAAAAAGCCGGAAGGTGTGACATTGTAAACTGATGCATATTGTTAGCAGAATTGTGTATTGGACTCATTGATCAAATCCTATTTGCAGTTTGCCACTTGCTGGGCGATTTCATGGAGGCTGTGAAAAAAGACTGGGCGAAGGCTGCCAGGGTGTACAAAGTAAATTGTGAAGATTACAATTATGGTCACTCGTGCTATAAACTTGGAAACTACACTTTTATGGGGAAAGGAGAAGTAAAGATTGACCATGCCTTGGCTGTTACTTACTACGACAAAGGGTGTGAGCTTAATTTTGCGGATGCCTGTCTACATGCAGGTAAAGCAATGAAGCTATGCAGGTTTTATTTTCTTGAAATAAGGTATCACAAGACAGAGGGACATACATAAGCCCTTTCACGGCGTCAAATAAATACGGGTTGAAATGAGGTATAAATAATGGCAGTGGAAGACAGGCAGTGTATTTCGGTGCTGGACTATTTTGTGATACCAAGGGGAGTATTTTGGTTGGGAAATAAACTTTTTTTACTAATATGCAGGTCTCATGCGGAGTGCACAAGCCTCACAGGTACCTACAATGTGCAACAATTGAAAATAGAATAATATTTTTTATGTACAATATAATTTTAGGTGCCAAAAGATCCTGTTTTAGCCTTGACGAAATTTGAAAAAGGATGTTCGTTAAATAGTGACATGTGCTGCTTCTATCTAAGTGGAATGTACATTTCTGGGGTTGACAATTCAGTGCAAAAGGACATGCTTAAAGCTTTCGAATTCTCACAGAAAGCATGTCATCTCGGCAATGTCTATGCGTGTTCCAACTTGTCACAAATGTACAGAAAGGTGAGTTGTGCGAAAAATATATAAGTTTATCTAATATTGCAGTATATAACGTTAAATTATTAATAAGGGCGATGGAACACCCAAGGATGAAATAAAGGCTGATGAGTACCGAAAATTAGCAACTGAAATGCAAGATCAAGTAGTAAAACAGTTTAGATCTATCAAATTTGAGGAAGGTGGTTAGTAATTTATCCCTCGACCCGTAAGTATTTTAAGATTGTATAACGACCTAGTCTTCTATTGAAAAAAATTATCCTCAAAGGAGAATATATTATGCATATGTTACGTTAACATTGTTAACTACTAGTTTTGTAATAAAGCAAATCAAAATGGTACTTGAAATTAATTTTAAACCTACAAAGCCTTTATACAAATGCATTATACTGCATGTGTGCATACAAATTTCCTTCACAGAGCAATTATTAGTGGGAATTAATTATTTATTGGACAGAGCACGTCAAATCAGTGACAAGCACACGATCAGTTATATATGGAAGCTCTAACAAAGCTACATTTCTTATCGTGTGAGTGACAAGGTGCAGCATCTTTTAATCTCACTCCGCAATGCGGAGTCCGCATTAATCACCATTATTTCATGGTTTGGTTGTTGATTGAACGACTCCAATTACGTACTAACTATGTATATGTGTATGCACGTAGAAAATTGGTACCAAATCATTCAATAAGGATAAATAAATTAAGGTAGAGAAAGTGACATTAATTTTTTTGAAAACAAGCATACATATATGCATACATACGTACGGCCAAGCCAGACAGTTGCCAAAATCATCAAAATAAAGTAAAAGTTTTTCTCCTTTTTTAAGAATCGGAGCATGACAAAATTTTAAAGAATTATTAAAATATTAGTTAACACAATACGCGACAACAATAATGTTTTCGTAAGAGATGCACGAACTGTGTGTCACCTCGTCCAATTATTGCGTTACAGACCACAAACCAACCTCAGCATTTCTCACTCATTATCGGGAGCATCAAAGCGACAACTGAAGAAGTAACCATCTGAAGATGATCATCCCTGCTCACCTTAACTAAACAACGGTTGGTCATCTTCACCACAGTTTGCACTACCGACCTTTCTTCAGTTAATCCCAATTGTCTCGCAAACTCCTCGTCTCGAGTACACCGTTGCAGTTGGTCAAGCTTTTGCACCCACTCGCACTTTTCAATTATTATTGTGCAAGGATTTTACTTTCGTTCGAAATTTCTCATCAGTGTCTTGCTGACCTCTTGCTGACAGTGAACTTGTCTCCCAATTTTCAATGAGTATCAATTGTACCAATACAATAATAATCTGGCTCCGAACAAATGGTGTTCCAACTGTGAAATCTCAGGTTGCCTCACGCTCTTTTCTCCACACTTGAGTCTTACTCAACATGTCTTACGAACATTCCATTCTCTATTATCGTGCTGGTTTATCCGTGATCACAACATGTTTAATATTCGGTGGTTCTCGTCAAGTTAGTGGGATTGTTTTCCGTCGTGAGTCAAGAGAAAGTTATAGCAATAACGCCGTTGGAGATTCTTGGGAGAAGGAAATTGGACGCTCTTCAGAATCTTTGAGAAGCTACAATGATAGAGACTATCAACAACATTTTTCTGAAGGAGGTGGTATTCTGATTGACAATTCAAACTTTGCACACGAAGCTGATCTCGACGAGGAAACCAAAAAAGTGAAAGAGGAAAAGATCAAATGGAAAGGCTGGAATTATTTAGATACATCAAAAGGTAACTAACTTTTGAAACATCACTGCATTGTTTTTACAATGGACTGTACAGGGATGTAAATATGCTTGTGTGTATGTGTGTGCATATCTAGGTGGTTGGACACCTCATGAAAAAACAGTCAGTTTCCAATTCTTGGATGACGATGGGAGGTATGCTCATGCTCCACCACGCTGGCCCCACGATGAATATATGCTCCAATTTGGTCACCCTTTTGTTCCTCAAGATTTTGGACTGAAAAATGGTAGTGATGCTGCAAATGTGGGAATATCGAATGCTTTGTCTGAAACCAATAATTTTGAGTCAAACCGAGCTCATGAATGGCAAAAGCTACGACCTTACCCTTCAAAGGGACATTTTATCGGGCCTGGCTTTTATGATGGTTCAACCTCCAGTTTAGCATACAATCCCCCTCCTCCGTATAATACCCACCAAGCAATTACCGATAGCACCATCACCACTTCGAGTGCGAGTGCCTCATCCAGCGGTGTTGACTCTGGGGATGGACAAATTCCAAATGCTGTCAGTGAATCAGCCACCCATGGGAAATTATTTCCAGGAGCGTATGGAGGGAGTCCTTATGGTAGCATTTCTACTACTGTCACCAAAAGTGTGATCATTGCCGATAATCACCCAATGTACTATGACTTCTTTTGCAGACTATTACCGAAGAAAGAGGTTGCGCTTAAAGTTGCATCCGGGGCTGATTGCTGCTCCGATCGCAGGATTTGCTGCGTAAGTAGCATTTTCTAATAACCAATTGAATCATTCATTGTCAGTCCAAGAGGAAATAATTGTGTGCTTAAAAGGGATTAATAATTGTTCAGGTATAAGGCTGTTTCTGCCATTGCTTCAAAACCGTTGCTCTTTGAACTTGGATGGGTCGGAAATAAACCGAACATTGATTTTGGAGGTGGGTGGGGTTGGCCACAACAACCGAGACCGCCTTATCCCTATTATCCAAACCCATACCCTTCTCCAGTAATTCACCCAATTCACATCCCACCCGGTCATGGTGGTCCAATCGTCCCAATTTTGAGACCAAAGAGGGTTCAACAGAATCCTCAAAAGTCTGCTTGGTGGAATCCTTTTGCTGCACTCACTCCCAGATTTCAAAACAAAAAAGATGACCGAACATTTTGTTGTCAAGATGAAAAAGAACCAAGGACAATCTAAACCTCCAGTGATGACCTCGTCATCTAAATATATTGCCATTTTAAAATTACGATGACTATGCTAAATCGGTAGTCGTCTTGAGAAAACGCTTGCGTACGTATTAACACAGACAGATATAGACATTCCACATTAAAGTTTAAGTTAGTAATTTATTATTTACAATAAAATTCCACGGTATAACTAGCTGAAAAATAACTGATTTATGCATTACTAGCAATAATGATTAGAACTTATAGTCCAACATTCCATTAATTTGACCAAAGGTGACAACTTTGTTGTATTGGTTTGGAACAGTTCCAGGTTTGACTAAATTCATTAAAACTTTCCACAACCACGTTTACGCGGTACGGCACAGGCGTTTGAGATCCTTGGGTGATTTCTTGCAGCAATTTATCTTCGCTATATGAGGCACACCATGTCTATAGAAAAATAGTTGACATGATTTTCAGAAATGAAAGTGCAAACAATTCAATGCAGGTTACTTATTGCTCATGTATGTACTACCTGCGCGAAACCGATGAAAAAAAGTTTCTCGGGAGAATATGCCAATCCATTAATTTCATGTTCGTCCAACAGCATCTTAGCGTACCAGTAACTTTTAAGAGCAATCTTAAACCCACCAACGTCCAGAGTATTCGTTTTCACTGTGCTTTCTCCGTTGATCTGTGCAAATACCAATTTCATACAACAACTTCCATGTGATAGAGTGTCAAGTAAACAAAGCGGATCCACTCTTGTTGGATTTTTGTTGTTTACTCAAACACTATAAAAATACATACGTCCTACACTAGATTCAACGATGATTCTAGTAAGGTCGCATTTTTACCGAGGCAGAATTCTCGAACGAGATATTGTAAGCATTGTATTCGTCTTGCATGCAGTTGCTTGAGCTTTGGAAATTGGCCAATGTCTCTTCATCCCACATGCCCGAAGGTACTCCTTTGTAGTAAGAAACGGCTAAAAACATAATAAAATTACTTTTATACTCTATTCCATTGTTGAATCTTACCGAACTAAATCCGAGTCGCTCCCACAAATTTTCAGCCAAGAAGACTGTCATAAAAAGAAATGTGAAATGATATGTACATACCGCTTTCTTCAATTGCCGCAATAATTTGGCGTCCAATTAATGTTCCCATTGATCCATAAACAAAAGCCCTATTTTAAGCAACCGCATTTGACATTACTCATAAGGATTATTATGTTTAATTCAATATAGTGATGCTGAAATACTAATAATAGAGTTATGTACGAACATTGAACCATTATCTTCAATACTGTAGAATTGTGGTTGATAGACTGCAGTTGGAATATCTACAAAAATTAATGTAAAGAAACAATATTCAATCCTGGTCTTGGCAAATTATGAAATTATTTAATACGTACATATAGAATTTGTCAAATAGGAGTAAACCACTTCGTTAGATGTTTGAATTTCCAACTCTTTTCTTTGCCTAGTAGATGTTTTAATGAAATTAAAATTTAATTGAAATTGTATGGAATTTATCTGATGTAAATATGCACAAAATCATATTATCATACATGGTATCGTTAGAAGTACCCCAAACAAGATTCAGTTCACTCGCACTTTGCCATGCAGTTAAGTCAAGCATATTTTGAAAATGGTACGATGGGTTTGTAAGATTCAACTGAAAAAATTGAGTATGAAAATAAATATTATGAACTTGTAAGTTTTAGATATTAGTCATACATACGTTCGAGTAGTAGGCCAAAGCTATGTTGATATTTTCGTCCGTTAGAGAAAGAGGATACAATGCAAATATTTGCAGTTCTTCCAGTTTTTGGGATATAATGTCACGAGTTGCGTTGCTTGCTATCCAGGTCACTTCTTGCGTCAGTGTTAACGCTGTGTGCTTTAAGTAATCGGCAATTCCCAATACCTTGAGCAAAGATTAAACTCTTTTGAAAATCAAACTTCAATCAAACTAAATATTTAATGCTGCCCACTTGTAGCTTCAATTTCACTGGATTGGCAATTTTGGCCTGAACGTATTCGGCGACTAAGGGTGGTCCAAAAAACCGTAGTGTCTCTTTTACGCACATCTCCCATCTAAAATTTAGTCATTGAATTATGCATATATTAATTTTCTGGAATTCGTATTGTATAAAATCAATGCATTAACTTAGTTTTATTATCCATTTGCATATTTACATTACCTGAAAGTTGACGTATTGAAACCAAGTATGTTATGGTCATACAAATCCCTGTGCATCTCACTTGAATGTTTTGCAAAGTCAAGGATTATTCTCCATTTCAAATAGTTCACTTTAATTCATGTAAATGCAACATTTGGAAATTAATATTTAAATATTATTCATATGATAATAAATGACTTGAAAATAACCTGTTATATTTAAATCTGTTTCATTCAATAAAGCATCGAATGATGAGAGATATTGTAAATCTTGGAGAATGATGTCCACATCTGTCAACATATTGTTGCAGGTAATCATGCTGTCAGAGCACTCGTCTGATGACAGAGTTTGGTTTATAAATCGCAAAACTGTCGTCTGTGTACAACGCAAACCATTTGCATAAAATTATTTTAAAATCTCAAACTACATATGTTGGATAATTTGTAAATTTGCTATGTCTCACATAGTTTTCAGAATCAAGTCCTGTAGCTGTGGACAAGATTTCAACATTTGCAAACTCTTGTGTATTGTTAGACCTGCGAAGCTGTAGAAATTTTATAATTAATAACAAATTCATTATATTCTACTTATTAATAAAAATCTATGTGGCAAACTTGACGCATACTAACACACGCATTTTTTACCCTCACACATATCTGACAAAAATAGCATCATTATTAATATACAGAATATTGGACATTTTAGGTATTTTTTACCAATTTCAAAAATTGTACTAATCGGTCTTATTTGAAGAGAGTTATCGGGCAGTTATCGAGAGACTGACATGACGAGTAAGCACATAAACTGAAACAAAGTTTTCGACAAATTACCTGCAACAGTGAGTACTCAAATTCGACCAGCTTGTCAGCTATTTCCACCGCAATATTGCTATCTTCAGGATATATGCTTGTCCATAAAGAAATTATAAATTCTTTGTAAAGATCTACTCGGTATGCCGTGTTGGATTCGCTTGTAAGAATTTCCTCAAATATATCCAGATTTCCATGATCCAACTAAATATACAAAATACGGTATATTCAGGAGAACAAACAAAAATAGAGCAACTTAATCGGTCTTACATAAATCGCATTTTGTGAATTATCCTCCAAGTGAACATCAATCCATAGACTTAAAAGATAATTGCCATCCAGCTCTTTCCTTATTTTCGATAATACTGGGATCAAGTCACCACTAGAAAAATCAAAATCTGCCAGCATATCGTCAATTAATTTTACAATTTCCGCATTTTCTTCGTCTTCAGTAGCATTACTACTGTCATTTAGACACGTAGTGTAAAATAGCTTAGCAGTTTCCACCATGTCCAATTCCACCTCATTTGCCTTGCTCTCTTCTAATATATCTGAACAATAAAAGATGCAATCTATTGTGATATACTAAATAGCATAAAACGTCATATTTCCAATTGTAACCCACGTTTGACTTCCAGTTCAAATGATTCTTGTGCTTTTGAAAATTGGTCCACCGAGGGGTTGTCTATTGAGACTGGATTTCTAATGGTCCATCCACCACATGCAAAATCATAAAAATTTTCACAGGGATCGACCACTGACGTGTCCAGAGACTCCAGTATTTGGAGACATTGGCCAGAAGTGCATTTTATGGCCTCGCTCGTGGTTTCGGTTGGTGGAATTGGGGTCGTGGATGTGAGTTGTGTTGTAGGTCTCGCTCTCGTGGTGACCTCCTTCAACTCCGTCGTCGTGGGGATGGTGGTGACCCACGGAGGGTAGAGTGTCGCCTCAGTCAACTTTTCGGGAGGCTTGTAATCGTCTTTGTCTAGAAAAAAGTTCAGTAGGAATGAGTGGGCGTGTGGCACGTGGAATCCGTTGGTTATGGTAAAAACTTTGTGGTATTTCCCTATTAATAAAACTATACAGATGTACTTACTAAGTTTCACTCCGACAATGATCACTGCGATCATGAGAGCAAGGGCGAGAATGCTCACAAGACCCAGAGCAATTGACAACGACTTTTCCAACGACGAGAAACCTTTCCATCCTGGTCTTTTACTGGAATAGAAACCATCAAAGTCGTAGTCATAAGTCATCGGAAAAGTCAAGGATCCAGAATGCCCAAACATTTTGAGATATTTTCAACCACAATCACTTTCACACAAAAAAATAAAATAAAAGATTTAAAATATTGATATTTGGTTTCACTATGATACACAAAAAATAGCTGTAGAATTTAACCAGAATATTCAAATAAGGGCGTGGTTCAAGAATTATGTTTTTGATACAGAATCACTTTTAATCTTCTAATAGTTTGAATGCTTTTGTTTTCGTCCTCGCGACCAGCCTCCATTCTGCACTTGATGAAAGACTCGTACAAAAATAAATCATTTTTCATATCAACGGATTCGCAAACAACTAAAGAAGCCCTTCTTTGTTCAGGTTTCGTGTTGATACATTAATTGACGATTTGTCTCGCATCTTAAGTAATATGCTCTCCAGGTTGGTGGCAATAACAATAAGTGCATACATCTTGCCTACTGAGGAAGTTCATTAACAACTGTTTGACTTTCAGATTCATAAAAGTCTATGATTGCAACAAAACAGACTTCTTTGCAGAAGCAGCAATTAAATCTCACTTCGACTCTTACCTTTGCATATTAATGTGAATAAACTGTTAATCAATGCACAATAATATACCGTATGATTCATAATTATATTGTATGTGTGCGCATATAGCTCACGTACCTTGTTATAAACGGGGTTCTGCTATCAATAGAATGTTTTCTAACTAGTTTTAAGTTTACGAAATCTTGTTCCGGGTGCACATTTTCTGTTGAGGCAAGTAGATTTCCATCCGAAATCTCGAGATGCCGTTCCGACGACGACGAGTTTTGGAGTGGATCGTTTGAATTTGAATCGATTGGATTATTCATAATTAAATTTATGTGACTAAAATATGCAGAATTGTAGATGGAAAATTGTAGCCTCAATCGTTAGAAAATGAAATTTTGTGATCGGAGAAGAAATTCGTATTGATTTGGCCAATGAGTAATTTCACCACATCACCTGAATTGTTCAACTGATATATGTGTTGAAGTGACACTTTCGTCAATGCTCAGAGTGCTTTAATTTAAACCACCTGCATTATCAAGAAGCCAAATGACAATCGATTGATTTTGGTGTAATCTTATCTATCAAACTCATGACTGTCATAATGAAATTTGCATGCAGGTGTTAAGAATTTTATCTTGGTCAACAAAGGCACAGGTGCAAAACAGGCAACAGGTGCATGACTTAAGTAAGTGAGCATCAGGTTATCAACACCATTATGCTATATTATCTTACCTACCAATTCGTATAGGTCGTATAGTACGTAACGCAATAATGAACAACACATGCGATTTTAAGAGAATTTTAAGTTTCCGAAAACCAGTATTATGCTTTATAATATAATATGCATCATCCCATGTATAGCATTCATATAATATTTTTATTTCGTCAAATCATAAGGATCAACGCATTTGACATTTGGCTATCATTACATATTTGTAAGAAGTAACTTTTATTATGGATACAGCTTTATGCAGAAACATGATGTTCTTCACATGAGTTTTGGCTATGTAGTTTCCTTGGCACTTGACTCCCTCATAGTCTCTCAAAGGGACAATAAAGAATCCGAAAAACTACTAAAACGATTAGAATCTCGATTTATCATACTGCATTTGAAAATACCCCTGTCTCCATTTCCGCTTAACTACATAATACTAAATTGCAGCAACATGTCTTTCTCAAAAGCCCCACTGAAACGTTTCAATGATTTTGAAAATGGTAAAAATTGTACAACATATATCATCGTGCTACATGTTGTGCGATATGCAAGTTGAATTGGCCCTAACTTTTAATGTGCTTGTACAGACGCTACTTCAACCCCACCCATTGGAGCCTATGACCCGCAGTTTTCCACAGACATGGGAAACTCTGCCACAATAAAAAGCTCAAAAAGTCGAATGGTTCAAGCCAGGTCGTTCTCTCGACCTGCTCTCAAACGGCTCCCTTCCATGGAAAGATGCCGAACTCCGCTAGTACCCCCTTCTCGCCTTCCCATTACTCTTAAGGAACCAAGCACACAAGACAAACTCTCCCACTTGGAGAAAAAGCATGAAGAATTGGAAGAGATGTTCAAGGAAAAGTCTAAAAAATATGACGAGCTTCAAGACCTGCTGCACAAGTCGGAAGAGGACAAAACTAACTGGATCAAGAATACGGAAACATGTCAAGTGTCCATCACTGAGCTCACAGCGTCCCTTAAAGATATCCAGGAACGACTGGATAAGGCCAACTTGGAAGTGGACTCTAGGAAGAAAGCCTTGGTGAAAGGAGAAGAGCTTTGGCAAGTCCAAACTGGAAAGCTGCAGACGTCCGTAAAGGAGCTAGAGAAACAAATTGAGCAACATCAATCAAGAAACACGGAGTTGGAGAAGCGACTTGAAACTGTTGAAAAGGAAAACCAAGCATTGGAATCTGACCGAGTAAAAATGCAAGCGGATTTGGAGGATGAGCAGCTTGCCCTTTCTGAATCGGAGAGAAAGTGTGTACTGCTGCAAGTGTCGATGGAGGAGGCACACGCCGTGTTCGAGGGGAAATTGTGCGAGGCGGAGGAGAAAAATGCCACCTTACAAGACACGGAATCCAAGTTGTTGGACTCACTAAAACTGTCAAAGGGACAAATTGATGACTTGAGAGTGGCTGTGCAGGCAGAAAAATCCGGCAGGGTCCACTCTGAGGAGAGATTAACAATGACAGAAAACACACTTTTCACATTAAGGAGTGAGTGGGAGGGGATGGAGAAAGAGTATAAAGAGGACATATCTCGGCTTGAAAAATGCCTCAAAGTTTATGTCGACAATCCAACGAAGGTGCTCAATCAAAAAACCCACGAGATGGTATAATTTTGATAATCATCAAACAACTGAATATGAACTGTATTATAATGGTAACGATATGGAAAAAGTAATCAATTTTCTTAATGAAGGCAACCCAATTTCTGAAGGAGAGGGAAAACACGGCTGAATTGAAAAGGCGAATGGAGCCGTTGGTGAAAGTCGAGTCCCTCTTGAAACAAGGTTTGACAAAATTTGACTCGTCTCAACATTTGTCCTCCTCATCGTACGAAGGTCTTGATGGAATTGCACTGCCGGAAATGGTTACATTTTCTGACGATGAGTCACTGCTGGATATTTCGTCACCAATACCAAAAAATATTACCATTTACGACACTACCTTACCGTACGTTGCTCGTAGAACAATTGACGTGATAGAATGAATCTTTGGACGAGTATGTATATAACGGTAGTCGATATGCATGTTCGTTTAGGTCTGACTTGAAACAGAAAGTTCAAGAGTTGAAACACTGTCATACCGAAACTTCCTTGAAGGCCGTAATGCATGAAGAGCAGCGTGCAGAGACTCGAAATCTCATCTCCAAAATTGAAAAGGACAACCAAATGAAACGGAAACACATAATTTCCATCAACTCCCAAATCAATGAGCTATCCAATACTGATACAAGTCAGTCATTTATTATTAATTACTGCTGATTACATTAGCATAAGGCGCCTTATCATTTGGGAATGTTTCTATACAAGTATTGCATCACGCACTTATTTCAGAAGTAGAGCCCTCTTCTTCCCTCTCCACCATGGACGCCATTCTTCGGAGCCCCCAGTCTGACCCTAGTTTAAAGGTCAAGTGGGTTTCCAGTTCGGCCATCTCTCCGAGAAGCTCGTCCGGCAAGTTGTTTGGTGCTGCGAAGTTGGACCCGATTGCGGAAGAGGAGGAAGACAAGACCAAATAGTCTATCATTTCTTAACATTGTCTAAATTAATTCATTACCTCAATGGAAATGTAGAAATGGAATGCTGTGTTACAGGACAAATAACAAGTATCGAGTAATATGTGTATAAGACAAAAAAAAACAATTAAGTAAAGTCAAAGAGAAAGCGAAAGCGAAAGCTTTCGCTTCCTTTCGAAAGGTAACATATAAAAATATGTAACTTGAGAATGAGTCACATTTCCCCGAAACGGTTAGAACAAATCCAGTTTGCCCTCCATATCGTTGCATTTCGCATGCACACATTTGCTTTGTTGTTGGCAGTTGACGGTTTATATTTATTAGTCGGGCTCATCAATTTCATTTCAAGTTTTCTGACGTTATTTTAAATTATAGTTTCTGTCTTCAACTTTGACCAGAAACGCCGGTATAAATCAGTTTAGTGCTTTTAGCTGTTTGGAAACATAAATTTCTAGATTAACATCACTTGGCTATTGAATAAAATGGGAAACTTCAAGTCCCACTTATCAAAGGAGGTGGACGACATGGACACGACCTACTCTCCACCCGGGAACGGGATGAGTACCCCATTACCCGAAGGGCTCGCAAAATCCAAACACTTGGCTTTGCTTGACCCTCGGTCACCCACAATTGGTGTTTCTCGTACGCCGGTTGAGGTGACATTAAATATTATCTATACACAGTAGCGTATATTATATGTATATGGTTATATTGCGACAATGATCTGATGAATGTGAATCTTGCAGATTGCTGCTGAAAGGGAACGCACACGACAGGAGAGAGAAAAAAAGTTACAAACCCTTGGTTTGTCGAATACGAACCAAGAAGTTTCTACCCCACCCGCATTCATCGACCCACGGTCTCCCACTTTTGATTATGTACGAACTCCAATTGCATTCGAGGAGGGTGACAGCACTGATCAGCAAACAACGGAGAAAGGAAGGGGTAAATTTAGTCATAATAAAATATATTTTAAGAATAATTTCATTATTCATACTAAAACAAACATTTTATAATTCCAGATAACGAATTGCAAGTGCCTCTGCCCAACCCAATTAGTCGGGATCTCAGGAAGAGGTTATTTGTCTCGCAGATCAACGATTCCCTTAATTCATCTGGAATGCAACTAGAGGATAACAAGGAAAACTAAGCACATTCAAGTTTTAAACTACCAGACCAGATCGAAATCAAAACTGTATTTTATTCTATGCAAATATTTACGATGACAGTAATATAAGGAATATATAATAGTAATCAATAATAATACCTTTCATATGTCATACATATACATGAGAAGTCTCTACAGGCTCAAATAATTTTATAATATGTAGATATACATTTTCTAATAATACTTTCTTTTATAGTGTAATTACCTTGCAAGATTTGCATATTAGCATTAAATAACATTTTGTACTATTGATGGTCACATAAGTTTACGATATATAATCTGGAAAATTCGTACGAGATAATTTTGTGGTAAATGTGTATGTATTATTACAAAAATAAAGTTTTCACTTTTGTAACTAGAGTTTGTAAATTATTTTGTTCATATGTTGGAAATTAGGAAATGTATACTTTTATATCAAAGTTATCCATTAATTGCTCTTCAATTAGTAACAAAAACCAAGTACCTTTTATACGAAATAGTTTAACTAGTTTAACACGACGGGTCGGAGAAGGAGCCATTGCTTATGAGAATTTCCTCCGGGCTTAAATGTTGGCTGGATGCGTAATTACCGTTGGACGTAATTACCTTTGGAGTATTACTGCTTGCAACAGGCGCAGAATTGCTTAGAGTTGCAAAAGAACTACGATTTGGAGCCATCACAACTTCTTTTGTGTTTTTCTCAGGTTTCAAAAGAACAATGTAAATTTTTGGGAAGAACAGGCATCCCATCTCGACTAGCCCACTGGGATGTGACACATAAGCAAAGATTATGAATTTTTTGCTAATAAAACAACGAATCAACGAGAACGACTCACCTCAATGAAAGTGATATGGCCAGCGTCACTACTCGAATGCCATTGCTTGTGCTGGTCAGATAGAGGGGGACGAACGCTAGCCAAATTATCTGAAATCATGGGAGAAGTATATAAGCAAAGAAAATGCATAAAGAATAAAGAAAGGCCCACCCACATACCAAGAGGCAATAGTTTGTGAAAGCAATATACTTTGCCTAAAATTAAGAAATTGAGCTTAATTTTAATTTTATATAATTTTATATAATTTTAATTTAATTTAAATGCCTCATTGAATCCTCCTGGACACTTCCGAGTTTGAATTGCAAAAATTGTGCAGCCAATAATGAGAATGAGAGGATATACAAAACCAATCATATAACTATAGTCATCCAACCCCTGTAAAAAACATGATAATCACAATGAGTTTTACGGAATGTTAGATTTTTTGCTTTGTTTAACCACAAGACATCATTCTGTAAAACCTTGATTTAGGTTTAAGGCAATCTCAACCAAATCCTAACTGCATTTTTAACCTCTCCATGAACTTTTACGAATGTATATGTAGAAATGACGATTCCATAAATACTTATCTAGGAGTTGGAAAAGTGCGACAACAGTGACATGGAACGCAATATGTGTAAGTACATACAATGACGAATTCTATTTGCATTCATCGCATATCGTACTGTTTCGGAAAATGCCACTAGCCTGCAAATGAGAAAGAATGAGAAATGCAATTTCCGAGTCACTTACTTTACAAATCCTGAGTTTAGTCCCCCGATCTGGAAAGGTGAAAATAGAGTCTGGAGGAGAAATCCAAATCCACACAGCGTTGATCAGCACCTCCACCGACGTTAAGATGGCAACAATGCAAATTTGCGAAGAAGGGCTTATAAATTTGGTCTCGGAGGGCCCGGACTTGTGAAAAATTCGGGCGATTCTATTGGTTTTGGTTAAAATCGCAGCGTAACACAAAGTCGGACAGAAGCCTAAGAAGAATCTCACGACTCCGCATGAGAGCTGATTTGGAGGAGCCACGATAAAGAAAGTTGCACTGAAGGAAAGAATTATTCCAAAGAGAAGCACGTAGGACAGTTCCCTTCCTGCCGCCTATACATTTTTTAATAATAAATATAAATATGTATATCCTACAAATCTTGACATATAAATCTGCTACTTTGATAATCGGAGTGTCGTTGTATCTCCAAAACACTTTGAGCACGAACAGAGCCAGAAGAATACCTTTCAGAAAGAACCATGGAATATTAATGCACAACTAACAATAAGGATAAGTTGAACTTTCAGTAGCACTGACACACGTATAGAACAACGAACGATTATTTAAAAAACAGTAACAACTTGTAAAGAAAATGTGTCATTCCTTTTGACAAACAAATAGATCCCTATTGCGTACAAGTGAATGGCTGCAGAACTGATCCACATTCATACCATTAGAAAACGAAAGTAAAGACATGGAGAAAGTTGTCGCGTTTGAGAACATTTGCCGATGAGAGGAGGGGTAGAAGAAAGCACGAACTTACCAAATCCGGAGAATATCATTGCTGCCATTGCAAGTGGATTTAAATAGTCAATATATTGTTCTTCAATCGGATTGCACGTTGAATGCAAGCTGTCAGGTGATTGTCCCAGGGGACAATCATCACAGTGGAAATCGTCTGTGGAGGCGAATTATCATGTGCATACTTACGTTGGTTATTCAAAATTTATAGAGCTTACTACCCCACTTCCAACGATGTGTCACTCATCGCTTTTATGGAGTGAAATTATTATACAACTCACCATGTTTGATTTGGAATTTGCCACAATCTCGACATATATGACAGCAAGTGTCGTCTCTCTATATATTTTCATACAATAAAACAACATCATCGTCCTTCCTTGACTAATGAATACCTCGCTTACTGATTATTATTAACTTTGTCGAAATTGACACTTTTGGGTTAACTCAGGCTATACCTGTCCAATTCACCTCTTAAATCTCTAATCCTTGTACGTATGTACATATAAAATCGAAAACCAAGTTGCGTCACCATCGTCATATACAACTCATTCCTATAGGTATTATATTGGTACTATTGGAATTCGATAAAGTTGAACGGGAACTGTTCATGTCATTTCCAACCAGGATAGAAAGCATTATGTGGATTGTGGACGAGACATAAAATACGAGCCAAATTTTGGGGAAAATATATTAGAAATACCTCTCGAACTTTCACTTGGTGAATGGAACAAGGTTTGGCACACGTTGACTGCGGAACAACATACATAGCATTATTACTGCTAAATCAGCAGAGGTGGATGTGGAATACTAGTCACCAAAATTTTGACGTACCGTAGAAAATAAAATGGAATAAACTTATGCTAACCTGTGGGTACTCGCTTATCCCTGAACTCACACGATAGCGGATCCGGTCATCTTCAATTTTCAGCTCAAATTTTCCTTCTGGTCGCACTGAAGTCCATTGTAAGGGAAAAAAGTTATTAATATCATGACAGACAACTGGAATTTCATGATATGAAATCAGGAAGCCTCGTCCCTGGTTCCATTTTCAGTTTAATGTGTATGAACGTTTACATGCAGCGCAGATTTTATTATTAATAAATTTTAATAATGATGATATAAGCAGCGACACAAAGACTTTGTTCAAAGCAGATTCGGTACATAAGTGGAGTTAAAAAGTTGAGAGGAGGAATCCAGCTCAAATAAGCTCTCTACACGTTTTCAATCCAGCCAGTCATGCATGAAAAAGATAGCAAGTCCGAGATGTCAATCTACAGTATTTACGACGTACATGTGAAAGTCACCCACACACGTTTTGGTATTTTCGTCGTTCACTTTGAGCTTGAGCCTTCTATCTCCTTTGATTCAGCAAACAATTGTCCCATTTAGCTCGCCAATCTCAAGCTTGCAACTTTGCGGAGAACTTTGTTGCAGGTTATTTGATACTTTAATTAAATTTATACCCTGCAGTGTCATCAACATGCCAAATAAGCCTGTGACACTGATAGAGTAGCCAAGGCTAATTTTCAGGGGTGATCATTTGTCATATGTACATAGATACATACACAGGAGGATGTAAAATTCAACAAGAGCGTACATACACACAAATATGAGAAGTAAACAGCAAGGCGCCTGGTTTTGTTTTGTATAAATCAAACGTAAATTATAGTAAACACAGTAATGTTTTACGACTGTGTGCACATTTCTAGCAGGAACGAGTATGAGAAAATGGGCTAGCAGGTAAATAAATAAGAGCAGACGCGACGCGCAATGTGCAATATGGTGAAAGTAGGGAATTACCTCTATTCCTATATAGCACTACATCTGACTATGCAACTGAGGATGAGTAAGGAACCAACCATGGTCCTTGAGCCTGCGTGACCTTTGAAGGATCATTTATCTATTTCATTCTTTCAGAGAGAAAGGAATCTGCTTTCCTCTAATCCGGAATCGCAATTAAATTCTCGTTGGGTTTGTTGGTAGCAGGAAATTGTACAAAGGAAACTTGCCATCCGTATTCATTCAAGGTTCAACCTGCCTAATCCCCTCTGCATTCCTCCACTCACTTAAGAATGCATATACGTTGAAAAAATCTCATAACTAAAAGACAGAGACGACGGTTGCGTCTCCTTGTGTGCCGAGAGATTTATTGCTAATGAGGGGGGGGCGGGGCGAAGAGAGCAGCTGATTTTCATGTAAACAATGCAGGCAGTTGCATGTAAAAAGTTGCTTTGGGTTTTGAGAGTGACCGTTCCCACTCTCCAAACGGGGCATCGCGAACCAGAAAAGGAGAAAAATTTCGACTAAAACTTCTAATTTGCAGCTAATACAAAATGGATTGATTTCGTTTTGGTGGCAATAAATTCCCAAGTTTGTGCTTTACAATTGCCATGTTGCATAAATTCCATAATAAATCTCAGAGAAAAGTATTGAACTGAAACATGGACTCATATCATGTTTCAGTCCAATACTTTTCACCGAGATTTATTATGGAATTTATGCAACATGGCAATTGTAAAGCACAAACTTGGGAATTTATTGCCACCAAAACGAAATCAATCCATTTTGTATTAGCTGCAAATTAGAAGTCTTAGTGACAAAAATCATTTACATTACTGGTAAGTGGCGAGGAGAAAAAGTCAACTCGCTCACTAGGATGCCCAGACTGTTCCCTAACTCAAACTTTAATTCTGCTTTGCTTTGAGAAAGTTTCAGAAACGAGATGGGTAAAGATGGTACATTTTACTGTGAACATGGGAATTGAAACTTTTTATCTTTGTCAGTTGAACACTTATGAGATTGATTGAGAAAAGGAAATTGAATTACAGATTTATTAGTCAACTAAATAGCTCTTACATTCTGCAGATCTTCAACAATGGTGCTCATTAATAACAAAGTTATTAGTAAATTGAGTTTGAGTTCTCTTGTACGCTTAAGTGTCATAATCAGATGTAATTAATGAAATTAATACTATCATTGATTACAAAATTCCGATATTGCCTTTAGAACTTTCTCTTCTCCATATCTATGAAATCAAATGAGAAGCATGACGGGTAACATTCGTGGTTCGTGTTTTTCTTCATTTATCGAGTCCCGTAATAATGAATATATGTTTTTTCTCAAACCATGACACAAGAGGAATTCCGACAAGAAGGAAGGTCAAAGTTCAATTCATTCAACTGTCGTAATACATGAATTCAAATTGTTCTCTCATCTTACATGAGTTTCAATCAGCCCACAAACCAATTACTTAACAAACCGCACGAAGGTGCTAACGTTATTCCTTTAACGACATATAAACTACAAGGTTGCATCTGCTATCCTTCTAAAGCGGTTCTTAAAGTAGACTCTCCACAATAAAACTCGCTAATTAGAACCATTTGAGTCCATCGATTTCCACTAAAAAGGTGAAAGGAGTCTGGCTGACTGACTAAAGTTAGTTTCACTAGAAATAACGACAGCACGATGCCAAATAGCTTAAATTGCGTGCTATTTGGCACCACTTAAGAAACCTCGTTATCATACTTCCGACCACTTGTGTGTAATAATAGTTTTTCTTACAAAGATTTTCATTCACTTCTCATCCTCTTTCTTTCTCTTTCTCTCGGGCCACATTCATTGCTAAATCGTAACCCAATCTTATTTTAAGCTTCCTCCCTCATCATTACCCAGAGAAAGAGCGACGGTACTAATTTTGGTAATTCACGCCGACACTTCAAGCTTCAAACAAATAGAAATTATGCAACTCTAAAAGTTTTGAAATTTAGCAACATTCATTTTTGTTAATGCAAAATAAGTAGGCAGTACTCGTAGTTTAGCGAAATGTAGTCAAACTCTGATATCAAAATGGTATCTCGCATTTAAAAAGTGGAACAAATGATTGTTTAGACGGCCACAAGTCAGTAACAAGTGTTGGATGTCATCAAATATATACTTTCAAGCCTCCACACATCTGAATGGAGATGTTTCCTCTAGACTGAGATTCGTAAATGCGTATTTTATTCGAAAAGTTGATGCATATATGAATAAGAGCCCTGAGGTGAAAGCAAGGTTAATAATAGAGATAGCAACAGCAATGTATTCTCACCACGAGAGAAAGCTTCAGCAAGAAAGAGTTTTACAATTTGCTCACTTGAATAATCTCCGACTTTTTGCCACTGGTAGTTTAGACTGGAAGGGTCTCGTTGGAAGTTCACAATTGTATACCGTGTTGGCCCATCGCCTTGGTTCAGAAATCTAAATGGATTGTCGTCTTCGTCTGAAATTTGATATCATTTATCAGCAAGAACAAGAACATGAGAAATCCTTCTTGCCGCAACCATAAAACTTTCCTTCCCCATCATCCAGTTGCCAACTGCTGAGCTGGTTCTTCTGGTTTTGATGGCATACATCAAACTTTCTCTTTAAACGTGAATAGTCACTCCACTCCCACCAGATAAGGTTTTTAACCCGGCCTTGAGCAAGTTAAACAATGCCAAAGTTTTCAGAGCAGTGGTGGACGTGGTTGTTGTGGGGAAAGGTCAGAAATGACTTATATTTGCTACGTATTGAGATAATATTAGTGGAGAAAGTACTGCTACTGATATGTACTTGGGCAAACAGTTGTTACCAGCAGCCCTGCCCTCAATGCAAAACTTTGTATTCCACAGATGCGTGCTACTAGTATCATTAACACGGGAAAGTTTTCATCACCTTTGAACGTAACGTTCTTTAGGTATTCAATGAGATGGGGTCCATCGATGTGATGCATTTCAGGACATACACCTGGAACTCCTCCGCAAAGCTCGGCGTGCCTGCATGAGGGGACACAAATTTCCAAGTCAATCATACCAACCATGGCAAAAACTCACAATCAGTTCAACTCAATTGCTCCTCACATATTGTGCAAGGCATAGGCAAAAGCGTATGCTGCATCACGAACGAAATGTATGAATGGTTGTTGAGAATAACCTAAGGAATATGTTTTTTAGATATTTTTTATATTTTATTATATTTTTTATTAAAAAGTTGAAATATTTTTATATACTACCGTTTAGCTCAGAGATTCGAAGATCTGGGCTGCACGGTGGGTCTTGCACGGATTCTTCTACGTCTCCGATATTCGATTTGTTCCTGGTGGGGCTTTCGTGACTAAGTTCACATCTACAGAGAGGATGAAGGAAAAGACACTTGAGATGATGGGAAATCTCTCACTTTATAGGAGCAAAATTGAGTTTCATAGCATAGTACATAGAAATTGAATTTAATATTTAAATCTTATTCGCATCCCAAAGGGATGAATGGATAGATGGGTTGATGGATGGATGAACGAGTTGGATAACAAAATTGAACGTGATAAAAACCAAATTTAATCTTACTTGAAATACTTTCCCCAGAATTCAGACCACCACGGATTTAGGGAGGTGTGTTCAGGCGTCAAGCCTGTAAAATAGTCATCAAACCCTCTGATATGACTCACGAGGGGCTGAATGGCAATGGCTCCCTCTAAAATGTCTTCCTTCCCCTGAAAGCATAGTAATAACTCGTCATTAATGAAAGATTAGGTCGTCAGAGTGAAACCCTTTTATCAAGACAAATATTCTCTGCTCAATCATAACTTTACTCTTTTGACAGCTTGGCTGCATTACTTCATGATTGGCTTAAAATATTTAGTAACGGAGAACGTTCAATCGTTTACTCGACCATCATTCAATCCAGGTGATCAACATGACAAAATGATAACATGACAATACAGGACGCTAACAATCGTACCAACAGAAATGCATAATTTCAGAAAACAAATTTATTTAAATACTTATATGATTGAAATCTCTCATTTGATCTCTAATTCTTGAATGTCTCAAAATTGAAACCAGGACGGAGCATAGCATAGACTTTTTGTGTGCACATCTTATTGTTTTCTGCAATTAGAACGTTTTCAAAGCGCACACGCAGAGGTCTGGAAATAAATAATCCTACCATTACCACAGATTCTCGACTCGACCATCCATCCGTCCCAAGCCAAACGTACTCGCTGCCAACTCCCAGCCTGCGAATAAGTGGGAGAAAATAAATAGCGTTTAAAACTACTTTGATGTTTTGTAAGCAATGTCATAATCAACCCACCTTCTGGCAGCATTCATTACGTGAATCATGAATTCTTTTTCCAAGATCAATATAATCACTGCAAAGGAAGGAAGGTATGGATTCGTTTGAATTAGCTCAGATCATGAGAATAGAAGATTGAATTAATTAGAAGCGTGGGGCAATGCAATAATTTTGTAAATAAAGTGAAAACACTGCTGAAGCATGGCTTATGTTGACGACAGCAACTGGTTCAGTGAAACTTGACCCAGAATCGCAGTAGTCAATTAACAAAACCACAAAGACAAAAGACAAAAGACGCAAATACAGCTATTTAGCTCTGTGTATGTAACGGCATTCAATTTCAGCTTACCTCGAATGTTTTGTTTGTTAACGACAGTACGAATAATTTGATCATAATCCGAGTCTTGATACTGATATCGAATAACTCTCTGGGGCGTCGTAAAGCAAATCGAGTCGTTAGCTGCGAAATCTCGTAAGGCTTCGTAGCAATGAACGCCATACTCAGAGTCAGAATACACGACAGCAACATATGTCCAATTAAAGTATCTGAAATATGAAGAAACATTACGAGTTGTCATCCTCATTATTCTTCTACTACGCATCTCTCCATTTTCTTCAAGTTTGTGTTCGGTAATTTGTTGCGAATTATTATTATAGTTTTTGTTTAAAACGAACATTGATTTGTCATCTGTCCGGAGCAGTAACGTATGTGATTATCTATTCTTGAAGAAGTTATGCAATAGACATACAGCACTTGCTGAATAACAACCTTCAAGATGAAATACGCCACCCAGACGAGAACTTTAACGTATGGATAAGATTTTGAAGATACAAGTTTCAAATAACCACAAAATTGTTTCTTCTCGACATCGTAAATTTACAGTAACACGAATCATGTGATGACCACGCCTTATGACAAACGTGTCATATGACCCCTCATACGAAGTTGCAACCTGTCACTGCATAAATAAATGGGGAATATAAAATCTTCTCAGGAACATTAAAGTCCAACCAAATCATCTAAAAGGGAACGACCTGCGACGTAATAATCAGACATTTGAAGAAGAAGGAGAGCGAACACGGAAAAGAATTATGATGAGACGGATGATGATCAATCATTCGTCCTCGGCCAGACTTGTGTGTGCGACCGAGGAGTGAGCCAGCAGACTAAAAGAGAAAGTGGAACAAATGCTCACCTGAGGATGTCAATGATGGCGGCCGCCTCGTTCACGTCGCTTGGAACCGTTCTGAAGAAATAGGGGAACCTTTCACGATCGCTTAGCTGTGGCGACGTTGACATGTAGCTTATTTGCGGGATTTTGAAGAGACGAAGCAGGCCTGCAACCTGTGAAGGAGGAAAATTAAACCAATATGTAGCTCATTACTCATAAGAAATTTTAATTCAGTGATATGCGCGTTAGTTTGTATGATAAGCTACTTAAAAATTATCAATTCCCTTTCCTTAAATCCTGGCGATTGCTTAATGTGTTTTTACCATGTAAGAATAAATGAAAGAATATGAAAACAAGGCTGTAATTTTGGGAGGTGAGCTTTTACATAAAACCCTTTGTAAGAATGTATCTGATATCATGTAAACATCCATTGTTTGTCTTCCCTTGTTCAGACGGTTCCACCCACTGAAATTGTATCCACAACATACAACATCTGATAAAAGATATCTCATTTCCTCTCATTCGTCTTTTTACCCCAATATCTCATCTAGTTATATTTACTTCAATTACTCGGAAAGTTATTTGTGTTTAGCAGAGGTTCGCAAAATAAAATAAAATATTTACATTTGGCGAAGATAAATTGGCTGGATACAAAATTTCATGGTTTTGAGTTTGAAATTCTAACGACGATAAGGTTTTCACCCTGAAACAATTAATCACTCAAAAAAACTAAATCGATGGACGGGACGGGGCAAATGAGACAAATGTACATATGAAGCAAAATACAGTAACTTTGATGTTCAAATCTATTAAAATACTTACGCGATCTATGAAAAAACTAAAATTTTGACATTTTTCATCTTGCGAGACTACAGTTACCGTATTTTGTATTTTCCCGACCTCTGTAATTTTGTGTCACAGAGTTAGACGAATGGACAGAGCAGTAGAATATGAAGAGGATTACAAAGAGAATCATGCTCGTGTTAGTTTATTGTTGTTTTTTACAGCATTGTGCACTACTTTCACTTGTAAGTCCCACATGCTCGTCAAAGTATTCTGAGTAAGGATGAGTATATGTAGGAAGAAACTACCCTCGCATGTAATTATACTCCTGTATAAAGGAAGTAAGTTAACTAGAAGTACAATGCATGTGTACATACAACTATATGAGCTATCAGTAATATGAGCCAAATAAGTTTCCCTACAACTTTTTAGCCCGAGTCTGGGCTTATGGAACAATCATATCTGTCTATCTGTCCAACTATCTAGCGATAACTCGTTCAACTCATCCTACCGACCTGAAATTTGGTACACATGTAGCATTGGGAAAATGAAGAGTTAATTCCAAAGATGAGAAGCATCTGTCATGTGGTTCACCGGTGGGGGTCAGAAAGGTCGGATGGGGTTGTTGGGGGCAGATTACGAATGGTATTTGGTAGTAATGCTGACCAAATTTAGAAGCGGACTCTGACTCGGGCTAGACCAACACTTCCCTGTAGGTTTTATACCATTTAATTAGTTTGACATATCTCCGCTTGTATGACCCTACTCTGTCTCTCTTTGTTGACGAAATTGAAGGAAAATTCCTCCCGCATTTCAACTTTGTGTAATTGGTTTTGTTAACGGAACTTTTACAACTCTACATCAAGTGAAATCTTGTAAATGCACAGACACTAATAAACCATTGAGAAGTACATGGAAATCCCGGAAATTGAATTACCCTCGGGGTTTACTGTATCATTACGGAGTGTGTACAATGTACATGTGTACTAGTCGTTCACCAGAGTCTAGAGTTCCTGAATGTATGACATTCATCAAGAAATTAGACAAAGCGAAACGTGTTTGTCACTTCATGCATGTTTCTAGGTCACGTATGAAGTTGGACCATGATCCATTGGAGATGGAGTCCTTATGTATTTGTTTCAGTTTTATTTATAGGAATGTCTCCTAATAACTCAATAGACGGACCTTATTTTATTGTGTATGGGTGACATATAGCCTGTGGTTACGCATTCACGTCAAATGAACTGTTTGGTTGGTTGGGGTTCTTTCGGTTTACCGGAATCGATACTTACGTGGATGGACACTGAAGAGCTCTGGCCGCCGATAACGCCAATCACACGATCGAACTGTCCAGACATGAACTTTGCTGGACTGCCATTGTCACAATGGAATTCCCTCTCGTGGTACTCATTGTAGTGAGATATGAATCCTGAAAATTACGGTGAAAGTACATTTGACAACTTTTTCATTAATCATTCATTTTCATCCGTGCGTGGTGTGAGTTTATTAATGTCAAAAATATGCAGGCTTCATGAATACGTTGAAGGCTAATGTCGGATTAAGCTGTCGCGAATTTTAGCATATTGTGGTATCATCTATTCAAAATGCACATATCTTGTCATCCGTGTCGAGAGAAGCTTTCTTGCTTACCTTTCACAAAGTCTAAACTGCGCTCCATAGCTATGAACCCAGAATCACAAGTATCTAGAGCTTTTAAAAAAGATGCGCAAATTAATTAAATTAAATTTATGTTTTTACATTTATTAGATTGCGTATTTGCGTACTCCGTGTACGCAAAATATCCGATCTATGCTGACCTAATACGCCCAGGCGAATCCCTGGAAGGATAGCATTGTTCTTATTAATATTGTCGACCGTAAATAGCAACGCCTCAAGAAGTTGAACCCCATCCTCGAGCTATAACAATGAAAATATTGCTAATTTAAAATGTATTGCATCGAGGTGAAATATTAATTTCATTGTCATATCGTCGCAAGGGGAACTGTGTGCAGCGTACCTGAATTTCACCACAAACATCATTTCCAGACCCCCTCCTGTGGATCGGGAAGAGAGCGCCGAGGATAAAGTCACCCGGGTAATCGACATACTTATTTTGCAGGATTGTGAATGAGCTGGGTAAGGATGCCATCAACCATAGAAGACTCAATTCCAGTTGCAGCCACTTAATCACCCACTCAAACGACGGTTTCAAGTTCATTTTCGTTCCTTTTTTGGAAATTTTGATGTAACTTTCTACATAAGTATGCACATACGTCTGTGAATAGTCAAATTCAATTTCACTTGTTTTGTAACTGAAACTATCTAATTTTGGAGTGGTTAATAAACTTTTAGTCTGCAGAAGACACTCTAAGTTTCCGTTGCATGTAATTTGCGTAACTTGATTAACATCGAGGAATTAATCACTGACGATAATATTGGACGCTGATATTTTACAAGTGACTCGTTCCGAGTTGAATGCGATTTCGAGACGCGAGTAGATCTCAGCTCTACTCACTCCTTGGTGAGACTGAGGCATTATTATGGAAGCCGTGAGAGAAAGTCTGGCGAAAGTCGTCTTCTGCGTGCTGTTCAGGCTGAACACTTTCTCCTGTGGCAAAATATTTAGAAACTTAATTTCACGGCAGCATGTCTATAAATAGAACGATTGAAAATCAAAATGTGCTTAACCAAGTCATTTTATCTGATTACCCAGAATGAAAGTGTACTAAAATTGAAATTGAATGCATATGATGACAAAGTAAATATTAATATAATGTCTTTCACCACAGCACACAGCGAGAGGTTGACATATTTATGTACATATTGGGCTTGACTTCAAAATTTAAATATTATGCATAATACATTTCAATAAATGGAACTCGAGAAAGTTTCGCATGCAAATGGAATTTTCTGGTTGGTTAGAACTTGTTTCGTTCGCCGCGATTCGATGGGAATTTTACTCTTGAATTTTCTTGGGTGGGTAGAAACGGAATGAGAATATCGTTCAGTATATGGTTTAGTTGTCAGTTGCTCATTTTTCTTTTCTCAGTCAGCGTATTTGTAGCGCATTCCACAATAATGTAGTCCTTTTCTGTAGATGAAACAAACTAGCTGCGTATTTGCATGAAAAACTCATACTAGGACGTAATCTACCTAGAACATGAATTTGAGATGAGATTCCGTGACATTAGGCTGCTAAAAATCAGCCGCAGAAATACGTGAGTTGTAGAAAACGGAAGGTTGAATGATGACAGTGATGAAATTCCGACGTTCTTGCTTTGTTACGCTACCCGACGTGAACGGTGGCAAAATACCAGACAGCCATATAGCTACGTATTCAGGAGAAAGAGAGGGGTGGTTGGTCCTCTCAAAATGAATAGGCCAGGCTCAAACTTGCTTTTACAAGAGCTTTTCAAACGTCCAAGTATATACACTTTCTCCTAAATAAATACATAAGTGTTGATCCCCTGTTCATTTTATCGCACCAAAGCGAAAGTATATTATGCATTTAGATGCATAAATTTAAATATCAACTCCGTCGCAAACAATAAGCTACATATCTACATTGGATAAACTCCATTGGAATCAAGTTATGTAATGTTTATTCTTTGGTGCGACGTGAAATTTAAAAAAAAAAAAAATCTGTCACATTTGGACGTCCGCTCAAACTTTTACTCTAGGTTTGAACTTCAACCCGTCAGTCAGTAAGCAGAACCAAACAGAATGCACAATCCGAGCAAGTCAAAGCCAATTTTTCTCATCGCCCACTCATGTTGCAAAATTGGAAACTCGGTTATGACGAAAGACGGAACAGATGTATATATGCGCCCAGCTTCTTTCACATGTCATGAAGGAAAATATGGAATCAGCATTAATGTCACGGTGTAAAAGAAGAAAAACAAAACTTTACAAGATTAATTTGTTTACTTTTTCCTAGTTATTCGATTTCTTGACATTACGTTATTATTTTACGCAGGAAGGCGGGTGCAGAAATTAAAATTTTCCATTTCAAAATGATTTTATTCTATTATCATCACTTGGGGAAATTGATGAAATAATGTCCTTACAAATTTCGTCTCACAAGAAGAGAAGAGATGACGTATCTATTATTAGCTTTAACGTGTGACTTGTCTCACCGCTGTGTTAGGTCAGAATTTGGCCGAATGAACAATGTTCTCTTATGCGGGGGAAAGCAAATTAGATAATCCTCTGCGTCACCATGCAGTGAAAGCCACAGCGTCAGTTCAAACTCCAAGGTTTTTGAGTAAAAGAAACCACTTTCAAGTGATATTACACAAAAGAAAATGTGTTTGATGCTATGACAGACGTTGTGAACCTATTACGCTATTACTACATATTATTATTATAGTAGCATTTTTTGTAAACCATATGCACCCTGTGCAATCAGTGATGGTGACGATTGTCAGATATTGATTAAAACTCACGAATCGTAATTTTTAAGAGTTTTCATTCCATAATTGCTTATCTGTGCCTCCAACTCTACATCAATACATATGCATTAGCTCCCCACTTTGTGCATTTCTTTCAGTTCAGTGGCAGATATGTATGAGCGATTTGGGGGGATGTGCTACTCCATGGTTCAGTGGTGAACGATGGAATAGAAAGTCCTGCAGAAATGAGACACTGTTCGAGCATCCTCCCAGCCAATGAACTGGTTTAGTTTATGTGTATGGTGTGAAAGTGATAACTTTCAGCCAAATCAAATCCATTAAAAGCTTATAGGCGAAGGGAGGAAAGACAAACATTTATTTTCTACACAGACACAGACATTAAATTAACCACTGAGAGGATAAACCTTATACCAGAGATTGAATTTATCAATGAGACCAGCTCGACAAAAGGACTTACTATGTACGTACATATATATGTAGCCATTTTGTTAGTTTTTGGTTTAGAGCCCCGGTTTAAGTCCTGATTTTTCTGACCATACTACATTTTGTTTAAAATCTAATAAGTGTAGGATTTGGGATCATGTTAGTTTCTCCGCTTGTACAATTTTATTACATTGCACAGACTATGTACATCATCCTAGAGGAGAAAGAAAATAGTTTGGATGTTACATTACGCGTGCTTTTGTTGGTTGGTAAGACGTATTCGCTTCAGACAACGCCATGCCCACCACGCTCTTTAATTTCTTGAGTGAAAGAAAGTGGAAATGCGAGTTTGTTTTTGGTGAAGAAGATTGCTTATCCACTTCCAATTCCCAAACCACTTCACGGAACCATAATATGTATGCAGTGGTGTTACCTCCATTTCTTAAGTTGGTTGGTTGGTTAGTGGCTTCTTGTTTATAATGTAACTCTCAACTAAATCTCAAATCAAGACAAGAAAGTTTTCGGCTAACAAATTGCTGTCTGCCAAAAAACAAGGATCTAATTTTGCCACCAACGCGTGCCTTCAAGTGCAGCTACATACTATTTTCTTCTGTGTGAACTGAAGCTAGATACACTTCACGCAGAACTAATAAGAATGTTGAAGCAATTACCTAGAATTTGAAGCGTAGGTTGATGTTCAAATTATTACGTTGTCAGGTAAAGGAACATTCAGATGTAAGCAGCACTATTAATATTAAAATTCTGCAAAAGTTTTCCAGGTTTTTTTATTCGCTAACTAATGAATAATCTTATGCTTGTACATTCTTCGTTCTTGTTACAAAACTACTTCCAACTAGTAATAACTTTTTGCCCGTAACGAAGATTCATTAAGCTAATAGGTGAATATATATTTCATATTTCAATCAACATCTGAATTTGACAGCTCTCTCATTAATTCTTGCTTGAACTGAACTTCCCTTAATTTGACTATGAAAATCAACTTGGGGATGTTATGCAATGTGTTTCAATTTTGTAAAACGTAAATATTTCCCATATATTCCATACGTTACAATTCTGCTGAAAACAAACATCGACTGGGTCTAATAGAAAGTGGGTTTCAATCCACTTTCAGAGATGATAAACAATAAATATCGTTTATCTGCTGATATCAGCTTGAGATCGGAAGCAGCGATTGAGGAAACCAATTACACACAAGTAATCGACAACAAGATGACACGACTCTTGCTGCATGACATTTGAATTATGTATCATTTTCCCCACGAACAGGGTTGACATGTTGTCGTCAGTTGACAAGCATTTATCTCCGCTATCGATCAATGAACACGGAAATGTGGTATAAATACGAAAATGTGAAAACAATTTCGTCAAATCATCTTGGCTGATAGGAATCTTCACTACGCACGACAAAAGTAATCATTAGACTCGAATCCATCATCACCCTCGTGTACACAAATCAAGTCACACACATTTTTTGTCTCGTATATAATTATATATATTGATTAAGAACGACTTTGTGTTCACCAACGCTAAAAAACTAGTCTCGTAATCAGTTCAATTCAGACTACACAAGATTATTTGACATGTATGTATGTACATTTAGTAATTGCTCCATGTTTGAACTTTCTATCTCTTCAATAATAGTCAGATAAGTAATTCAAACGCAGGGCTTCTACACGCCTCAGTTTCGCTTTTCTTACCGAGAGAGAAAACTACCTTGAGATTATATCAGATTATTTGTGCGTATGCTATTATTATGTTATTTAACCACTGAAGGTAGGCCGCCTGGCAATTGAGTAAATGGAATTCTATTCGTGTCACGTAATTCGTAATTCACTCACATTGCGTTATTAAGAATGTTGTTGGACAACTTTGACATTAATCCTTTGCGATTGCGAGTATTGACTCGTTCGCCAAAGAAAGAAAGGGTCTAAGCTGCATATAGAATTTTTTGTCTCCTTGTTCCATTCTTCTATTATTACACGGCTATACATTTCATTAGGTAAATTGCAGTATCGTCATTCCTTAGAGAGAACGAGACGAGAAATTGTCACACCACAAGCCTTTGACATCGTTGAGCAACATTCATTTCGAGAAACCGTAGATTCCTGTACAAATGTAATTAACGAAATAATAAAGACCTTAAACTTCTAATGCTCCATAAGATAATTAAGTAAACAACTTCTCAAAGAGCACATTATGATGGATGAGACATAAAGTCCATTCCCTTAACTGCACGCTGGTAATAGTATCATCACAGATTTTCATCATGCCTGGTATACGTATATATATAAGGCTTATTCAAATAACGGTTCTACAACGACGATCTTCTCCACAGAAAAGCGAGTCGTCGTTGGTGGTTGCGGTGATTTAAAAGGAAAACGATATATTCTCTCTGATACTATTTGCAAAGTTGATGGAAACCAGATCATCGTCTACAAAACAAGCTCACAGGCTCACGACGACGGGTACAAAATCCCATCTCCCTCACAGCGTCGTATTGATGCTTTTCCTCGTACGTACATCATCTCCTATCCAACCAACTATTTACTACAACTGTCACTGGGTCCCTGCTCAAGACAAATATTGCTTACATCCAGAATTTCGACAGAATAAAATGGTGCAATGATGGCTTGTTTATAAAATGCCCGTTCCTACAAATAATGTTCGCTGTTACATGGAGCTTCTTGGAATATTTCCTCAATAATTGCTGTTGCGATATTAGTTGGAAAAACTTTTTGAAAAATGCTTCAAACAATTCTGGCCGTACATATACAATGCCTGAAGCAAGACTTGTTGTGTAAGATTACTCCAAACTTTGTGTAATAAAACCTTGCATACATAAAAGAGAAACAAGTTTACAAGCTATATATGTATTCTGCAAGGATATAATATAGTCCATAAGCCGAACTTAAGTATAGGTCAACAAAACGATGGGGATATTTAGCCCGAATCGGAAGACATTTCGAGAGCACATTATTTGCGTCAAATACAGACCAACCACATAACTGTACATAACATAATCACTTATATTTATCTACGCCATCATTACTTTCTTGCTCGACACGTCAAACATTTTTGATGTGCATGTACTCGAAATTCGGTGAACAAACGTATCCGGGTCAGGTCATTGTATTGACCTTCTGCTCAATTACCTCCAACACGAGCATCAAGAAGATTGTTCCCATACCCGATGTACGTATATGTATAAATGTGATGGACACAGCCGTTTCACTCCAGAGAAAGTTTGTCCATCCGGCATGCCAGACTACCGAAGCGAAGGGAAACATCTGGAGTTGTCACTTGGAAATAATTTTTACAGAATTCATTATTAAAGTTCCAGTTGAAAAAAACTAGAGAAGAAATACGAATGATTTCATGTGCTTTCTCTTTGTACGGCATTATTATTATACCCCAACGAAATCCAAAAGCTATATTTCAGTACGACGCATAAGTTATACCTATTCACATACATTTATGCGCATATCAGTCTGTCTGTAGTAGTCTCAAACCCAACCAACCTTTTCTCCGAAAGTGACATTGCATTATGGAATAGAAAATGTAATGTAATGACGCGAGAACAAACAAAAGAAGTAAAACTGCTTTCTGGACGAAGGGTATCGTAACTTTTCTTCGTAACATACATGTCCATCATCATCATCATCACGATGAAGGAAAAACTGCGAAGGAATAATATCCGTCGTCGACGACGACGACTAGGTTGGATGGATTAGAATTGTTATTTTGTGAGTAATTTGATTCAATCTAATATCCGCTGCCGACCATTGACAGGTGCTTTCTTTCTTCCTTCAACTACTCTTCCGCCATCCATCATCAGCTTGTTTTGCATAATACACGAATGTCTGATTGAACCTGGATTTTCATTGGTTAAAAGTATGTACGGCCATATAAACAGAAATTTGTGACCTGGTCTGGGTACACATGAAACATAATGCAATATTACACATGGAGGTGGTGGTGAAAGGTGCATGTATACTACTACCGAAATAAGCTTTCTTCTTGGAAGAAGATACCACAAGATAAACTGCCTTTGTCGATATTTATCTCTACAATCGTCTTCAATTATCCGGCCCAAGACAAACAACGTCAAAGTATTTATAGTGACTAACGTGAGATAGATGACAACTTTTCATAATGAATGAATCTACATCATATCCATGCTAAATAAGTAAAGCGACATTTAAAATATTATTTCAAATCAGACACTCATATTAGATACATGAAAGTATATGAATATTTATTGCTTTATTCCTGAAGAATACTCTGGTTTGATGGACATTTATATATAATAAGTGTGTGCCTTTTATCACCTAATCATGTAAAATAGATTACCGGTAATAAATTGTAAAATTGTACAGTGACAGTGACAAAATATCATTGGTAAGAAGACTTATTGTTCGAGTGGTCGTATTTCGGATATATTATGCAGAAATTCCATGTAGAAAATACAATGTCTTACCCTGCCCCTTATTATAGATCGATCCAGTGTATGTGTAAAGTGAAAGTTTCACTTCACATCAACGATTTTCTTGAGTAAATATAAAGGTAAAATACACTTTGTGTTTTTTAGGATAGTAATATATGGTTTTAACACAATTGATATGAATGGATGGTTATAAAAGTTGATTAGACAAACAATTTAATAGCAGCCAGATACAACTAACTGGATTTCTACTTTCTCCTACCTCGAGAACGAGTTCTTTCATACTATTTTCCACGTTGTTGTAAGACTTTGTTGGGAGCAGGGAGATGAAGAGAGAGAGAGAGAGACCACGCTAACCTCATGAAAGTAGGTCGTTAGCTCACATGCGCCAAATTGAGAATCTGACTTGAGAAAATCGTTTCAAAATTGAATTGTAATGTCAGGTTTATCTGTATGTACATTTCTTGCCCACAATTGACAGAAGAACTGACAAGAAATGTTTGTCAAATTACAGAGGGATTTTCATATATATATCTATATATACATATATATCAAGGCCTTACTTATATATAAGTACACATATGTAGACACGCATTAAAGATGACATATATAAATACCATGTAAACTTGTCACGTGTCCAAAAGATGTAATTACAAGTACATGTCAATATTACAACTCAACACGATAAAACGATTAAAACTTGAACGACTTTGCAAATAACGCAGCGGCAGCAGCAGTTTCATCTCCGTTGGATCTTTGGAGTTCTGTAATCACCTTAAAAAATGCAAACAAAAATCCATTTGTACCATGTCGTATTTTTTTGCATAAATATTGATTTATTATGTGGTTTATTACCTGGTCTCTTGGAAATCCCATTTTCATAATTTTTTGTATCTTCGCCTCATCGACTGCTTGGGTAGATATGGAGGAAGGATTAGAAGAGCTTGGGTTGTCTGAACAAAAAATAATACCACCCTCCATGATTTGAATAAAATAAAAAATAAGCAGGTTTTAAGCATATCTAAAACATATGTTATGAAAGCAGCTCAAGATGATTAAACAAGAAAATAATACAGCATCGTGCGAGTGCTTTTATTTAGCACTAGGTTTCATTGGCAAATGAGAGTATGTAATAATTTCTGTATTTCAGGTATAAAATTGCAACAAAAGATCACTAAAATTTGAATACCGACAATTTGTAACATAGTGAGTGCTACTTGTCAGGGTGAATAGGGTATGAAAGGTCTATCGATGTGAGAATAGCAGGAAGAAGGCAGGATCTAACGTCTGAGGTCTCTTAATGTTTTCTGGATTTCTTGGAAGGATGAGGGTGAGGGTGGTCAGAGTGAGCAGGGATAAAAGGTGAAGAAGCTGTAATAGAATTTCATTAAACAATTATTTACTCTTTTTCTGCTCTCGTACACTTTCTTCAATCGCTTTGGCTAGTCCAATTTCCTCACCGCCTAGCTCATCCATTGCTCGTTCGTTTTCCACAGTACCATCAGACTTTGTAAATGACAGCCGCGCAGATTCAGGAAGTTCGTTCTCTGATAAAAATGGGGTCTCTGTAAAAAACAAGAAAAGATTTTTAAAAACATGCTTAGGTGAGGCTGCGACTAAAGGAAACACGTCTGCAAATTACTTTTCTTAAACAAATACGCTTTTTTATATATTTTGTTCATGCAAATCAAGTAGGATTGCTCACTTACTTAGTACATACGTATATATTTCAGTTTTTATTAAAATTACTCAACAGTGTAATAAACAAATCGAACAGACATATCTATAATATCTAATCACACCAAATTACATTCAACTTTCCATCCACCATTTCCAACATCTTATCCTGAACTATCTCGAGAGAACACTGAGTTTTGAACTTAAAAATGCCGAGTAAAATATCCAAATCAAAAACAGTGTTAAAGAAAGGCAAAATTTTAGTCATTGGGTGGATCACAAAACCATCCCGTTCCACACCCATCATTGTCGCAATCATTGTGGCCAAAAAACCTATACACTCGGCGTGTTTTGCTCGTCTCTTCTGTTCCGACCACATGTCTTCTTCCTCATCCTCCTCGTCATTCAAATCTTCATCCTCCTCGTCATTCAAATCTTCATCCTCCTCCTCATTCAAATCTTCATTCTCCTCCTCATCATCATCAAACTCGAATGGGGTCTCTGCTGGCAGTTGATACACGTTGACGATATCCTCGTCTTTCACTCCTCTCATAGTTGTTTTTGTTATTTTGTGACATTTTGAGCCATTGCCCTTAAAAACTTTCTTCTTTGCACATGACAGGCCATCATAATAGCCTCCATTTTTATCCCACCCTTGGTACGTATGGGGTTGGAGTTTCGAGAATTTTTTGCCAGGAGGGAGTAGAGGACACTTTTTGTGGTCAATCGATTCGTCTTTCTCACCAATCCGGAAAGAGACACCGTTCAGATTGAGAATTTTTAGAACCTTGCCCCAATCGGCTTCATGAAAATGAATCAGTCTCGTACAGTAATTAATCTTGTGACTTTCACCGTTCACTTTCATATTGTGAAGTAGCACAAGAATACCCAGGGCGATCTAAACAGACAAAATATTAATATTGGCATAAAAATATATATGTATGTGTTCAAATCAAAACACTAACCGAGTAATTATGATATATTTGAGTAGAATCTACACTCCGCCACGATTTCAGAATAGCGAACTTGTACTCTTCTGTGGACGCTGAATACTTGGTTAGCCACACTTCCCTTTTGTCAACATTCTTGGATTTCAAGTATTTGTTCACCCATTTGTCGGTTAAAGTCAATACTTTGAAGTCCGGATGGAGCATAGCAATAGTGGTGGTTTCGTTCAGTTTGTCCCAAATAAGTAACAACTCTCGTGGCCTGATTAAGTGCTTAACGCACATTGCGTTAACGACGTCCTACATAATAATTATTATAATTAACATAGTTATGGGAGTGATGAATTTTAACTTACAGAGGCAAAGGTCCAACACGAAGAAGTTCTACACTTTTTTTTCAAACCATGCCATTTACTTCTTTTGGCTGCGTTCTGCTCATTAAACCAAATAGTCCCACCCACCCACTTGATGAAGACTTCGTTGTCGTTTATTTTGATTGGTGTAGCATTTTTCCCCTTGGTCTTTAAAGTTGATGTGCCATCAATAGGAAGCGACTTCATGAGTTTCAAAAATTGAGGACTAGAGTCCATCGCGGAGTCCTTTCCGTTGTACTCCAAGTGAGACTTTATGGCGTAGAACACAGCAAGCATCGCTCCTTTAGGTGGTAGCCAATTCTCATCCTCCTGTGAATTATCTGGCGATTCTGTGACAAAAAAACAAATTTCACTCATATTTACATAACGAAAGTGTGAAAAAAGAGATTAAACTAACCGGAAATAATCAACTCGGCTAATTTAATCTTTTCTCCACTAGCCAACTCCACCGCTTTCACCCCGTCGGGGACAACGTACTTGACTATATTCTTTCCATCCTTAAAAATGAGTCGTCTTTTGGGAGGGATGGCCTCTTCAATATCTTCATTATCCAACTGAACACATTTTCATGAAAAAAGTATTAACAATACTTACTTTCAAACATTGTATTTAAAAAAACTCACCTCTACAATTTCAGATGATGATGAAGGAACAACAGAGTTTGAATTCATTGGCTCGAGGGGAGAAAAGAGCGAAGTTAACTTTCTCTGGTTTGACATTGTGTCACTAGTTATTTTTATTAATTAACTATTTCAAATGATTAAATTCTCCGAGAGCAATAACAGGTGATGTGCGCTCTCTAAGACTGAAATGATGACTGATGAGAATGATGATGGGGCGAAATGGGAAAAGATGCGACAGAGTTCAAAGGAGGTCATTACTCACCAGTACCACACGTTCCAAGAACTAGCATGTTTCGTTTGAGATCAATGGTGCACTGTCAAACAAATATAATTAATGTAGTTAATAATAAACTTAACCTAAATTTCATTTTTTCGGCAATATTATTATTTAGCATATATATGTCAAATATACTTGATGTCGTTTGAGCATGTCGAGCCCAAGCAGCATGTCCATCTTCTGATCCGCCAAAATGGAAAAGGAAGATGTCAGGAAAGAGCCTTCTATTTGGATTTGACACATGTGAATGCGCCCAAGAATCCTTTGAGTACCTACACCTGTGGCAATTCCTGAAAATCTAGTATCCACCAGTCTCATAATGTGGCACCGTTCTGCACATGCTGTGGACATAATAGTGGTCTGTGCTCCTGAAATTGTTTCAATACACCAAAAATCATGGCATTCTTAAAAAATTACAAATGGTGAGTAAAGATAGTGATATTGTTACAAACCTGAATCAACGAAAGCCTTAATGGGATGCCCATTAACTTTGCAATCAATATATAACATTACCACAGTTGCAAAACTTTCTGGATTATATTCCATAGCGGCTTCCATATTTGCTTCGATATTCTTTTGTTTAATTTCTTCGGCAATCAGTTTTTGAGCTTCTAGATCAAATGGGTTGGCAGAGAGTAGCCGGAGTCGCTGCTCCTCTCGTTGCTTCCTTTGTCGTTGAAGCTCTTTGATCATATTGGAAAATTTTTCTACAATCAAAGTATTTCATCACATTGAGTATATCATATTTACTTTTCATCATATTGGAACATAGTGCCAAAATAAAATAATTATTCATAACTATATAGTCAATATGTAACTATACCAAAGTCTCCACTAAGTAATGCGTCTGCCAACGCTGGATTATTTTGTTTAACGATAGCCAATTGTTCAGGATCATTTAACAAGGTGTCCCTAATATAGGCTGGGCTTGATTCGTCCCTGGGTGCTGCTCCTCCTCCAGAAAATCCTGATGCACCCGCTCCGCCACGCCCTGGCACCTGAATTCCACTAAAAATTAAATTAAGCAAAATAAAATATAAATTCATATTCTAAGATTTATATCAAATTATTATTTTAACATCTAAACACCTAAAGTCGAATCGAGGCAATTGTGATTGTGAGTTCTGTTGCGGCAATGAAAATCCAAATCCAGGAGTTGACCCCGAGCCCAAAGTACTTGCGGAATTTTGTTGTCGATGATGCTGAAGAACTACCATGTCCCCGTCTTTTATTCCATATTCCTGAGAAAGAAAACGATCAACATACAAATCAAGACAACTTCAAATTCTTTGTATCATATAATATGACATTTACTTTTAGAGTTTTAGCTCCATCGGTTAGAGGAACTCCATTAAATACGATAAGTATTTCAAGCGAAGGAATTCCGGACTCAACTTCACAAAATGCTTGAAAGTTTTCCAACTCCAAATCCTCGTTCACCTCCAGTGTGAATATATTATCATCCAAGCTCGTCACAGTCACCTTCATTTTGTTGACGAGTATTTTTTTTTCTGGAAAAATTATACAAACCTGTACACGTTCAATAAATTAATAATGGTACAATGCGGGCTATGATAACTCTTCTATGATAACTCTCCTCTTACCAGTGTTTAATGAAAGAATGCTGCTCGAGGTAGAGACGACTAACTCACTGCCAACTGTGAACTACAAATAAATAAAGAATGGTGAAACTTCTCGATTTATATATTAGGAAAGTGTTTTGTTAGTGGACCTCACCTCACACACACGAAAGGTTTTGTCCGCTCGTCCTATGAACGTTCTGGGAGAGAATGACACTGCAAATTTGAAGAAAATGTCGACAATGGGCAAATATAGTCGACCCAATATGACGAAACTTCTATGCTGACGACGGGGGCAGAAGCGGAATTATTGTTGTTATTTTGTCGATTCAGTTACTGCTGATGACTTTTGCCACTCAAACCCCACGATGGCTGGTCTGACGAGACGAGACGAGATGTGTGTCGTCTCAACTTTCTCCACACTTTCAGCAAGATCTGCTGGGTTCGGAAATTTGGATGCATTTTCGGATTGTTGTCAACCACGATTGCTTGACTTTTAGTGCCTAGTTACCCTTAACGGTTACGACAAATGGTCGAGTTACAAATAAAATAATTATTTTTAAAATAGTTGGTGTAAAAGTCCCTTACAAATACACCAACTACTTTGACCTTTAATAACTTTTGAACGGGCAGACATAGAGACTTAATTCTTAAAGATGAAATCATCGTAATTTTTAGCTTGATTTTTTAAGCTAAAAATTTCGAGGGTACTATTTCGAAGATTGAACTTGAAATCTCCAGTGTGCAGCCCGAGTCAAGCTCGCTGTTATCGGTCAAACCGACCATTTTGCATAGAATTTTATTGTACCAAATACATTTTACTAATGCACTTTACGCCTGTTTTTTGTCAAATAAACAATGCGTATTATGCATTGGTGAAAATTTTAACTAAATATAGGTTTTTAGCCTGAATCAGGGCTTATGTACCCGTTATGTCCGTCTGTCCGTCTTGCGATAACTGTCGTAAAACTAATCGTAGCAATATAAATTAAAATAGGAAAAATTTTCCGAGTTTATTAAGTTCGTGTTTTGTAATGGTTTATATACCAAAAATAAATCACAAAATTATATGCACATCGTTCATTACGAGTCCTGCTCTCAGAATAATGCCATCTTACAAGGCTCTGCAAAATTGTTGCCTTTTTAGCCTAAGTCAGTTCTTATGGAACCATCATGTCCTTCCGGAACACGATAGCCAAAATGGCTGAACCGATTTAGCTGAAATTTTCAGAACGGGTGAGACCGTAGGGCTTGATCCATACAGATTTTTCAAAAATATGTCACTCCACAAGTTTAAATGCATTTGGTACATTACAATTTCATGGAAAATGGTTGGTTTGACCGACAACCACAGAGTCTGACTCGGGCTCACTGGAGATTTCAAGTTTAATTTTCGAAATAGTACTCTCGAGATTTTTAGCTTAAAAAATCAATCAAAAAATTACGATGATTTCATCCTCAAGAATTAAGTCTCTATGTCTGCCGATTCAAAAGTTATTAAGGGTCAAAGTAGTTGGAGACTCAAACGCCCTTTTTGAACCAACGATTTTAAAATGAATTTTTAATTTGTAACTCGACCATTTGTCGCAACCGTTAAGGGAGACTAACGTTACCTAGATACTTAAAGTCAAGCAATCGTGGTTGTCAACGTCATTAGCATATTATCGTTGTGGTGATCATCGTTTAAGAACAGTTCAATTAAAAGTTGTACTAAATTTTAAGTTCAGATCAGAATCCTCCGTCGGAACACTTGATCACCATACCCCGGACAAATATTTTTTTATCCTACCCTACTCGTGTTGAGCTCAACATGAGTAGGGTAGGATAAAAAAATATTTGTCCGGGGTATGTTGATCACAACTTCGCCCCAGCTTTGCATAAGATGGGTTGCTTGCATGTAAAATTTTTGACGCTGGTTCATTAAGTGGAAAATTATTCAAGATGAATAAGATATCCACACCCGTCTCATGTAATCCTGGTTTTATTTACTTTATTTATTCAATGAATGAAAATGAATTCCGAATTCTGGTTCACATTGGGTTGGATTTATTTCAGGATTTTTCAAATAAATCAGTATCAATAATTAATTATCATGAGTTGAACATGCTCTCTATACGTATCTATATATAAATTATATGTATAAATACAAGCTTTAAGATTTATTTTAACTAAACGAACCAATGAAAACTACTTGTAACATCTAATACTGGGTTAATTTCTATTTTTTTTGCATTGTAAACTTATGGTTATAATAACAATAATATGAGCTGCCTGCCGATGCGATGTAAATTATACAATGATGATAACCAAATTACAGTATATATATATGGTCATGTATTGTGGGTACGTTGTATAAAGTATTTGTTGACATTTTTTTTTATTTACTCGCGAGACTAATAATTTTGTCTAAAGTATGGCGCATTTGACAGAGCTTCGCAGAAACTGAATCACTCCAGAAAAAACTGGTCGTCAAGAAATAATGGAGAAACTTAAATACTCCAATTTATAATACCGAAACAATTGAAACTCTCGGATGTAAAACAGCCTTCGCGACAATTTTTTTATAAAATTAAACCTAGTTACATTTAAATACCGTTTTTGAAAAATAATTTCATTTCATTTTTAGCCCGAGTCAGGGCTTATGGAACCGTCATGTCTGTCTGTCTGTCCGGCACGATAGAGCCAAATCGGCTGAACCGATTGACTTGAAATTTTTACCATATGCATAATGGGCAAAGTTAGGAAACGAATTCGAATATGGGCGAAATCGGTCAAGTGGTTGACCAGTGGGGGTCAAAATTTTTATCTGGAGCGACCCATAGCGATTTTTAGAAATTGTTTAAAAAGATGAAATCCGGCACAATGATACTTAATGGCTTCTCATTAAAGAATATGAAGATAAAAGTGAGCAAAGTGCAACCAGAGTGATTCATACTGATTTTTCAAAATAAGCCTGACTCGGGCTAAAATTGATATTAAATTATTTTTAATTATTTTTACAAAACGGTATTTAAATGTAACTAGGTTGATTTTTTTTAATTATCGCGAAGGCTGTTTTACATCCGAGCGTTTCAATTACTGTAATAAATTAGAAAGACCGAACTGAAAATTGTCATCATGTTCAACTCGGAGGAGGAATACATAATTTATTAGTATTATAGGTGTTGCTTAGTGTAGGTTGGGTATATGTATGTAGGTCATTATCATCTACTTATCTAACCCAAGGGTAGGAAGGGATATATTAAATACGTGGCTAACTACTCTCTAATATTACTATTACATTAAGGTTATGGCTGCTTATGGAGTAGGTGATCGCTGAGAAGCTTTTGTTAAGGTCCGCTGAAGGAAGGTCTGGCGCAATTATTACGATATTACGATAATAATGAAGGTACTCTGTATTACGCTATGCGCAATATTGTAGGCTTCCGAGTGAATTAGGATGTCCAGCATAGGCCATTGGTCCAAATATGATGGGTAGAAGTCGTCGTAATTTAATTGTGGTATGTAGAAGTAAGGAGGAGAGCTGTACCATCATAAGGTTGCTGGTGAGTAATGATTAAATAAAGAACGTTTAAAAGTATGCATTTCCAAGAGGGGATGGGCGAGGAGATTCTTCTCTGTGTGGGGGAATTTTGGAATTGGTTGATGTCTTCAGCATAGCCTGGGTTTGTTGTTGGTTAGCCTAAAATCATGAAGGTGGTCTATAAATTAGGCACAATGATTGGCAAGCAATGGATAAAGGTACAGTTACCTGTATGTTTCTTTTGTAACAATAACTCGAGGAGTACCGGCCGTATAATTGCACTCATACTCGATACAGTGTAGTGAGCTGCCGAATGATGATCGGTGTGTATCCTGAGATTTGTAGAACTTGACTTGTAGGGAAACTATTAAAGTACCCCCATTATTGAGCTGCAAACATACAAAAATAAACTGATGACCTTTAGCTTTAACTTAAAACATCAGAGAACTAGAAAATAACAGCCTCCAATCAATCAAATATTTTATATCATTCAAATTAAAAAGCACTATCGCAATACCCTGTCATCAAACCAAAAATTAAGTACTGGGAGCGTAGATCAAAGATAGCAGCGACAATTACTAGTAATAGTAGGGATCTGCAAGTGGAAGATGGCATGACACATGCATGTTATCTCAGGCAGGAGTCAAGGCAAAGAAAAAATAAAACACAAGAAAAAGATTACTGCACGTATGTACATACTTGTTGTACACTGAGTGAAATGAAGAATAAGAGTCAATACACATAGCAGACCTATTAAGCTGCAAATAGCGTGCCAAGAGAAAGCAGTTCGATTTTCTCCACTGCTGCCAAAATAAAAGCAATGTCAATGCGGTTGGTTGTCGCGATGAAACCTTGTCAATTGCGTGGCAAAACAAAGACGAGAAATGGCAAATGAAGAATACATGTAAGACCGTAATCATACTTTTTTATAACTTTTAGAAATATCACAAGCGAAACAAAATAAGGCATAAAACCGAACATGCAAAAAATGAGGTCTCAGACATATATGATGGCAGATAACTGTACAATAGTAAAAGAGATAAGTTGTATTTACGTATACCCAACACATCCAATCAGAACAAACATGATTGTTACTTTAGGAAGGAGAAATTTTCATGATGGGGGAGGGGAGAGTGCATGCCATCGCAATAAAGCATAAAGGGCTAAAAGAAAAGACTTACAGACATTATCAAGGGCACATCATGCCTCAACCCATTTTTAGACGCCGGTACACCATGAGTTGGATACGACGCAGTGTAAGCTGACGCGACAGAATCCCGAGATTTTTCCACACATTGTACCTCCTGATTTTGCACTTGTAAATTACTATATAAAACATAAAACCAAGAACAAAAGTTAAATTTCTCTTATACAATGATCACGAAATATTAATAACTATAATAAACCCACCAAGACTAAAGCCACCCACCACCAAACATAACCACACAAATAACAAAACAAAGTGATGAACACGATGATAACTCTACCAATACGTTTATACGTATTGGTAGAGTTGTCAAAGTCACCGTGATGATTATATGCACGTCGAAGAAGGTCACCTGGGCACTTTCACTTACCGTTTTAAATAGGAAGCCAAATATTATTATCGGTATTATCTTTTGTTTTGTGACGAGGAAAGGACCAAAGTTTCTCAATTCATCAATGGAGTTGAACATATTTATAAAGAATGGAAGAATTAAAAAAATATTGTTTGAAGAAATTGTATGCACCACAGTTTCAGAATTGGAGTTCACAGGGAGAACAACGAGAAGAACTTGAGTATATTTGCGGAAGACCCACCAACACAACCACCCTCACGGATGGACATGTATATATGTTCACCAAATCACACTAAAATTACACTTGTTAAACTTTCATCATATTTTATATACCAACTACTTAATATACGAACTTGTTTACATGTTATTCATTTACTCATCTCATTTATGGACGATTGAAAATTTACAAAAGTGAACATGAAACTAATAATATTCTAAACAGACACATATATGGATTTGAAACACACACATGTAGTAGTAGGTAGCAGCTAAATTAGCAAAAACGACATAGTTCTTAAGACATGTACAAACTCATGTTAATTTAATTATGTGTAGATATATATATACATCACCTTAACAGTTAGTCGTAATAGTCGTACGATACGATATTATAATGTTATGTTTATAGATCTTATTGTTTAGTCTATTATTCATTTATATTAGTCTAAAAGTCCGTCAGCTCATTTTTCCCATTTTTTCTTTCGCCATTCTTCACCAATAATAATCAGTCTAATTAGCACAACATCACTGCGCTTGAAACTGAGCTTGCATCATAGCATAGGCTGCTGCCGTTGCAGCATCAGCTCCTCCACCTTGACCTCCTTGATGTTGTCCTCCAGCCCCACCCGCTCCAGGAATTCCCTGTCCCCAGGCAGAACCCATCCCTTGAACGCCTTGCAGGCCAGCCATATATCCTGCTGCCGCTTGTTGCTGGCCGTAGGTTCCATTCCCATAAGCTGCGTAGCTTTGAACTCCCTGCATAAATTGATTCTGCATCTGTTGTGCAGCAGCAGCAGCAGCTGGGTATCCACCATACCACTGACCCAGCATTTGTTGACCGTAGGCGGCCGCGACATAGTTGGGTTGGTTTCCCCCTCCTCCTCCACCGCCACCACCTCCACCCACTCCTCCTCCTCCACCATACTGATTACCCCCTCCAGATTGATTCTGTCCACCTCCTCCTGCTGAATCTCCCGATTCCTTTCCCCACGAGCATTTCACTGTTTGTCCATTAATCTCTGTATTATGTACAGCAACTATCGCTATAAGTTGAAGAAAAAAAATACACGTTAGCTTCATAAACTGTGATGAATACACAGTTCACTATATTCACATGTATTTTAAATAAGTTATTAAGTTTCTTACCGTTCGTGGCAGCCTCTTTGTTCGCAAATCTGATGAAAGCAAATCCTTTATCCTTGAAGACCCGGATTTCGTAAAGTTGTCCAAATGGTGAAAAAGTTCGCTGCATCAACTCTTCAGATATTCCATTACTAAGTCCGCCACAGTACACTGTACAATTTGTTACAGAACTCTGGTTATATACATCATCAAAATTGAGATGTTTAGAGTTGCCACCGCCGCCGCCGCCTTGCCCATCATTTCCACTGCGGGGTGGTGGAACTGAAAGTATACATTAAATTAAAATTCAATGAAAATAATAATTTTGAAGTTGTTCAGATAAAGTATTAACTATTTTTCGAAAGTCAAAGGAACTTTTATCTGCATTGGATTATTTGTCTCAAATATTTATACCTTTCCTAGTTGCCCAATTTGTGCGGATACTTCTATTACCAAGCCATTGTCCATTCATTGCTATTCAGACAATAATTGGTTAAATTTGGACTCGAAGTATATAATTAGTTAAGAAATAAGCCTTGACTAAAACTAACCAGCTATTGCTTGTTCGGCGTCCGATTTCTTGACAAAAGAGACAAACCCAAATCCTTTTGATTTTAGCGTTTGTGGATCCCTTACCACCCTAAATAAAAATACAATGATATGCTTAAATTTTTCAATGTGTTAGATTAGTAACTGTTTTTTTTAATTTCTACTCACCGACAGTCAGATATTTCTCCAAAAGGTGAGAATGCATCGCGCAGCGCTTGAGTTTCAATTTCTAAATATCAAACGGGGACAACTTTAAATTCACATGTATTATGCTTAATTTATATACAAGTTGTGTAAGTAGTATTAAGACTAAAATTAAGTAGTAGTTGCATTTTGCAGACCTCAACGATATGCCAACACCAATTTAAATATATACTATAACGACTTGGTGCTTACCTTGACTTAAATCCCCCACGAAGATATGATAGTGTTTGCTCGTGTCGGGTTTGCTCTGAGTATTTGGGGATGTTGCCCAGTTGACCTGTTAATTAATCAATAACATAATACGTGCATAAATAATACAGTGAGGGAAAAAACAAATTTTGCTTGACAAGGCATGCATTGTAAACATAACCGATTAACTTTGCATGTCAGAGATAAAAATAATCTTTACCTTCATCTCCTTGCCGAAACAATTCCTTTTGTTCATTGCTAAATTCAAATTTTAAAACTGTAAAAATACTCATGAATGTAAAAATTACTTTTAAATCAACTTTATTTAAAATTATAAAATTTAAATCTATTAATATCATTAAATGATAGCGACTCGTGCGTTACATATAGGTCCATAAATACGTAACGCACGAGTCGCTATCATTCTATGCTATATTTAACATGGTAAGATAGGCGTAACGCGTTACATAATTAATGGACAGAACCTAATTGTTGTTAAGTTAATTGTAATTTAAAAAATACTAAACAATTGTCAACTGCATATTCCTGATGGGGATAAGGTAGCCTGTTCCCCTCGTTCGTTCTCCACATGCGATGTACCCAAACAACACGAAAATTCAGTCGATGCACATAAGGAAAAAATAAAACTTAGGTGGGGCATAAATGGCCTAGCCCAAAATCGGGTGATTGCATGAATGATGATGAGAAATAGAGAAATGCGTAATAAAAATTAACATTTAATTCATCGTTTATATTTATTTATAAAGTGTGATTTGAAACCAAAAATGTAATGGATTAAATTCCTAGGTAAACCCCTATTCCAGCACAGAACCAGGGATTGAAACAGAAACATTACCGATTTGTACAGGATTAAAAATGAAGTGCGATCCAAAAGCGTTGCCATAACGATCGTAGTCCGTGCGAATCAATTTTTCTGTTTTCACAGAAAAAGGACCACACACCCCAGCGATTTGTATAAGAACAGTCCTCACACAAGTGGGGACTAATATTTTCCGATGGCGAACAGTTCGGCTGGATTCCTGAAATTGACTACTGTTTGACCAATTGTAGGCAGTACATGAGGTTTGAGAGAAGTGGCTAGCAAATTTTTGAAAAATTCGCCAGGTCATTTGTACGGAAACAAACTTTTGTAAGTTGAGAGGGGGCACTTGTGAACCCACACCACCTCCAAGTGTGCTGCTCTTGGACACATCCACTCCGACCTCGACTGATGCTCCGGATGCATAAGTGTTGCTGAATGATGAACCCTTCGTATTGCTGCTTGTGTGAATTGCCGATACTTCATGAGTATAATCCTCTTCCTGGTCCTTGTAGCCTGTTGTGTTATCAGAATTTACGAGTGTAACTGTTCGCTCCTCAGGTTCGCAGCTATTAAGGATGTCCAAATCTCTATGAATACGAAACACTACGCTTTAATTTGGAGCATCGAGCATAACAAGAAGTCGAAAGGATCATGAAACAAAAGTATTAAATATTGTCAATAATATTCACCTTTCTTCTGAAAAGTCATATGGGAATGACGGACCCCCAATAGAAGAAAATGATGGAGGGAAGCACAAATTAAATGAGCAGTTTTCATCAATAATATAGGCTTCGCCAGTGCAGTTTGTAGTTTTGAACAAATAAAGTCTAGTCCAAACTGTTATAATTGCAAAAGATTAACACAAATAGGACACAAATTCTAATTAATTAATTAAATTAATTTACCTCTCAAACCAACTCCACGCTTTCCACCCTCAAATGAATTAACATCCGAGACATTTATACAGTCGGACTTGGAATACGCGTAAAAGAGGTAAAGTTTAGCGTTTTTGTCAGGTTTAGAAATAGGAGTGACACGGGAGGAAATTGGAATGTCAGTAAGATTTATGGCACTTAATATGATGAAATGTGGAGTATTTTCCTGGGAACGTAAACAAGCATATGAAACGAAAACACTCGATAAGAGCACGAGAATTTTAAGTTTCAGCATGCCAAAAGAAGTGATATTTAAAATGTTAATGATAATTGCTAAAATATGGGAAGACTGAATGTGTACGACTCATGTGGACGACTGAGAGAAAAAAGGGTGCAACTACCCTTTGAAAGCAAGCCCTTGAAAACCTAACATGTAAATCCCAACCTCGGTCTATTTTTAAGTCCATGTCCATGAGGTGCTGCCATTTCTTGGAGGACTCCAAAAATATAGCACAAAGGGTCAAATTCTAACGAGTTCATTTCCCTCGTTTTATCGTTTTCCCTTCACCTACTGGATATGTGAGACTTGTTAACAGAATCCCAATCGATTGGGCTTGGGATTCTAGATTCTATAAATAAGTCTGACCACCTCATACATCCAGTAAGTGAAGGGAAAACGAGGGAAAAGAACTCATTAGAATTTGACCCTTTGTGCTAAAATCTAAAATAACTTGAAGCAGAAAAGAAGAATGAGAACGTAGGAAATAATGAAGCATTACTTTAGTTTCTCATCAACACAACTGCAAGACACTCTAATTCACAAGTCGCCATATACCTCACTTCTTCAAGATTTATTTTTAAATATATATGTACGAAGTTACCAAGGAGTGCGTGAATTGCCTCAATGAGGCAATTTTTTCCATAAATTCACAAATTTCATCATCTACAAAATTCAATTCGTAGTGAAGTATTTTAAAGAATAGATCCGAAGAAACGACCCAGGTTACCTGTGGAAATAGTAAGTCCTCAAACTCCATTATATTTATATATATTAAATGAGTTTAAATTTTAATAAGAAAAACTGCGCAACTTCGTTAGGTTTGTAACTCTGCGCTTTGAGCTCACTTTGTTAGTATTTTTCAATAAAACCGGGTTTCAGTAAAATATGTGCAACAATGTCGGTTCTAAAACAATGCAAACACAAGTCACCCAAATTATTTTACGACCTAAAAATATAAAACTAACCAGCGCACTTTTCATTATATAGACTTAAGCCAACGATATATCGAATGTAGTATTTTGTAGGGAATTAATTTCCACAGAATATAAATAATAATTCCATATTTTACACAGGGTGTACGGAGGAATCTGGAAAGGTGATTCTCTTTAAAGACATCTCTTTGCGTCGAGCCATGATTTTCTGGATTTTGTTCTCCAAATATTTCGTTTCCGCCGTTCCATTGGGGGATGAATTAGTTCCTTTACCTCCCCTTCCCACACTCGCAGGACCGTTTCCTGTCACTGATAGATCTCAAGTTCAACAGTTAGGAGGGTTAATAATTCCCTTCCCTACACTCTCTGGACCATTTCCTGCAGCTGGTGGATCTCAATCATTTAAAGGTTCACTGATCCCTCTCCCTACACTATCTGAGTCATCCCTTGTAGCTGGTGGATCTCAAGACCAACTCCCAAATACTGATCAGCAAAGGTAAAAATTAAGAAATATCGAACTAACTACCAAAGTACTAATGAGACACTAGAACTACATAAAGATTGAAGCAATGTGATTTTTTAAATAATTCTAGGACTGTTCTTCAACCACAAGAATATAATACTTTTCCTGACCCATATCAACAGCCGAATGAGAACGAACAAAAGGAGTGGACATCTCAAGATATTTCATTACGGAAACTTGGCGGGACCACAAATTATGACTCCATCCAGTCTAAATTAAGCAGCAAAGACACAAACAAATTTTTTGAAAATACCTTGGGACGGTATATTGTTGAGGGCGAGCGAATTGTTTTCTCTGTCGATAAGAGAAAAGAACTGGAATGCGTTCGCGGTACTCCAAAGGGCCCATTGTGGAAATTTACCGATAGTACTATGGACCAAGAGGAATCAGGGCAATAGTTGATGCTTATAGAAGGTATTACTTAAGGTCATTATTTAATTCAAAAATATAACTCAAATTTGTTGAAGACATGATAATTATACAGAATTGCATGAAAAAGATCGTGGGATAGACAAACCAAATCACACCTTACTCGCAGAATCAATACAAAAATTACAAAATGTATCGCAGAAAAGTGTCGCCTCGCAACGGCGTCACAAATATAATGTTACAACCTAGACTATACGTCTAAGTATGTCATTTATGTAAAATATTTGGCCACGGGTCTCCTGTTCACTGTTAGATACAGATATTTTGCCACTGGTTTCCCCATCACAGATGGTTTAACACCAAACCGGTCTTTATAGAACATAAGTTGAAAATAAATTGACTAATTGATTTAATCCAGAACCGGGAACTACGTTACCAAAGAAGAGGCAATAGAGTGGATCCGGAGGATTGACGTTTTTGGACAAGACACACCTCTGAGGGCTCCAGAATATTTAGGAACCACCTACAGCACTTCACTTTCTACAGTTACAACCGAGTCACACTACTTGGCTTGCCTCCAGCGTACAGTCTTTGTTGGAGAAGAAATCCTTATTTCGATTGTTCGAGGGTTTACCATAATTTTCGCAGGTTTAAAAAATGGTGTGCCGCGATTTACAAGAAAGAAAGCCTCGAAAAAGACAAACACCTTGCAAACATGGGTGACAACTGCGGAGGGTGATAAATTCTTCTAGTAAGTAATACATGTTCAAATTTATATAGGCGCCCTTGTTAGAGTTTTATTTTCTTACAGCGTTACTAATGCTGAGAATGTCTACTGGCTTGACCGGCTTTCAGTTGCACCAGAAGAGCGGTACCAGATAAATAATATTAATTGGTGGCAATATGCAATTAAGTTGTTTTTAATATCATAGAGACGGGGTTCTTTACTTCCAACACCCACTATTAGAAGAAGATAAATACGCACCCATTGGAGCTTGGCGGAGGGTTTTTGGGTGGGATCTAATCTTTGTTGGACCCTCTCCAATTCAAACGTCCAGATTAATGTGGCGATCTGCTAAAAGTTCTACTACCCGTAGTTTGGCCGCTTGGAAAACGATACAGATTACTCAAGATGCAGAATTTTTAAACCGCAACAATAGGGATCGTCAAACATTGATCCCAGATGAAAAGTGAGTGCTTTCAAAAATTATATTTCCGTCAGGTTTAATCCACATTGTCAGATCGGAGCGTAAATTTAATATAGTTAAAAATAATGTATATTTCAAGTGGACGATATTTTGAAGAAAACCCGCTTATAAATGCTTGGATGTCTATCGGAGAAACAAAGATTATCAGTCTCCATGGAAAGGATGTCGGTTTAACATTTGTCAAAATATCCCCTAACCGGGAGCACATGATATATTCCAACTCCAGGTATCCTAATGCCAACCCTATGCAAATTCGAACATGGGAAACTGAAATGTTCGTGACGGGTGGCCATAATCCCCTAAACTATTGGAAAAATTACCCGGTGTTAGACACATTGTAAGTAATGATTAAGGCTGTCATTCAATACCTGAAATAATTTCCGTTCATGTTTACAGTAATGCACCGGAATGGATGGTAAAGTTTTTCACTCCTGAAGCTTTTGCCAGATTATCTCGAGGAGCTATTCCTAATATACACAACAAAAAGGATGGTGGAGGACACAATTACATGTACCGGCGTCATCCCAAGACATGGACTGACGAAAGCAAAGCAAAGCAATTGATATGAATCATGTCAAAATTGGTGAAACATCCCGTCGTTTTGTAACTAGAGTTGAAGAGACGGCCAAACATAACAACGAACATTACGAAATCCTGTTTGAGATAGTCACCCCACTCAGGTTAGTATGTATATATATACATAATTATTTATATTGGAGTGAATAACTCAAGCTATGCTTCCGTAGACTTATGCTAGAGTCTGTGACGCACCTACAACTTTTCCCAAATAGGAGGCCAATTGATGGAATTCAAGGGGGAAGTGAATATTTTTATATCGAGGTGATGGATGCTAAACGTGTAATGGAAACCGTTAATGAAGCTATTATCGAGTTAATAGCAGGAGGACAAATATCTATTCCAACATGATAATAACGTTAAAATAATTCAGCACCCTAATAACTCATTAAGTTTTGGTTGTCAAATTATGTGTGTATCAACGTTATTTAAGTGAGGTTTAATGTGTTAAATGCTTGATACTGGATTGGAAGGATTTTTTACATAATGTTGACATCGTCAAATAACAATAGAACTGAGTCGAAATGAAATATCTTTGTGTTCATTTGATTACTCATGTCGTTATTTAGGTAATTCATAATAGGCAGTTTGCAAACCTACGTTACGTAAAATTTCCGTACCTCTCCCAATTTCTTAATCATGGTCAAAATTTTCGGAGATAACATGAGAAACTTTCAGAAGGGAGCCAGGAATAATTCACTATCGTGTCCCAAAATTTTTACCAAAATATTCCATTTCAATTTTGTTAGTTTTGCAATTAGGTGATTTTTTAGGTGATTCAACTTTTTGCCCCACCTAAGGTCCGTTTATAGTTCACGATTACTCTTAGCGATCGCTAAGAGAATTGACAAATAACGGGTTTATGGTCTCGACGCGTAACCATCATGTCACCTTAACGATCGCCAAGAAATTCGCCACCTAATCGCTTTCTGGATTTATGCTTCATTTTCACGTGATTTTCACGACCGCTTCATGATCGCTACGGAAGTTGAACTCGGTTCTACTTTTGGACGCGTGAAGCATAGAGGAAGGCTTAAGAAAAGTTTAAAAATCAATCACTATGACAACGAAAATGACTTTTGCAGTGCAATTTTTCTCAGGTGAGGCTAGTAACCATAGGACATTTGAAAAAATGTACATGGTAACGGCGAAGCCTTAGTATGCATTCAAGGACCCCTTCTGGATATGCGCACGAAGATAGCGACCGAACGGTTTGTTGTATCAAAAAAAATCTTGAAACAAATATTTCGGGGAATCGTAATGCGGAGTGTCTTTTCAACTGCTACGCTCATAAACTTGCATTCTACTCCATTTTAAATCGTTGTTAAATTTTAAAACGGGCGTTTGATCAACTTTTGTCAGCTAAATGTAGTGATTACAATTGAGATTATTGTGTGGCATATAATAGAGCACCCATCAAAAGCAACCGCAAAGAAATCGGATGAAAACTCAGGAACTTTTTCCTATGCATTCTATGACAACTTTTGCAACATTTACGCAAATTGCCAAAATTGGCACAGATTGCCAAATTTGGCGCACATTATCAAAATTTCATGATTGTCATAAATATAATATAATAAATAACTGATTAAAAACCTATAAATAAAACTAACTTTAAAAAAAACATTCTCAGGTGAGGTGATTAAAAACTTATAAACAAGCGTTTATTATTCTCGAAATATATAACATCACCATCATCATTAACAATTACAAATTCCGAACCTGCGGCTTTATGTGATACTTTGGTATAGTGTTAAATATTTGAGGAAAGCTTATAAGAAGGTCAAAGGCTGGTCCCAGAATTAGTGAAGGACAAGAACAAAAAGTTTTGCTGCACAAGGATAATATCCTTCTGTATGTATATTTTACAGAATGCCTGAAATTGAGTAAAATGGTAGCATTCTTAAAAGCCGCAGGTTCGGAATTTGTGATCGTTAATGATGATGGTGGTGTTACATATTTCCAGAACAATAAACTTGTTTATTAGTTTTTAATCACCTCACCTGAGAATGTTTTTTTTTAAAGTTAGTTTTATTCAATTCTTTAATTTACGGGTTTATACTTTCCTCTCAACCACAGATAGCGGAAACTAATGCGATCGTGAAAAGTAAAAATTTGAGAAAAGCATAAACCTGGCGCATGAATGTCGAAGAACGCTATGGGGACGTAATAATATCGTGAACATTAAGTATAAACACTACTTTAGGAAGGGCTTATATGCTAGTTTGTCTATAACAGGAATATGCAGTCGAATGATAATAATAATCAAAATTGCATTTAGCAAATGGTTAAAACTACATTTAAGTTGATTATTATCATAATTAATTGTGGCTAATTTTTAAAATTCTAACACAATTTTTAGCAATAAAACAACCTCAAATAATATGCATTTGACCAAAATCTTTGAAACTTACCGGAGAGGGCGGCAGATGCGGCGTGGTGTTCGAAAAATTCGACAAAAGCGTATTTGTCTGTGTTGGGTTCATGAATTATTTTACAACCTGCCACTGGTCCAATTTGTGAGAATAGTAGGAACAAAAAGTCTTCGGTCGTTTGAGAGTCGAGATTGCCCACGTACAAGGTTCGTGGTTGTGTTTCTTCACCCGTCTCCATCATTATTTTATTATTATTTGAAATTCTAGTTCTCAATCACACTTCGAGACACAAAGGCACTTCTCTACACCTGACCAAATCACGATTACGAAAAATTATGAGAATAATTAATTTCTAACTTTCAAAATGTCAATTATCTTTGCAGAGCAGGCATTAAAACTTGAACCAAGCAGCAGCCGGATGGGACTCACAAAACTTGGTTTGAACCCCCACGCCCAGCCAGACAACGGGGCAACCTGATCCAACTTTCACCCCAACGCAATCCATCAGCCCACACATATTTACTATTTACTACCAAACACTTTCTCTCCTCCATTTTCTCATGCACCGTGATTTTGGACACTTCATTTTAACTCTTTTTTTTATTTATTCTTCATCTCGTTCTCACTTTTGGGAAAAAATTATAATGCATTTTTTGGTGAACAAGAGTGATGAGTGTGGCAGTCAAATAAATCAAATTCCTCATCCGCGTGCTCTCTTTGCCTGTTAAATATTCATTTCAACTCCGTCTCATCAGGTATATGTAGTTCGGCTCAAGCTCAAACTTTGAAATATGCACGACTAGAAATCCAGCCAGACTTATTACTTGCAGAGAGGAGGAGCAGGAGGTGTGTGTTGATAATGCTTATTTTATGACACCAATCAGTGAAAGTTGGATGGAAATTTTCATATGTATAAGTATATCCAAGCAGTGGTGTGAGCTGGTTCATCAATTTGTGACTGCCTCGCACTGTAACTTCTTAAGAGGGAGAATTATGCTTCATTCTGAACATGACCCAAGACCATGGTCTTGCTTATTTAGCTTAAGAGTAAGACCGGAAGAAGAGGAACAATTGAATTGCTAGAATTGTGATAATCAGAAACTGCTGCTTTTGCATTCGTATGAGTATGCCAACTTACCTGTTCTTATAAATAATGCATTCTTAATTTAACATAGTAAGTTGAGCATATGCATACACATTGCTTTGGATAAAAAGGTTCACTTAAAAATGTGGATTTTGATGGAGCACGTCGGTGCTGGAGTTGCTTAAATCGAGCTGCGCCAATCTACTTACAAACTTGGAATGTTGCCCATCAAGCTCTATGAAGGGAACAAGAAGACTAATAATACGAGGAGGAAAAGTAATTGAAAGTTGGACATAATGGAAATGAGAGGGATGGTAGACGTACATATGCGTGCATAAAAGTTTGATATGCAGCCAAATTGATGTACGAGCGACTTCAATGAATGTAAGTAACCACCTCTATCGTATTTATGCAGTAGAGTACGTAGACTGCTGCTGAAGCTCCATTTTCTTGGATGGAAAGAATCCTGCATGGAGAAAGCAAGAAGGGAGATGAGATGACCTTATGTGTGCAGTAATTATGCGACCGTACATCCGCGTATCAGCACAATATTAGTGCATATGTACTACAATAAACATGTTTGTAAACTTGTGTTTTAAAATTTTTTTCTTGCTGCTTAAGAATTTTCACAGAGGTATCCCCAATCTCATCGATAAGGTTTCGGCAGTGTCAGATTTTCTATGGGCCTGCAGCATTTTTCGCACTATTGTGATATGATGACGCTGACGGTGGTTCTAAATAATCCAGCATGCCGTCCTCAACTGGGAAAGGAGGAAAGTTGTATTTTATATATCTCAAGATTTGGCCTACAGGATCTGTAGTGCAGAGTTGGGAAGAGTGGGTAAAGAGATGGACTCTCGACAATGACTTTATACGGACGCAACTGGAGTCCTAATCTCGTTGGTCATGACCGTTGGAATGGTTGCGTTGGTCTGATGGAGAGAGTATCATGTGTGTTAGCGTGGAGGTGTCCAGTCGTCAGGTAGCTAATACGACGAATAATAGATGCCGATTGGAAGCAGGTTATATACGTAGGGTGAAAGGACATGTGGAGAGGTGGGTGGTGAGGTAATAGCATTCCAGCAGAAAGGCCGAGCTGGGTTATTATGAGAACTGGGCACGGAGACCGGAGATTGAAGTAGGATAGAGAGTAAAAATTCTGCTGCTGCTGGGGTTATAAGCCACGACAGCAGCAGTTAGTATTGACCAAGGCGTTGTTTTTCTCTCTTCCGTAGCACTAACTCTCTATGCAGCCAACTTTCTCCTAAAGACCACATTCATAACCAAAGTCGGCTGCTGATCTCATCTTTAAACAAGCTTTAGGTCGTGGCTCGTGGTGGATTGGGTGGATTCAGTGGTTCAGATATTTGTGCGAACCCTTCTCACGTGGCGTCATATATGGATATATGTTGTACTCCGTACAATATAAATCACGCAACCTACAATAATTGCTCATTTTAAGATAGTTCGCCATTTTCGTAACAAGTTACAAAAAAAATATTTGAATCCTGCACTCTGAGCAATATAAAGTACAAAGTGCAGATAGTCTCAAATCTAGTCTCTCTCTCTCAATTATGCATTAGAAGGTTCCAAAGTAGCTTTCTTTCCAGAAAAGGATTAATCGCATTTTGTTTGGTTCACTCCCATGTATGTACATACATACATATGTAGTGCGCGAATACTTTCTCAGTCAGAGCGTGGCCTGGCCACAAGCTTCACACAAACCAAAACCTCTGCTTCCATTAGTTAGTCATTCATGTCGCATGAGTGTATTGCACTACCTTTCGGCGATTCTACCCAAATGTATAAAAACCATCTTGCGATACTTGCACAGCTACACATATATTTAAGATACCATTGTACACTCTGGTGAATCTTTATCGTTTTTTAGCCCAAATGGGCTAAAAAAATTGTGTGCCGTTGTGTCGGTCCGTCCGTCAGACACATGCAAACGGACGAGCCACAGGACCAATTTTTGGCAACTTGGTCGTAAAATACGTATCTTCGCAAGACGTTGAATAATTTCTTGGAAATAGGACTAATCTCCAGTGGTTTGCTGGTAGGGGCCATCCATAGATTATGTCACGTGTGACAGCCTACAACACCATGCTATATTTAGCATTGTGAGATACGCATCACGAGTCAAATAATTTCTGGACGTCGTCGTAAGCAATTGGGATTTACTCATAGATTTACTCATAGAATTTACTCGTAGGATTTACTGTACCAAATTTAATAAATTAAAGTACCTACATAGGAAAGTTAACATGCAGGTAAGATAGCACACTGGCTTTACAAATCAGTGGCAAAAAACTTAAACTTTGGGTGGTGAATATATGAGAATAGCAATGCAGAATAATAGATGATCCACGCGAGAAAGAGAAACATGAGACTATGGGAGAGTGATGGCTCGGGCTCGATGAAGCTGCACTGTAGGTTTACATATACGCCTCGTCTGCTGCTGATGCTGCTGCTCAAGATATATTCTCATTTCTCAACGTGTATCTACATATGTACAGTACACCAGCCACTTTCCAAATGATCTTAATTTGTCTTTCGCTTTTCGGGCTTTCCGAAAAGCGAAAAATCGCCTAAAGCCATGATTACTCTCCCCCGATGCCAAGATAGTTTGTCTTTGTCACACTTTTACCACGTTGACCGATCCACCTGGGGCTTATCTAATGCATGCTTGTGATTTTTATTGGTCACTACGCCGACATTGTAGCGACATCCATAAAGTATGGATAAGCTGTGGCTAATGGCTGGTGGTGGTGGCTGGAGAATATAAAGTTAAGTAGAATTAAGACAAACACATGGATAATAGCTTACTCCAAAATTTGAGGGGGCTTGAATGATAGGTCCACGCGGTAGCTTGACATAGAATACATAGAAATACATAGAATATAAATATACACACGAATGTATGCAGTATTTAAACAGTGCTGAGCAATAAATACCTCGTATCGCACTCTAGCTTCAGAGTGCGAGGCAGTTTAAACCGCTGGTTGTCCTGCTTCATGAATGCATGGCAATATGGGTCGCCATCCTTCTTAATAGAAAGCGTTACCTATAAAAAACCTTTTGTTAGTTGAACCCTGTAAATCTGCATGCGCTTCAAATGTACACGATTGGAATAATTGTTAAATTTGGATATGAGGAGAAATTGGTTGAGAGAGGCGGCAGTAAAAAGTTCGTTTCTTATTCATTAGAAAGTAGGCAATACATTTGTTTGTATTTACACACACAATACGTATGTGCGGTGGAGATATGACTGTACGTATGTAACAAAGTAAGGCGGAGATGGTGACAGTGAAATTTAATTGCATTTTTGCCTCTTCCTGCTGCAGTTGTAGTTGCCACCTTAGCTGGAGGAGATACATTTTTGCCAAGTAAACTAGAACGCGGGGAGGGTTTCATTGTGCTACTCAACTTGTGTCAATCACTGCTACATATATGTTGTTAGACGGTATATGTAACGAACTTACGAGCCATTATGTGTATGTCTACATCTTTGAACTCATTCATGCCAACATGTCACATTTCTTTGGATCAGTCCACAACCCAAAAGTTCAGCTCAAACCACTCAAAGATGAATGAGAATAACTGGTAAAAAAATGATTTATGATGCGCATATAATAATACCTGCCAAGGAGTACACAAATAACCGCATTTTTCATCTCCTCTTCCACTCCTGACTATGTAGGAGAGAGGTTTGGGCATGCTTTAAATATTTAGTCCGTCTATTATTCTCACTCCGCTGCTACTACTTATATCGTCCTTGACTATTATTACTACCGAAAATGCGAATGTCATCAACAACGAGCAAGTGTCCTTTGGTTGTGAGTTGATGCGTTGCAACTAAAACTCCCCAATGACAAACAAGGATAATAACTCAAGACCCAAGACGAGTTGGCATTTATCTAAAATAACGTTGAATTCTTTACAATTTTTTTGCAAAGTAGCGAAAATATATTTTGCCAATTTATAATAGAAAAGATACCTCCCCATTCTCAAGGGTGGGTTTTTCAGGCTTTCACCTTCACAAGGACACTCTTTTCTATTATTCAGTAATTGTCCTTAAACTCTCTCACCCCTTTCCCTTGGCTAATGCAATAGTGTCTCTGAGGAGAGAGAAAGTAGTAACAAAACGTAGAAATGGTCGGTCACCAAAAACGAAGGGATTGCATGTATAACGCCAGAACGGTAGGGTAACTCAAGCATATGTAGATATTCCTAAAAAGGGAAAGGCACCCAGGAGAAATGACACTCTAGTTTTCACCCCTCGTCTAACATTGCAATGTTGTGCTAATCATGTACTAATCTTGTTTGAATAAAGGAGTGGAATGATGCGCTCCATTTCGTCACCTC